TCATCGGTTGAGCTCCAGCTTATGAATTTAATATAGTCTGTGATGATTGTGATGCACCACTAACTTGTGCAATCATTTTAATTATGCTTGATAAGAGATGTGACTTGAAAATGGACTTCCATATTTGTGTTAATTGCTGAACTTTTTGGCAGAATGAACTCTAATCCAAACATAAACATGCAATCAATCTCTACAAATAACCATAGAAAAAAACAGATTTCTAACTGGGACATAGGTCAAAATACAAAATATATAAATGTAGAATTTATGCTGCGTCCAGTTGTACTTGGAAGTTGGGATTTCCGAGCTCTGAGTTGGAAATTAATCTGGAACGCCCCCCTGAAGTCGGATTTCTGACTCGGAAAGTCGAACGTTCCTCACCTACCCCGACTTGACAATAACACCATAATCCAAGATGGCAGCACAGTGCATCAACAGTAGAGAGTAACAGTGAAAGCTCTCATAATGTAACGCTTCTGTTTTGTTTTTGTCAAATCATCGAGTGGTATATGTTGCACCGCTCAACGCCTAACTGTGAACACAGTGCTATGGTGTTTGTAAGAGTAAAATACTGTGTTGTGTGTTGTTTACACCTGTTTTAGCTCACAACAACTAACAACGGGTTACTGTAGGCGTGCATCGACTTGTTAACTGGAAAGTCGTCAACTCGGGTGTAACATCATTTCCAACTCCGACATCCAACTTCCGAGGTAACTGGAACGCAGCATAAGTCCAAAGACATGCTCATGAGAATAACAGAGTGTGTCTGATTGTCTCTACATGTCAGCCCTGTGATAGGCTGCTGACCTGTCCAGGGTGTACCTAACCCCTCACCCAAAGACGGCGCAAATAGGCTCCAGCTTCCCATGGGATCACAGGTGGACCAAGCAGTATAGTAAATAGAAAGCAGGATGGTTTCTGTCATTATTGTCAGTTCCTCTAATGTTGATTTATATGTGAACATTGTACTTCCTGAAAAAGTTCAGGTCTAATTGGTTATTTGAAGCTAAAAAAGAGTATGACACCATGATTTACAGCCCTGTTCACAGATATAGTTCCTGCAGCACTCTGAGTACAGGATGAAAATAGAAAGAAAATAAAGTGGACATGAAAACAAGAGTCTGGGAACTTTCTTTAATCTTGAGTGTCTGCTATTAAGGAGGTGTTGTGCTGTAGATTTTGTTTACAGCCCATATACACTGTTCAGATTGGTCTTTGTCTTCTTAATTTTGTGACCCTCTTTGCCATCCAAGTCTTTGTATCTTTTAATATACATTCTTTTATTCTAGATTAATCCCACACAATGTGAAATACTTCAAGACTGATGATTACAGCCTCCAGCTCACAAAATCAAAATCCACTATCTGAAGACATCAGAATATTGTGGAAAAGTCTAGTTTCATTGGAAAAGTCCAGTAAAGGTGTTTGCTGAAAACCCTGGCTGTTCACAGAGTGCTATATCAGAGTATGTAAATGAAAAGTTTACTGAAAAGGAACATAAAAAAAGATGAGCACAGTCTTGAGGGGATTGTCAACCAAAGCAGATTCAAGAAATTAGAGGAGCTTCACAAGGAACTGAAGTCAGAGCAGCAGGAGTCACTGCACACCAATATGCTCAGGAAATGGTCTATAAGTGCCATGTTCCTACTGCCAAGACATTCCTGAATCAGCGACAAAGTCATGAGAGTCTCACCTGGGCTAAGAAGAAAAAGAATTGGACTATTGCTCAGTGGTCCTGTTTTTAGATGAAAGTCAATTTTGGATCATTCAGAAATCCAGGTCCCAGAATCTGGAGGAGATCAGCAAGGTCCACAATCCAACGTGCTTGAAGTCTAGTATGAAGTTTACACAGTCTGTGATGATTTGGGTTGTCATGTCATCTGCTGTTGTTGGCCTACTGTCCTCATCAAGTCCAAAGTCTATGCAGTCTTAAGTCTTGAAGCAGATTTTAGAGACCTTCATGCTTCCATCTGCTGAGGAGCTTTTTTGGCAGATTTCCCTCTCCAGAAGGACCTGGCACCTGCCCGCAGCGCCAAAACTACCACAAACTGGCTTGCTGATCATGGTGTTACTGTGCTTGATTGGCCTGCCACCTCACCAAACCTGAACTCTGTAGAGGTTCTCTGAAGTATCCTCAAGAAAAAGATGAGAGACACCAGAGCAACAACACAGACTTTTAGCAAAAGGAGCTTTCAAAGCAACCTGGACTTCAATAACACCCACAGACTGATTGCCTTCCATGTCCCATTGATGCTGTAATTTGTTTTGTTTCTATGAAAAATAATCATTTCTGTTGTGTGTGTATCTTTTTTTGTGTGTGTTTTTTCATATTCTAACTTTTTGAGATTGTGGATTTTTGTTTTGTGTTTGCTTTGAGCCATAATCAGCAAGATTCAAGCAAAACAAAAGTGTCAAAATATTTCAATTTGTTAGTGTTGAATCCAAAATTAATGGAAGTTTCACTCTTTGAATCAAATTATGGTAAAAAATGAATTTTTGGGGACATTACAATTTTAATGCTGCACCTGGATGTAGGAGCTGGTCCTCCAGACTTTGTGATCAGACTTGCACCACCAGTATAATAACAATAATTCTACTTCATGAGGCACTTTTAAAACATGGGTTTACAAAGTGCTTTGACATTCAAGCAGAAATATACATCAGAACACAAGAAAAGTAGGTCTGTTAGTCATGGCAGCTGCTCTGAAATAGCTTACCACGTCCAGTACTGAGTTTTTACACAGACGTGTAATTCATAACATGCACTGCAGGAAATGCCAAGATAAATCCTGATGAAAGAGTATGTCTGTACACAAAGGTGATGTGTTTTTAGCTTTTAAATCCTTCAGTTTACTGCTTTGTTCACAGAAATTAATGCATACAGGGTGCACTTTGTCCTTGTAGCAAATGCGATAAAAAGGGTTGTCAGTTCTGGCTGCAGGGTGCACAACCAGCGTGTCAAGAACAAGACATATCTCGAGCGCAGTTGCTTCTAGCCATACAGTTCATTTGCCACTAAAAGGAGGTTATCATGCTGCTGAACACTGAGAGGCAGTTATTTAACCTAATTGAATGGTATTACACTACAGCAGATTCTAATTTGTACAGAAAATGCACCTGGGCAGAGAGTACGAAGGGAAGTTTAATAAAGCCTTGAATGAACTTTCACTGATATGGCTGCCTAATGACAGACCGGCGTGTATTTAATAACGGGAACCACAGGAATAAAGGAAGAGAGAGGGATAGAGGCAGGCCAGGAAAGGAAATTAAATCAGATGCAATGATGAGGTGAGTTTTATTCTGCAATGCTTCCTCTCTCTTTCGTTTGATAATGGGGTTTGTGATCTTCATTTAAGCAAGGTGATTGTGTTTTCTGTAATGTTTATTTAAAACGGCTGATGAAATTTTCTGGCGTTCGTTGTGTGATCCCGCTCAGTGTGACAGCAATTATCAGCCGTGAATCTTTAAAGCGCTGAGTAAGTGCGAGGCTGTCGTCGCCCGCAGGCTCTGCTGAATATATTCACAAGCCGTCAGGGTGCTTGATTTGTTAAAACGTAAACATTTTAACTACTTGCTTTTGTTTGTTTTTGCCTTTCATCCCCCAAGAAAAAGAGTCAGCGGAGATGTAATTGAAACCAGAGACGGATGTAACCCATTAAAGAGACGTGAATAATTTATTAACAAAGCAGTGAAGTGAGTGCTGAAGAGACTGCAATTACATCTTACGTGCATACAAGAGGAGGAGGAGGAAGAGGAAGAGGAAGGGGGTGTGTGGTGGAGTCGCAGGGAGAGAGGAAATAAAGAGAATAAACATGAAGAAGTAAATCTGAGGGAGAGTTAGTGGGTGGAAAGCAAAACAGAGCAACAGAAGCAAAGAGAGGAGAGATCGGGCTTTAATATAAAATTAAACAAATCCTGATTATGTTGCTTTTTTCATTTGCACAGGGGAAAACAACTGAATAATTAATAAGAATCTAAATGTGACAGAGCTCTCAATTTATATTCCATCTTCGTTTCCACTTGAAGCAAGAGTGCCTGTTGGTGTTTCTGAGCAAACAGAATTGAAAACTCTGATATCTAAGACCTCACTGAGGACTGAGAAGAAGTAGTTTTCTACATTCAACAAACACAGGGATTTATTTTTGTTTTCTTGGAGAAACTGGTGAATTTCAATGACTTATGCAGACTAATTCACCATCGAAATCCAATTGTCAGTGTTCAGTAGAATAGCTTAAAGGGATATTCTGGCGCAAGTTTAGGCCATAGTCAAACACACCATAGCACAGAGATAACACCCCCTCGAGAGCAGAATGTTGGTGACCGCTTGCTTCTCTAGTTATACCAACTTTAGTAACGACCGCACAATAGCAATACACAGCGGTCTACGTCTCCACGCGCAAACCTCAAACAAAAAGCCACTCTATAACCGCAAATGATGCTCAGAACAGCACCTAACTTCATCAACAGTACATATAGAGTCCCAGCCATAGTACTAGCCACTAAACATCTTTTAGCTTTGCCTGATTTCTTTAGCAAAGAGACCAAAACACAACTCACCCACTCTCCTTCAGCAGCCACTTGTTTGTAGGGGAGCCCTGAAAAGTCGATCACCAAGTGCAGCGGATCATTTCCTTGAAGTAATAATAATTTTGTACTGCAGACGTGGTAGTTCTTCTGCCTTAGCGTCTCTGTCTGATTGCATTTTCCTGAAGTAATAATCATAAATGTTCTTCCTTGAGCTGTGACACCCCGCTGCACTTGGTGATCGACTCGTCAGGGCTCCCCCAGCAAACAAGTGGCTGCTGGAGGAGAGTGGGTGAGTTGTGTTTGGTCTCTTTGCGAAAGAAACCAGGCAAAGTTGAAAAGATGTTTTGATGGCTAGTACTATGGTGACGTAGACCACTGTGTATTGCTATTGTGCCGTCGTTACTGAAGTTGGTATAACTAGAGAAGCAAGCAGTCGGCAACATTCATCTCTTGAGGGGGTGTCTAACTAGGTGTCACAGTGTGATTGACCATAACTCAATTTTTCGCCGGAATATCCCTTTTTAATGTCCGAATATCCTACTGAAGAATTGACCATTTTTCTGTAGATTATGTGGCTTCATTCATGGGGACTGAGTGACAGGACTAGCTGGGAGCCATGTGACACTCTTTGTGATAAATGAGTTGTAATAGGCCATTACTGCTCAAGAGCTGATCATCTCCAGCAGTCTGCAGCTGAGCAGCCCCATCGCTGGAGAGAAAACAAACAGACAGAGAGGAAAAGAGAGCGAGAGAGACAGATTGACTGACAAGGTAAAGGTGCCGCGAGGAAATCAGAGGCTGTCAAAAAGGCACCAGAGACTTGGATGATGTTGAGGAAAATCACTCTACCCTTCAGACCTGCAGTGAGAAAATAAATCTTTGGTCAGCACATATTGTGGAAGCAGTTTCGTTTTTTATCATCCATGACATGTTTGAAGGAGCAGAGGAGTTTCATTTGGGAATGTCTGGTAAGTTCTGAGGGTGTGTGTTTGTTTGGAAGTCCAACCAAAATAGAGACACACTTGATTGTAATTTAACATATAAACATTTAAACATGGCACACACATTGAAATAGACATTGCTGGATAAATTAGCAGTCTCCATGGTAATTTAATGTAAGCTTTTTCTGTCAGTTATTTGTTATGTTGTGATTATAATAGTAATCATCTACTGACTCAAACATTTCAAACTTATCAGGGAAAAAAAATCGATTCCACTGATGATAAAAATGTATTTTTTTAAATTTTATTATTATTATTATTAATATTATTATTATTATTATTTATTTTTTTTAAGGTGATAATTTTTTATTGTGTGTGCACAAGTTAAATATCTTGAGAACCTGTTCTTACTTATCTGCCACCAACCTGTAGTAGTTGAAGTCTTGGTGTGAAAGATCTTTGGCACTGGTACTACACAGGAGGTCTTGCACAGCTGCTGCACCTTCCCCAGCTTCAGGCTCACGGTGTAAAGGTGCGCTGTAATCCCACACAGCTGGTCAGGATCTGAGGAGCATGGATCTGATGCCATCTGGACCCAGAGCCTACCTGACCTTAAGGCTCTTCATTTCCCTCTGTACCTGGAACATGGGAAAGGACAGGCTGGAGCTGGGTGAAGGCCGCTCAGGAGGGTGTGCAGGAGAGTTGTGAGAAAATCAAATTGAAAACACCCCAGGAACATGTCAAGAACCCACACACACACTCTTGTGCAATAACTTAACTGGGGCACACAGCACACAACAAACAAAAGGAGGGAATTGCCACCCAGATCACCAGCACCACCACCAGGATCTCAGCCACTGAAATAGGGAGGAAAAAGAGAAAAGACGGTTAATGGAACTGAAAACACATGATAATTAAGTAATCATCGCAAACTACTGAAGCTGCTCAAAAATAATTTTAGATAACTAGACCAAAATAAGCAACTTCAATAACTCATTCAATTGGAAACTAACTAAAAACAAAGCTATTGGCAAATTCACTTAAATGGACAAAGAAGTAATCAAAAGCAAAAACATAATCAAAGCAAAGAAAGTAACTCCCAGAGTCCATTCATTCAAATGCAGGAAAAAGGGGTTACAATAGTCCATTCTCAACTCAGTGTCACAGAGGAAGGGCATCAGCATGCAGCGGTCTCACCTCCTTCAGATTGTGGCGACAGGGTCAGCACAGTTCACCCCATCAGCAGACAGAGCGAGCAACACCCAGATCGAGCTGGGTCGGTGACCCAAAGCTACGGTGCCCCTACAGAACAAACAGCTGTACTTAGGATCAGGGCTTTACACAAAAACATGTAGTACACCAGCAGACAGGCAAGCAAGATGACTTACAAATAGTGCATGGAGGCGAAACTATGGTAGTGTATCAAAATGTCAAAACAGCAGTGGATCATAGGCTTGTTCTGGAAAGACGTCATGGGTGAAAACCCTGGAGCTGAAGGCTGAACAGTGTCTCCAATAAAAAGGAGCAGAAATGTAAACTTCTGCTTCAAGAGGCTTTTGAGGGGGAGAAGTCCCACTTTCAAGAGATTGAGGACCTGAAATCAGAGCTTCACCAACAGACCTCAAGAAATGCTGAAGAGGATACTCAGCACAGCCTCCTGTTGACACTTGTTGTTCTCTTCTCTCTGTCTGTTTGTTTCTTGTTTCTTCGATGACTTGATGAAGGCCCACTTGGGGTCCGCACATGTTTTCAGGACTTCCCTGAGGTGTCGGTGTTCCTTCTTCTTGCCATCCATCTTAATCAATATCTTTTTAGCCTTTTGTTGTAGAGTGCCCAATTTGTGTTTCAGTGATCAGTACGCAATTCAAAACCCAGCATTTTTGATGGTATGAAGATGCATAAACTTATCATGACATGAGTAGTTTAAACATCTTGAAAGGCACCGTTAATATTCCAGGTTTCTTTTTCTTTCTTTTTTTTTGGATGAATTCACTTCATTAACAAACTTCATTTGGAACCAACCATTCCCAAGATAAATTAAGCACAGGGGTCTTATCCAAAAAGCACTGGGATGTGATGTATACAAAGACTTTCTCCTTGTCCTCATAAAAGCTCTTCTCTAAAACCACTTTGCTCGTCTTCATTGATCCATCCAAAACAGAAAGGAAAAAATCACGTCAGAGTACATTTACAATTACAACAGCTTTCAATTTGTTTGAGGTCAGACTCAGAATACATCATCTCTGTTTAGCCTAGAGCAATCATACAATGAACATTTACAATATCAAGCTCTTCCCTTCGACTCAAAACCAAAGTCTGTCTATCTCGCATTAAAAGAGTTGAGAAAATTCTGAAACCTTTCCCCCACAGGTCCTCTCGATTCAATCTATTAATGCAAAAAGACAGACTGAAATCTACCATCTGCACCTTTTAGCCACAGGGTATAAATATCTTAACAAGGACATAAATCTTTAAGTTGTTGTTGTTGTATAGACCTCCGATCGTCAGCGATGAAAGACTGTTTGTTGGTCCAGTCAGACTGCATTAGACTTCTGTTCTTGATGATATGTTTTTATGGAGTTAGGTCGTAACTTTGCTCCAACAGTAAATGTCTCTGCCGCCGTGTGTAAACCTGGCTAATTTACTTTACTGAGGATGCCCGCTGAACCAACAGCTCTCCACACAACTCTTCATATGTTTTATAGTTGTTTGGCCTCTTACAAGACTTATAAAGGCTTGAATCCAGTTATTTTAAAGATGATACAGCAGACAATAAATGTCACAATCATGCACTCCTGACTGCAAGGAAAAAGCAAAGTATAGTGTTGTGACAAAAATGTCCTAATCACAAAGAAAATCCAATTCTGCTACCATTTTTACCTCAACATGAGATTTCTTTGCGTTCCTAGACACCCAAACAACTCAGTCTGCAAAAAATGAAAGAAAAAAAAAGACATGATTGCTCTCTTTCAATCCCACCAGCTTCTTGATTGAGCTTCTATTGTGCTGAGGTTAAATCTCCTCCTGAAGCAGTTAACTGTGTTTTAAATGAAGGTGACTGACAGATAACAAGATCAGCAAAGCTCGAACCGTGTATGAAAGCAAAGGCAGCCTTTAACTTTTCAGAAATATCAGTTGGAACAGGCTGCCTTTATTACAGCAGCACTTTGCAAAAGCACCATGACAGCGCGTAGAGGAAGACGGCTTTGAAAAGGAGCCGGAAAGGCAGGACATCGAAGGCTAAACCCAAGTCTTTTGAGAAGCAGTGGAAGAAATACTCTCTCACTTCTCTGTTAATTCTCAGAGCAAAATTATTTAACTCCAAAACTCCATGTAGGTCGTCACGGGTTCGTTCTGGACAAAAAAACGATGCCGCAGTTGAAACTCCAGTGTGGTGGGTTTTTATTCACACCAACTCCCCAAAAACAGCAAACAGTGGCAAACATGCTTACAGTGCAGGAAACAAAACAAAACAAAAAAATAGGCAAATAAATGTCATATTTACAGCACATTATCAGAAGGACTTACACTTGCTCACTTGTTGATGCCACTAGGCCAAAAACCCCACTCAGAGTGAGCGAAGCACTTCTTCACTACCCTTTAGACCCTCCCCTAGGCACATCCATAAACAAATTATAGGGGTTTAAAATACAATATACAAAATACAACACAAAATTCATCAATAAATAAGACAGTAAATAATAAGTCGAGTGTACACCCTCAAACACCTAGGTTGTATAGACCAGGGGTCTCAAACTCAAGTGAGCTGGGGGCCACTGCTGGCACTGTCATCTCAGTGGGGGGCCACTTCAGCGTTTGAGACGAGTATTTAAAATATAAAAAAAATCACAAATATTACTGAAAAGGGGGTTTATGTTCAAATATTGTGTGATAATATTACAAAACTACTAAATTCACAGCAAGTGCAAATGTTTTTAACCTCCTTCTCAGATAACTAATCAGAACTTTTCATGAACTGACAGCACTTCCGTTCATACTGTCTCTTTATATTAAATACAAACACAAAAAGAACTCTAACTTTGTGTGCATATTTTAACAGATTTTAACAGAAACTTTTCTGCTTTGTCCCGTAACTGTTCAAAGATTTTACCAGAAAGTCCATTAATCCGCTCTGCCACAGTGTTTGCCGACAGCGAAAGGTTGTAAAACAGGCTTTTCTTTTTTGGGACACAGAATATCAGCAACACGTAGCATGCAGTCTTTTATTGTTTCAATCAGAATCTGCGTCTCTAAACTATCTTCTCTGTCATGTTATTTGCTGCAGGGATCTGTCCTGGTATCCTTTTACTTAGTGCCTCAAGGAGAAATCATAAACGGATTTTATATCTTCCACAAGAGACTAAACCAGATCAAATAAAACGTCTCATTTCGGATCCCTCCACTGGCTCCCCCGCAGCTCAAAGATCACATTAATAGTAAACCTGAGGTGGACATGCATGCCCTCACTATTTTCATGATGATCCCTTCAATAAATACTAGCACATTTTGAGGGTGTTGCTCTAGCGTATTTGCACCCCAAAACAAAACTGTTTCAATAACCAGACCTTGAGGTTTGAGCCCGCTACCCTCAAAACATCCTCTGTTTTGGAAAAACACATCAAGCACAAACAGAATTTATGTGATATTTCCAGGCTTATACTTCCTGCAACGGGTTATATCAATCAGACCCACATTTAAAAAAAAACACCACAACCAAAATGATTAAAGTCAGACGCTGCCTGATGCATTAATATTTCAGCCGCCATGCTTTAAACATGCCGAAAAAGTTTCTGCAAGGTTGCATCATCGTGACAGATGCGCTGGTCTGTAAGCGTGTCAAATAAAAATGTAAATGGTGCGAGGAAGGAGGAAGATTGACAGAGCAGATTCAAAGTTAAATCAACATTACAAAGTGAGACAGCAGCGAAGGAAGACAAACTTCTGCAACCTTTGACTTCACTTTAGACAACATGCTATATTAGAGCTAGAGTCTTTTTGGTGTCTGCTTGGATGTGTGTGTTAGCAAACAATATTTGGATGCTGCAAATGAGGTTAATCTGTATGAACTACGCGCAGCAGGTCCTTAACCAGCCCTCTAAATTTACCCTTAATTAACTCGGTAAGACAGCAGCGAAGACTCCAAATGTTGCACAAGAGGGTGGGTTGTCAAAACTATCAAGGATCCTTCCACAGGAAAAGGGAGGAGGGTTTGATGAAGATGAAAGAGGAAAGCAAAGAGGCAGACACTCAGAACTAGGGAGATGTTGATCTTACAAGGACGCTGAACAAAGTCTTCTGCAAGTAAATAAACATATTTTCAGACGTGCAATAAGACAGAAAGACCTGTAAGACAACCCAGTGATATCAGTGGGAAATGTCAGCGATTGAAGACATTTGAAAAACATTAATCCTCACAGATTCAAAGAGATTTTAGAGCACCAAAAAAATACAGCAATAAAAATGATAATTTTGGATTACTTGACTTTGTTATAGAAAAGGCAGCTCTGTCTACAGATTCTTGAAGAGGATATTGACTCAGAGGCTTTTCTGTAATATTTGGTTGATATTTAAAAAAAATAAAAAAAACATTGAGGATTAAGCTTCACATCTGTGGTAGCTCATAAGACAAGTATCAAGTAAGTAGCACAGCAACTCAGACTTACAGAGGACGCATATGTTCCAGGGGCTTTAATCTTTATTTTCAGCTTTTTCCAATAAGATGTCAGACATCACAACGATGCATTTCCACATGAGCCCGGGAGTCAGTGTTGTATCCATTAAAAGTCCGATCACTTTGTACTTCATCTGCACTATTTCTTTGCTCCTTTTCCAGTGTGTCTTTAATTGGAAAGAGCACATAATAATGTTTAAAGGGGAGTTTATGAATCATCTTTCACTGACAGGTAATGTTATATCATGACTTTCCAGAAACTGATTGTAGTATGTTTGGAGTACAAGTGGTACTGACAGATTCCTTCTAGCAATCTAATAACTTTTAAACTCTAGAAATAGATATCTATGATAACCTGCTCTGTAATTTAAGCTAGAACAACAAATCTATTCAAATCAATTGGAATTTAGATTTCCTTGATTTCATGAAATGCATCTGAAATCATGGATTTGGCCTCACTTCTCACAAAGACAGACCCAACAAATCTGGATCAAAGTTAAGGGGGTCATGTCAAAGTCAACATCAGAGGAATACTTTTCCGTAACTTATGCTGCGTTCCAGTTACCTTCAAAGTCGGATGTCAGAGCTGGAAATGACGTGACACCCGAGTTGACGGCGTTCCAGTAAGCAAGTCAGAAAACCAAGATGGACGCCTACTGTTAGCTGTTGTCAGCTGTTGTTAGATATACCAGTTGTAAACAACGCATAATACAGTATTTTACTCCTGCAAACACCATAGCACCGTGTTCACAGTTAGATGTTGGGCAGTACAACAATAACCACTTATCGATTTCACAAAAACAAAACAGAAGAGCTAATAAATAGTATGTTACGAGAGCTTTCACTGTTACTCTTTACTGTTGATGCACTGTGCTGCCATCTTGGATTATGACGTTGTCGTCAAGTCGGGATTGGTGAGGATCGTCCGACTTTCTGAGTTCGGACGATTCTCTCAGAGTTCGGAAATCCAAGTACAACTGGAATACACCGTTAGTATCTCAACAAAAGACTCAAGAAACCAAATGAGAGGCTTTTCTTCTGGCAGTGCAGTGAACAAAGAAATGACAGCACTGAGTTTGGTGTAAAAAGATCATATATTATCCAGGACAATACTGCTGAGCCTGACGATAACATCAAAATAACCAGAAACCAATTTGGTCCTAAAAGAACTTTTAAAATAACAAATGTCCTCTTCAGTCTCCAGTAGCTGGTACAGGGTTAACCTTATCTAACAAGATGAATCCTCAGCCAGAATAACCCGGCAATGGGAATAATATCATTGGTTCATCTGCAATAATATACTGTTCACTGCATATCTAACCTCAATCTTAAATAACCATAAGGTCCGAGTAGTCACCTCTATAAATCCCTGCAGGAGATAAGTGCATGTTTGTGCTTAAAAAATAAAATACACACTTAGATATAAACCAGCATAGGGACTCAAACAGATGAACTCTCTCTGCTTTGTGGTCCAGCATCCAACAATTACTGGGTCAGACAAGTCAACAGAAGACTTACAGAAGTCATACCGTCTTTAATAAATGCCAAAGAAGAAAAGAAATGAGTTGTGTTTGAGAACATCTTGTTGAATAATGGATTTGTTACAAACAACTTGTACAAACAACTTTTTGTGCAGCATTCTTGTTAATCACTCTGAATGTGTCAAATACTGGATTCTGGTGGGTTAAAATGGATGTTAACTTGATGGAGCAAAGGCAACTCCAGTGACAAACTGATCGTACACATCAAACATATTAAATGAATCCATTGAGAGGAGCATACTGTTTGTGATTTCACTGATTCCTGTGGGCAATTTGACAAAAAACACAACTTTCTGATAGTATATTGTAGATAACATAGAGGATCTTTCCAGTGTCAGTTTACATTTATTGGACTTTTGATTTAATGGCAGAGCATCCAAAGGTAGAAAAAGGAAATGACACTAGAGAGAAAACAGAATAGAAATTAGGAAGAGATGCTAAGACACAATGCCAATGGAGAATGTCTCAAACAAATGTTTGGACCAAGTGTGCAGTTTGTGGGAAAATCTGATGAGCTTGGGAACAGTTGTTTAACTGTCTTCTACACAGTGATGTTGAGCCAATGGATCCATTACCCTTATTAGTTTATTCATTCACCCAATAGTATCTATCAAGCGCTGCACTGTTTTATATGCTCTGATCGATGATGTCTGCTGTCCTTCACTAGTGTCCTGACATTGCATTTCAGCAATGTCAGTTGCATTTCTGATGTACAATTCCATGTTTACTGATTTGTAATTTAACTTTTTTTGTGGTTTTAGCCATCAGCCTGTTTATGAATGCTGGATCAATGCAGACCCTTTCTTGTGTGATGGGACTCAAAGCGTGGACATCAGAGCAAATAGGACCCGTAACATCAATTATCCTATCAAAGAGGGCAAGCTTGACGTAGCGTCTGACCGAGATGGAGAGGGAGGGTAAATGGGGTGGTGGCCAGGCCAAGTTAAAAGTACAGCAGCAGCTTCCGCTTGTGTGAGCTGTGGTGATATCCTCTGGATGATGAGGAAATGCTTTTTTGACATTTCATTGTGGTTCTCACATAAAATACATCTGCACACCACCTTGGAAATTTGCACCCTGTTTAGACCTCAGCATGAACAAAATAAATAAGTGGAATGTTAATTACTTTGTGGGTGGACTTGATAGTTAAGCTTTGCATCAGGGCCTTCTCTCTTGGTGTGACCACCTTTCATTGCTGCAGATAATCCATTAACACTGAATGAGAAATAGTGCTTGACTTTGTTCTCAGGGTTAACACGGCTGCTGCTGCTGCACTGTTATTTTAAAGCTGTGAAGCAAAATAGACACTTTAAGACATTAACATCCTTATAGCGCTCCCTGATTATTAAATTGCCTGAAATAGCGCCGGGTAGACGCACAAGAACTTCTGAAATCTAATTGATATATTTCAAAATTATGGCGTCATTATGCATTAAAGTCTTTAAGAAGGCGAGTTAAAAGAATCACTGTAAGCTTTTTTATGAAGAAATAATTGATTTTCTTTTTTCAGTTTCTGTTTGAAGGGATTACAGTGATGACTCTGAAGGTTAGGGTTATGACATTTATACACTGATACAATAAACAAAAGGCACTGATGTAGCTCCAGTATGAGATCTCATTTAATTGAGTTTATCTTTCATTGAGTAAATGTGCCCTTGCTTCATTACGCTGGCATTAGCTTCTGCATACTGATGAGATTTTTCGGGTGAATTTTTCACAAATTGCAAATCTTCAGAAGTGCCACTGAAACTAATTTGAGAGTGTGTGCAGAATTGATAAACAACCATCAAAGTTGTATGATATTAGATCGGGCTTGATCCAGTGTTTTGAATTAAATGCAAATTTACCAAAATGTTGGAGGTGAGTAAACGCTGTTCTTTATTTAGCGGGTGCTCTCATTACATCACCGCACACTGTGCCTCTTATAGTAAGTACGGCGGCCCTGAGGGCTCAACAGTGCAAATGAGGAAAACATGCAAAATGAGACAACACGAGAAAATTGAAGAAAACATCTGCATGAACTTAACACATTTGTGTCAACATTAAGCAAATATGCAGCAACACCAAGAACCCGATAAGAATACACAACCAAATGCCACAAGGCATGTATGAGAGTCTAAAGCGGAGATCCTGTAACAGACCAAAAAGGTGGATTTAGGCTCATTTCCGTCACTGACAGATGGCTGACTCAGACTCTGAAACTTTAATGAAAACTGTCAGAATGATCTCATGAAGTGTCTCTTCAACCCGACTGTGTGTTTTGGGGTTTTTGTTCAAGAATTGGTTTGCCTGGTGCAATTTTGTCGTGCTGTTGTTTTTGCAATGCATTTTCTAAGTGCTGCAAATGTATTGTTATGTTGATGGAGGACTTTTTATCTTTTCATATTCAATTCTGTTTTCTTAATTTGCAATCAACTGAGCCCTGAGGGCCACCGTAAATCTGTGTGTAAATCAACTGTGTGTATCCACCATCACAATTCCTTTTATTATTCAAACCTTTACAATGACAACCCCAAGACAGTTTCTTGTGGAACTTTCAAGGCTTTTATGGAAAAACAACCTGAGAAGAAACTGTAAGAAAGTGTGCGACTGAAACCCCATTTACCCCATAGAATGAAGAAAGACCACAGAGTAAAATTATGTCCTTGACTGTCATTTCATGAGACAAAAATCTCTTCTTTACTTACATGTTTCAGGGTTTCTCTGTAGTGTTGCTGCCCTGGTATTGGCCCCACCTGTTCTCTCACCCAGAAAGGGTTTGTAGGCCACTCAGGCTCACAGACCCTGTCAGGTGGTAAAGATATGAGAGCTGAAAAAAATAATCAGAAAGTTAAAAACTTCTTTGGCGTCTAATATCAAACCATGTGGTTTAACCAGTATGTTATGCTGCTGCGCAAGTGGTGGTTCCAGGAAGCGGAGAAAATCCTGGAAGTACCAGAGCAAGTCGGCTTCAAATTTGTATGATGATGGAAGGTTACCTACCTGGTAGCTAGACAGTATTGACTTAGTAGTTATCATGTAATTACCAGATAATTTCATGTTGTTACTAGGTAATTACCTGGTAATAAGTGTATCGTAAAGGAAAGGGTTACCGAAAAATGTGCCCTCCATCTGTTCCTGATGGAGAAGAAATAAAAAACAGCATCCCTACAAGCCTTGACATATTTCTGTTCTTCTCGCCTCTGCACTAGGAGTTACATTTCTTTTTCCTTTTGAGTCTGTGTTTTATGATGTCTGTCTTTCATTTATGTTGAGAAGTTCAACCATCTTTTATCCTTAAAGGATGGGTGTTAGTCATAAATAAAAGCAGCAGTTTGTCACATCATGCAGAGCTGTGTAGTAAAACTAGTTTTACCGTAATAAAAAAGTGATTTAAATGGGAAACCATCCGCATCTCAAACAGCAGAAACAAACCCTCTCAAAAAATGGCATTTCTGCCCCAGGAGGCTGGATCGGTCCAGTCTGCTCTGAATGAGGGGTTTAAATAAAGCCTTTGTATTGTGAACAGGATTTTACATGGATTAAGCAAATAAATCAGAATGATTTTAATCTGGCTGGGGAAAAAAGAAAACTGTATTTGTGACCATGTCTAATGGCAGTGATTACCAGTATCTTGCAGCCCTACCCAATGTCATGATGCAATAAGATAGCAGAGTATAAAGGATAGTCTTCAAATACTTACCTCACATTTATGAAAAGTTTTCATAGTCTGTCCATCAAGAGATTAAAAGCCTATTTCTAAGAGGCTTTCAGATGTAATGATAAAGAAACCAGGGTATGTATTTTATGACAATAACAGCTCATAATGAGTAATGCATTCAGAGAGCCTTTAGCTTGTAAACACTTAAACTTACTTCAGTCTTTAAGTGTAACAATAAAAATCATGTCACTGCTGTTTATTGAGAGACATCACTTTTAATTTTAAAGACTTAGATTCAACTTAAATTTATACAATTCATACAGGCTGAAATAAAAGATTTCCACCTCAGTTAATTCACCATGATTTAGTGTTTGACAGACTGAAAACAAGGCTCACTGTACCCTTACTTACCTGAGAGTGGGAAACAATTGGCAAACAGAAAGCAGAAGTACTTTACTCTCCAATGAGCTCATTATTCAGCCAAGACACCGGGGAACAAAGTGGGCATGCACTCAAGGCCAAGTCTCCATAGAAGAGACAGTAGGGGTTTGAATCTCCCACACAAAGAAGTGTCTAAAGGGAAAAGCTTTGAATTGACCCTCAAGAGAAACAAAGATGGTGATCAGGACTTGGCAGGCTGCTGTCTGCTGGCCCGCCATCCTTTCGCTCTTATCTATCCTTTGCTCCTTTTACCACTCTGTTTTACAGCATGCTGATGACAGTGTTGTAACCACCATGCAGCAAGTTCTCAGTGCTGTACACTTTGTATGGGCTTTCCATTTCCCAGTCCTCTCTTGTGATGCCGCATGTCTTATTGAGATAAAACAATCAGTAACAAAGTTCCTACATCTGATCGACATGATACGCTTTGACTTTTCTCAAAAAAAAGAATGTTATTAAATGACAGTATCAGAAAAACAAAAAAGAAGGAGTCGTCAAAACATACATTTTTAACAGTGAAGCACAAATCATAACAGGGATAATTTGCTTCATTCAGCATACAATCAAATATGTGACTTTTGTTTCATTGTGTCTTGATGCCAGTGTGTTGTTCTTTAAGTGGTCTCCCACTGACAGACCCTAACCTCTAAATATTCACACTGGGGACAAGTGCACAAAGACAAATGAAACAAAATTGCCCCAAAAATAACATTTTGACGAGAAAAGGAGATAGATTAAGAAAAGTGAAGAATTTTTCTGTTAATACTGGTAGGGCTGGGCAATATGGCTTCAAGTCAATATCATGATTTATTGAGGCACTCACAATGATAACGATAAATGGACAATAACTACTCCACGAGCTGCTCACCCCCTCCCACATTAATTTCTTTTACTTGAGCCACAACAACTTTTGAACCGTCCTCCATCTCCTCACCTGTCTTTCCCTCTTTGTTATGGACTGGATGGGGTGGAGTCACGTCTTTGAGGTAGGACAGTGTCTTAAAGGGACATGAGACCATAGCCTACCTACACACATCCAAAACCAACTTTTTAGACACCGAATATACCAATATGGGCAAAATGACTGGGGTTATTGTTGTAAATTTCTGTATCGGTAAATTTTCGGTTTATTGCCCAGCTCTAATTACTGGTACATAAGCTGATTTTCTTTTCCAAGATCCAGCTAAATTTATGGTCCATGTGAACTTCTGCCGCCATGTTTCTTTGATTGTGTGGTTTCTCAAGACACTTCACAGTGAGCATGCAAAGCTGTGCTCTAGGTCTCCACACCATTAGTAAATATGTCACGTAATCTTGAAATCCTTCTAAAATCACAGCTTGTGCTGACTTTTGGTCAGAAGCAGAGAACCATACCCAAAAACCAGGCTGTTAATCTTGTAGTGTGCACCCCGCTTTAGCTACAAAATGAGCTCAATTGTTCTACTAAAATGGAATAAATACCAGAAACTTAATTTAACGAAATTACTCTCCCCTGCAGGAATAAATTTCTTTCCTTGGGGTGAGAAATATAATCTTTTTTCTCACATCATTAAAAAAAATCTTTGATTAAACCAAAAAAAGCAGGGAGCTGAAGACAGACTATTTAAGTTTAAGTGCTGCTCTTAAAGAAACTGTTCCAAATTTGGCAGTAAATAAATTCATCTGAGTGAAATACAAAATGAAACAACAGGAATTCAATTAACTATTGCTGTGAGTGTTCACAAGATTTCCGTGTGGAATTTAAAAGCCACTTAGAAATGACAACTATGGAGAACCGATTGATTTTCAAAAGGAAGGACCATTATTGTTGAGAAAGTGTTAGTCAACCTGACAATCATGAATATATGAGAGCTTTTCCGATGGATAAGAAAATATTTTTTTCTGCTTTCTACATTTACAGCAGAGTCGAACACATAAAGCTCCACTTTGAAATAAAACATTTAACATCCTGCAGCGTGTGTTCACGAATTTAGAGCGCAGAGATGTAGCAATAAGAAAACATGCAAGGTCGAGTCATTTGTTGTCCATTTTATAACACCAAGAAAAACATATTTAAACTGCACTGACAGCATCTGATGTCAGATTTCATGTCAAGTCTCACTTAAGATAAGAAAGGATCATGTAAACTGCCTAGAGAGTCATTTTGCTGTCCGTCTGTCTGTTGTAGGAGTCTTGGTCTTTTGGTTAAATGTCGACTGACCTCAGAATCCAAACATTTATCTTTAACAACAGTGTTAGAAAAATAAAGTACTCAAAGCTTTACTCTTACGTTTTGATGTTTCTATGGGCTGCTGCAGACTTTTTCTTTTTTTTATCAGGAACCCAAAGGTGACAACGACAAGGCAACCTGCCAAGCACTCGATTCTATTCTCAACCACACCATTGAAAGAATCCCGATAAGAGGACTGCTGGGAAGATATGTGCTGTGAATTTGTGTGCAAGAGAGAGAGAGAGAGAGAGAGAGAGATAGAGAGAGAGAGAGAGAGAGAGAGGGGGCATAAGATGAAAATAAAAGGCGTAGAGGAAAGTGGAGATGACAGACAAGAGTGTATGAAAGGGAGGTGCACTGGGGTCTTTAACGCTGTTCATACAGAAATATGACTGAGGCAGACACTTCAGTGTGGGTTTTTAGTGCGACAGATCTTCTGCGATTCCACAGGAACTATGTGCGGGAGAAAATCAGGTCCCCACCAGTCCTGTTGAGGAAGTCATAATGTTTTATTTCTCAGATTTAGGAGGGCTTTGAAAAGCACGGAAACCAACCATTTGAGCTTCTCTCAACTTCCCCTGTGAGTTGTCAGTAGATTATGGGGTTTAAAAAGGTGTTTTTTTATATCTATACATGTGTTTATATTCAATGTCAGATGTGTAGTTTTACTTTTGAAGTAAAGGTCAAAAAAGTACACAGACCAAAATTACTGAAGTGTTGAGAGAAGCTCTCTGTGCAATATTTTTTATCGCTGTCTATCTTTCCTCAGTCATGTTGTGTTACTGTGACGACTTATCAATTTCTGATGCAACTTTGAGGAACAGAAACATTTCCTATTCTTTAAACTAAATTTAGAGCAAGCTTATTTCACTAGAAAGAGGTTTATATTTATATTTCATAAAAGAACAAGCCTGTCAGTCCACAAAGGGAACATTGTCATCTGAAAATTTGAAGCCTTGAATCATGCATCTCATTCAAATTCCCAAAATAACAAAAGATTTGAGATCTGATCTAAATACATAAACTAGTCAGTCACACAACTTCATTTTCAATTTTGTTAAAATGTTTTATTATAACTTCTTAGGGGAAGGCTGATGCGTAGGTTTCTGTGTTTAAAATACTGTTTGAAAAGGATGAAAAATAACAGGGGGCCTTCATTTTCATATTTGGAGGTGCTTGTGCTTAATTTGAGGGGATTGAAATGGAACATTGTGTGTTTGAGGTCATAGATCTTGTGTTGTTATGACAAACCCAGTTATATTTACTTTCCTGATTCATCATACATATGAAAACTGAAGAAATGATGAAATTATTTATCTATTTATTACAAAGCCAAAAAAACGTTGACTTCAAACAAAAGATACACCTCCAACCAAAAACTCAAACTTTTCACATATTTCATATGTATCAATCATATGCTAACAAGAGGAGGATTGGATGATCCCCATTAAGTAGTTTAACACCTAAATGAGTCTTGACAACAAAGAGAGAACATGACAACAAAGACTTTTTGTGGGTCAGGACATAGTATATCAGCCAATGCAGGTTCGTAAAATCCACTCCAGAGGCTGAATAATTTGAGTATTTCAAGAGAGTGCTGTTACATGTTAATTCTCATGTCTACCTCTGAAGAAAGAAAGAAAGAAAGAAAGAAAGAAAGAAAGAAAGAAAGAAAGAAAAAAAGAAAGAAAGCTGATGACTGTTCAAATGTTCATTTTGGAAACTCACAATTTACCCGGTTTAAGTATGTTAATGCTTCACACAGAAATGTGCATGCAGAAAGTACAAGTACTTGCACAGAAGAATTTTTTCACACATAATTACTGTTGTAGTCAGTGTCGTACAATTATGATCAGCTCTATGATAAGTGCTGCTTAAAAAAGATTTGGTGTTTATACTTCACTCTCGTTCTGATCATCACTCATCACTCTGGGTCAGGTTTGTCTCGCTGTTTCGATGTCACCAGCATTCGATTCTGGCCTCTCTGTCATTTAGAGCACAGCTTGATATGGAGACAAAGAGAGAAAGCCTGTGAACATGTGCTACTGTGAGGCAGAGGTGAATATGAGTAAATATAGTCGAATTGACCAATCTTGGTCTTCCAAGTTTTGTTGTGGTTCAAGCAAATTTCTTGATTCTATGAACTAAAAACACTCACGAGGTCAGCTGCTTAATTCAGGAAAGGATGACCAGTGGATTTGTTGAAAAGCTCGCTGCTTGAGATGCTGAATGAAGGATGTTGGTGACGACTGCACATAATGCCCGACTTGGCTTTGGGCAGATGCCTTTCTAAGGACCTTCATGGTTTCTAAGTGACTGCTGGGTCAACCTCTTACAGCTAATTTCTATGCTGCTGTGTTTTTGATAAGACTGGGGAAAAACTGCTGTGCCAAAACAGCAGTACTGCCAAAAGCAGAACAATTCAAAAACTGCTCGAAATCTTGCTTCTCTCTGCAGTTTTAAAAAGACGTTTCTGTCGTTCTGTAGTTGTGGTTGATTTGGTGAGATGTCAGTTTGATTTGTAACACATAAAAGTAATAAACAAGTCCATCACCTTAGACTTCGGCACTTAGACTGATTAAGAAATCTTTGTAAGCGCTCATAACTTCATAAAAGGAGCTAAACCCTTCAGAAAAGTAAGCACCAAGTATAAAACAGAAGTATTCACATATTCCTGAACAGTTTTTCTTTCCCTACTACCACTCATTACAGCTCATATTTCAGCCTTTATCTACTTTCACTCTGTTCTGGGACACTAATTGGACAGGCCATAAATACCTCCATTTAAAGCTGGGCCAGCCAGATAATTGGTCAAAAGTGCAGACTCTGTGTATTTGTCTATAAAAAGCACTCTAAATGAAAGCTGAAGTGATGGCACCAAACCGAAAAATGAGAAACAGAGGAGACAGCGTGAGATTTGGAGTATTTGATGTTACAAAGTACTTTCCAATAGAAGTGGAGTGCGGAGTGAAAAGCATCTTTCATGTTTCATCCTCTCTCTTTCTTGGTCAATGCTTCGAGCCAGTGAATCAGCTCTGCTCTGTTCGCTGATTGGGGCTTTTTTGTTTTCTTTTTTTTACAAACACAGAGTTTCAATTTGATCAGAGCCAAGTAATGCATCCAAACCAAAGAAAGACAGCTTCTTGGGGCATCAATGCTGCTTTCTCTGGCCATATGTGCTGCATTACTGCTTTCAGTCAAGGACGAGTCTGGCCAAACGCCTCCTCTTGGCACAGTTGAGTCCTGTCGCTGCCTGCCAGGTACACAATTGGACAACAAGAGATGGCAAAAAGCCATAGAGAAATGATAGTCTCTCACACATGCTTCACAGGATGGGTGGCTCTTAGGTTCTGGAACTTTTATTAGTTATTTCACTAATTGCTATATTATCAATTGAACCTTTCAGGGAACATTTTTCCAAACAACACTACACTGTGAGCCAGCAACGTATTTTTGTCAACTGTAAACACTCTTCTGACATGATCGGTGGATCTGTTGTTAGATAACTGTTTCCTTTTTCCAGATAATTACATTTAGAAGAGATATGTCGGTGTGATGTTTCGGATGTTTTCATCACATCAACCTCCAAGATATGGCGCTGTGATTTCAATATTCAATGCAGAATGAGAAGATGTGCTGAAGGCCATCTTTTACAGTTATAATGTCATTTGAAGCTCCCGTGAGGAGTTTTTTGACGTTAATCAAACTAGACTGAAACCCATATTAAAACTTTTTCATGATACGCAAAAGCAAACAAGACAATAAGCAACAAGACTGAGGATTTGCCAGGGGGTAGGAGTCAGTTAAAAAGCTGAAGAAACAGCCCTGTGTTCGCATTTTCCTGATTGAATCTTAACAACAATTGATGTATATGAGTGTCAAAAGCTAGCATGTAAACATGTAGTGAACAAGATAAGCAGAGACTGCTTTGTCTACAGGGGGCGCCAAAATCTACAAAAAAAAAAAAAAGCTCTTGATAGGAGCTTTAAGTTGTGACATTAACGTAAAAACAATTAAACCTTCTGATTCTTGACAGTCATATATATTGTTTATAATAATTATTATTGTTGTTAATTGTGGAAACTTTAAAAACAGGGCTATTTCCTCTAAAAATCATCAGTCTCATCGCTGATGGTCTTGTTTACTTTAAGATATCATGAATTGGTATTAATCAGAATTTCAGTCTCAAAACTCCTCATTGGTGCTTTAAATAGCATTTTCATTAGAACATTATCAAAACGTCATGGTTAAAATGCACTCCACTGAAATATACATAAAACACTTGGATTAAAGTGAATTAGTAAATCACATATTGTAAATGAAATCAGCACATTTTAACAAGGCAGTAGTAAAATCAGTGTTGGTACTTTGTATTATCAATGCAGTATAGGCTTCATATATAAATGTGAGCAAAGATTACAGAGCGATAGAATAAAAAAACACACAATGTAACCCAGTGTCAAGTTTTAGTAAAGAGATGTAAAGGCTTTAGACAGATCCTCTTTACCTGGTTCTGTTAATGTTATATTCTGCTTTTTTTCTGTCCTTCACCGATGAACTCCTACAACTATTTTTTTAAGGCTGAAAACTACACTTTAGTCAGAGGAGTGATAAAAACTGCAAAAAGAGAGATGTTGGAGTTTAAATGTTCGATGAAGGATTAACGTGTTTCTGGTTTTGTAATAAGTCTTTAAACAGTTGCAGAGTCAGACCGTCTTTTTGGAAGGGTATTTGAAGTAACTGATGCTGATAGAGATTGATACATGTACTTAACTATCAGGTGAATTTTTAGCATTGAGATGTTCTCACCTGTCTATGAGAAAAATGGTGCAACTTACTCTTAAACCTGTCTAGTCTTTGCCCGTCTTTCTTTCAGTTCTGTTAGGGAATCGTGATTCCAGCTTATAGTGTAAACAGAGATTATAGCCCACACCTGTGCTCCACACCCACTCCTCACTCACTGTCAGCAAGAAGCCCCTGCACCTGCACCAAAGTCATGTAAATAGAGGAGGGTGAGGAGGAGCAACACAGTGATTGTCTGAATGCCAAAAACAAGAGTGAGCAAAGACACAGGTGAGGCTCACGTAACTGAATTAATAACTCGGGGCACAACATTCTGGGATCCATTCACCATTCAGTGGTCTCTCACTGCATCCTCGCCCAACCACTCGCCTGCCATGCACTGCCTCTCTTCAGTTTCAACCAGGAGTACGGGGACAAAGCAGAATGCAAAACAACAGAATCAGCTGGCACAGTGACATTTTCGTGCTTGCCGTCGGCGTGTAAAGTGTGCTGAAAGCTCGACGATTCAATCCTGGTCAGCTTTCAGCGCAGGCGGAGTGAAGCTGGTCTAGTGGTATTTTGGTAGACCAGTGGTGGTCTACTTCACGAAAATTGTAATACGCCTCGCCGGTGGTGGATTTAAAGGTGAGGAGAGGAGCTAATGCTATTGGTCAATACAGGTCCTGGCTGTGTTAAACCGAGTCCACGCCCTCTCTCCTCCCTCCCTACAACTTACGCCGCTGGGAGGAGCTGAGTTAGGGAGGGGGGATACTTACGCCGGGCTGCGCCGCTCACCAAAATACCAAATTGTGCTTGGGAACGCCTTGTCGGCGCGGCGGACCTGACTTACACCGCGCCTGCGCCACGTCTCCGGCGAAGCACGAAAATAGAGCCCCTTGACTTAAATCAAGACTCCTTACAGCAGCTTAAAACAAAGAAAAAACTCAAGGAAGAATCTCTGGACCCCCATATTGAGTTATGAGGTTAACTAACCAGAATGAGCCGAATGATCTGAATTCCTAGCACACTGGATAGAGCTCCTTTTATTAGACATACCAAGTTATTAAATAAGGTCCACATTTGATTTGTGTGTTCTTGAATGGCATGAAATAAATCAAGATAAGGTGCTTAAAATTTGCAACATTTCAGTGATTGGGGTTGAAGTAACATGTAACACTCATCGAGGACACATGTTGAACTCTTACGCTGTGATTATTTTGCACCAACTATTCATCTTCTCCAGGGCCAGAATTGTTGCAGCCGACCCTGATTGTGTCTGGATTCATAATAAAAGACATCCTTTTTTCTGTGAATACAAAACAAGAATTATTTGCGGCTTTGTAAATTTGGTTATCTCCTCTATCCTCTGCAGAGTGAATCCATTTAACCCTCCCAAATGTAAAAAAAAAAATCAACAAGTCAACAAATTCATTTCCTGGATAGTAAAAAGTCATGTCAAGCAAAACACTACAAATTTACTGCAACGTTAATAATTCATATCATCAGAGGGGGTGGCAACCAAGCACTTAACAATGAAATTGAATTTCAGAGGCTCTGAATGCTTTCTCTCAGTGGGAGCTGTGTCTCTACAGCTGTTAGAAACAGCTACAGTCAGCAGGAGGGCAGAGTGACAGACATGTGAGGACCTCAAATGTCACCACCAGGAGGAGAGAAAATGAGCCCATTAGAGAGTACCTGCCCACAGGCCCATGACCTCCAATCAAATAGCAGTTTAAAGGTTATTAAAAGTTCAGAAGAACATGTCCCTGGAGGTGAAATACGACTGACAAGTGAATAGCCTTCTGTGCTTGTTAGCTGTGGGGTGAGATAGCTTTTGAGACTGATATGAGACCTGCTTCAATATTGGCTTCACCCTCGAGGCGAAACCGTAGAACCGGTACCAAGACAGGCTCACCAAAACTCTGTGTTCCCTGCCAGACTGGGTCAGGTCAGACACATTGATCAAATATGAGTGTCAGAAGAGCTTTGAAATTGAGAAATCTGGCACAGCATCCTCAAAATGACTTTGAAAGACTATGACGTTATATTACAGCCATAAAGCATGTCTCACATTACAACTTTAGTACTGTGATAACTCATACATGCATGAATAAATAACAACCAGTCCAAAGTCAGTCTTTGTCTCTAAAACTTGGGACTGAAAATCAAGAGTAACTTTGATTGAGCCCTAAACTGAAAATATTTGTTTTAACTTTCAGTTTCAGCCTGAAACTAATACTGATGCCTAACTGTGAGCAAATGAGACATGAAAGATAAGATTAACTTTAGCCTCTTTTTGTGAAGAACAGGGACCTCATGTATTAATGTTGTTTACATCAGGATAGGCGCCCACGTTCAGATGTATCACTGTGAAAAGTTTGTCGATTCGCGCACTGTTTCACACCAATTCCGGAGGTGGTGTAGAAGTTGGCAGAAAGCCGATCCTTGCATTAGCTGTACTTTGGTTCGTTGTCGACACTGTGTGTCGGTGTTTGGTGACTGTTACTATTTGACAACTGTGCACACATCGGGCACCAAAAAGCATCAACAGAAACACAATCACCTGTTGGCATTACCAAGTGGCTATAATGTGAATGGGTAAGAAGCGATTACACAATTCATGAAGCCATATTAATTTATTTTGTCAACCAAACGCCGATTGGGATGTGTCAAGGACATGTGCATGGCTTCTGGCGCTCGCACAGATTAAAACATCTGGATTTTTTCCCGCATTTGCAACTATCGGGATTCTTGCGACCGCCGTTTTTTAGTATGAGATCCACGCAAGTATTGATACACGAGGTCCCTGGACTTTTACGCTGATATCTTGTCCACAGTGTGATTGTCACATGAACATAGTGGTCTGACAAAATCATCCTGCTCACATTTTAATACCACATAGTATGACGCCAACATGAGGGCTTTCGGGTTCAGTGTAGAAGTACAAAGACATGTGGACAGCAGAGCTTTGTTCCAGCAGACTTTCAACAATCAGGGTTCCTCTTTATAGGGTTATTTTTAATGACTGTGAGTTCTGCCAGCAGACCAGTGTCAGACAAGCTTATTCACAACACGTAGACCAGAGGTGTTTTAATTGACAGTGTCCGTTGCAAATATTTACTGTAAGTGATACGTTTGAGAGAAAAGTTATATTTTTTAACTGTCTCACATAAAGGGCAATTCTTATGCAAGCACTGAACCAGAAAAGCAAATATATGAGACTTATCACTTATCACTTTGTCCCCAGTGAAGGTGCAAGAATTTGTCAATGTCAAAAGTCAGTGTCAATGGATGAGTGTGATATGTAATAAAAAAGCACTCTGAGTGTTCAGAGGACCGGAGAGAGCGCTGCATAGACGTAGTCCACTCCCCATTTACATCAGCTATATCAAAGCCAAGACTTATATTGACTTGAACTCATACTTAAATGACATTTTTGTTGTCTTAACAAAATGATATAATGTTTAGAGGCGATTTCCAAATATGAACTTTTAATTTATTATGCAGCTCACTGCCTAAATAGAGGTTTCAGTAATCCATAACCAGCTGACCACCTTTGTCCCTACAGGTCATTTGAGGGCTTTGGAAGTATGGCATTAAAAATGATTTCTGTGAAGGTAAAATACAGGTGAGATGTCTGATTATCATTTTATTCATCAAGTTTCTGAGAATTTGTCCTTAGACCCAGTTACTCCAAAAAAGAGAAAAAGGAAAAGAGTGGCTTAGGTACCAAAAAAAGAAAAAAAATCAGTGAACAAATGATGAAGAACATTCACGGCTGTAGGAGCCAAAATATATTTGTTGAAAGTATGACTTCTATAGGTACGTCAGTTGCGGGGATCGTCACGGAGGGGTGTGGTTTTGGTATGTTTGGCGGGTTATTTAAATCTCACAGGTGTAGTCACACAATGGTTTGGTAAGCTCTGATAATTTTCTGTTTTCATTTTCATCATTTTTCACAGTTTTACTCATCCTGTTTTAACCTTATTTCATCTTATCACTTTTTCATTCGAAGTTAAAAGTTTTAGAGCTGGATTAGAGTGTTTTCTCTCCTCTTTTTGAACTATAAATTACTTTTTAACACTCAAACCGGACTGATATTTGAAGGAGTCACAGATGCAAGCAAACCTAAACCCCAGCGGCCTTTTTTGTTGAAGGAAAGCAGTTGCTACAATGACTTTTACTGAGAGATAATACTTCTGATGGTAATGGGTTTTCTGTTTGACCTTTTTTGTTAGATTTGACCACTAACTTCTATTATGTTTGACACATTTTAAAGTGCCAAGTAGAAAAAGCTGTTATATAAAGCAGTTCAGGCCCGCTGGCTGACTGACATAATGGCAGACCGGCTGATATAGTTACGGGGCAACCAGCCAAGAGCTGCCCCTCATCATGACACAAACACTTTAGATTTCAACAAAATGTACATATCATCTACAGGCTCTGATGTTTTGTATAAGAGCAACTAGGAATTTTTCATTTTGACCCACTCACACTCAAAATTAAATGGAAAATTCACATGAAGGTCATTCATTGAAAACTATTCATACTTACAAAGCTGAAAGATCACATTCAGCGAACAGCAGCAGGACACAGATTAAAAAGGGACTTCAAACCTGTGAGGTCTGAGAGGCAACAGAGCCAATACTTAGCCAAAAATAAATGCTTTTGTAAATGACAAACATAACTCCGGCGGAGATGAGGAAGGACTCGCTGTCAGGCTGCAGGCACAAACATCCACCATCAGCTGGATATGAATGGGTCTGCAGCTGGAGGACAAATGACACCAGATGGTCCCTGTCACTGTGGACAGGCAGCACTGTCCGAGCCAAGCTGATATTCAACTGTGGCTGAAAGCAAGGGAAGCTAGCACACTCATGTCTATACAGCTTCTGAGGATTTGTTTTTTTTTTACTGTGATTGTCTGTTTAATGGAGATAAATGCAGCAGCCTCTGAGTATTCATTTCAGGTTTAGACATTAAAATTGTGTATTAGAAATAAACTGATGTTCATAAAAAAAACTTGAAAACAAAGCATGTGTTGTGCCCACTGAGCTCTCTGCTAACCTTTCAAACAAAAAGTTTTCCTGACCTTTTTTTTAAATATGATTTTTGAAGTTCTGCCATAACTTTGAGAATCATATGAAAAAAGTTGTTTGGTTTTCGCAGTCTAAATTGGGTTTTACTGCGGCAATGGTCCGGTGAACAGGAACAAAACAAGCCGGCTGGCAGAAAATTATAGAGCAAAAAAGCAATATGTGGAAAAAGATTTAAGACAGGATTTGATCGGAAATGAAAAGTTCCTATTACAATGAAGGTTATTGACTTGTTATTGATTCTTTTTAGGATGACTCACTTTTTGTGAAATATATTGCTGACTGTTTTATGACTTTTAGTTTAAGACACAGACCAGGTCTTGTCTATGAGGTAAGCCCTTCAGTGGGTTGATCAAATAGAGACCTGAAACATAGTTTTACATTGGGATGCTCCTCACTCTGTCAGGTTTTAAATCTGCATAACAACCTGCTCCTATGCATTTTCCTGCTTATTACCCAACTCAAGACATAAACAAACGAATGATAAATACTGATTCTACTAAAGCACTATTTTCAGCGTTATTGTATGCTCTATTTGGAAACATAATACATTGTTAAGCCTTTCTGTGGTCGACTTCCTGCTAAGTTGGATATAATTGACAGTTGTGCTCTCTCTGTATGCGACTAAGTAACATGGTTTTAAAGTTTCCTGTGGCTTTTGGGCTTTAGGCCAGTTTCAGTCTGATTGAGCCGTAAACAAGGAAGAGAAAATCGATCCCCTACTCCATTATGGTCTCCCGGTGTGTTAGTATAACTATAAGGAGTTGGGTTTAGTGCAATTTCAGTCAGACTGATGTTTTTATTCGTTTTTTCAAAATCCACTTTCAGTTAGACTAAGACAATAAATCTGTTTTTTAACATGTAAACTTGGTGACTGACTGACTGACACATCATAGACCCCATTAGCTGATCGTAACACTGCTGGCAGAAGATGACACAAGGGTTGTATCTGAGAAAATTGAACTTTTGGTGGACTTAGCTAAAATTACCTGGTGGTCAGGTTGGTGGAGTTGTCTCTGTCTGTTGAGGGTAACAGCCTAGTTTCCTGTATGGCTCACTGGCTGCTCTTCCACCAAAAAGAGCCTGACTAGGATTCAGGATATACATTTATCATACAATTATACAAGTATGTCATTCAATCGCACTACAAAAAAACCCTCTAAAGGTTATCTTATTAATTTGAAAAAATGATTTATTCATAAAGCAGAATAAATTAAGTCTCTCAGATTGCAGCACTTCCAGGCTAGTGGTTTAATCTTGTCAGTCTGCTTATAATACAAACACATTTTTGCCACAGTGTCAACAGGCAGAGGTGAAATGTGGCAGATCTCCTTTTTATGCGCTGATTTGATTGATGAATGTAGTCAAACAGATTACTTACAGTTGATGAGAACTAATCACCTCTGGTTCAATCAATCAGTATTTATCATAGTTTGGTGATAAAATAACATAATCAGACCTTATTGGACTAATTAATACACGTAACAGCATAAACATGACTTTTTTTCATGTTCCCCAAATGCTGACGGTAGAAAATTTTATTAGACGGCAGAAATCTGTTTTGAACTGTATATTGAGAGGTTTTGGTGAGGGTGCTCCCAATTTTGATCATACTACTGATCATAAATATAGTTGTTTTTTATGCATGTCTATGCGATTCAGTCAGTGTGTGCCATGTTGTTTAAGCATCTTTTTCTGATGTTGGCCTTAAATCCTGTCCTCTCATGCCCACTCATACTCCTTTATCTGAAAAAACATACAGGATTCACTACAGTACCTTTGCCCTGAAGACCACTGTCTGATTTTCATGCATGTTACACCCATGCAGGGGAAACACGGAGCAGAGGGGCAAAGAAAGAGTGAATCCAACGCACCAACCTCCCCCTCATACCACTGCGTCACACACTCAATTTCCTTCACTCACTTCCACCTCCATATTCTTCACTCCCTTTCTGAGCAGGCATTTCATTAGGTGCAGGTCTCCAATTCATTTCTATTTTTTCAAGATGACTCTCCTCTGAGCACTGATTTCTTATTCCTGACTGTAGAGTGACTGCTGCTCCACACTTAATATTTCATGGAATACTGAAGTTTGAGACAAAATCCAACTATTCCTTTGTCCCGAAGTCATCAGTGCTACATTGGCATAAGGCGAGGATAACTCTACAACTCCATGTCCTTTGAACTACTGTAAAAAAAATAAAATCTTATTTCAAGCTTTTTGAGGTGCAGGATTTTCACATGATCTTGACGTTGATACATATATGTAAATCTATGCATATGTCTTTTGTTTAATTAAACTTGGATGCAAACAACATGGTGTCACATGCACTCTAAAAATTGTTCATAATGCAGAATATTCTGCATACATTGGTTAGAGACAGATGTGTGCTTTGTTGAATGAGTCTTTGATATATGCTAGCATTAAGAAAAAGGCAGCACGAGCCTTTAAAAAGACGAATGATCTGACAGTCCACAGTGTACACTGGTCTTCATTACATCCAAAATAAGTGCTGTATTATTATTTATTATTATCTCTGCCTCAACCTTCTTAACTGTATTTAATTTCTATCCAGGTCAGGTGAGATTATCTCAGCAGGTGGATCTAATGATTGTTATTAATAGAGGATTGCCATTTTAGGTCTTTAGCACAGCAGGTATGTAACATAATACTAAAAAGGCACAGATGTTTTAATGATATTGATGACAGCTCATTTACATTTATACAAAGCAGTGAGTCATGCTGTGTCCCAGCATGCACAAATGTCCTAAATCAACTGAGGAAACTTATCCGAGGCGTATTGCGCTGCTCTGTAGCTGCAAGGTGGAAAACTCAGTGAACTCAGCTTGAAAAGGACACAAGCTTTAATATACTTCCGTCAGTTGATTTAGAAATGTTGCATGATAATAGTAAATCAGAAGAGAGGTTAGGATGGTAAACGCAAGACAGGTGAAATTTTCCTCTCAAAACGATAAAGGGATTGCTTTAAATGTTTAAGTCACAAGTCAGCAGATGAGAGTTATAGAAGAGCCAGCTAAAAAAACAAAACAAAAAACAGTTGTTTAACAGTCTAATAGTGTGAAATGTTGTTTAAATAGTGAATTAAGTTTGGTACAGCTTAAGCAGCTGGACTCAGATCATAAATTCATGTGAGAACTCTGAAATAAAAACATATAAAACACATATAAACACAAACAACAGGTCAACATACCTAACTGAGGTTGATTCAATGTTACTGAATTAATATTATTACCTGATTTTTAAGCTTCTACCATAGGTGATAATTAGACACATATACGAGTTTAAATTTGTTCAATGCTTTAACTAAGTTCTACCTTCTGATATGACTAACTCTCCCACTGAACCACAGCTGCCCCAAACAAAGCTACAAACTTTAATGAAAAGATATTATGAAACTTCCATACAATCTTCATTGATCCTAATCCTGCATAGTACTTTAAAATACTTGGAACCAGGAGGATGGTACTCATGATAGGGTACTTAAGCTAAACTGATTGGATTACGGGGACACACTTGAAAAAGAAGGAATTGGAATCACTACCCAGAGCACACACATCCAAATGAAAAGCAGCCATCAATAAAGTTGTTAACTACACTTGTGTTAGACAAGTCAAGATATTGGCCTGGAGAAAGGGCTTTTCAGTTGGTAGCATTGTATTGACTCCAGGGAGAATCCCATTTGCCCTTTTTTGACCCGGGAATTGATCAGTTCCACATTCACTAAGGAGGTAATTCTGCTGTTCCGGTTGAGTGCTGAACTGATGAAGGACTAGGCTGATAACCAGGCTGGTCTGTAGACTTCATGAGTCAGTTGTGTTCATGCTGGATTTTAATTTTTCAGAGTACACTGAAAAACACCAAATACTTTCATTTAAAACAGTCTAAATTTCAGTTAGGTGTTTTACTCAGAGGGTGTTATGTTGTAATAAAGCTGCAGTGGAAAGTATCATTCATATTTAGGCCATCCTTCAATGAAGCAAGCTTGTCAGGCAGTCTATAAAATGGTATTCAGCTCTGAAGGAAATTTTTTGGCATTCTTACAAAAGCCTGAGTACTATTGACAACCTGAAGAAGCAGGGAAAACCCAAATTAAGAGCTTGTGAAAAACATCTTCATTCTGTCATATCTGTCATTTTCCCTGCTTTCAATGGTAAGAAAGCACAGAAAAAGAGATATATGGTAGATGAATGAATAAAGGGCTTCAGCTGCTCTGTAGATCTTTTGATTTTGAATGTTGTCCTGTTTATATGTTTTGGTCTTTGATGATGTTTATAAAGCCTTTTTCTGTGGTTCACAAGACCTCTCAAGAGTGTTTTTAACATTACATGTCAAACTCACACACTGATGGCAGGAGCTGCTATGTAAAGCATCAACCAGTCTTTGACTAATCACATTCACACACTATAGGTGGAGTAGGCAGGTCGGGTCACGTGTCGAGTCCAAGGGAAGTTTGGCATATGAGCCTGGTAAAAAAACCCCTCAACTTACAAGACAGCTACCTCTACAACTGACCCCCATGGCCAGATCCAGAAGAGGACAGATCATCTGTTCATTCCTTTAAATGGGAATGGTACAGGTGTAAATATGGCTGTGTAAAAATGAATATAATAATATATATATATATATATATATATATATATATATATATATATATATAATATATGTTTGGTGGATGGATGGATGGGTCAAATCATGGATGGATGGATGGATGGATGGATGGATGGAGAAATTGAGAAATGTTTGCATGTATGATAGATTGATGAAGATGGTTGATAGATTGATAGTAGATAAATGGATTGTTTGAATCATGAACAGATAATATATGGATGGATGGATGGATTATAGAGAGATGAATGGATGATGTACAGTATGTGTGCATGTACAGTATGTATGGGTGGATAAAATGGATGGATGATAGAGAGATGGATGGATAGATGGATTGATTGATGAAACCATGAATGGATAAAATCATGTCATAGATGGATATAGATAGATAGATAGATAGATAGATAGATAGATAGATAGAAAGATAACTTTTTATTACACTGTCAAACCTGTGATGACACAGTATGGTATGGGACTGGTATATGGATAACTGTCAAAATAAAGTTGTGTTTCCCTCAACGACTCTTTACAGGTGTTACGCCCCACCCTTAGGCGGCCCTATGGGGCTAACAACTATCCTCAACTTTTTACCCATCAAATTAAGAAACACCTTCAAAAGTTTAACAAGTGATTTAATGTGACAACATAACAAAATTGCAAAGTAAACACAAAGCACCCACAACACAAATGAGAGGCAGCAGGGCAGCAGTTCCCCACCAAATGCCTCTCCAGACTGCAGGCAGCTCTGGGCTTTTAGACTCCCAGCACCAGGTGAGTCTGATTGTCACTCAAGTGATTTCACCTGGGCAGCTATGGAGAGACAAAAGGGGAAAAACACATGCAAAACAAACACACAGCCGTAACACCCCCACCCTTAAAACAATGAATAAATCATTTGTACTGCAAAAATAAACACCACAATTGCACACCATAAATCCAAAACAATACAAAACATTTATTCATTGAATTAAAGTGCATTGTGTCAACTATATTAACACAAGAAACTAACTAAATGGGTGTTACTCACCAAGGCTGTGTGTTACAAAACACACACCACTGCACAAGCTTAAAAAAAAAACCCTTCACTATTTACCCAAAACTGAAGACAACCACTGCTGACAAAAAGGTGCAAAATGGGTCGTGAGGAACACAATCTTAAATTAGGGCCAAGGAAGATGCTGCAACCAAATTCAAGAGCATCCATCCCAAAAGTAGCCAATTAAGTGGGTGCCACTCCCACAAAGCAAAATGGCTACTACCATGAGGTTTACACAAACAAAGAGCAAAACACTAAATTTGCCAATACCACACACAGTAACAGATGTCCAACACTAAAGTGGAGTGAACAGTCACACACACAAACGGATCAACAAAAGTAGTAAAACTACAACACTGCTGTCATTCACAAACAGCACACAGAGATCCAACAAAAGGTGACTGCCACCACCACAACACAAATGGACACAAGTCTTCAAAAGACACACAAGTTACTGTGAGAAGGCTGGCAACAAGCCAAACGAACGGAACATACAATTAGGTATACGAAACAGTAACACACAAGTGACCCACCAAATGTGGACTGCAAACCACTACACAAAATGGTCACACAGTAGTCACTACTACACAACTGTTGCCACCTTACACCTAAGATGCAACTCACACGTGACCCACCAAATGTGGAGAGCAGTTACCACCAACGAATGGTCACACAACACAAGTTACTGCACACAAAATCCTAATTGTTATCACCCAGAGTGACCAAGCAAAAATGGGTAGTCTTCTGAAACACACAAAAACAAAAACAGTACTATAGAACAAAACAATTTCAGAGCAAAATGAGTCACCCCAACCCCTACCTGCTTAAGATGTCTGACTTACCTAACTAGTCTTCAGTGGCTTGCCGAGCTCGAGGCATCACCTAAGTGTGCCCCCTCCTCAGGATTACCACCAAAAATAAGAAAGGCAAAATAAAAAAGTGGCAAGTTCTTCCCTGCCCGGCGACTAAATAATCAGGGTGTTCAGAAGTTACAAAAAAAAGCAACTACTTATGATCGTGACAGAAACAGAAGACTAACAAACCCAAACTATGGTCACTAGTTACGAAAGGAAAAAAAACAACTTCAAAGAACCTCATGGATGTTCGATCCCGGACGAGCCCCCATTTGTTACGCCCCACCCTTAGGCGGCCCTATGGGGCTAACAACTATCCTCAACTTTTTACCCATCAAATTAAGAAACACCTTCAAAAGTTTAACAAGTGATTTAATGTGACAACATAACAAAATTGCAAAGTAAACACAAAGCACCCACAACACAAATGAGAGGCAGCAGGGCAGCAGTTCCCCACCAAATGCCTCTCCAGACTGCAGGCAGCTCTGGGCTTTTAGACTCCCAGCACCAGGTGAGTCTGATTGTCACTCAAGTGATTTCACCTGGGCAGCTATGGAGAGACAAAAGGGGAAAAACACATGCAAAACAAACACACAGCCGTAACACAGGTCAACCGCTGATAACCTTCTCTTCTTTTTCTATGGCCCTCCCTGATTTATCTGTCCTGTCTTGCAACTTAACCTTGGAAGTGTTCCTGATGATGCCTATTTTTGTAATGAGCCGTGAAAAAGTTGATAAAAGAAAACATAAAGCATTATTGATTTCAGCTACAGAGCTCTGAGTTGTTAATGGTCAGAATGCTCCATTCGACATCTAAGTTGTAGATCACAGGCAAAGACGCTGTGAAAGACCACTGAGGGCCTTGTCAAGAGTAAAGCTAGCAGATGGGTGTTTATGATTGAACATTATTCCAAAGCACCAGGACCACATAAAAGCATTATCTACAAGCTTGGCAGACATCTACATCTGGATTCATTCCAACATAGAAATAGCTGTTCTTAGCCTGTAAGCCTGTTGTACATAACAGTATGTTGATTCCAGATGGAGATCAGACCCAAAAAAACGCTGCTAATCTTTGTCATGTTGACACCAAGGGCTGTTTTCCTGTTTTCAGGTGACAAGCTTTTATTCCCCTAAACTTCTTTTGTGATGTTGAATAACTAAAAAAAAAGAAACGTTCAAATAATGAGGTGATGTGTTTGGATTTACTCTTAATTGATCCCACAGCTTCCACCCCTGAGGCTGATACAGTTAGCTTTTCTAAAGACACATGTTTTTGACACTACTACTCTTTTAAAAGGAAAGAAGATGCACAAACTCTCTCACCTGGAGACCAAAGTTTGTGGACTTCTTTTGTAAATTGTGCCACTTTCAAATTTAATGTTGAAAAGTTTGGTGCATCTTTTATATTAATAAGTACTAAGTATAGTTCTTGTTTGACCCAAAACCATAACTCTAGCCAAGTACTAAATCTTACCAAGCTGTGAGTCATGGTTCACTGGAATATGGAGATTTATTTATCCATTAATGTTTGTGTAGAGTACTTAGTTTGTAAAAAGTCACCATTTAAGTCAAGACCATAATCATAAACTGATTTGGACATGTTTTTAGATATCTAGCTTAAGAGGGGACACATTATGAGATAACTTGGTGGATTCTGGACCCCGTCTGATAGTTATTATTTTGACTGATTTTCCTGTGGTGTGGGGTGTAATCAGATGGATTTTTTCATCCCCTGATTTACTTAAAGAAAGATGAGGGCCACAGCATCCAGTACGTTCAACATTAGAAACCAACTCCTGTTGGATGTTTGCAAAGTATTGTGTAGCTTAGCAAACATCCTGTCATCCTGTTTGTTTCCTCTAAAGTCTTATCTTACTGACATTTTTAAGATCAGTTTGGAGAGTCAGGCTTGTGGTTGTCAGGACAGAACTGAATGCATTTGTGTTTGGTGTCCACTCACTTTTAGAAATCTGTTATATGTTATCAATTGACATCACATCGAGGATCTCTTGCATTTTTAACACCTGTTAAGATTACAAAAATCTCCTGGTAAAGTTTTTTCTTTTCTCCAACAACCTGTTTCTACTTAGATTAAACAGTGCACTTACATTTGGTGTTTAAAAGCAGCATATGAACATTTCAAAACATTTGTATTTGTATGCTACAAATCTAGTTTTAGGAGCATCTACATGTTTAATCTTGCTTTGGTTGCCAGTGTTAACTACCATAAGCATTTATGCATATGTCCATGCATATCAGCAATTCTTAACATGTCCTTTTGGGAGACATAATATTTGCTATTGTTAATCAATAAGCACTCCAAAATGTCTTTATTCAGAACGTGCTTGTGATTGAATCAGCTGTTATACACCGTTTATGAAAGGACGATATTCTGCTCATAGAAGTGAGGCTTTCACACGTTTCACAAAATGGTTTTCACAAAAACATCTACTGTAATGTGACTTCACAGCCCAAATAACGGGCTGTAGCACTGTGATTCCCTGCAGTAAAAGCCCTACTCCCTTGTTTTGTTGACTGTGACTATTATTGAAGTCCGATAGCCTGAGCAGTGAGTGGTGCTTGTCAATAGCTAAACAAATTAAAATACCCCCTTCTTGCCAGGTTACCAAAGAAAAGGTAAACAAACAAACTTCATGGCGATATTGATGAGACCACAGGTCAAACGCCAGTCTGAATTTATGAGTCTGCTGGGGGAGCATGTGGGTGTTTGAGTGAGTAATCGGTCTAGACCCAGGCAGTAAGTCATCAATGAGCAACAGAAAACTGAGCATTTAGTAGGCCCTAATAAATCACTTCTTACCGCTGCCATTCATCGGGTATTATATTTTAGATCACTTTGAGGACATTCAGTTTGTTCTTTTTGTTCTTTTTGTGAATGTTCCTGTTGGTTTTTGCTGAAGTTAAATATTGACAATGTTTTACTTGGATATTCATCAGATGATTTTTTAATCAATATTTATCAGATCCATTGACAAGAGATGAGATTAGCCCTTAATAACAGCTTAGAGTTTATTACCTCAAATGTAGCTGTATTATATATTTCCTCAAGAATATATTTTTCAAGGGGAGGATATGATTGCAAAAAAATATATATCAGATATATTTATCAGAGAATTTTAATGAATATTTATTGGATCTATTGACAAGAGATGAGTTGGACCATAGACTGTAGATATAATGGATGTCATATGCCCCCTTACTGGGTGAAGCCTCCTCAAGAACAGCACCCCCTGGTGACTGGTTGCAGTATAGGCCATAAACCCCGCCTCCTCTAATAAGATGAATGGTGGGTTGGTTTGGGGACTGTTTAGGCTGGTACTGCTGCTAAGACTTATGTCCCTGCCCTGATTACAGACTCCATGAGATGAGGGAAGACACAACAGATTAACAGAAGTGATGTTAAAACATAAGACAACCTCTCTTCCTGACTGACTGCTGACCACTGAGGTTTGCTGTATGCTCAGCAGGCCTTAAATAGTTGAGCAACTAACTTACTTTTGGCAGGTGCAAAATGGTAACTGTGCTTCAGAAAGAGTTTGTGATCCAGAATAAAAGATACAGTCTTCTCAATGCATGAGCATGCTTTTTAAAATGAAGATAGAACACCACTGCTATTGTTTCTGTACCGATTTGCATATTTCTCTCGGCTGACTAGGAGATAAAACACAAAATAGTGCGTGAAATGACAACAGCAAATATACTTTGACTACAGTAAGATATACTGCCGAGAGAGTTTGAATGTGGAACAGATTTTCTGTAGCTGATTAAATGGATTTTATGAGGCTTGTGAAACTGCTGCAGAGTTGATGAAGGTAAAATGGAAATACAAGGAACAATCCCAATGACTGAAATCTCAGCAAATCCAGCCTGTGTGTCACCAGTGATGCGCACCAGCTAATCTTGCTACAGCTACAGCATCCTGATATATAGTCAGGGGGATTCATATTGACTTTTAGGGAGAGGGTATGCTATTCTTTTTGCAGCTCAGGATATCAAGACCTAAACTTTACTGCCTTTTAATTTAGCAACGCTCCATTTACTTGTCAGTTTGACTTACAGTACTTCTTCTGCCAAACAGCTCACACCATGCATGACAGGCAACGTAGAAAGTAATGCTTAAGCATGGTGTGGCCCAAAACCTATTGTGTTTAAATTCACTGACAAAACAAAAGGTAAATAATATATTTCGACAAAGTGGTGTGCTTTGGTCCAATGCAGTTTGGTAAGGTCTGGTATGATTCTGCTTGCATCCCCACAGCCAGTTGTACTCTTGTGTTTTGGCAGCATTTTGACTCAGTGGGACAAGACCCTGATCCTAAGTGCAGGGGAATCTTGCTTCTTCCTGCCAGGATCCTATTTTGCATAACCACCCACAGCTGCCTCTTGCTAATTATAGAGCAGCTCACTAGTTACCTGGCCACCATCCAAATATACAACCAAGTTCACACGATGTGTTGGTTAAACTGATTTGACAATTATGCATTTTTACAGATAAAAATGCCAGCCTTCCTTCACTTTTTACAAAGCAAAGCCTCACAATGAGTGATAGATGTTGTTATGCAAAGACACCGGGTTAGGGTTTGTCTGAAAAACACAGCTTTCAGATGAGGTATCAAGTTTGATTTCATCCAAATCACAGTCTTGATATCATCCATCTTCACTCTTTTACATATCAAATATTTTCATTCACAGTAAAATCAAAATAGAAGTGTTGTTCTGTTGCCATCGTTAGGAGATGTATAAGGTCTTCCTCTTCAAATATTTGTGTTTTCCTGTTGGCATTTTCTTTTCACTCAGTTTTAACACTACCAAAGATCATACTGTGTTGTTTGTTTTTGCTTTGTGTCTGCTTTCTATAATTTAGTCTAAGTCTCCTGCATTCAGCTTTCATTATTTATTATTTTATTTCCTTTCTTTATCTATCTTCTGTTGTCTGGTCAGCCTTCAACCACAAAGTTTTGTACTCTCCTAGAAAATTTAGAATAATTTTGAATATCCTCCATGCTGTTTTTCGATGTATCACTTTTTTTCCAGTTTATCAAGAGGCAAGGCTGAATCATAATAAACTTCATGCTGGACTCTCTTCCATTAATCCACTTGATATGAAGCGTGTGAGCGGGTTGTCTCTGTAATAGCTGCTGCTATACGGTTTTTATGACCAGAGTCAAGTATTCAACACCAGCAGGTGATTAGTACGGTTCGTATTGATGCTTTTTAACTCAAGTGAGATGACTTCGAAATGTTTAATAGTTTAAGTATTTTCCCATCAAAGCGGGTGAACTGGCTCTGTCAGTGACCTGCTTTCAACACAGCTGTTATGGTAGCATATTTCATTGTTTGCTTTCTCTTAGGTGTTGGTGTTTCGTCAGGGTTCAGACATCACCCAATGTTATTATCACACAGGTAATTAAAACGTTAGGCCCAAGTGCTTAATCAGTTTGTAATGCAGTTAGAAGAGTAGTCCTCCAAGACAGCAAATGTTTGTGTTGTTTATCACCAGCAAAGCTTTTAAACCACTTACTGGACGTGTATGATAGAGGGACGCTCAACCCTGCCGACTGACCTCTGACTTGCTGTTCTCAAAATATATCTACACTCCACACAGAGAGGGATTGGATGGGATTTAAAGAGGAATCTGTGGGAGGATTTTTTCCCCCTGCAGGCTTCCAGTGAAGTAAGTGAGTGTCATAAGAGTGTCACCAAAGGTCTCCATCTGTTTACAATGTCAGACTGTTTTCACACTTTACAGCAAAGAGACCAGATCTCAACCTTGCTTCTTTATATTTTATTTAAATCCGCAAAAGTTCTTGGCAAAGTAAATATCCTTGGCTGTACATCAGACTTTGTTTGGCTAAGCCGGAAGAGGGGCAGAGAGATGCATGTGATTCATACACATTCACATTCACTCATAGGAACAGCATGCCTTACTTACATTTCTGAAAAAGGACTGCAGCACAGTGGCTTTTGCAGCAAAGGACAACGTTTTATTTGTCAGACTTGGTGTTATATTGTCCTTGATACAAAAGTCAGAACTATACAAAGAGCAAGAGAAACACTTTGAAGGAAGTCGACAGAAAGTAGGAAACTTTTAAATGCACAGTGTACAGAGAGGACTATGGTTACTAAGAAACCCCGCCAAGATGCTTTCCACATCTAATTCCCAACATTGTCTGTGGCCTGAAATAATCAGGCAGTAAGGCTGAGAATAATAAGTGCGTTCAGAATAATTCACATGATTACAGTAAAGTCCTTTCATAGAGTAGCACAAAAGTCTAAAGCAACTGATTACTGGAGAGGAGGGTACAGTCATCATACCTAATGAAGTGAGTCTGCACTGCAATTTGAAGGGCAGTGCTGCCTACATCAGGAACTTCTGAAGAACTTCTTACTTCTAAATGATTTCAGACTTCATCAGTGAGGCAAATTTGTGCATTAATTATCCTGCAAATGTATTTGATACACTACTTTAATTACAGTGTGATTCTGGCAAACAAAAAAGGGAACTTGGTATTTGTAAACCAGAATGAAGGCTTTATCTCAGAGGTCCTCAAAATCTGATCTGTAATCAACTACTTCTGCCTCAAACTGAGCTCTGTCTCTGCACTACACTCACATCGACATCACTGATGTCCGGAGTGCAGTTCTTGTGTCTGTGCGGGTTAGAAATGAGTAATAGGAAACACTCTTGAAACATCATGTTGCCTAGAAACACCAGCACAACTTCACTACTTCATTATAAAGTCAGTTATTTCATTTAGCATGCAATCAAAAGTTTAAAGCAAGTCATTAAGACTCTTTAATATCATTTAACTAAAGTAAATAAATAGACACGATGATTGACTCCATGTTGTCACCTTCAGTAATCATGTATGTGTTTTTGTCCATCATGACCATGTATTTGGTTCAATTCAAGGCTGATGTGAGGGTTTTTTTTTTTTCTTTAAACAAGCTGAAATAAACAATAATGTCTTTACTGACCCTCAAAGGCAAACAGGACCATCAACAACAAGACTGATAAGGTCTATATTGCAATTTTAATATCTGTAACTGCTGCAAGGCTCAGGTGTCAGACCATACGATGGACGACACTCTAGAATAACAGCCTCGCTTCACTTTCTCACCAGCAAATATTCACAGTGAGGGAGTAAAGCTTTTCAATGTCAAATTAAAGCATAGTAAGATATTTTTGGTTGAGAAGCATCAACGGGGTAACCAGATTCTATATTCAGATAATATATTCAGAAGGATCCACCCCAAGGTCTGTAAGTTAACTTATTCCCCCTGTCTGATTTTGTTCCAACACTGTCCTACAAAAAAGTCGACGATTAGGCCTTTTAGACCTCCAGTCATCTCCTTCTGGATGGCAGAGACTTAAATCCAAGATGCCACTGGGGTGGCTTGACATGGGCTGGCTGCCAAATTGGCAAAGGATGTTTGTGACCTGACCTGATCTGCAGTTCTGGGACAGAAACTGATAATTTTTTTTACCTCTGACAATAGTACAGTACTCTTGAGAATAAAGAGTCAAAGAGTTTGCATAATTTGCACACCTTTTTTTGGAGCCAACAGTCTGAGCTGGGCATGCCTTGGTTAACAATTTTGTCATTAATTAGTAAATTTTACATATTTATTTATTAATTATATTATTTTGATTATTAGTGAACTAAACCTTTAACTTCTGTTTGATTTTTGCATCAAAAACTGCATTTCACTTTATCTCCTATCTTGAGCTTTGGTTAAATGTAGCCACACTTTGAACCTCTTTGCGTGCTCAGCCATTGCCACAAATGACCACTACAGTTTGTCTGTATGGACTTGTACACCTGTTCCTGTTCAAAAACTCTATCAGTCTATTAATCTGCAGGCACCTATGATTCAGTTAAAACTGCTGAAAGTTTGACTTCAGCAGTTTTAATATTAACAGTTCATTTTAGACAAAAGCAAAACCACTGTTACTTTACTTTACAGTAAAATATTTTCATAACAGCGGATCAATACCCTCTTACTCCGCATCTGTCAAAAATAAGTTGTATTGAACAAAGGAAAGTTGTGTTAAAAAGAAGAGATGTTGTCTTTCAAAAGCCACATCTTTATAACAGTGGATGACGGTGCAGGACATTCCAAAAGAAAATACTCTCACTTTGGTCCAAACAAAATAAATCCTCACAGTGCCTTCGGGGTTGACGTTAAGTTATACAAACAGGAGCATTAGTAACTAATAGAGAGCTATGCTTAGAGGAAGGTTTTCAAAGTCTAATATTTTGTCAAATTATCTAGTTTTCCCTGAAGCAAAAGTTGAACTTTCGGATATACAGTTCACTCATTAGCAATATCTCAACATTTCTACTCTGTTATTAAGATATTCAAAGGTTTTCACCAATAGCTCTGTTATTGCAAAGGAAACTAACATAATATAAAATGCCCTCCTTGAAGGTGCTGTGGTAATGAGGTATGTATGAGCTGATGGGAATGTCAGTCATCATGTGTTTTATTAGCAGAGGTCACAGTTAAAGGGACTGCCCTCACTGTACTCATTTAACATCCTGTCCCTGCAGTGACTACATCGTGAATTGACTTGACAGTAATGAACATGACCTATTTCAGTTACACACATGCAGGCGTGCTCACACAGACACACTTGTACCTTTTCCCTTATGCTTTCATTTCAACTGAAACTTTGACACTAAATTCAAACCAAAGTTCTCAAACAAACCATTACTCATAGGAATGTAAAAATAAGTCCTCACTCTGAAACGACAAAACATGAACTGGGTTCAACCCCTTAAAAACACAGACATAGCAGGAAATAAACCCATAATGCCAGAATAACCTTGATGGCTCAGTGATAACAGCCATGAGTCATGCAAATGTATTCTAGTTGTCTGCTGTTACTTTCAAGAAAACCTTTTTGAGACTCATTTCAAAGAGGAAAAAGTTCTTAATGGCTCAACAAGGAATGAAAATTGGGATACATCAAAAATGGTAGAATTGTAAGTACACATTAAAATACATGTGTGTTTTTTCTGTCTATCTGTGGATTGAAAGGGAGGGAAAGAAGGACAATTACACTGTAAGAAGGGTAGGAAACTTTTAGAGATAAAGAGGGGCACTGTCTTTAGAATGTCTTTAAAATTTTATTATAACGGAAGACCTGCCCCCCATCATTTTTCTGTTTTCAATGATGTGTATATAGATATATATCAATCTGAATTTGCCATTCTTTTGGAAATCATGGACACCGTGTCATCGGGTCTAAAGAGACCAATATGCCAGTTACCAGCAGCCTTAAAGCCATCATCATTCAGATGGTAGCTACTCATCTGGGCAAGAACCATTGATGCTTAACAAGACACATAGATTTTGGAGCAAAACATTCTGCTCCTTGGACCTGGAGACCTTGAGACCTGGAGATAGATTATGATGGGTTATGTGTCACAAGTGATGCGAGGCTGAACAGCCAGATTACCACGTGTCGGGTTACTTACGATTGCGCAATCTTGAAAAAGTTTTACAGGTTGGATTATTGATGCATTTGAAAACTAACTTGAGGAAACCTGAAGTCCATTAAACTATCTTAGGTGTATCTTTAGACTGTAGCAAATGTTTCTAAAATAAGAGCAGTGGGAATCAAATAGAGGTTCATCTGAGAGCAAATCATAGAACAACAAGGTTAATGCAAATATAAATTCTGAACGAAGCCCAGGGAAAAGTGTGTGCGTAATGTATTGTACTGAATTGAGAAGAATCATCAGCAAGTAAGTGCCTGTTTTTGAAATGAAAGGTAATGCTAAAACATTGTTTTGGTCACAAATCTGTAATTTTCAATTCACTAAATGTCATATCCTGTTAGGTTAGTTGACTGCTTAAGTGTGCGTCTGTTGCCTCTGAAAAGCAGAGGATGAAAAATTGTACATTCTTCCTCAAAAATCACGCTTTTTTTTTATAACAGGGCTAAATCTTCAAGGTTGCAGACTCTGCTTAAACCAGGTATGTGATTTTTCCAATGACCACAAATGAACAAGAAATCCATACATTTAATTTGTTGAGTGCATTTGAAGACATTTACCGTGTTAAAAATTACTGCAAGTGAAGGAGAGAGCAATGGGCTTGGCATAACTCATACAAAGATGAAATGGGATTACATACAAATGAAAAATAGAAAGAAAAACAACAACAGGGATCAACACTGAAACCCCTCTGCAGCCATCCTGGCTTTTAGCTGATTGTCAAGAACATGGGTAAGCAATCGCTATAAATCATTGTTCCTAACAGAGGTGTCTGAGTGATAAAGGCTCTTAAAATTCATAAGACAACCCTCCATGTCTCCTTTCCTCACTTGCCAGGAATCATTTTTGTAATTGCTAAAGCCTTGAGTCCAATTTTTTTTAATTTCTTGAAGTGCATCCACTGAACTCTACAGGCTCATGGCACGTCTCCCATGGATCGTTTCACCTACAGCCCTGAGCTTGAAACCATCTTAATCAGGCTTCCTGTATCAATATGTGTAATTCTAAGCACTCTCATCAGTCACAGCCTCTTCCCTTACAGCATCAGTAAAACTCTGGAGATTACAAAGCCAACATCTCATCCAAGAGTGTTCCTTTTTTTTTTTTCTTCTCCCAGGCTAAAAATGAGTTTTGGTGAGAAAAATTTGACTGCTAAGATTTTGTCCTTCGGCGAAGTAGTGTAGTGTCTTTTCTTTCTTTTTCCTTTCATACCAAAACACTTAGTTTGCGATAATATAGCCTCATGGTTAAAGCTGTAGACCGTTTAAGTGTTTTAATCTTGCTGTGGTGAAAGGAATCGTATGAAAATAATAATCATTTATTCAGTAAAAGTCTTGTTAGATTTGATGCTGTAGGGTTGTATTAAAATGTATTTGACACCAAGGTCTTGAGATTTCAGCTCAAGGTTGCATCTGTAATGCAATTAAAGTCATACTTCCCCAATAACATGCAGAAATTAAGTTCTTTTATTCTATAGGGGAAAAATAGCCGCTCCACTGTCCCATTACTCAAGGATGTTTCTGTTAGTCTCTGAGTTTAGAGGTGCACACAAAGGATTCATTTTTATCCATAGCTATCTTTTTCCACAGTGAAACATTTGGTCCAGCCTCAACTTCATTTCTAAAGCATTTTACAAACATAGAGGCATGCAGCCCAGAATCTTTCCTAAAGAAACAAGAGACTGAAAATTAGCTGCGAGAGTTATTGATTAAAAATGTAAAATGATAAAATATGTAGGGATCAATAACAAATAAAATAAAAAAAATGAAAGCTGAATTCAAAGTATTTTGGGGTTAAAAATGTGACTGCAAATTAAAAGCTAGTACCCCTTCAGTTTGGTGATGTTTCTGTTTTTACTTTCTGAAGCAGTCTTTATAAAGAAACGTTAAAAGCTGCTTTTTCAGCTTTGCCACAGGCTGCTCTTCCGAGTGACAGTGTTGCAGTGTGAAAATAGAGGGTTAGAGTTGAAAATCGGAGATTCTGATGGCTTAAAACTTTAAAAATGAGTTCCTTAAAAAAGCACCCATACTCTGAAAGTCTAGCATGACATTGGACTTGATCAAATTTGCAAATTTTGTCTGAAAGAACTGACAACTATCCATATACAATGTGTGTTGATTTTCAAAGAAGCTCAAATAATGAGATCAAGTCAGGTTGTTGCTACAGTTCAACAATCCTTTCATGTTACCAGCACCGATGCGTTCTCATTTGTTTACCTTCAATTTGCTTTTCATTAAGAAAACATCAAGCCAGTGATTGAAATTCCATTTAGCAAAAACAAGACCGCTTTCTGGGGGAGAGGAAATAACATTAAGAAGAAAAAGTACAAAATGTCTTTTAATGGTTTGTAATAAGGCAGAGAAGCTAAAAGCTATGCAATATCTATTTCTGCCTAAACCCATCTGCCCCCTGATCCATGACCAATCTGATCAGAGCAGCTTGAAAAATGCAAAATGTAATAACGGGTTTAAGCAGCTGTTTGCTTCTTGCATTGAAAGCAGAGCAGAGAGGAGCAGCAGAAGGGTTGGGTTGTGGATCTATTTAACTCAGCCTTCCAGCCAAAGGAAGTATTATCTTTAATAAGTCATGAAAAATGTGTATGAAAGGCTACCCACCCTCTTGGCCTTTTTATTATGAGTTTTCCTTGGAGTTGTGTCTAGTCCAACTCATTCTGCTGTGTCCAACATCTTGGTCATGCTCAGCTGTTGTCCACTCTGCCTGTGGCTCAGTTTAGTGATTTCTCCCACTTTTGTTGTCTGTTTTTCAAGACCTACAACTTATCAGTCATGAATTATTAGTGTTTGACAAATTAAACTGGCTGTTTTGTGATCAAAATTGTTTTTTTATTGTCTGTCATCCTTACCACTGGCTATGGACAGCCTAACTTGACGACCAATTCTTTTAACTCCACTAAAATACAACACAAGCTCCAATGATGAGACACACTTTTCTCTCTCTTTCACTCACAGAAAACTCTGACTTATTATTTACATGTTGTGTTTGCAAGTGTTTTGCAATTCAACAATCCTTACAAAGAAAGTTTCCTGGCAGAAAATCACAGTCCTGCGTGCTACGCTGCTTGACCTTTTGTTCATCTTTTGATTAAACAAAGGATACAACATCATCTGATATAAATTCATTTAAATGCAGTTTATTGAACCAGATTGCATTGAAATTGCCTGCTTCATCACGCATCTGTTAGCTGTTAAATTGTCAAACAGCTTTTGATTTAGAATTTGTTGTTAAAAGACCTCAGGGGGAGATCCTAAAGTCTGTAATGATAATCCGGCATTAGAAGCTGCTAGATGATTTAATATTGAGTAGATCCTCATGGTTTAAGTTGTGTAGTGAAATATAAGTCTGCTTGATGCACATGTTCTTTTTTTGGAGAGGGGCAGGAGTGCTGGTGCCAGAGCAAAGGTCAGTACATTACTGTTGTTGTTGCCTCACGGCTTATACATCCTGAAAAAAAAAAAGAAAAAACAGCGACAGAATGTGCTTTTGTGAGTATACTGCCAACCTGACCTCCCATGGACACAGCAGATGAGGTTTCAGCTGCTCTTCGGGGTCTCATATGCCCTCTGAATATTTTTTCAGTCTGAAGTTGGAACTTGGTTAGAGGACTAGTTCCACCTCACGATAGCAATACACAGCAGTCTACATCTCCACGTGCAAACTTCAACCAAAAATCAACTCTATAGCTACAAATAATGCTCAGAACAGCCCCTAACTTCATCAACAGTACATATAGGGTCCCAGCCATAGTACTAGCCATCAAACATCTTTTTAGCTTTGCCTGATTTCTTTAGCAAAGAGACTAAACACAACTCACCCACTCCCCTCCAGCAGCCACTTGTTTGTGGGGGAGCCCTGACGAGTCGATCACCGAGTGCAGCGGAGTTTCGTAGCTCAAGGAAGAACATCTATGATTATTACTTCATGGAAACAGAGTCAGAGTTCTTGTGTATCTTGTATGTGTACTGCAGACGCGGTAGTTCTTCTGCCTTAGCGTCTCGGTCTGATTGCATTTACATGAAGTAATAATGATCGACTCATCAGGGCTCCCCAACAAACAAGCAGCGTTATGGTGTGTTTGACCATAACTTAAAATTTATGGGATGTTAAGAAAAAAAACAAGTGAGGCTTAGATGATAATAACACACACTCTGTATTCATGAATTAATTTGATAACTAATATTTCCTAAAAATGAGGAGAATACCTGCATGTATCGGATGCAGGTTGCACTTCGTAGATTGTCAGTGTAGTCCACATGAGAGCCACAGTCACAAAGGCTCTTTGGACGCTCAGTGTCCATTCATGGGTCAAGAATTGCTCTCATGGATTTTCTCTGAGTGACACAAAAAACACAACTTCTCAAAAAGTATAATAGTTAGGTTTAAAACTTACATAACATGGTTTTATAAACCTTTTTATCAAGCTGGATAGCTGGAATATCAAATGACTTGTCATTGCAAAGAGACAGAAACTAAAGTGGGTAATTTTTGACCCTGTAATGCATTTGTGGGTGAAAAGGTTTCAGCATTGTCTTGCAGTGTCGCCTCAAAGTGCCACGCTTTCATCAAAGACCTGCCAAGTGTCTGTCGAAGGCAAACTTTGAAGTATAACCGAGGAGAGATTGAAAACAACAACAAAACAAGGAGATAGTGCTAAGTAGAGACGAGGTAAAACTGAAGGAATGGGAGTTTTTGGAAGAAAGAGAGTGACACAAAATGAGGGAGTAGAGGAGACGATGACAATCCATCACTGAAGGTACTCCCAGTGCATTAAAGGGTGACGTGAGTGATTACTGAGCGTGTCTGAACACTGAAGACCAGACCTTCGTATCCCCACTGTCTGATCTAGTGGTGAATGATGGCTGCTCCCCGGCAACTCTGGGGGGGACGCAGACCTCAGAGATAGTAATGGATAAATTCAACCTACCACCAGGTCGTAGGGTCTACAACAGCTATCCATCAACCAGAGTGAGTACAAGCATTTAGGTAGACACATTAAGACTAAAAGACAAAGTGATGAGTTTCTAAGAAGAGATATAAATGAATATGCTCAGCGGCAGATATATGATTATAATAAGCAGCATCCAGACAGCATGTACTTAATGTTCCTGTCATGAGGTTGATGAGAGGTCAGCTGGAGGTATAAGGAAGGTGTCTATAGATGGTTGATGGAAAACTACAGCCTGATGCAACCCCTAAGGTCTAGAGATCTTTTAGAAATGTACCCAGTATAGATCTAAGTCCTGGTAAGAGGGTCTGAGGTCCTTCTCTTTGAACCTGAGGTTAGGTTGGTTTTGGAGTATGTTTAACAAAGTTTCTATTTGACGTTTCTTTGTCTTTTTTTGTAGTTAAATTGGTACACACTGTTCTTGATGTTTATTGAGTGTATGCTTTATCATTTTTTAAATAATAAAATATAATTTTTTTAAGGCTATTGACATATTTGTTTAATTTTGCGACATGCTGCCTTACAGTAAAGGTATCCCTTTTTATGATCTGAAACTTTGGTAAATGGTGCAGTCAAACCACTTTTGATGTTTATTCATAATATTTCCAGCCCCAGCCCTAGTGAAGCTAGGTGGAACAACAACAACCACATGACACACACCCTGCCTGTTCCCCCTGCCTCTACTTGCAGGGAATTATCCTGAAGATTTGCAGCTATGTTCTCACATGAGCACTTTACTCAGAAATGATACCAGGGGGAGAGCGGGAAAGTGTGACACTAACTGTGACACTTTCTGAATATTTTCACTATGTGCATCTCTGAAAGTGGGGTTGACAAATGTGGTGTTAGAAAAGATAGTCACACTTCTGAGTGAGGCCTTTACAGCGTATGACTGAAAGTGATGTGTTCTGTGCTGAGCCTGTGTGGTCATGACATTGAATATTCACACATTGACTGTATATAGAATGGACGTTGTCTGCCTCCTCGCTGGGTAAAGCCACTGCGAGAATAGCACCCTCTGGTGACGGGCTGCAGTATAGGTCATAAATCCCACCTTCTCCAGCAATCCCTATGAAGCTGTGGACAAACTTTAGAAATTAATCACACAAAATATAATTTTTTCTCCTCCTGCTTGCGATGTTAAAATGTAGTTACTGTAAGACTAGTTTGTGCTCAATCCTCTTTTTTCTTTACAGCTCCGTTTTTAAAAGTTATTGAGAATAAGAATAAGAATAGAATGTCTGTTGTCCAAATGCGTACATTGCTACTGCGCAATGTTGGTTTCAGGAGGTAGAAAAAATCCTGGAAATACTGAGAGCAATTCGGCTTCAAATTTGTATAATGACCAAGTTGTCCATAGAATATACAGTCTATGGTTAAGACAACTCAACTGCCCCTTCAAGAATCTTTATTGTCTACACGTGTCTTGTCACGACCCACGTTTGATTTGTGAAATGTTGAACGCTGAGGTCTGACTTCACGATTTTAGCGTGACTATAACCTGGTCATGACTAACAATCGCCAACAACCAGTGAGGACTGCCAGGTGTCTTCTAACCCTGTCCCCCTTCCTTCCAACCTTCTCTACGATGGTTGTGTGTCATTGCTTAGCCTGTCATGACTTTGATGAGTATTCATGAGTTTCATGCCGTCCAATAGAGTTGAAATGATTCTATTGTAGGCAAGAGCCAGGGGAAAGGATCATTTTCCCCACTATGCAATAGAGCTTTTAACAGAGGACTGAATATACTGCCAGTTTGACCTCTTTCACCCAAGAAGAACTGCGCCAAAAACTGAAAAGATATTAAAACAGGAAGCTCCCAGGGAACAGAGAAGAACCCTGATCTACATGATCTGCAGTGGAAATCTGCTCCTTTTCTATAACTCAAATCAAACCCCACAAATCATTCGCCAGGAGCAGCCCCTCCATTGTACATTTCTGATACTGTTCAAGACTCTTTTCTTCACGCTCCTCCACTGAAATGTGTGCAGGGATTATGCTTCTCAGAGGGATACAGACAGAAACAAATTCCTTATTACAGTGCACAATATGCTGATGGAGTTCCCTAATTATGTTGTTGTTTTCCTTTTGAGCTCCCTTACTAATTCATAATCTTGCCCGTGGAACTGCTACAGATAAATGCTGGAGTCTCCAAGCTGGGGTAGTTAACACCCGTTTACTGAAACAGAGCTGGAGAAGAGCAGTGAGCTGCACCCGACGAGAACAATGCAGGCAGATGAAAGGAAACTTTTCACCTACGGGTAAAATATGAATAAAGTGGAATTTATTTTTAATTACAGTTTAGACTCTGCCAACACGGTGTGAAATGGTGTCTACTCAAAAGCAGTGTGATAGTTACAGCATGCCACAAAAAGGATCCTGGCCTGTGTCTGGAGTATGTTTGTCTCGTTTCATGTTTGTGTGTCAACATTCCTGTTGCATGTGTAGCCGTGAGCTGTGCGGTGGCAGCTGCAGAAACGAAAGATGAGGAGTGATGAAAAGAGCTGAATGCTGTGAAGTGCAAGAAGAAAATGAGGGTGAAAATAAGTTTACTGGGGCAGAAGTATCTCAAAGCCAACACCTCTGAACTATTTTACCTGAAAAAACTTTCATTTCCAGTTTTGAAACGTGACACAACCTGTTCATAACCTTTTCACCCCAACATAGGGGCCAAAATCAGAAAATCAAGACAGGATTTACCTCCTTTCATCGCATTCATAGTGAGGAAATAAAATTGTTGCTGGGTCGTAAAAAGTTTTACTTCTTTCATTTTTAATTCTTGTATTTCCTTTCAGTTTGTTTTCTTTTGCTGATCAAGAAGGACAAACATGTCATGACGGGGAAACAACACAGAATAATTAGACTAATTCTGGGCTTGATTTCTCCCTTAAAGCAAAAGTACAGAAACCCAATTTGTTGAAGAGTTTCAGGATCATTTTGCCAGTTCTTCCTGTGTTGTGAAGTACGTCACGACTGATTTTTGTCCCTGTATCTGCTCTCAGGATGATCTGAATGAAGGTGTCTAGGTTTGACAGTCAGGCTTTGATGGTGAATGGACTCTGTTTCTGTGTTCTTTTGGCCTCATCCTTGGTCAAACACGTCTCATATTTTTAACTTCTGTTAAGATTTTAAAACTCTTTTAAGTGGATCAGGCAGAGGCACAACAATAGCAAAGACAGCAGCAGCAAGAACAGCTAGTTATTTATATTTCTGCAGGATAACAAGGTCTCTTTTTCAAAATCTGAATTTTTAGAAGTGGTAAAAAAAAAAAATGTTACATAAGTATTCATACTTGCCAACCTTTGCCTCTGTTGATGTTTTACATTTTAAATAGTTGCAACAACTTTTCATAAAGCTTCCATGTGAAGTTTTAAAATATTATGAAACAAAATGAAATTACTTGTGATGACTCTTAACAACCTTCAAAAGCAAATTAGACAATTAGCATAAAAACTGACCATATCTGTATTGTAATTTTTAAGGCCTGGAACAGTTGTAAGGGGTGAGTGATAGCCAAGCTCAGGAAAATGGCTTGTTCCATGTACAGAGGATGGTCCTTGGAATGGGTGTCCTAAATTCAAGGATGAAGCATAACTGAAAGCTTCTTCCCTGACCCAGTCCCAAATCTAAGTTGTTCTTAAGTTCAGTGTGCTCAAAGCAAACACAAAATTGGCACAGAAAAGCACCATGCTGTGTACAAGACCCTCTGCATGGGGTCAAGTGTGTGCTCCATCGCTTGGCAAAATGCTATCTCCGAGTAAAAAGTCTTCTTTCACTCTGCTCTGATTCTGCTCGATTATGTCTGTTAGAGTAATAATTCCAAAGAAATATCCAAGTGCCAAGGAAAACAACTTGATTTATCACTTTTCCAACACTTCTTACCCTCATGCCAGGCTCAACACTAACACGCCTTTTCGTTACTGGGCAGTTTGCAGCCGTGAAACTTCTCTCCCAGTACTTCAGCACGACTGAAATGGCAGCAAACAAGCAGTGCTGTGAGTGTCCAGATTCTCTTGGCTTAAAATGTTTTAGCTCGCCTTATGTGCTGTTGCTTTTTTTTGTCCCGAAAAGCCTCTGGCTCAACGGAAATTATAGCGCTCCACAGAAAAAGCTGTCCCATATGAATTTTGCCTTTCAGTCTGCAGGAGGTGGCTGATGCCACAATCAATTGAAAGCTGTTTTTTTCTGTGCCTGATCTCTCCCTGTTTTGCCACTGACTAGAAACACTGGTGTGTGCTCGTCCAATCCAATCTGTTTGCCAGTTATTTGACTAACTAATAAATGACTGTCAAACTTTCCTTCACCGGACATTACTTTTGTTGGCCTTGGATAACAAACTCCACATGCCCACAAGAGGAGGACCATGCATACTCATGTTGTCGTGCCAACAGCTTGGAGCTGACCATGCAATAAAACCAAGGAGTTGACTTCTGGAGAGGACTTTTGGATTCCTGCAGAGTTCACAATTTCCAGCAACTTTAAATGAATAAAGACCATCTGTTCAAAAACAACAGCCAAACAATGCACTTTTTTTTTTTAGACAAAAGCAAAAAGGACCTATTTCAACGACACATGTCCTCCCTGCATAGCGCTTTGTCATGGAAGGTTGGACTGAGCATTGAATTGTGCATGTATACATCACCATGAAGAGATTAGAGTGAGTGGGCATGAGACCAGAAGGTTGCTCGTGTCTAATTTTACCAGTCTCAGGCTAAAGTTTTGTCTGCACCACAGAGCGGATAATTGGAAATTAAAAGTACAAAGCCTTTGAAGAGGAGAGCACAACTCTGCACACATAACCTTCAAATCCAGATATGGTTCTGTTGTTTTCACCAGTTCTGTTCACAGCATTATAACCCAGTTTCTCATTAACCAAAGAAAACTATTAAATTGTATTGCAATCACTCAGGGCCACTCTGATGTACAGAGTCTTTAATTTGTTTATCTTGTGCAAATGAATAAGCTTTACCAGTCTTCCATCTTTAAACTTGTGAGCTTATATCTAGTAGCAGTAACATGATTCACCAGTCAGATCCAAATTCTTCACCTGATATGAGGTGTTGAGAGTTTGCCGTTTTGCCAAAATAAAAAGTTAAATAGAAAGTTTAAATTTGGAACGGCTCTGTGGCAATCCAGTTTCTGTCTTACTTTAAAATTAACTCCCACCCTAAATTGGATTTATTCATTAGACATGGGGCTCCCTGTTATGACGCTGCAGATAAGTCAAAAAAGTGGTGATGTGCTATAACCAAGAAGGTGGCAAACATTACTACTGGCAGGTGAGTCTGTGGCTGCCAAAGTCCTTTATGAAATCACTAGAGCACAAACCGTCTGAGCTTGTTCTTCTGAGATTCAGCATCAAGATCCTGAATACATGCTGTTAGTACAAGTGGTGTCAAGGGGATTTTGATCTAAATATAGTATAATCTTGCTTGTTTTAATAATCTGAATCCCAAAGTGTGTTTTGTTGATTTGTAAGCATTAACAGGTCTCACTTTAAAACTTAAGCAGGTGTCCTGTTGCAGGAGACAATAGTTTCACTCATATTGAACCAAAACTCCAGAAAGTGCAAATGCTGACTCTTTAACCAGGGGTCCCTAGATGTCAGTGAGAAATCGAAATGATCTTGGAAGAACTGCACACGGTGTTGACACTGATAGATATTTTGCACATAGACTCTTGCATATTTTTAAATGTTAAACAGCGTTTTCCTTTGAGGAAAGAAAAAGAGGGAATAGGCTTTAAAACTCGAGAAAATATCACTGTAAGGGTCGCTTTAATTTATTAATATAAACTTAAAACTGTTTAAGCATGAAATTGAGATTAAAAAAAATATATGTACATTATGTGTACAGCCATTTTGTCTAAACGGTGCTGCCTGTTTTGCATAACGCTGACACTGCTACAGTCTAAAGTCATGATTAGACACTAAAAAATATGTGAAGGGGTAATAAATCGCACAATTTTCAGAAAAATAAAACATCAAGGTTTGGTCTTCCTTCAAGAATTGAATATTTTCAATCTAAGACTTGTCAGACATTTGTCAAAAGTGAGCCAGAAGAAAGGGCAGTAGCAGTGAGTGTGGCAAAAAGGAAGACACAAACATGTAGAAGACTTTTTCTGTTTCTGGGACCACAGTCAGTCTGGTTTTAACCACTTGGGCCCTGCTCTGCAGTGGCACCGTGGTTATAAAGACATGTGGACAGACTTTTTCTCAGAAAGAGAAAATAGTTTACCAATTGTCGGTGGTGCTTGAGGTTGAGGTCATTGGCACAGCTTTGAAATTAAACAGTCGCTCTCCACTTGTCAAAGACCTCAGCCATGACATGTTACTCTTGAGGTAACTTGGAGTGAGAGATCCTTGGGAGTAACAAAGATAAAGTGTCAGTTTATGATTGTGGGGACAGAGGATAAATGCTGGATATATAAAATAGAAGTCATGGGACGAGAGAGAAGAAGGCGAAGGCCAGGAGAGGATTGTGAAAAGAAAAGGAGATATAGCTGAGATCGAGAGGGTTCAGCAGAAAGAAAAGGATGATGAGTTCTTCGTGATTGTTTGACAAAGTCAGTGGCGAGGGGGCGGTTTCATCTTAAACTGAAAAGAACTGATTGAAAGAGTCTCTGCAAAGGCTTACATAAGAGAACTCTCTGCTGTGTTTTCATCCAGCCTTCCACCTCACCGGATACAGCAGTGTTTCTCTTTGTAGAGAAAAATGGTACGATGAATGCATCATTGCTATTAAATATTATGACCTCTTTTCAGATCCATATGTCCGTTTTCTGTTAATCTAAACAAAGTTATGCTGACTGGTGTAATTAATATTTACTCTGTTTTTATACAAAATTAAATACATGATATTCAAAATTTTCAGCATCTTCATCATTTGATTTCTTGACTTCTTCAGAATATTGTTATATTATTATATATTTCACTGATATTTCTCATGTTGAAGTTCTTACCTGAAACTTTTTGGTTTGGTTTACCTCACCTCCACCCCTCAGATGCACTTTTAGGCCATAAAATAATTATAGAAGTAGTCTGCCTTCTTCTGAAGGCCATGTTTGCCTCAGCAGGTGAGTTAATACCATCAGTACTTATTACAGTCTTTTCTGTAACCATCGTGAAATCCATGACAACAGCTTGAAATATCAGTATTAAAGGATGTTTTGGCTTTCTCACAAAAGGGATGTAAAAAAATTAATTCAGCTTGATTCCTTTTTTTCAACACCGTCAAATTTTACTCTGACTACAAGGGGAACGCCTCAAAAGTATGCCAAAGTAATAGTGATGTTCCAACAAAAGGTCCTACTGCGTTTTATTTCAGATTGTTGCAGTGCATTTCATCACTTGGTTGTACCCCTTTTTCTGATCATTTATCAAATTCTTTTAATGATGATGGGGCAACAACGGTGAGATATGTAGCTCCTGCTTTCTATAACTGACAAGCCTTGGATGCTGCTGCACTGTGACTGTCTTTTTCTATTTCACCTGTCACTGGCATGAAGCTTCACCTGCATACTTGATTTTATTGTCAGTGGGTTGCACGTACCTTCAAAACAAACCTGTCTTCTGCCTCGCTCAGTTTCTAATTGGATTTTATTTATTTCGTGTTTTCTACTGCAGGCTCTGAATGCAGAAACAAACAACATGAAAGAAGAGATCTAAAACAACATACCAACCAGTTCTAACCAGTTTAAAGTGGCCAGAATTTTAACAGAGTAAAGTGTCGAAGTAAAATTCATTCAGGGTATTGAGAGGCACTTTTTGTTCCTGTTGTTTGCATTCGGTTTGGCTGGAGATCATCTTCACATAGTCTGTCTTACCTATACAATATAAATGGGCATCGTGCTGAAATAGATTTGAGGTTTCGCTACTTCCTATCTTTTCTTTTACATCCGAGTCTCTGTCTTTTTCAACACTAGAGACTCCTTAGCCGCTCACAACAATCCGACATCCTTTCAGTTGATACCTCAGTGTGGTTTTCAGCCTTCTCCTTCCTTTTATTTCCTCTCCTTTGTATCCCATCAAGTAGGCCAGTTGATGTGGGACAGTAAAACAACTCCCTCCCCTTTTCACACACCTCTCAGAGGAGCAGGGATTGGGATGAAAACATTGCACCAGGAGTTCAGGAACCATCTCTCTCCAGTCTCTAACAGAAACATTTGTTTGGTGCCACTCACCCAGGGGGGGAAATAATTTGAATATGTTGAACAATGCGCTGTTCTTGCAGTGTCAGTGAAATGTTGTACAGTTCAGTTTGGAGAGTAGACTTATCATTAGAATTTCAGCTTAATTGCCTGGTTTGCTCGCACTAAAAAAGTGATGCAGCTTGGATTAAACAAGGACAGAAATAATCAGATATTCAAACTTTTTAGCTCTTTATAGATCTTAAAAATAAACATTCAAGCTAAGAGAAAATGCTATCCAATGGATCTTCAAAACTGGCTCCTTCTCTGATGTAAAACATAATTTCTAAATGTCTTCTTTTTACTAATGAGGGAAAAAATCTTAAAAAGCAAAAAAAATAAACTCAATAATATGAAAATATTTTAGTTTTCTGTTTTGTTGAACCCAGTATGAACAGAAATCACACTGTGAGGAACTCAAAATTAATTAGTTGTGTTTGAAAACAACCAGCAAGGTGCAAAATGTTCATCTGAAATACACAGTGAGTATCTTTTCTTAGTATCACCTTCAATTTATTTTTACTGGGATGTTATTTTATTTGCAAATCAGGTAAATCCTGTCTTTAAAACTATCAGAAAAACGAGTCCCTTAACTTGTTACTTCAAGGCTGGATTATTGTTATCCTTTATTAATAATAGACTGTCCAAATAAGCTTATCAATGCTGTGAGATGGCTTATCTCAAGGATAAGATGTAACTTTATTTTGATTTATGAATCAATCTTATCTTAATTCACCAGCAGAGCTCTTAACAGTGTTGGGGAAGTTAAAGTGGGAAGAAAAAGACAGATAAAAACCTTGAGCAGAACCAGACTCATGTTGAAAAGCCATCTGCTGTGACAGTGTTAGGATTGGAAAGAACAGTGCGATGCAGACAAAGAAAAATGGACGAACAACAACATCAACAGGAAGTATCTGAGTGTAGTTTGGATAACAGTGATTTTCCACCGATGACACATTTCTTTCCCTTTTAGAATCACCATTATCCATAAGACTGTTGAAAACCTTTTGTTTATATCAACCCTGTTCCTGTCATTATCTTGGCACTGCTATAAAAAGTCCCTGTTATTAACTGGCTCTCTCCCACTTTCTTCACTGACTGAGTTGCAGCACATAGCTGTTCACCTAATGTCCTGTTCTGCTGACGTTGCTGCCTGTTAAATGAACGTTTTCCTCGCTGTTGCCAAGAGCTTGCTCATAGTGAATTAAGCCGGGCTTCCATTCCTGATATAGAAGTAGTAAGGACTTGACCTCCCCGTAGAGTGCAGGTAGACTTTTTTTTTTTGATTTCCACTTCATCATAAAAAGAATGATTGATTAATTGATTTTGATGTTTAAACTAAGTTAAAAGCTTCAGTTTTAGGATATAAATGGAAGTATAATAGCTACATATCATTAACTCATGTGGTTTTATCGCCTGAATTAACATGGTTTTGACTGCAAGTGTCTCAAGTGTCAAAAACCTGCTCTGCCTTTGGCATATGTATTAGGCAATGCTATACTGTAAAGTGTAATTGAATAGTTCAGCTAAAGGTGCATTATGGCACATTTAAATTTCCATCATATTTTTCTTGAACAATTAACTTCAGCTTTCTGCTTTCTGCAGGTGAATTGGCAGAGATGCCGTAGAAAAAACCCTCCAGTCCTGCCTGTCTTTTCTTCTAACTCGTGTCTCCATTAGGATGTCCTGTCTAGTGCATCCAATATGTAACCTGCTGTGCACATAAAACTCCAATATCTTCCCCTTTAAAGAGGGGTCTCTTTTGTTATCTTACTCATAGGTATTGTCCGTATCATGCTCATATATAACAGGAGAACACTAAGCCCATTTAAAGGACGGACTTTTGAGAGTCGCACTAGGGCCTGTATACTGAATACGACCTTTCCTCCCAGTCTGGTGCCCCTGAACAAATGAATGTTTGTTTATGACATTAATAAGAGAGGAACCTGCAAAGTTGCAGAAAATAATGTTGACGCTCCTCCACACCAGTCCACAGTAACCTAATCTCCTCCACAGCCTCCCTGCAAGAAAATAGCACTCTGATTTCTCTTTATCGTTTTCAGACTGTGTCTGGCCTGTCAGATAAAAAGAAAAACGAAAATCAATCAGTCTAGAAATATCAAAGAACAGAGCATAATATTAGATCAAAAGTTAAAGAAAATACCCAAATGAATGAATCTTTTTTCAAACTCCCACATCGACTGAACTCGTGTCTTTGTAAACCTCCTTGTGATCTCCCAATTATATAACAAATTACTAATTTAGCAGCTCTTCTTTTTTAATTTTATCCTTCAGTAATCCTTTGGGCTATGTGTATTTTTCACTTGTGCTATGTTTATTCCTTGATAATTAACAATGATTCAGCATTCTGCTTAGAATCACTCTGGGGAGTGGAGTTCACACCGAGATTGTCTCTATTTTTTTGACTCAAGCAAGTCTGGATCACCATTTCCTCCAGCAACACCACATACAAGAAGAAGATGGACACCATAATGGCTGGGGTTTGGTCTTGTGTAGTGCATTGTGTGTCTGTTGACAGTTTCTAAGGTGGCCTGCTCAGAGTTACCAACGAGCTTTATCAAGATGACGGTGGCCTACTATGATGTGAATCAGGAGCATGAGCAAAAAATCTACACTTTTTCAATCCATAAATTACCTCAGGTCCAACCGGATTTATTTGTCGATACCTGATGAACATCACTTCAATGTTCGGAGTCAAAGGGATAATGTATGGTGAATGGGTGGTTATATAGATTAGAGTAATGTATTTGGTAATCAAAATTTCTGTTGTTAGACATGTTTGATTGAGAGGGAGATGTCCACCAGTTTTCAATCCTTTACATTTTTTTAACAGGACTGCCAAACGTTGTGAATGAATTCACACTTATCATTTTAATGTATGGAGTACTACCGTATTAAATAGTACTGGGATGAAAATGACAGTGGTAAATCTTGAGTGTGGAAATAATTTACAAAACAGAATAATTGGTAAGAATGTTCAGTAAACTGCTCTGTAAGCAGAGTCTCAGTGAAGCCCTGTAAAATTCAGACTGATGATAACTAATTTCTCTCTCTCTCTCTGATGGTAGCAAACAAGACTACAGGGCTCAATTTTTCTTCTTTTTTTTCTTCCACTCTGTTTCTGATCCAGATTTAGATCTTAAGATCTTGGTAGATAATACTCAGAGGCAGGCTGACTAAAAAAAAGCAGCTAGTTTAATCTTTAATTCTGCTTTTAATGTTGCTAATTCCCTGTTGAGTTGTTTTTTAAAAATGAGCTGTGCTGCTGCTGTAAAGATGTCTTAAAAGACAGGCAGATTGGCATCTTGTCTGAGTTATTTACTCTTTCAGGCACCACATGTCATTTTATTAAGAAATACACGAGCTAGTGATACTACGCAGCTATATAAGGTGTAAATGACAAAACTGGGACGGCAACAGGAAAATGATTGAACTGAGTTTAGACATTTTCATTTTTCATTTACTAAATCACTCCAGTGACATTTTTGGTAAAGATAACAACTGTTGCACAACAACAGAAACAAGCGGCCCTGAATACAAGAGGCAAATGCTCCCTCACATTAAATCCTATAACAGTATACTATCTGTTAATGACTTCGACAAAGGCCCTCTGAACTTCAATTCTGCAGTTGTGAATTCACCTCCTTTTACTTGGAAGCTGCAGTTCCTGAAGAAAAACAACAGGAGATCTGAGATATAGGATAGTGAGGAAGAGATATGAGACCCAAAGTAGAGTCATAAAATACGAAAGGGCAGGACCAGTCTTAGGGTCATTCAGGTTAATTGTTGTAAACTGCTCGATAAATAACACTCACTCACCGAGTCTTATCAGACTGCACTTCTGCTGCTGTTTAGCCACTAAGTCTCCTTTTCCAAGGAAATGTTTAATCCTGTCTCTGTGTCTTTGTCACTTTGCTATCTGCTTTTTCAGATCATTTAACAAAATGTTTTTCTTTTTTAATCTTCTTTTAATCCTTTCCATCACATTCATCAACACTGGGATACCAAGTAATTACACTTCAGTGTATGTGAAGTCTGATATACAGGGTTCTCCATGTCTTAGCAAAGTAAATTTATTAAATGAATACTTCACTTTTCTCTGATGATTAGAATAACCTACCACACCAATAAGAGAAGAGTTTCCCAATAAGAGCCTGTCCAGTAACATTGTCATCATCATTAACTGGGCCAGCTTGGGGATGTGATCACCACCTAACTTGAATCTGGTTGCCACATAGCAACTTCATCACAAGCAATTCACTAGTGAGCATAACACTGTTCACCGGTGAAAATATAGGCCAAACCTCACAGACAACTTGGCACCTCATGCATCTGCTTGTGCATGTACATACAGTATATGTGTTAGCCTGTGTTTGTTGTATGATTAATGACTGAGTGAAAAATGGATTCCTCTTAAATTTTAATCTTCTTTTTCTTATTTGTACCATTATTCGTTGAGGTGAACAGTGCTTATCAACCGTTTTTCCTTTTCCCTACCTTGTTGTATTACTCAAATTGACTCTCTTTCTCTCAGTGAACAGCTGTTTTTAACTAAGTCATACCCCTTGAGCCAGGTCATAACAGTTACAGATGTAATAATTTAATTACAGATGTAAATAGGTAAGTATGTTTAGTCCTTGGTATGATGATGCTGAACCAATCATAGACTGTATATATAATGGACATTGTCTGCCTCCTCGTTGGGTGAAGCCACCGTGAGAACAGCACCCTCTGGTGATGGGCTGCAGTACAGGTCATAAATCCCGCCTCCTCCAGCAATCTCTATGGAGCTGTGGACAAACTTTAGACACTAATTACACAGAATATAATTTTTTCTCCCCCCTGGTTGCGATGTTGACATGTTGTTACTGTAAGACTGTTTTTTTTTTGCTCAAGTCCTCTTTTTTCTGTGCAGCTCCATTTTTAAAAGTTATTATGGGGTTCATGTTTTCTATGATTGACACTTGATACAGCCTATAGGCTGTTTGAGCCAAGCGTCATCACAGCAATTCTCTCGCTGAATGCGTACAATGCAACTGCACAAGTGGTGGTTCCAGGAAGTGGAAAAAAAACGTTGAAATACCGAAAGCAATTCGGCTTCAAATTCATATAAATAAGGGAAGGCAGAGTCAAGTTGTCCAAAGTATATATAGTCTATGGAACCAATGCAGACATATTTGTGCCAATTTAGACTTGTGTTATGGAATATGTTCAGTTGACTACCTGATGTTATCCTATGCTATGAATACACCAAGGATCCACGAGTTTGTTCAAATGTTAACATGTGTTGCAGGTTTATAACAATCCTATATTATTTGGGCCATGGACAAGCTGCATACCTCATTATTTTTAATTAGCCTCAAAGTCTTAGTCTTTACAGCTGGTTTTAGATAAGCCCTCATTGTGTCAACAACAATTCGTGCATGCTGATAACATTCAGCATTATCTCCTGCATAATACTACCATATCAATGAAAGACAAGGAAATTCTGCGTATTTACAGGTGTTACATCTCACCCCGAAGAACCCCCAGCGGAATGGTAGATTGAACAGACCTGCTCAATGGTTACAGAAGCCAGCGGCTGTAGTATGCAGAGTGCAGGCAGATAAACACACCTCATTAATCCTCAGTAACAACTAGGGTTACAGAAGAGCCTGCACACAAGGGTTTGCATACGGAAAACAACACACACAAGGCAGTGTGCTCCTCTCTAAAGTCAACACAAACTGTACCGGCCTACAAAGATAGAGAGACTGACAGATGGAGAGAATGAGGGACAGTGAGTGTGCAAGAAAGACAGAATCACAACAGGCAGAGCTGGTGACAAACACACACGCACACAAAATATCACAGTATGCCCCAGAAATACATCCTGCCGTTACTCACAATTTCCCCTTTTTTTCCAGCATTTAAGTAGTTAATGTAGACTGGGGCTAATAATCCGTGTCACGGGAACAGAAGCACCCACGCTGTAGCAGAGCTGCTTAAAAAATTCATTTATAATATTAAAATATCTTCAAACAGAAACTATTTGCATTAAAGTTAGTTCTGGAGCTATATTAGCATTTGGCAATAGATCTCACAAGCTACAGCTTAATTAAGGCAGTGGCCTGAAATAATGAGCGAGTTTGTTTAATGTAGACTGGGGCTAATAGGAGGTAATGAGAGCTACCAGCCCCGCCAAAAAAGAAGCACATTTGTATGCTATCCACAGCTCCTCCTCGGAGCTTTTTAATCTTTGAATTTCTCTCTATTTAAGAATTAAGGTCTTTAGTCTCCTTTTACAGCTTATTCACCTTTCTGTGAATAAATACCTTACAAAAAGAGGAGTTGCGTGGAGCCTGAGTCATTTATCTCAAACGGTCAACCGCTATCATATTTTTACAGTTATTAAAACTCTACATCTAGTCTAACATTTGTTCTTGTTTTTCTCTAGAGGGATACTAACATTGCCCGAAGAGGTTTCAGATCTGCAAAGTCAGAGGACACAGATTCAATAATGCATGCAAAAGTAATAGACAAATGCAAAGGTTTCAACATGTTGCAAAGACGAACAGTGATTCAAATGAAACAACTGCGTCAAACCTGTTCCGCTGTCATGTCCTGGTTTGCTGTGTGTTTCCTTTTTTATCTTTGTGTTTTTTAGATTTGCATTCACAGTGCTCTTTGTGTCAGTTGTTTTGACTTTTTGTTACAGATTTTGCCATTCGGAGTGCCTTTTCATTTTTGAATTTCTACAGACTTTTGAAGTGGTTGCAGCACATTTCTCTGAATATTGATGCAGACCGGTTAGCACCTAAAAAAAGCGAACCTGCCATGATATCTTAAGATCACAGATTGTTTTACTGACTTCCCTATAACTTTATATCATCTATGCCCTTGTATTTTTTTGGTCTTATCATTTCCTTGTGATTTTTCATTCTCACTCTGCACCCTAAACCTCTGAGTCCAAGCACAGTTTGTTAGCCTTTTAAGTATATTTTTGATTTTTCACGCGCCTGTCTCCTGTGGAATCCTGGTTTATCTGTGTTTGATTTATGTCGATATTGTAAGGGATCATTGCTCTCCTCTTGGCTGCCCCTGAAGAGCCTGATTAGCAAGGTTCCTGATCCAAAACACAGAATATAAATCTTTTAAACAAGATATTCTCAACCAAATATCATCTAAGCTTTCTCAGTCTTTCCTCTTACCAAATCAACCCATACTTTTAAAACAACTTTGTACCTGTTTCTCACTGTGTTGAGTTCATTTACAGTCAGCTAAGCCTTGTTAAAACTCTAAGCAAGGACTTCTTCCTCCTGTTGTATTTATTTACGTGATCTAAGCAGCACCCTCAGGTCCTCTTCCCCTCTGTTTTTCTGCTCCCTTTTTCTCCTTATTTGTAAATCTACAGTTCCCCACTTGAATAACTTTATCTCTGCAAATCCATTTGGTTTTATGTTTCCTCATCTCCGCCCTGGAAAACTGGGTTGTAACACATGATAGTGCACATAATTGTGGGCGCAGTGTGTGTGACTTTCTTTGCATGTGGATGAGAGATTTGAAAGGCTGAATGTATGAATAATATTTTGCATGTGTGTACTCTTGATAAGAAGAGAATATATTTTGGGGGGAAAAAGGACTAAGTTTGTGTGTTGAAATTTGCATTAAAAAAACAGCTTACTTAAGTTTCAAAGGCACATACAGCTTTGATCTGAAATCATTCATCCTGTTACTGTGGGTACCAGTTGAATATAAAAAGTCTTGGATTCCATTGATCCAAGCTAAAGTTAAAAAATAAAAAAGAAAGCATATCTGCTGTGATATGAATATTTAATACTGATGAATTCAATTTAATAAGCATACAGAGTGCTTCTTAATCTAGGACATCTGATTTGTTCACTCATGCTTGGTATAAAATAAATATTTGATGTAAAGTAAATATATTGGGCTGATTGGTCATCCTGATTACAAACTTTGAGGAAGTATGTTGATCTTGTCCAGTTGTGTGTAGATCCAAGCAAAAAGAGCTGCACTTAGGAGACTTTTTAAGTAAAGTTACCATATCAGATTTTTACATTACTGTGGCTATAAAATATCACTATAACAACAATATCACAATATTTATGGAAAACTGAGCATGGAAATATGATTAAGAAAGGCAAGACAAAGGTGGAGCAGTATAATTTGGGTGTTTATGATAATAAAAGTCCATACATTTTACCAACTCTGGTGTGGATCTACCTTCACTTCACTCTCATAAGATCTGACAGAGATGTTAAAGCTAGTGGCGAGAAGAAAGGAGAAGGTCTGGCTTTATTTGTCCATTAGAGATGGTGTAACCCTTCACACATAACGGAGAAGTTGTGCTGTCAAGATATTGAACTGTTGGTGCTCTTTGGCCACATTATGTTCCAAGATAATTTAGTCATATCACAACAGGACTTGTTTACATCCTACCCAAATCAATGGCTGAAATTCCATGCAATGTTTTGCATTATACTGTTGCTAGGATACAGACTCAACACCCTGAGGCACTAATAATAATATCAGGGATACTTCAACCCTTTCCTCTCTCTCACCTGACTGGATTTACAGTTTGTGAACTGTCCTACCAGAGAAACACAAAAACCTGGATCTGCTTTATGCTGACGTCAAAGACGATATTTGACATCATACAAATATCTCGGTGTACACATGGATAATAAGTTGGACTGGTCGAAGAATGTAGACTTCATCTACAAAAACGGTCAGAGCCACCTCTTAAGCCTGAGAAGACTGCCGGGGAGGAAGAATCAACCACAAAGATGCAAGATGTCTGAACAAACTGGTGAAAAAAGCTGGCTCTGTGGTTGGATTCAAGTTGGACTCACAAGAGGATGTGTCAGAGAGATGTCGACTTTGATCTCGTAATTTTGATTTTCATCCTGAAATTTCAATTTAATTCACAAATTTTTGACTTATTTATGTCAACTTTAATTTCGAAATTTCGACTTTCAACTTAAAATTTCAATTTAATACAAGAAATTTTGACTTCATTCATGTCGACTTTAATCTCGAAATTTCAATTTTAATCTTGAAATTTCAGTTTTTAATCTTGAAATTTCGACTTTAATCTCAAATCTTCATTAATCTTGTTCCTCTGATATTTTTTTCTCTGCGTGTGACCCTAATCCTCTTTCTTGGTACTGAAAGACTTATTATGTCATAACTTGAGGTCTGTTTTTCTCATCTCAGAATACCTACAGCATATTTAAATCGAAGTCAAATCTTTTGATCCTTCCAAGTGAAAACATCCAAACATTTAAATTTTTTAACTTGACTACCACTGTACATGCCTGATAAAAGCTGTGTCTGACTTTGTTTGCTTGTAACTGAAGCAAATTTTTCTGGTTGTTTCTATGTGATAAAATAGAATAATTGGAACACCAGATCTGCAGCTTCTATAAGTCTAATGCTGGCACAAAATAAGAAGAAAACACACCCTGAGATTAAAGCAAAACCATACAAAGATTTGAATCATATTCAGCGTTATCTTTGAAAATAATGCCAAAGCCACAGCAGCTCATCCTACAGTGATACAATCTTCCCTCGGCTGCTCCCGATCCAAAACCACAGACAGCCTCTCCCCGATTTCTCCTCCTGCCTCCTCACAGTCAGAAGTTGTAGCATGAAGACGGAGTGATGCAGCGAATGTTTATTCTCGCCCTTTCCTTCCTTCTTAAACACTCAGCTGGATGCTCACCTCTTCTTTGTGTACTTTTTTTTTACATTTGCTCCCTCCTCTCGCTGCAGAGGAAAGATTCTCTTTGTTGTTTCTCCTCCCACCTCCCTCCAACAACTGTGGGTATTTGCCTCTTCAAACCCACTTCCGCATTCTCCCTGGACTCTCTTCCTCCATATCCCTTCTATACTTTTTGACTGTGAGTCTACCCTCTGACTTGTATTCCTTTTCCTCTTTTTTAACAGCTTTCTAAGGGTAGTTACTGACCTACGCATGGAATAATGCCTTATTTCACCAATCCATGAAATCCCTAAACGAGCAGGATAACAGTCGTATTTTAGAGGCAAATTGAGGGGAGAATGAATTGAAAATTTGCTCCAGGTTCATTTTGGTGCATTCATGCAAATTGTTCATTTTCTCGGTGTATGTGACTCCATATGGGAGCAAACATCCTGAGTTCAATCAGGAAACAGAGCCTCATTTTTGGAACAAAGACTACACATCAATCCTGAGATATTCAGGGTACAAGGAGGAGCAGACTGGAGCTGCAGCTGGAGAGAGCGTTGACTGAGTTCAGAGTAGGTCACATCTAGTAGGTGACGGATAAACTCTTGGTTACATTTGGCCTGCGGTTGCTCTTGTCTGTGGAAACAGAGTAAAAACTGTAAAAGCTGAGCAGGCCAGCTGTGCATTCAAAGGCACTGTGAATAATTCATTGTGTGGGACTCTTGGACAAATGGCAGGTTGAGCACACAAGAAATAGTGGCAAGGCCCTGGGGAATGTCATTGTGGAGGAAATCAAGTATGCAGGAAAAAGATGTGGCACATGATACATGCACAAACACACATCATATTCAGATGGATGTACTATGACGCAAGTTCCAGATATCTGAGTCCTATATATGATTGAGCTCCAAAAGTGGGTGTTTTTTTTTTTTCATTTGATTTTTCTTCTGCACAAAAATTATCCATAGCAAGCTGCTTGTTCAGCCTGACTATATTTAATTAACAGCAATGAGCAATAAAAATAACTGATTGCCGCATAAACTCCCTCTGCTGCAAATAGGGTAAGAGAGTCATGCAAAAGTCAGCACCCTTAGTGAACCATAATGAGACAAACAAATCACACAGCCTCATATAGAATTTCTTATTGTACATCATATTATAACAAAAGATGCAGATACATTTGGAGAATTATTTAAAGAATAAAAAACACACCTGGACAAGAGCACAGTAGAGGAGCTGAAATTATTCATTTAAAAAACAAACAAACAAACAAACAGCAGAACTCTTGCTCACTGGTGTCCTAACTTTCAGTATGTCTACTAACATTACCAGAGTTCTGTGTCTCTCTCTTTGTACACGAGACTACACACACTCATCACAATGTAAATATGGTCAATGCAGAAACAGCAGAAACAGTCTGATGATTTTCTGAGCCTTCTTCCTTCTCCTGCCACCTGTCACACACACTCTGTAGATCATGCTCGCTGCATGATGCAACAATAATGTTCAAAATTTGGGGAAAAAAGTGAGATCACTATTTTTAATTTTTTCCTCACTTTACAAAACTTTGTGGCACAATAAAAACTAACAAACAAATAGCTCACCACTATGAACTGGCTCTTATTGTCCCCTTCGAAAGAGCCGTTCAAATGACTGACTCATTCGCGAACGTTACATCTCCAACAGTCACTTGCTAATCAAACACCCAAAGAAGTTGGACATTTTAACTACTCGAGTCTGCTCTTCTAACAGGTCCCACCTCAAAGTCCCAACAATACAAAACTATAGTACAATACAATATGCATCTTACGATACCTAGATGCACTTCAGACAAACTTGGCCATAAATGTCCAACAACACTCAAAAGCAGTCACAGGTACCATCCATTAAAAAAGGACAAAAGTCGCCTGCTGCCGTGGAGCGCATTGCACCATTGCAGGGGGTCGGCGGTGCACAGTGTTGTCACTGCGACACTGCCCACCAGTCCCCGTGGGGTGCTAGTTTAATTTATTATTTGTCTGTCTGAGTCCAGTTTATTCGATTTAACAATGCAGACCTCGGGAATCTGATTTTGGACCCCTGCTTTGGCTGCATTAATAGTAAACTCCTGCTGTGTACTTTCTGTCGTAAATATATTTTTCAAACAAAGACTGTCAAAGGAAGCTAAGTGGACAAAGAAATATGTGTGGCGCCAAATCTCCTTTTATCTTTATCTACTTCCTTCTGAAAAAATATCATTGAGATGGTGGACTTTTAATATCTTAACTTCCATTCCAAAGCCCAGCATAGAATCCAGAGTAATTACTGTAAACACAGTCGGACAGACAGGTCAGGAGTGGGAGTCAGTGAGTTAAGGTCAGTGATAGACGGGCAAAAGCATATTCTGATACGCTTTAGTTCTCAGTAATTGAGTGTCGTTAAATCCTGTGGTCCTGCAGGGTTTGAGCTGTACAGACCTGATTCAAGTTAGAAATGAAAGATGTGATTTCATTTGATGTGAATTTGTAAGACCTGCTGTTGTAAGAAACTCAGCCGCTTTCATTTTGCCTGACAGATGGGAATTCAATCTTCAGCAGCACCTGAGTTCAAACACATCAATATTGCATTCACTGTCTATTAGCGCTTAAAGATTAATATCTGTGATTACAGTGGCTTTAATTGATATAACACAAGCTCTTTTGTGCGCAAGACTGAAAAAGCTATACTGAATTCAACAGTCAATGAGTTAATAAATGTTTTAAAAGGGCAGCATTTGTTAAGGTCAGGGTGGACGTTTAACATCACTCAGAAAATGAGGAAACACTAATAACATATTTCATCTGATATGGTTTACTTGTTCAAAAACACTCATTACCCGAGGTCATTTCAATTGCAATGTAGGTGTGTATTCAATCTAAATTGAATTACCCTGTCAATACTGTGGCACTGAAGGCCAATAGTAAATAAATATTTCAAAGGCGCAAAATACATTTCACATAACAGAGAAATATTTCGCTAAAAACAACAGCATCTCACTGATCACAAAATATATTTCACAAAATGGGAAAGGGTGGGACATTTCAATTGTTTACCAGGGTGGAAGAAGAGCTTAAGTTGACAGCGCACTACTTCAACAAGAGACAAACATATACAGTGATCCTTGAAATGCTCTCCTCACATCATGACAGACACGTATCAATTGGAACCCTGAAAACCCTGTCTTAATTTAGCATGTAATGTGGTTGCAAAATAGACTAGGAATGAATTACCAATGAAATGAATTAAGTTTTGGGTTTGTTTACAGTTGGCATCAAATACCACAAATGAGAACACCTTGACTAAAGCTGTTATATCTGTAACCCAAAGTTAGTTTTACAAAACAAGATGACCAAAATACCTTATGGTGTTTTTTTCATATCTCATTGAAGGGCTGAAAGAAAAATACATTTGACTTAAAGTTATAAAGTTAAGTGTAAAAATTGTCAAATAAATATGGGACCATGGATGAATGAATTGATAGACAGATGGACTGACGTCCAAACCAAACAGTGTTGTCAGATCATACCCCAAGTCAATCAAAATTAAAAACACTACTGAGCTGAGTCATTGCACACTACATGACAAAAATACTACTAATAATAAGAATGCTGTAGAATACACAGCCTGCCTGAGTTCCCCGACTTAAACATGTTTGATACAAATTGTCTCAAAACTACCTCATAATCCCACTCACAACAGTCAATACTTATTACCAGTACTGATTATGATAAGATAATGCACATATTTTCCTGGTGCTATATCTATTTAAAAAAAAAAATCATCTTTAAAAAAGTTCTGAATGTCTTAACTGACTAACTTGTTGGGCTAAAATGACTGCATTCACTTTCTGATCAGCGTTTTCAAAAGCTAATTTATTCCCAAAGCTTGTCAAGGGCCACAAAACGCAGCCAGGTCCAAGTCTGTGGAGACTGTTTTCTGCCAAGGTTGGCAAGTGGCTCACGCTGGTTTCAATTCCCTCCAACCTTACTTCTAAAGCTAAGCCAGAAGGACTGAGTGTTAGAACAAGCCCTCATGCATTTTCAACACATGTCCAAGCACTGGCAGTGCTACTACCACTTCACTGTGAGAGAAAATTAACTGTGGAGGCCTTTCAGGTCTTGACAGTGCAAAACCTACCAGGTTGGTGCAATTTTCATGAATCGAAATTGTTTTATTTTTCATGACATTAAAGCTTTATGAGCTTCTTTCACACTTGGCAGTCATTAAAATTGGCTGTACAGCTAAACACATTGATTGAATTCTGGGGCAAATCACCTACCATATTTCATGACACACATAGGTCCTCTGATGATGTTAATCCAGTCTGAATGTCAGTTTCAGTCATTCGGGGTGGTAATTTTGTTTTAGGAAGGTGTCCACAGCTTTTTCTGCCTCTTTTACAGTAAAACAAGTGCTATTCACTTTGTCACACAGCAGTGAAACTCTCTGTACAACAATGTACCACAATGGTAATCAGTAATATTAATGGACCTAATTAAACTAACAATGAAAACTAAGGTCCCTTTTCCCACCGCTATGGGATAACCTCTGATGTGGTGGGCTATATAATCATACAAACAAATAAAACTGTGAAATGTTGAAGACGAGCTTTGTGCATCTGAAAACAACAGTAATATTGATCTCTCTCTCTCTCTCTCTCTCTCTCTCTCTCTCTCTCTCTCTCTCTCTCTCTCTCTCTCCCTCTCCCTCTCCCTCTCCCTCTCCCTCTCCCTCCCTCTCTCATGAAAGAATTTATGAAATTCTTCAAATGACCAAGGCTTTGTATAAAGGTATAAAGGCCCATTTCCACCAGTACAAATAAATAAATAATTTCATATGTAATGTTTTCTTTTTTTTTTTTTTTTACAAAAGAAAAAGATGAAAATTAAGTGTCTTTTGGGGAATTCAGAATATGTGTTTAACTGAGTTAAAGCACATAAAAAACACTGAACCCAACACCCCAAAAAAAAAACCTCAAAATTGTGTGGGTGCGCACACAACTGTGCAAAATCTATAACTAGATAAATGCTATTCTTTGCAGTGTGGGGTAGGAAATATCCTTCCAATGGATCAATGCACATTGTCAATTTCAAGTAAATTACAGACTTGTACAAATGCAACACACAAAACACTGATGTCAGCAGGCGATTCATGATTTATCGGAGGTCCCAGTATGACACTATCCTGTGCAAATTGTGCTTTGAATGAATTCAGAGTAAAAGTTTCATTTGAGATTAAGGTTTTAACATTTTCATAAAAGAAATTGTCGTTCATAAATTTTGTCTTCTTGTAAATCTTTTTTATTTATCCATTTTGACATTTACTGGCCTCCACTCCTGCAGGACCAGGATGTAAAAACTTGATGACAACTTAACAATGCATCGGCCATCATAGAAGATCACGACTGATGAGAGACGCTGGTATAGCAGCACAAAGTGTTTTTCTTGTTATTACCCTCTCAGATGACCCGCACTATCATGAGAAGGATCTGTAAACCCATTAATCCACAGATAGAGGCTGAGCCTTTTTCTAATCCCTTGATTAATTGAGCTCTCAACGAGTAGATGAAAGTAAACTCTGAGTCCTATCAACATACTGGACCAAGCTTTTCTGTCCAGAGCTTTTTTATTTCTCTCTTTTTCACTTTCACTGCCATCAAATGCAAAGAAGGTAACAGTCTACCTGGTGTTTATGAGTTGGGTTGTTTGTGTGAGTGTTCAAGATACATCTGTTGGTCATTACACCCAAATGGACATGAGCAGGCGCACAGCACAGTGTGTATGTCTTTGCATATGAATTGATGTTTATCTGAAATTATGTTTGTTTAACCCCAGGTTTGTTGTGTGCTGCACTGAAAAGGGGAAATTTATTAGTGAGCAGATTTTACCTTTCAGATGTCTGAACCACACACATCCAATTTGTAAAGGGGAAGATGGTGGACATTATTTTCCAAAGTACTGGAGTCAGAATATTATTGCTCTTTTGTGTTGAAGTTCACCCTCCAATGTTTACAGAGCCAAACTCATGTTCCAGCAGAGCCATTTGGACAAAAATCACACAAACAAACTTGCTAGTCTACAAAGCCCTGAAGTCCGGCAGGGTTATGACTTTTATCTTCTGCACACAAGTAATTTTATTAAGAGTAAAAAGTTTTTAGATTAAAGGCATCAGTTGTAAACTGTATAAATGCAGCAGTGGTTACCATTCCACCTGTCATCATTTACTAGCATTTGTCCTTAAAGACCTGCTCTGATGAAAAATCGTGTTTTTCTTGTTGTCTACATGTTCATCTGGCATTTTTCTGATGCTACAGGACATGAGAAAAGTAAAAGCAAAATTGCATTTCTGAGTATTTCTTGATTCAAATCACTGTGAACTTCTTGCTGACTCTAATGGCAAGTTTAGACACAGTGGGATTTCCTATGTCACAAATCTCCGCCCCCCGGTGCCCCACTCTGCAGGCCAGACTCAGAGAAGTAGAGAAGACAGAACAAGTGTGTGCGGTAGCAGATTGCAGTGCTTGTAAGAAAGCTAATTATGATATAAGCTTTCATCATGTCTCCAAAGACGTTAGTGTCTGAAAGCTGAATAGCTCCTATATTTCTTGCCACCTCTACTTTGTCGTGAATGTTAGGCTGCAAGCTAGCGTGAAGAGGATTGTGCAAAGTCAAAAAAGGGCTGTCTCCACCCACGACTCAGAGGCGAATTGCTAATGAGTTACTGGAGCTCTGCAGAAGAAAAGCCTTTGAAAATGATACGAGTAACGTGATTTTGGCTAAAAATGTCATCACCACAATTTAAAGACCACTGAGAACACTTTAAGTGGTAAAAAAATAAAATAAAATAAAAAATGATCGGGGTGCGACTTGAAATGCATTTATTTGCTGCTAATTTGTTATTCTGGTGTTTTGTGTGTAGCGCCCTCTGCTGCACAAAGTTAAGGGCTGTACCCCTTGTTTTGATGCTTGTCTGAAATATTCTCATTTGCATCACTTTCTCTCAGTAAGAATGCACCTTATCCATCTGATTTGTTTGAGCGGAACTCTAATCTTAGTATCAAATACTTTTGTGATGTTGAGGATTTGCTGTAGGGTGCTGTTCACTACGTTAAACTTCCTATGATCTTAGTATGATAAAACTACAACAAAGGTGTCATTTAAAGAACAGCATATTGGAGTCAGAAGCAAATATCTATGTCTATTTTAGCTACAGACACGACCACTTCCCAGACAACTTCTTATCTTATTCATATGCACACAAAATCATTTTCATGTAAGCTCTAGACAGAAAATCACTTCCTTTGCCAGACTTCAGCTCCTCTTTACTTTTCTGAAATAGAAAATTATCAAGAAATTCTGCCATATTTTGATACATCAGTTATTTTAACAGGTTAAGATCTTTCCTAAAATGATGAGGATTTAAGTAGATCAAATTTAATATTTCACTATTAGAGAAGTGATGGAGATTTAAGGATGGATAAGATGAATATTTCTCCATTTACAAAAAGTCGTCTAACAGCTCTTGTTTTCTTTGATTTCATTACCTTTTGCAAGGCAGCACAGCTTAATGACAGATTATTGGTGCATTTTAAATCCATCTATTTCAGTTTCAGCTCAGGGAACTAATCTGCAAAACAAGTCATATATCTGTCAGGTAAGATTTCCATCAATACACAGAGCATAGATATTATGAATAGTTAAGCCACCATAATATCTTTATATCTTCAACCGAACAGTGTGTCTGCATGGGACTGAGGCACAATTACAGAGGCATGGACATAAACAGACACACTGGGGAAAATGTCAACTGGTGTGTTGCTAGCCTTGATATATTAGGGTTGGTTTGTGCAATCAATAATAAGTAATTACTGCACATGTAGTAGACTAAAGGGAGTCTTTTTGTTAGATAAAAATGTTTAACAAAGTCTAAAAAAAAGATGCATTGCTGCATTTTTAGATTCTTGCCTTTTAAAAATTCAGTTTCATGCAACAAATTGAGGTCTGTTTTTAACAGGAACACATGTCTTGACTCCCAGACACCACAGAAATAGTCTCTTTCTGGTCCTTTAAGATCAGCGCTTTAGGGTTTTATTCAATGTAGATGTTAGACTATCAGTTACTAACAGCATATGCATGCTGCTCAGAAAAATTAAAAAGTGCCTCTTACTTTTTGTGTGATATAGCAATTAGATTGTATGATTCCTGACAGCAAAGACTGGTCTTTTCTAGCCTCAAAATAATCGATCAAAAATGTTATTCAAGCTAAAATTACAGTATATGGGAAAAAAAATAAACAAGTATGATTATCATGTAACTTTTTCATGAAATTAGGTAGTGTGAGGTCTGTCAGGGATAAATTTTAGAAAAAGTACGAGCTAAATAAACCAGTAGACCCTGTTGGGAAAAAGTGTAGCCTCTTGTGCTTTTACTGTTCTCATTCCGTATGTTGGTTAACAGTCTTCTCTGAGGGAAATGTCAACCTGCTTTCTTTTAAATATCTGTCCTGCAGCTCACAGTGAATCTTTGCCAGAAAGATTTTTTAAAAGGCAGTTTTGGCGGAGTGTTTGCATGATACTGACCTGTTACCATTGTCAAAAATAACTTTATAGAAACAGCCAGTCTTCTTTTAATGGTCTTGTTTGTTTTTGTAGCTCGTTAGTCTGTTTCAGAACCAGTTAAAAACTCCTCACGGGGTCTGTGCAGGAACCAGGCCTCCAGCTGTCTACTTTATTTTCCCAACTGGTGACCATTTTTCTCTGATGGCATCACACAACCTTGTTAAATTGACCAATTTTTCATTAGCAGGAAGTCTGTATCAATAATAATAATAACTATAATAATTAAATAATAGAGTGAGAACCTGCAAGTTTTGATTCTGTTAATGACCCAGGTGGTCAAACTGTCTTAGCCGTATAGGAAGACGCTGTACCTGAATGTACCATGTTGGTGTCATTTAAATAAGCTGAACTTTTACTGCTCCTTTGTGGTACAGTGGACACAAAGGAGTTAGAGTTATAATCATTAATAGGCAAACGCGGCAAGAACCCTCTCTCCAAAAAAAAAGTGAGAAGACAGGTAATAAAAAAACGACGTGCATCTATATATATATATATATATATACACACACAAATTTAACTGTTCACCTTTGTAATATAACATGACTGCTTCTTGCTGAAAAAAAAAGTGGTTCAGGAGAGACTTTTTTCCCCTATTTTGGCGCATTTCTCATCACAGCGCCTATATTATGACTAATTTTATTTCATAATTTAAGAGTTGAACTGATTCTTTTGTAGTTGCAGTTAGGTCAGTGATCCTGCTTTAATATTTTATGAGTTTTTGCCGGGCCAGTGCAGCATCTGTCTTCAGAGTTTGATTGTGATGAGGCCAATAGCTGTCCTATAACCAGTGGAAGGCACACATTTTAAAAGCTCCTGTGAGGAACATAAATGAAATTTTGACACCCCCTGTGTACAAAAAAGTCTTTGCTTTTCTTGTCCTCTCCATGCTTGAACAAAAAAATGTCAAAAAAATTGCCTTCTGCTGACTTTTGACCGTCTAATGTAATAATCTAAATATTTTATGTGTGAACTGTTAAAAAAAGGGCTGTTTCTTCAGTATCTTTGCTGAGACCTGCCCTTTACATCAGTTTATCAAATGCAAAATTACAATGTAAAACATAATCTTGTTCCTGTTATTTCCTTTGTTTTCTTTTTACAAATAAGCATAAATGGGAATTTCAGTGTATTTCATGACTGTGTAAAAAAACCCTCACAATTCCAGTTGTATCTATGGATACTGGTAGAGCATCTTGGTACTATTCCTGGTACATAACAGAAATAAAGAAACACAATTTTAGAGCGAGTTTTTACCATAGATTGTATTTACTAGCATACAGCGTATCCCCTGGGTGAGCTACGCAATCTTTGTACGCCCATAGGCTGAATCAGGTGTCAATCAAAGAAAACATGAACCTCCTAATAACTTTGAAAATGGAGCTGCACAAAAAAAAAAGGACTTCAGCACAAACCAGTCTTACAATAACTACATGTCAACATCCCAACCAGGGGGGAAAAAATTATAATCTGTTTAATTAATTTTGTTTGTTTAAGTTTGTCCACAGCTCCATAGAGATTTCTGGAGGAGGCGGGATTAAAGACCTATACTGCAGCCCGTCACCAGAGGGTGCTGTTCTCGCAGAAGCTTCACCTAGCAAGGGGGTAGACGTTGTCTATTCTATATACAGTCTATGGTTTTTACTCATAATTTTAACTTCAAGGAGGAGCCAGTCTATCCAAACAGGCCAAGGCTTTATTTCAGATCACTACCACAATCTGTAAGCAAAGCAAGACGAAAGAGTCTAACATTTATTATTTTGAGGTTATCCAGAGGTGAAAACGTTTTCACCAGACTTTGTTTACTCAAAAGCAATCACCACCCACTCTTAGCAGATGCTAAACTGAAGATGGTTCACTCTACCAGCTGTATGCTAGCTGTTCATAAACAACACTGGCCCGTAGAGATGCTTTAGGCTCTGCGGCACAGTTTGTGGAACAGTTAACCTTTTCATATAGCCTTTTGAATTAGATAATACCTCTTCTTAATGTCTTCCAGTGTATTAACAGTGCAGTCAGTGGTATACTTCCCATGACAGTGACATTTTAATATAAAGGACTGTCTCTAATGTTAGCCTGTTTAGAGGCCTCGTACTTTCTGCAGTAAGAGTAACTGAAAGCCCCGGTTTATATGAGAGGATTTACAGTGCCTGCAAAACAAAGTGTGATGTATGTACACTTGCCAAAAACACTTAATAGCCTTTTGCAATGCAATCACCCCCTGGACACTCTCCTGCTGACTCATGACCCAAAACAGCATTTCAACAGACACCATTACCTCCATCCTCCCCATCCTCCTTCTCCCTGTACCTGGACTTTGTTGTGATGCCTGGCCTGACTGAGAAAACAAAATTTTGCATAGAACAGCAAGAAATCCTATTACCTCACACTGTTTGCTGTTATGGGAGCCAGTCATGGAGTTTTAGTTTGCAGTAGTTAATGATGCAGCCACCATTAAAACCAGTGAGCACTTAATAACAGGATCAAAACACTGCAGAGTCAACATAACAACAAGGAACAAGTACCCATGAGTGGGGGGATCAAATGCCACAGAAGCAAAAGCTTTTGTTGACAGATATACACCCTTATTATCAAGAGAGTCTTAGTTAGACTAAATTTAGTTTTTTATTCCCCTACTGCAATTTATGCAGGTACACATCATTTGTTAATCCTCAAATATACATCAAGTATGGCCTCATGTTCAACATACTTATAATTACATCAACCATCAGATGGTTTTCTTTATGTTTCCAGTGCAATATGCTGCTCCACTGTTGTTTTGTTGGCGACAGCACAGACATATAGGACCACATCAAATAGCGTTGTCTGAGTTACCGTCTGTTGTTTCTGGAATTGGAAGTGAGATATTGCATTGTAGCTTGCATTGGCCCCGGGATGTAAACAATGATAGATCCAGCCCCAAGACAGATGACAGATGGGCGGAAATATGCATGGCTATGCACCCTCTCTTTCTTTTGCCTTTTCACACTCCCTGTGTGTAACGTTTTTAACTCCTGCAAACAGAAAGTGCATTATCTATTCCAAGCCCAGCAAGATCAGATCATTGAGCATAAATTTTCCCCCTGTGTCAGGCAGAGAAGGACAAAACGCTGATGACTGAAAGACATGCAGATAAGTAACCCCCCTCATTAAGAGATATCCTTCTCAATGGCTGCTCTGTTTACTGTTCTGGCATCGAGTATGGCACCAAAGGCTATTGCAACCACAAGTAAACAAGTGGGCAGTTGGCTGCAGTGCAATCTAATTTAAGAGAAAGCGGTGAATAGCTTCCACCGCTGCAGGGCAGAGCTCTCTTTTAACTTTTCTGGGTATCACAAAGTCAACTCTAATAAGCATCTCTGCAACTGGAGAGATGTTATTAGTTACTTGACTATCTTTGATAACAGTTGTTCAAACCTTGGTATAGGACAGGATGACAGAAAACTTCAAGGAATCGATTGCCGATAAATTGACAGTGACTGTTCAGCACCCGTTATCAATGCACTGTTTATGTATCAGCCTAAATAAGTAACCACAGCAACAAGGCTCAGTCAAAGCCTCCTGTCACAACAACACACTCATATCGAGTTTTAACAAAGAGGAGCTTCAGCGTTTCTTTGAGACTTTTGGAGAATATGAAGACTTTGATGACTCAGATGCGGTCGAGAAAAAAGAGACTTAGACATGAAAAGGGAAAAGTTTCTGGTTTCAACATTGGTGAGTTCAATTTTTAAGCATTTCCTTTTTCAAACCACAAGAAAAAATACCCGACTTTTATAAGTTAGAGAATCTGAGTTAGTTTATAGGTACAGTGACATGGCTGTTTCACGAGATATTCATGTTTTTACAGTAAAATTACATCAATCAGATATAAGTGTAAGAATTCCCCTGCCTGACCCTACTGGTTTGAAATAACACTGATGTGATAAGACAAGGGCTCTACAAGACCTCTCAACGTTAAGTCATGTTAGGTGAGAGACGGGCCTCCATGGATTGGATTTTACTGTTTGTCACATCCCATGGTGGATCATTAGGTCGAACTTTGATGCACTGTGCTATACCACATAGACCAGCCTTTGCTCCTCAAGTGCATCACGCTAGCTTTCCATGATCCTGTCGCCAGTTCATCACTTTTCCGTCTTAGGACAACGTGTTGTAAGCACAGACTGCAGACTACAGATAAAACCTACACAAGCTGCAGTTCTGACACAGTCGTCTGCATCCTCACACTTGCCCATTTTCTTCTGGTTTTAACAAATAAACTTGAAGGACAAATCAGTGTTACTAGCTTTTTATTTTGCCAGGATACCACTAGCTCAGGACTCATTTATCAAATTAGACTCAAATTTAAGTGATAGCTGAGTCTTGTACTCCTATTCGGACTGCATCAGAACTCAAAGCTTTCAGAGATTTTATACCAGACACCTGAAGTGATCCCTCTGCAGCAGAATCAATGAGTAAGTTCCCCCACATTAGACACAGCACTTTAACTTCTTTGATCATCTCAATCTCCAGATATACCAATGGGATCAGTCAGAATCTAATGGCTATATAAGAAACCGTTTGTTTCACATCCTTATGGTCCCATCAAGTCAATATTTTGGAGTGAAAGTCATCTTGATTGTTATACATGATAATTGTATTTAGGACTTGACTCAGACTCAAGTGGAATTCTTCTCCAGTGGCTTGGACTCAAGGTAAGGTGACTTAAACACGATACCGCTGCGCACAGAGTCTGTGTAAATGCAGAAGGTGGTTTTTGTCACAAGAATAGAGGCAGACAAGAATACAGATGGAAAGCAAAAGATGGTGGAAGCAAAAGGGGTGAACACTATAATGTCTAAAGATAATTTAGCTTTAATTAAACTCTCTATCTGTACAGCAGTGGAGTTGATAATCCCTTTTTCAGCATTGTTCCTTTAACCAGCACAAGTCTACCTTTTGATACTGACAGTTGGACCTTTAACAGTGACACTCAGATGGGAGACCCTTTGTCAATACCCATTAGATAAACCAGAGGACCCTCAAAAGTGATAAAAACAAACTTAATGTAGTCGAACTGCTAAGTGATGTGCCCCCCACAGATCAGACCAACACTCAACAAGGTTTATTCCCTTAATAGAATGCCATTGTTTGTTTAATGCATAATTATGGCTTAATAAGAGAGAGACGATGGTGACAAGTTACACTTCCAGCCAGATAAGTGCTGCCAGGTATCCAAGCAAAGAAGCAGCTAATTTATACCATACACAATGAATAAAAGCCAGTATTAAAATGTTTTTCATGATGTCTTAATAAAGTGAAGAGTGTCTGTATGGTAATGAGATGATAACTATTAAGGTCTTTTATTTCTGGAAGACAATAACAGTGTGATCGAGTGGTAATAAACAACTTTTTCATTGCCAAGAACCATATGGGATGGAAATGATTTTTTTTCAGGAAACAGTAAAACCCTCAGGCGAAACCACAGAAAATAATTAATGGACGACTGAGACCAAAGACTTTATTTAGAAAATGGACAAAAACACAAGATTATAGTCTCACTCATCTCCTTAGCAAGTGACTGTGGTATAAGCAGAATAATGCCTCTCATGATGTTCATAATGAGGGTTTTATGGAAGTGCATTGGGCATTTCTGATCTCCATTTTGACCATAAAAACCATCAGGCATTGTAATCAGGTTTTATTTCTACACAATACTCTTTTTACAAAGTTGTCACCATGGAGAGTTTGGGAGAGCAGAGTGGCCATAAACGAAAAATGAAGTTTGAAGGCATGGAGTTGGAGGTCTTGGTGGAGGAGGCGCATAAAAACACTGGTGAACTCAGCGTTGCCACAACATGTCTCTACTTTTTTTTTTAATCTTCGACAATCCAAATATGTTGAAACACACGCAGAAGATGATTGATTGAAGATGATTTATGCGTAGCGCTGTACAAGTCTGCACCTGCCTTTCAAAAGGTGCTAAATATAGACGCAAAAACACCTACCACAATCAGGTTCAGGTTTCAAAAAATCACATTGCGGGTGTTAAATTATTCCATTTGCATCTCCTCCTCCTAGTATTTTGCGCATTCTGTTAATCTGCATATTCATGAAGGCTAACACGCTATATCGATTGCACGTGGTATTTGCTTATCTAACAGACACGATTCTCTGTGCACCTGGTTCAAAAAACAGCTTTGCGTTTGCTTTCAAGTTTGCACGTTTTTATACACGCAAAACTTAAGTAGAGCAGGCTCTCTGTCATTTCCAGGAAGACAGTCATTGTTGTGATGATAGAGATGAGGGCATCACCAGACTAAAGCCCATCATAAGATCTTGATTCCTATATGCCATCTGTGCTGACAGGCGTCCTCCACAGAGACACTAACAGTATTTACATATTGAACCTATGACACTTTTCTGGCTTTCAGCAACATGGCATGCAGAGTGCAGTCCTTTGATTGTGAAATACATTCCAATATACATATATGCAATATTGAAATATTGACACTGTTTATCTTAATATACACTTATGGAATAAATTTGCTCTACTTCTTCAACTGTCACACTGGAGATGAAAAGAAGAAACCTAACATTTGCAAACTCACTCCGTATTTCACGGTGCTCATTTAACCCAGACTGTGTCCCACTCAGAAACCCAATCATCAAGGTCACGCCTTAATCAGACCAGAAGTACTTCATCGTCATTTACAGGAAGAAAAAAAAAACACCCGGATGTCAATGAGTCACATCCCTCTTGGAATTCATGGCTCAGTGTGAATTTGACTCCAAGCCAAGATTGTGAACTGTACTCATGAAGAGTAATAAGGACCCATATGGCTTACAGCCGCAGCAATGACACCCCTGTTACCCCCAAAATGATACCTTGAGGAATGCAGTCATATGGAGTAACGGGAAACTGTTCAACTTTATGAGGGAGTAGGTTGATTGGCAACAAGGGTGGATTGGTACAAAGCCTTTGAAGGTCATAGAAACAAAAATGGTACATTACGATGTTGGCTATTTTGACCAGTGCGGTTGTGGTAAAATACCTGCATGTTTGATAGGGGAACTGTTTTGGTTTCCTAGACTGAGAAAAATCTGGTTATGTAATACATGTCTTTTAAACACTGTACCAGACAAAGATAAAGTCAGTAAGAGGCTTTCTAGATTCAAACAACAAGATTTTGGTATGAAATTTAGAAGTCGGAACACAGGCAAACACTGAAAAAATCTAAAAATTGTGCCTTGATCAAATAAAGAATTCAAGTTTGATGTCCTGGTGTTTTTTTTAATTAGTTTCATGCAAAATATTAGGTCCAACCATGAACAAAAATGTTGGTAAATTTTCCAGTGACGAATGTTTGCTTTCATTAAAAATGATTTTCTGAAAGGGTGTGTGTTTGTGTGTGAGTCTTACCTTTGGAGAGGTTGCTGTTAATTGCTGTTACTCCACGTCTTCCAGCTGTGGTAAATGGATGCCAAAATCTCCCTTGTGATTGGTGCTGCAGCTCGCACAATTGGAGACGGTGACCTAGAAATGCAAGTTAACAAATAAGTTAACAAAGAAGCGCTATGACCTGTGCTACAGCCAGTCAGTAGGAGAAGTGCTGAATGTTTTGGCATCTTTTTTTGGGCAGCTGTAGGGTCATTCATCTTTAAATACAGTCTATGTTTCAGATATTGACTCAAAAGAAAATAGCAGAGGTTGGATATCATACCACTGCAGGAAAAATACGATTTCTCCTCAGAGAAGCTGCCACAGCCAAAATCAATGATTCTTACTCTCGGTTCTCTGGAGTCAAACTGCACCAGGACATTTTGCAGCTTAATGTCCTGGTGAAAGACACCCTTTGAGTGTATGTCAATGGCTGCGTCCAGCAGCAAAAATACGAAAAGACAAAGATTTGCACCTCTAAACACAGATTTTTATGTTAAGCAGGTTTATTTAAAAAAAAAAAAAAGAAAGAAATGGTTCCAATTTCATCTCTACAACAACCAGATTCCCTTAATGGGGCAAATTTAAACAATAGCCAGTTTGAATGTTGATAAATCCTCAAAACGAACCATCAGACTTTTAAGGGACAGAATTCAGAGGATGTTAATACAGTTTGTTATTATGTGACCTAAGTCATCTTGCTACTACTATGACATCCATTAGCGACTTCCCTTACTGAGGAGTTACAAACAATTTCTTTAAGTCTCATCAGTATTTCATAAAGCTGTTGATGGGACACTTTAGGAGATTACAAAGAAATTAAAATATGCATAAACAATCGTTAGGCTGCAATTTCTACAATTTTGATCAGTCAACATTCAAATGACCAGTCATTTCCTCCTGAGGGTTTATTTGAAATATTGCTTGGTAAATGTGTGTCAGCCAACTCTGTGAGTGGACTGGCACAAAGGGACATTACTTTGGTCTTAAATCACCATGGAAAATTTATAGCTGTGACCTTTCACCTTCAATTATCTGATGATTAGAGTATCCCTTTATCACAGCGGTTGAATTTGGCAGACTGGAAAATTTGCCACTCATAGCACCCTGCTGTACCTCACTAAAGGCAAATAACAGGTTGTTCAAACAACAGAATAGTTCACTGTGTTTCTGAACCTCAGTTCATTCGGTGGGAAATGATTTTATACATACATATCCTCACATGCTGTATATCAAACACTCTGCTGACAGTTAAATCACTCACTAATCAGCCCCCAGCAGCTGAGCTGCTTTAATTAATCACCTCCGAGGATAAACTGAAAGACTTACAACACCTCCCAGTGATACATTCAATTTGGCCTGCAGCATAAGTAATTGATTTCATGCTGTAGAGGCATAATTCTCTCTTATGGATATTCTGTCAAAAACTTACTTCATCTTCAATGTTCACAGAGTCCTTTATGAAAACACAGAAAAGCAAGCTTCATAGCTTTTATAGTGCTAATACCTCTGCACAGCTGTGTCAGAACTCCAAACTCATTTTTATTTTCTAACAACAGCTAAAAACCAGACTGTTGGGACTTTATTTCCATCCTGTTACCATTTTTTTCAATCTGGCTCGCATAAAAAGTTCTAGGTGAAGCGCTTTTCAAAAATACCTTTTTTTGCTTAAATCATAATTTGTCAATTGCCCTGGGCTCCTTTGTTAAACTGTTTTAATTGAATGTATTAGGTTTACTCCTTTTCAGTTCCCATTAAAAAAAATTAGAAAATCAAAGTAGATATTCTGTTTCCTTTATTCTGCCTGTTGGAGGTTACAAACAATTTTAACTGTGATCACACAGTGATGTAATTCAAAGAAGATTAACTTACAGTCAAGAATAAAGTACAAATACAGAAGTTGAACATGTTTCCCCTTTTAACCTGGGGAACTTGGTATTTATGGCCCTAACATGAGGTGGGTACAAAGATTAGAAAATTAAGGACCCCATAAAGAGTGCCCACCATTTGACGATTGAACACTGCAGTTTTGTTCTTGCCTCTGGAAAAAAACATCAACTATTAATTTCTGCTTTTACCAGTTCCTGCTACCCCGGGAAGTCAATCACAGCAGTGGATCACAACATGAACATCAATGTTCTCACCATGAAGACGAAAAGACATTTTTTTATTTAGTCTTGTTCACCGGGGGCCTCATTAGACAACAAAATGTTTCCAATGAAACTTTTACAAAAACCTTTTCAACATCCTTACATTTGAGGAATTTTTAGAGCTTTCTCCACTTCCTGTTTAGCTTGCAGTCGAGAAAACTGCTATACATATTGCAACGACTTCAGCCAGTGCCAGTGACAGTTTCATGCCCAGGTGTATGCTCATGTTTTTGTGAGTACATGATCTCATCTGTGTACCTTTATGAGTATGTTGGTGTCAAGAAAAATGTATGTCTTTCTTGAGGCATCAGAGTGCAAATAAATCACTCATATAGAGACGGGTTTATACTCTGCTGGTCACCAACAATGGTACCTAAAAACTCATCAGCTAGATAATTGTGCTTCTGATCTTCTCTGGTCTGGTGTCAATGTCTCCATTGTAGTCCAATCAGTGACAGGTTTTTAAGTTTTTAGATCCTCTCTTTATACTTCTATAAAGTTTCTGTTTCTCTGTGGTGCACCACTCTTCTCTTCCTGTCCACTTGATGCTGTCTTTAAAACCTGGAATACACCAGTTTTTACAATCTTAACTGACCGAGTTTTTTTCTTTCTTCTGACTCTCATGAGTGGAGATCTCATGAAGTCTGTCATGGTCGAAGGTGATTTTGGCTCACTGTTGCTACCTGCTTAGCTTCCTGGTACTTCAAATGGAGTAGCAGAAATTTCTTTCCAACACCTTCCCATGTCAACATGGCTGCAGTTTTTTTTTACCAAACACATTGTGTCAAACACTTTTGTTGTTGTTATGTATGAAGAAGTGGATTCTATATTTTGGATGTCCCTCTTAGTTAATGCTCCGCCTTTGCTATTGTTGCTGTGGTTGAACATGTTGAATATTCACGATTTCATGTCTGAGAGGCGCTGATCGTCTTCAGCTCAGACCAGATGGTATAAAAATCACTCTGAACAACCTCATACCACAGTATAATCTAGCAAGATAATCTCAGGTCTTTGCAAAGGAAACAGCAATTAAAAGTTGTTTTCTGCTATTTTTGTGCAGCCGCCTTGTTTTCTGTTTCTCATCTGAACTTGAACTTCATTGGAAATGTCATATTTAAAAAATGTAGTGCAACAAACATATTTTGTTCTGATTCCAAATGTTACTTCATCAGCACAGACCTTTCCGAGCACACAGAAAAGTGCAGAAACAGTTTTATTACATGTAGAATGTAGCATTCACAGGTCGATATCACTTTACAACAAAAAGTACCTCTCATTTCACCTCCTTCTTTTTTATTGCTCAAAGCTACTGGCTGCATATTACATCTCCATGGCAAGAGTATCCGTAAATCAAAAGTCTACCAAGGACAGAGGAGGCAGCGTATAACCTGAAACAAGGAAAAGGCAATTGTACAACCTTGGCCGACCCAAAGTCAGTAAAGCAAGGTAATGCAAGGTCACTGCAAAAAGAGGCTGCAAGCAGAGAGCGATGGAACAATCAGGGGAGAGAAATTGAAGTGGACTGGACCAGGGAAACAACATGGGCAACATGTGTTTTGAGGTGGGAGTGATGTGCCAAGGGGTCATGGTCTTGAGTGGTTGATTTAGACCTTCAAAAAAACCTTCATGTTAAATCGATTTGCCACTTGGTGATGGTGATAAAGTGATTGTTTAAATCTGCAAATGAAAAAAGATTAGAATTTATTGGCATGCAAGAATAATAGAAAAAAAAACTAATCTCTTTTAGATGGGGTGATGGATGGAAATAGAAGTCATCGGGTAAAAGGAAAAGAGGGTAAGAGAAGAAGGGACTGAAAACAAAGGAGTTTTTAGAGTTGGTCAGTTTACAGTGGGGGACCCTGTATTGTCTGCCCAAGGGGAAGAGCTTAAACTCAGGGTGGAGGATGTGTGATGAGTTGGACAACACTCTCTGTGCTTGCTTTAGAGCAGACTGCTCATGTATTGCCAGGGGAGAGAGGTTTTCAGTCCCGCCCATGACCTTTATAGTCGTCTGGACCAAACAGGCAAGCAGGCAAACTGTGCAAGGAGGCTGGTATAGCTTGTCAACATCCCACACCTGATTATACTCTCCAAACACAGTCATGGTCCTCCCCGCACACTCTGAGTCCAGATAGAAAATACAGTCTTTGCTGGATTTTGTCAACATAATCCCACCAGCTGAACAAGATCAAGACCAAACAACTACAAATACAGCGTTCATTGATTCCTGATATGAGCTTTTATGTGCTACTAAAGATGGTAAAATTGACTTGTCTGTAACATATGACAGCCTACTTTTTGTGCCAGTTTCCCATCTGGTTTCTCAATGAAGGGGCCAGGTTCACCAAGATCCCCTATGGGTAATACACTTTATTTACCTCATATAAACCTTCTTTGAAAAGCACATACTGTTCCTTTAATTTTTGAAAGTTGTACTAGGCACTGATTGGTTTTGATTAACTGGGATTAAATTGGTCAGCTTTTAATGCACCAAATGCAAAAATAATTACATACAGCATTTTAATGACTTAAGGCACAGGGACAGGAAACTTTTGGTGCTGATATGACATTTTTTCAGTGTTTCCTCATAAGTCCGTTAATTTAAATACTCCAACAGCTTCGAGTCACTCAAGAAAGTTTTAGATAGGCATTAAAATAGTGTAGGATCAGAACTTCTCGACCCTTTTAGCATACAAATACCCCATGGAGATTAAGTAATTAAAACTTTAATTAATTTATTATGATTGTAGGGGTCGTGTACCGAACACATTGGGCTCATTATGCAGTAATTACGTGTGATTTGAAGTCTATTTCACAGTTGAGTAGACTACTGAACTTTGTCTGCCTGCTTGCAGTTTGTTGTTTACCAGCACAGTGAGAAGCAATGGACCCTGGGTAAATTTTAAGTGGGACTAGGCGTGATTGTCCTTTAACTATTTATCTGCTGGCATGGCTGTATAAGAAGAGATACCTGTTGCATGAGGAGAACATAAGGTTTCCTGTTTATGGATAAAGTTTGGAGAAGTTTGAGTATCTGCAGCTGTGTATGTGTGTTTGTGTGTGTGCATGGGTGTTTGTGAGTGTGTGTGTTTTCAGTGGAGATAAATGAGACAGATTGATGAAAGGCAGCGCTGTCATTCCAGATTAAGTGAAGTGGTAAACCTCAATGCTTCATCTTTCAGCTGATCTCATTTGATCAAAATTCCCACACACACATCTAACAGCTTTATCACTCACAGCCCCTGTCATCAATCCTACTTTTGTTTGTTTGTTTTCAGGTGTTTTAAATTTGCACACAGCATTTCATCTTTGGGATCTGACGTTTTCTTTAGATGATCTCAGAAATGATTGACAGTCTAGTGCCGTTACAATGATGGTTTAATGTCAGTCGTGCTGGGATTGTAACCAGCGAACCCTAACTAAAGCATCACCAATGTCATGAATGCATCCATAGATATCCAGGCATTGCCTTGACATCAGTACATTAAGCTCTGCCGCATGTTTCAAGATCCCAGCTTGTGGCCGAAGATGACTGATCTTTGCAATCTGAGCACAGACTGTGGAGCTCTGCCAGTAACTATAAAACACTGCACATCTTCAGCTTCTTTTAAATCTCTCACAAACCATCTTTTATCAGAAACCTTTTTTGAATCTTAAGACATCCCGGCGCTTTTCTGTGTTTTTTTTTTTATCTTCTGACTAATGTGCATGCCTTTATTTGCTGTTTTATCTACTTTCTTTTCATCTTCCTACAAAAGTTTTTAATTTTTACCAATAAAGAACCTGCAAAAAACACTCAAAGCACTTTTAAATCACACCACATTCACCCAAGCACACCACACTGATGGCAGAGGCTGCTATCTTGGGAGCCAGTCAGTATTAACCAATAGCATTCACACATGAGGGGGCAAGATGGGGTAAAGTGTCATGCCCAAGGACACTTCGACATGGGGATTGCAGGACCTGGGACAAACCCTAACCTCACTGATGAGAAACAATCAACTTTGCCACTAAGCTGCAGTCACTCCCACTCTTCTTCTGTTGGATGCCTCACTTAAGTATTCACATAAATCTTAAAGACTTCTGAATACGCTCCGCTACCTGGCAGGAAAACTGAAGGGTTTAGTGGGTGATGGAGGCAGGGGCACATTAAAAAAAAAAAGTTATAAAAATAATAAAAAGAAGAAGAAGAAGCGGAAGAGATGGCCGATTTAGATGTTAAAACTGGTGTTTCTTGCAGAAAGACAGCAAAATATATTTATGTGTGAGTCATGATTACTCTTTTCTGATGATAAATTAAAAAAAAATAAAAAATAAACATCACACCTGTGGAAACACTACAATGAGCTTTTCTGTTATACAGTAGTTTGTATGTGTGGCACGAGGGAGCTACATTGATTAAACTGACAGTTCGTTCACCGCCCTGTGCAACGATACACCTCATCCTCCTGCTGGTGCAAATGAGGACACTTGACATCAGCTGATTTTCAACTGTTAATTTTCAGCTTTCAGACCTGTGATTTTGCACCAGGATAGTATAATCATTCTCATTATAATTCAAATTTTATGTATCATTATGTGGTTTTTGGTATACAAGGTTTCTGCCTGACAGCAGCTATGTAGCTCTGGCTCACACTTGGCCAGTTCTGCAGCCCCTCTTACACCAAACTCAAACTTGCTGCTCATTCCCACAACTACCAGAGCTTGTAGCTGTGTTTTTTTTTTTCTGTTTAGGGGGTACAATCCATCAAATTTTCAATATTTTCCATGTTCAAATGGAGGGCATAAACAAATAGCATTTTTCCAGTAAGAGAGGTCCTGTTACTTTACTGTAAGAACTTGGGAAGATAAATGCAACTCAGCTGAGGTGGCTTTGGCAGTGAGTCACAAATGAACCTGAATGTAACAAAGCGGCGGCGCTATTAAACAAATGATGCCGGCAGTAAGACATGATGAAAATGGCGAGATTTACAATAGCATTTTCTAAAAGGATTGAGAGCCTTTATTAAACATTTATCTTTCAGGAGGCAGCTAAGGAGGCATTATTGAAAACACATTTCAGCTTGGCGATGGTTCTGCATCTATAAAGCAAAAGCACTAAACTGCTCTGTAGTGTTGTAAAGCAGAAAGCTGCTAAATTCTAAGTGAATAGAGCAGAACGGAAACACGATGTGAAAGAAGAAAAGTGACTTTTAAGTTTCCAAACTTTAGCAAAATAGCACAATAAGGTAAACCTGTGAAGACTTTCTTTTTCGCAGAAGATAAAGATATTTTCAGATGTAGTATTTTCTCTGTGAACAATGAATGTCCTCAGTCACCTTTTTGTTTTCTGGTGGGATTTTTTTTTTAAATGTAAGATGTACTCTGCAGAACTGAGCAAATAGTTTCTCTATATGAGACTCCTGCATGAAGATTAAGCTCGGATTAAGCTCATAATTCGTTTCTTTTGCCGAATCTGACTTCTCTCCTTGTCCGCGTATACATGCAGCTGTGAAAATAGAATTATTGACGTGAACGTGTCCTCCTTACCAAAACTAGGGGGCAATATGGGGCTTTTCAGCTGTGCTGTTTCCAGACCTTTTTTAAAGATGTCTGTTTTCCTCAATGTCCATTTCTGTCAGGAGGGAGAGCATAACGGCACTCTCGTCATTCCAAAAGTGGACATGCTTTCATGCTTCAGCCATGTTGCAGTTGCTTCTGAGTCAAAAGTTCTTAAAATGATAGTGCCACTTCTTCTCTGGTATTTTTGCTCCAGGGTTACGGATGCGTGGCGCACACGCACATGCATTGTCTGATCATACTCCAACTACGCTGGTTACATGGTAGAGAAAATCTAATTCCAGTATCTGGGTGTTTTAATCGGAGTTCTCCGACTCAAATCGGAGTTCTCAAACTCCAGTTATAGTCAGACTAAAATGTTTACCATCACTTCAGCTGTCCAGTTGTAATTAGAGTAAGGCAATAATTCAGTTTTCTTGAGCATCATGTAAACGTTCTGAGTGATGGACTCGTCAGGGCTCCCCTACAAACAAGCAGCTGCTGGAGGAGAGTGGGTGAGCTGTGTTTGGTCTCTTTGCTAAAGAAACCAGGCAAAGCTAAAAAGATGTTTGATGGCTTGTACTATGGCTGTTGATGAAGTTAGGTGCTGTTCTGAGCTTTATTTGTGGCAATAGAGTGGCTTTCTGATTGAGGTTTGTATGTGGAGACATAGACCGCTGTGTATTGCTATCATGCGGCAGTTACTAAAGTTGGTATAACTCGAGAAGCAAGCAGTCAGCAACATTCATCTCTCAAGGGGGTGTCTAACTCTGTGTTAGGGCGTTTTTGACCATGCCTTAAAATTTCTGCCGTAATACCCCTTTAAAACAAATCTGTACTTATCTGTTGCTGGTTTCGTCCTGTAAATGGCTTTAACGACCAACTTTACCACTCATTTTGCTCTTAAAAACATTTAAAAGGCTTTTTCCTTCACCCTGCTATTAATCATTTGGTCTTACACCCACTTTACTGCAGTCTCTAAAACATTTTCAGTTGTGTTGCAGATAGCCTTGGTTGTTTTTGTAGCTTGTAAAAGAAAAATCATTATTCATTTCAATCAATTTCACAACCAGTTAAAAATCTCACAGGAGCTTTGAGTGAAAAGAAGCATTAAAGCAGGACTCAGCTCACATTTGGTGCATTCAGAAGAAGGGGGATGAAAAAAGTATGACGCAAAAGATAGCAGTTAGGGAATATGAGACCATAGTGTGATAGTTGGATAAGATCATTCTGAGCTGTGATTGTCGCTGGAGTAGTTTTTACTCTGTTTTTATCACAGGCTGGCTGTCATATCGTTGCCGTCGGTGACCACTGTTTCAATACATCTACATGGTGCCAGTTTTGTAAAATCCATTCCAGCCCTCTGGGTGTCTGAGGGGAAGATGATTATGATTGAAATAAGTCGCCTGGGGATAGAGAAGGTCCTTTTCAATCTTCTAGTTGATAGGTTTACAAAGTGAAAAATCTTGGGATGACCGCTTTTTATTTTTCCATATCCTGTCGTATTTACTTCTTGGGTGCCTGTGTGTATTGCCGAGCAGTTTGGGGTATGAGCAGCCACTCAAAAACACATCCAGGTGTGTGGATATGAATTTGCCTGCCTGGATATGATGCATTGCGAGTGCAGAGGAGACAGCGCTGACTGGGACAATGATGGGCGACACTAAGCTCTCACATACACCTGTCGCACTCTGTGAATCAGGGATGACAACCACTCGATTACTGCGGAGACGACTGACAAAGTGACAGAAGAAGGGGACTAAAGAAAAACTGGAGAGAAAAAAAGTGAGAAAGAGAGGATAAAAAGTGATGGGATAGAGGTGAAAAGGGGTTGTAAACACTTGGTAAACACTTGCTTTCTGTGAAATGGAACACATCGAGTAGCTTCGCGGAGCATTAGTGACCCCAAGAGAAAGTGGCTTTGGGTGAGACGAACACAGGAGTAAACACAGCTACAAGCAAACAAACCCTGAAACTTCTGCTGGGTCACGGTTGTTTTGCAGTCTAGAAACCTAAATATACTCATGTTTTGCGCATGGATTTTTTTTTCAACAAAGACGCTTCCCAGGAGTTAAATTATGCCTCTATACCTCTGAGTGCACCAGCAGCATTTTAGTTTTGCATGTGCATATTTGGGTGTTTTGCTTCGCGAAGTCATTAGTGTCAAATGTGGCATGGCAATTAACATAATCCTCTGTCTGTTGAAAGTATAAGTACAAATGTGCAAAGAACAAACTAATTACTTTGTCATCTGTCAGACAGAGGGGAATGAAGGACAAAGGGAAAAAACACAACGTCCATGCAACTACAGACTGAGAATGTGAAGAAAAAAAACAGACACAATAGCGTAAAGGTATAAAGCTAAGCTCCCTCAGCAAATAAAAGGGAAAAACAGAAGACACAGATAACAAGAGTGGAACAGTGATAAAAGAAAGATGCAAAGAAAGAAGTATCTCTCAGGGGACAGCTTAAAGAACAGCAGACATATGTTAATTAACTTTTCTCCTCATACTCCCAATTTTAGCAGCTCGACTTTTAACTATTTCACGTGTTCCTCCATAGAGCACATTGAGTAAGAACAAATTTACGCCTCTAATCCAGGGAAATGTGCTACACTATTGAGACTTCAACATCGTGTTTTGTGCTACAACTACAGCCTTTACTGGTTTATGCTGTGACCATAGACTGTATATAGACTGGACGCCATCTGCCTGCTCACTGGGTGAAGCCACAGTGAGAACAGCACCATCTGGTGACGGGCTGCAGTATAGGTCATAAATCCCGCCTCCTCCAGCAATCCCTATGGAGCTGTGGAGTTACTGTAAGACTGATTTGTGCTCAAGTCCTCTTTTTTCTGTGCAGCTCCATTTTTAAAAGTTATTAGGGGTTCATGTTTTCTATGATTGACACTTGATACAGCCTATGGGTGTACGAAGATTGCATAGCTCACCCATGGGGATACGCTGTTTGAGCCAAGCGTCATCACAGTGACTCCAGGTGTAAAAGCGTACAACACTACTGTGCAATGTTGGATTCACGAAAAACCCAGCAATACTGAGAGCTTTTTGGCTTCAAATCTGTATACTGGCAGAAGGAGGAACCAAGTTGTCCATAGATACAGTCTATGGTTGTGACCGATCCAGGAACAGCTAATCATAACACTTGATCAGCATCTTCATCTCACATCAATCATGCTGTTACACTATAAGCATTTTGGGTGTAAATTAAGATGTCATTATTCAGCATAGAAAAAGGAGCCAAGACAAAAAAAGCAAACAAAAAAAAAAGTGTCTGAAAATGACGTTAAAAAAGGGTTCAAGACCGGCTACATCAGCCTGCTGGATAGGTTCGTGTTTTATATTTCCCCGGGAGCTGCTTTGTCAGGGACATTAACCTCAAGGCAAAAATCCCGCAGGGCTTAAACTGAAGAGCGATTCACATAACCACTATGAATCAGTAAGGACAAATTTGTGCTTCCCATCCAGAAAAAGGGAAGCCTGGGCATTCACCCTAGAGCCAGACTGGGCCTTGGCCTAGTGAGCTCAAAGTGGTTCAGCTTGAAAAGTGCCAAAAACACAAAGGGATAGGCATAGAGGCTGAGAATAACAAGAGCCAAGTGACAGGCAGAAGAGGAAATCTTGGCCTGCTGTTCTCCTACAGAGCAGACTGTTCTGGTTCAAGAAACACCAAATGTCACCTCTCTGGCAGGGAAGACACAGGAGCCTGTGCAGACGGAGGACTGAAATCAGCAAAATACAGTCAGACTCAAACCATGAAAAGTACAAAAACTCTCAGAAAAGGTTTGAACTCTCTCTTTTTCACCAAGTTAACTGAGGTGAGAAGAGCTGAGTGTGAGGATGCTTACAAGCCATGCCCAGACCCCGCTGGGTTGGAGTATGAGAGGGTCCCCTCTGTGTGACTGCAAGTTGGAGGAAGATAGATGAGCTGTGACCTCTGTTGATTTTGCTCATGTATCAAACAGCACTTTAGACAACCCATTGTCACAGCTCATGGTTGGAAAACAGAAAAACATGCCGTCAAAGTTTTCGTAAGTTTTGTTATTGGACTTCTGAGTAAGGCATGGTCTGGCACCTAACCCCTTACACTGGGTCCATGCATTAAAAATGACAATGAAAAATTCATTAGTCTTGCTACTGATGGTCTTTTTTGCTTTTAGATACTATGAACAAGAATCCATCTAAATTTTAGTCAACTTTATAGAAATAAAAAATACTCACAGGAGCTTTAAAAATTTTGTCCATGATGTCCTGATAGAAAAAAAAAAAAAATCTCCTGTCTGATGTAGAGACAACTTCTCAGAAAGGGAACATGTCTTACCACGCTCACCCATCACAAATAAGTTTTCCACTCACCCCCTCACTTGAGATTTAGCTTTGAACAAGTGGTGAAACTGATCACATTACATACTGAACATTTCTTGTTGCCCCTCAAAGCTAATTAGAAGTGACCCACGTATCTTAATTTATACTTTAATTATCGAGGTGCACCTTCAACTTTAATGTGAACTCAAATTAAAAAAATCATCCTCTCCTTTTTCTTAACCTTCAGTAGCAAATATAAAAACTGAGTGACTTGCTCACTACATCACAGCAGAGATAAAGATGCAAGTCTTGTGTCACACTGTGACATACAGTAATTTTGCTTTTCTTCATGTATTACAGAGGCTGTCATGAAGTTGCAGGATCAGATACACAAGTGGACATGTCTGAACTGGAAAAGGTGCCAGAAAGGACTGATGGGGGTGTTTATGGCCCCTTAATGTGGAAATCGTTGGGTGCTGTAGGGCCATAATTATATTGTTCACTGTTGCAGATCCCTTGAAATCGCCAAACAATTTTGAAGTTATTCTTATTTATGTGAGGTTTTATGATGAACTGGATTTTAAGTGATCTTCTTTGCTTTTATTCTGAACATTTTATCATGTCATCTAGCTTGCCATCTGACTGTCCTTTTACTGAACTGTCAAAATAAGCAAATTAATAGAAAATGTCTCATTGTTTTTTGTTTAAAATGGTAAATTAAGACTAGGTGACTTTTTTGATTATCAATCCCAACTGTGTGAAAAGAGAAAAGAAATAACCAAAGAGAAAAAACACGCCAAATTTTGGTTCAACAGTTATCCCGTTCATAAAACCATGGTTATTATAGTTTCTCCAATGCTACTCTGACCTGTACGAACTTGAGGGATCTGTAACATTTCACTGGTGGGTGAAATTTGTGTTTTCGTTAGGAAGAGGGCTGTGATGTCAATCCCTTGGCTCCTCCAGCCTGATTGCTTCTACACATCTTGGCTCCACAATACATCACCAGTTCAATAAGTCAGCGCCCACTGAGGTGGTATTTTGACTTCCTTTAGCACAACAGGAGGAGATGAAGGTGTGACATCCATATTAACACACAGTCAATGGTCTAGAATCAAAATGAATAAATCACAAGATTTTAATGTTGCAGCCACTCGTGGATATTTTTTGTATCTACTATGACAAGCAGATTGAGGGAACAGCGAAGAGTCGCGTCCGCCAAAAGTCAGCAAATTCTGTTTGTGTTCTGGAGAGGGCAGTGAAACCAAACAATGCTTTGGCCCTGTCAGCTTACCTAATGATGATAAACACAAAAAATAAAATGACAGCCTGTCGTCCATAAATGTTGCAGAATCAGACAGCCATCTGTGAGGACTAATTCAGTCTGCCCGGTGTCTGCTCTCTTCCACCTACCTCTCTGCTCAGTTATTTATGAAGTGGAAAGTGCATTCTCATCCAGCATCTGCTCTTTTGGAGAAGATATCACTGGAGGGGAAAGCTTGGTTGAATTTCCCTCACAGATGACAATTTAAAAAATCTAATTTAATTCCCCAAATAATTGAAAATTGACCCATTAATGAAGAATAGATGAAGTCAGAGGTTCCCTCAAATTACTGCATTTCATCCCAAGGGTAACAAAAATGTGAACATGAATTAATGGTTATCTATTATGTGGCAATCTGTAAAGGTAATTGGATTTATTATCAAATTATTATCCCATATTTTGTGAAATTTTTAAGTTAGCTGATTCAACATTTCTGAAGATAAATGAGGTCTCAGGCCTATTAGTTGCACTGCAGGAAAGCCAGTGGGTCTTTAAGACAGCAGATAGCATCCAAGAAAAAAACCCCTAAATATGATCCTGTTCTCAGTGGTCTGTAAGTTGTGATTAGGATATTTTTACCCAAAATCACGTTACCTGTGTCATTTTCAAGGGTTTTTCATCTGCAGAGATCCAGTAGCTCATTAGCAATTCGCCTCTGAGTCATGGGCGGAGACATTGCTGCTCTGCACACTCCTCTTCATGCTAGCTTGTAGCCTAACGGTGTAATAGAAGTAACAGGTAACATAGGAGCTATTCAGCTCTCAGACACTAATGTCTTTGGGGACATGATGAAAGTTAATATCATAATTAGCTTTCTTATGAGCATTGCAATCTGCTAACTCACATGCTTGTTCTGCGATTGTCCTCTCTACTTTTGCAAGTCTGACCTGCATAGCAGGGCTCTAGGGGTGGAGCTTGGATTTGCTACATAGGAAATCTCAGTTTCTGAACCTGCCGCTTAGATTTGCCAAAGATTTACAGTGATTTGATTACAGAAATACTGAGAAATTGAATTTAGCACTTACTGTCCTCATATGTCCTCTAACATCAGAAAAATGCCATATGAACACGTAGACAACAAGAAAAAATATGATTTTCATCAGAGTGAGTCTTTAACTTATGATAAGCAAAACAGTTATTTGGGTGTTGGATAGGTATGTAATAGTTTGGTATATATTTAAACGGCTTTTGTAAATCCAACAAACTGTGCATCCTGTGCATATTCTTCAGCAGCCCCTCTGCTCACTAACAAGATCATCCCTCTCTCCCTCAAACTTCACCAACTTTTCTTCTAATGTTGAAACTCCATTTTGTCGGATTTCACAGTCTTCCCATCCCTTTTACTGACCTGCATGGTTCCTACAACAAAGTTAGTGATGCAGAGAGAGGCGGCCACTAACATTATCAGTGTGTGTGTGGGAGAGAGAGGCAGACTGACAGAATGAAAAAGTCAGTGACAAAACAACTTTCATGAAAGAGTTCACACTCTGTTACAGTACTCCCTGGGAATAACAGCAGTGTAGATTGAATCGCTGTTGTCGCTGCTTATAGCCCACTGTTTCCTGCAGTGCTTGTGAAGGTGGGTAGTCCGCACGCAGAAGAGATCAGACAGAAAATATCAAAAGAAATCTAAAAGCCTGTAAAGCTTTCTTTGAGAGTGTCAGATATGTAAATTGATTTGAGACCTCCTATTGAGCGACTGTATGTGCTGTGTGATTAGAAATCTGTAGGCTATCATACGGTGTCAGTCATTATCAGTGAGCACAGTGGAGGTCTCGATCAGACCACTTTGGAGAGCTTTGAAACAGGAGCCTATAATTTGTTTAATGAATCTGTGACAGTTCACGGTCTTAGTGTAATACATACACATAGCAGACTATAGTAAATAACATTGTTTTCCTTCCAACAAAGGAAGCTCTGCATATTTCAATTTCACAGACTGCACATCATTTCCTGCCAGAATTCCTCTGCATATTATCTGCTATACTACTTCAGTGGTAACCCCTCTGGAAGCAGCATTACTAGGCTGTAAATTGGATAATAAAAAATTTAAAGAGTTGTGGAGCTCTTAAAAAGACAAGTGGGGCTGATTCACCTTCCTTGCACTATTATCCTTAAATAACTTGGAGAGTTGAGGAGCTTTATATGTAAGTATATCTCCAAAAGACCTTATAGAACCATGTTACTTTTCTAGGTTGCAATTACAATGCACATTACAGTCCAAAATATATCTTATACTTGGTCTCAGGGTTAAAAAAAAAAACTTGGCACAGACATTAAAAGTGGTGAAAATGTATGTATGCAAGAGGTCCTGTGCAATGGCAAAGCAAAACAGCTCCATAATGCATGTTTTTAATTTTCAAAAGGAGTCCACCTACACCAAAAAGAACAAAGTATGGAACACATTTGGTATTTTAGTGCATCTAGATCAACAACAAAAGCCACTTGCTTGGTTACCCAAAGCCCAAAATCAAGGATTGTAAATTTACAGGTTAAACAAGCTTCTTCTAGGCTTTTCATGATCCATCTAAACATGTAAGACTCCCAGACTCCCACACAACATTTAACCTGACCTGATCCAAGGATGGCAGAAGACAAGGACACCCTCAACATTAGGACCACACACACGTCTGTTTCACCGTAGCCACAGTCTGGGACTAAGACCAAGCTCTTGGATGCATTCTCTCAAGCACATGCAGAAATAGACACACACTGACAAAGATGCTCAAACCTGACTGAGTATTTCATTTCATTTTTTCCATTTTTTACTATCCTTAACCACCACCACCAATTATGATGCCCATGGATTGAGAGGAATGGAGAGGTAAAATTTGCACCCCAAACCATATGTAATGCCGGGATTTTGTGCTTGCCTTAACTCAACGTGCGGTGTGCACTTCAGATGGTCTGGATAGAGGTCAAAGTGACCAATTAGCCTAAATCTACAAAGGCCATGTGATCTTACTCAAACTGTCTACAGCTCTCTTTAATGATTCCTGGTCATTTGGTTCAGCGAGAACCAGCTCTCTCGGCTCTTTGCTTGCTTGCGTTCATGCAGTGTAATCGGACAACATGAAAATGACAGCGTGAAAGAAAATTTAATTGGAGATAAATTACAGTTACCAGATTCATGGCGGTGTGCCCAGCTTCCAGTAAGACCCACCATTAACTGTCGTTTACAGTCTGATCCAAATTTCACATGTTTGAGGAGAGCCTGTGTTATCGACTCTGTCCTCAGTCATGGTTTCATCACACAGTACCAAAGCACCAAAGCACAAGGACCCATTCAATGCACGATTTTATTTTTTGATGTGGTTGATATGTTTGTTGGAAAATTTACACACAGGGTGAGTAAAAAGCTCTTGTTTTGTTAATCAAACAGTGTTTGAGGGTCCCTAGTTTGGACAGTTGATCTTTTAGATAGTTTGACAATCAAACTCTGAACCTCATATTGGTGCATAAAGATAGACAGTTAACTAACAAGATGAGCAAAATAGTGAAGATCTGGCCATTTTCAGTGTCAGAGACACAGAAAAAAGGTACTTTCAGTGGGATGCTTTAGAGGGAATTCAGCCTGAAAACGGCCCTGAACTAGATCCACTGCCATAGTGACAGGGGTCATGCTGCACAAAGTGGACTGCGCTCTAAACTCCTTTTTTTATTATTATTTTTTTTTTCAGTAAAAATCCTGAAATGGATTTTGAGACCCAACTGACACCTTAGAAAACAGAAGTAAATGGTCATGTTATAATACACTAAAATAACCTTACAAGAGAGGCTGATTGTCTCACAACTTGCAGAAATTCCCCATGGATGTTACGGGCTCATTCCTATGTTCCCACATTTTTAACATTTTCTTTGTCACAGAAAATTAGGCCCTGTGTTCCCTGGATACATTGTGGATATATTAGATTATATTTTAGATTTTATCGTCCTTTACAAGGATAATTGTTTCCACCTCTGTACACTAACCATTTTGTACGCATTACATCACACCCATAGACATCTTTCCACATGTATTTACACAACGGTGTCCTTGCAGCAGAACATGCACTGTGTGATAAATCTCAAATGTGGGACTATTGGACTGTAGGAACATAAGGCTGTGGGAACACAGGCATGGACCTGATGTTACAGTTAATTTACAACGGTTGAGACCTTCATTATATGATTCCTATGTAAACTCCCTAATGCAGTTATCTGCACCTCTACCTCTGAAACAATAATGTTTTATGTCATGCCTGAATGCAACAAGTGGAACAGAGACTGTCTGCAGATCAGTTAAACCTGTTTAACTGTGACATTTACACTGCATTGCATCAAAAAACATTTTCCCAATGAGTCTAAAATGAATCCTCTGACTTACTCTGCAGTGTGACTGTCATTTCCTGATTAAATTCACTCTATATGGCTGTGGGTTGTAGAGCACTGTGTGGAGTCTTTCTTCCAGACAATCCTCAGCTGACTTCTGCTTCATAATAAGTGAATTTCACGCCATTCAGCCTGAGAGAGTCCCGAGTGAAATAAACACCAAAGCACAGCGCCTATTCATAGCTCATTACAGCTAGCATAATGGTTACATAAACAGCTCTGCTGGACAGAGTCAGTACCATCATTTTGAATGTTCATTAGAAGAATGTAATCAAGACAGTCAGCTAATTAGCCTGACTACTGTATTACCATCCATTTGCCATTGTAAATCAGCTCTTTCTTCTGTATGCCTGCTTGCTGCTGCGTATGCGTGTGCCTGTGTCTGCAGTTATCCTTATGAATGCAGGAGGCACAATAGTCTGTGTGTGTATGGGTTAGTGTGTGTGGGCTTGCCTCCATGCCAGCTCATTTAAATGTCTGAGTTGAGTACTTGGATCCAGACATGGTATTGAAAGGCGAGAGCTCGAGCCAGCCTGCTTTGAAGTCTCATTTCCTGTTGGACTGATGTATTAGCCTCACCTTCAGGCACCTGTTCAACACATAAAGCACAAAACCACAGTCAGACATATGAAAAAAAATGCGGAAAATGATTCGATAATAAATTGGAGAAGGAATAAATAACAAATAAAGCCGTCTTTAAACTTCTTGCCAAAGCTGGGATGGTGGAAACATTGTTCAATAGTCGGTGGTCGTCGATCAGCAGAAGAATTTGCATCTGAATTTTGTTTACTATCTGTCCTAGTTTTGGAAAAAGCTTCATCTTTTCATTTTGTGCCTTTGCTGGCAAACAGCTCCAGGCCGCACAACCCAGTAGTTTTTATTCGTTTTCATTATCTCATGCTCCCTCCAATGACTTTCCATGTAATAAAAAGGGAAAACATGGCGATGTCTTCATTGTGCGAGTTCCTACTTTATTTAATGTATTTTAGAAGATAATTGTACTATAAACCTTAATCCCTGAATAATGATATAATTTTTGTGTGTGTGTACAAACGTGAATTAAATATATTTAGGATGACTTTTAAAAATAGTTGCTGATACCTTTGTGTTAAGGCATAAGCCTTACATTCAGTTTATTTTGTTTTTCTCTTAGTTCTTGTACATGTGGACGGTGGCTGGTCACGTCTGACACTGTGAAATCAGATGAAATAAGGAACTTACCACTTTGAAGGCCAAGAGCAGAGGTGTTTGTCTTTTTGGCACTTTGGTCAAGACTGAATCATTCATCCTATTGCAATAAGATTTGGTGTATATAGTCATGGTCCTTTCACAGATAACTCTGTTTTCCTAAGGCCTACCGTCCTCAGGTTGATGGTTTTAATTAAAACTTGAATTTGGCACATCTGCCCAGGTTCTCAAAGAATAGAAAATAATTATGAGACAGGTTTGTTCTGGACAAAAAATGATGGCACAGTCAAAACTCCAGTGTGGTGGGTTTTTATTCACACCAACTGCCCCAAAACAGCAAACAGTGGCAAAAATATTCACAGTGCAGAAAACAAAACACAACAAAACAAAACAACAGGCAAATAAATGACGTATTTAAAGCAGGTTTTCAGAGGTACTCACACTTATTCTTGTAATCCATGATGCCACCATGCCAAGAGCTCTTTTCAGAGTGAGCAAAGCGCTATTTATATACCCCTTAGCCCTGCCCCTGGGCACATCCATAAACAAATTATAGGGGCTTAAGATACAATATACAAAATACAACACAAATTCATCAATAAATCAGACATTTCAACATTGACAAAAAAGGCACTAATAACCCTCCATACAGCTGTGACCTTAATCACTGAGAACACATTAAACCAGACAAAAATACCACAAATGAACCATAATGGTATGGTCCATTTGTGGTCACATGACCCCCCAAAAGCGCTCCCTTCCCCTTTTATCGTGGGACCAGGAAGTGCTCCGGTTTGGCTTGGAAGGTGGCAGCAGGTAAGTGGGTGTTCGTGTCTGTGTGTGTGTGTGTGGCGTGTAGTTGTTGAGAGTGCACCCTCCTACAGCGGGGAGAAAAGAGTCCGGGTACCAAAGTAAAACGGTTGGTTGGAGTGCAGAACCGCGGCACACAGGTGCGGGCCTGCAGGGAAACAATTAAACAGTTTAACGGAGCTTGGCTCCCCGGGGAACGAGTGCGCTCCGTGCGCACTCCCGAAACTGGCACACTCAGGCCGCGAGGACAGACGCGCGCCATTCGGGGAGTGACGGGGCGTTTAATGGCGCTCCGTCATAAAATGATTTGAGTAATCCGACCCAGTTCTTTCCGTTAAACCCTATAATGAACACAAAATGTTGATGTTTCCAGACTAAGGATAAGGATTTGTTTGTTTGTTTTTAGCATGGTTTTACTGACAAAAGCTGTTAGCCAAGAATTGTGTTCATTATTTGAGGAAAACCAAACTGTGACCTGTAAACAACTGTGTAATAACAGGGTTTTAGCAGATCTATCAAAATTTAGCTTTAAATGTTCACTTTCTTAATGAAAATAAACCTACGATACAACACACTGTTGCTCATCAGTCTTGTAACAGTGAAATATTTCTCTGAAAGTAAAAGTTTAAACAACATTGAACAATCAAAGTCTTAAACACAAACACCATCATTGTCAGTTTTTTGAATACTTGAGTAATTTCATTGGAAAGCTGTTAAAGTCATGTCTGCTCAGTCTACTCAAGATGAGACGACCCTGTTTTCAGGAAAAGATCAGAGTAAGTGAGAAAATTCATGGTACTGTAGGTTTTTCAAATCAACAAGTCTTGTCTGCATTGCTGTCTTGTACTGTAACACAAAGACATCTGATAAACTGATGTAATATTGCATGTTAACCTTTTAAAGTATTGATTTTTATAATCCCTTTATTATAAGAAATGATTTAAGATTGCAGCAGGCGGTCAGTAAATGTTGCCTTTTTTTATTTAGAGTCAACAATCAAAGGGCGGATCTTAGTAGAAGGAAAAATAGGGAGGATACTGATGTTGGCTTACCCAGAAAGAGGACTAGGGGTAGAGACGATGCGGCCAACTCTGATTCAACAACAACCTAGAGAGAGTCAGTGAGAGGAATGCAGCATCTCTACCATCTCAACTGAACTCTGTCATCAGAGAGTTTCAGGATGCCTGCCTCTAAAAGAAAGGCTAGTGAAGATGGTGATGTTGATGCCCCTGTAAAAAAGATAAGGTGCAGCCACAGTACCAGTGAGTCCAGCACCAGCAAGTCCAGTGCTGAAGCATCCTCAATCACACTGAAGGGTGATAATGTCGGATCTGACTCTGGCAAGGACTTTGGCACTGTCTCAGCTGAGGAGGAGAGGCTTTATGAGCTGTCCTCTCCAGGAAACACCAGCAGAGGTAAGCTGAGATAAACTGTGACTATTACATAATGAACCAATGAACTGTTTAAGGAGCAGTATTATTGTTGCATAATCCAAACTCAAGGACTAACGCCTTTATGCTTTTTTTTTTTTAGCTGATTTTGAGGAGAAGTATTTGGAGTTTGGTCCCTTTGGCACTGGAGGCTTTGGTTCTGTGTTTAGTGGCCTCCGTCTGTCGGATAATTTATCAGTAAATCTGACAAACACAGGCTAAAATTACATTTATCTAGTCTCTAACCCTCAGAAATTACAAACTAAATCACTTGTCTTTTTGTGGTGCAGGTTGCCATCAAACCCATTCCAGTGAAGGATGTGCAGTTTGAACATGTGGTGAGTGATTTGATCAGCTGTTTAGTAAAAACAAAACAAACAAAAAACCTCCCAATTATGTGACTTTTATCTCCACTCAGTCAGAGACATGATGCTCATTTTACAACTGCCTAAAAGTGGACTGTTTCTTTAACTTGCACTTTTCACATGCATCTGAACTGATTGCAAGTCATCATATGTGTTGTGTTTTGTTTATCTTATGACTAGATATGCAACTGGAAAGTGTTCGATATTATCCTTGAGGTGGCCTTGAGGCTAAGGAGCACAGGTCTGCCAGGAGAGGTCGATGGATGAACTTTTACTTGTCATGGAGAATCCCTACCTCTGCAAGGACCTTGGAAAGTGTTTCCAAGCCAAGAGAGGAGCTCTTGATGAACGTGAGTTAAAGGTACGACAACACCTGAAAGTCTAACTGTCTAAGACGGTTAGCTGATATCTTCAATCAAACCACAGCTACTTGGAAGGTGGTGCTGTTAGCTAGCTGGAAATAAAGGACAGAATCAAATGTCATAAATGAGGCGCTAATAAGACAGTCTGGCTATCTGAGCATGGTTGAAATAGCTTTTTAAGTTGGCTAGCTTGCTAATGCCAGTTGCCAGGATAGCTGGCATGTTAAGTATTACTCAATGTAATAGTTGTCTTTAAAACATCATCTCTGGGAAAATTTTAGATTGAATTAGTTTGTATTATAAACACATAAGAACATACTCTGAGCATTCTCTGAACTCTGTGTCCCTTAAAAATCTGATGGTGCGTTTTGAGGGTTTATCAACATACAAACTGGCTGTTGTTTAAATTTGTCCCATTAAGGGAATTCAGGTTTTGTAGGTATTAAATTGGAACCATTTTTTTTCTGCAAAATGTTTAAAACAAATCTGCTTAACATAAAAATCTGTGTTTAGAGGTCCAAATCTTTGACTTTTCTTATTTCTGCTGGTGGACACGGCCATTGACATACACTCAAAGGGTGTCTTTCACCAGGAGATTAAACTGCAAAATGTCCTGGTGCAGTTTGACTCCAGAGAACCAAGAGTAAGAATCATTGATTTCGGCTGTAGCAGCTTCTCTGAGGAGAAATCGTATTTTTCCTGCAGTGGTGTGATATCCAACCTCTGCTTTTTTTTCTCTTGAGTCAATATCTGAAACATATTTAAAGATGAATGACCCTACAGCTGCCCAAAAAAGAGATGCCAAAACATTTGGAGTTTCATTCATACATATGGGTCATACTGTGAAATCAAAAGAGTGGTTTGACTACAAGGCATACTGGGCCTGTCTTGCCAACCATGGTATTCATTACATCCATTATTTCCTCTGAATCTTGTTGATGCACTTTTAGTATATCTGCTGATTCATTACATCCATTATTTCCTCTGAATCTTGTTGATGCACTTTTTATATCTGCTGAGACAAAGTGGAGCCCGTTTCATTGATATTACACTTCACACCAGTCGAGTACATCAGCAGTAATTTGAAAGCTGAGCACCTTTGGTTCCTGATGGGGATCTCTCTGTTAAATGTCTCTTTCTGAGGTTTCTACCTGATTTGGGGACTTTTACCTCTTCTTTTCAGAGAGCTTTAGACTGGTTTAAGAACCAGAAAGCACAACTGTGTCTGCTTTTAGACACCAGAAATAAATGTTCTGTCCTTTGACTTGCTGCTTTCAGTTTGAGAGGTTTTTTCAGAGCAATAGGTACTGTGTCTGTTTGACACGCTGAAATCTTTTACTGCATTGACTCCAGTAAAACATTGTCAAAAATAAAAGATGACCTAACTGATAAAAAGAGGAATGTGATAGTATTTGTATAGTGGTTCTTTGTGAGGAAATCTGTACAAATGACTTCTTGCTACCAAGATTTTAACATCTTTACCAAAAAGATGTTAAAATCTAGATTATTATTGACATATCAGAGTCAAGTTTGGTCTCATAATACAGATAATCCTGATCAAAAATGACTCCAACAGAAGAGACAGTCAGTGCGTTTACATGCAGAGTTTAATCGGATTAAGCTCATGTTCGTTTTTTCGCTGAGAAAATTGCCGTGAATGTGTCCTCCTCCCCAAAACAAGGAGGTGATATGGATCCTTTCAGCGGCTCTGTTTCCGGTTGACCCAACAACAACAGCAGCAGGTCCGTGCCAGACGTCACAAGTGTCTACAACTGCTGCTGGGCATTTTTGAGCAAAAAGATGGAGCATCGTACAGCGTTGTTTTGTCGTACATGATGCATACACTACTTTTTCTGCAGATGAGGTGCATGCTACTCCTTTTCTCTGGTGTTTTTGTTGTGGGGTCATCGCACGCGCACATGCATTGTTCTATCATACTCCAACTACGCTGGTTACATGGTAGAGAAAATCAAATCCCAATCACATTGTTTGGGTGTCTTAATCGGAGTTCTCCGACTCAGATAATAGTCGAACTAAGGTGTTTACATGCACTTCAGTTGTCCGGTCTTAATCGAAGTAAGGCAATAATTCGGTTTTCTCGAGTGTCATGTAAACGTGCTGAGTGGCTCTGTCAAATCACTTTTAAAAGTACTAAACTAGTAAAAAACAGTTTAGAAAATAAAATCCCAGATTGTGTTTTCACGAGTTCAGCCAAAAATAAAGTACATGGGTGTACACATCTTTTGCTGTGTGATGTTTATTTAGGAAACATTATTCATACTCTTTAATATCACAGGCTACCAATCCTTATATTTTTCCACTTCCAAAAAAATACATTTAACATTTATGACAACCAGCTATGAAATAGAAGCAGCAACTTAGACAACTTGGTACTCATCTGAAATTCGCTACAAACATTGGCGATGGTCATGACAAAGTTTGTTTAAAACATTACAAATCATTCTTCAGTTTTTGCCAATCCTTTTGTAAAATCTTGGCTGCCACAGTTGAGTAAAATGAAATACAAGACAGAAATTTTCAAAAATAGTCTATGTGCGAGGCTTTTTAAATGATGGAAAAGAATAAAGTGTAAAACAGAGTCTGACACCAAAGCAGGTCAGCACTCATAACCTCATAACTGCAGCTGTTTTTTGTACTTTTACTTGAACAGTTGAAGGTGTTATGTGTAGCTGTTAATGATGAATAATCTCTTTTTGGAGGTGAAAAGGAGAGACAGTCAAGTGGATCAGCTCTATGAATCATTTGACATGCAGTTACAGTGAAGAGGGTTGAGGGATTAATGGCAGGACCATTAGGAGGTTTATCAGAACAAAAACTCTCGACCTCTGCAGCTGATAGACATTAATGAAGTGAATAATTTCAATGGGATGACTCATACAGATTGAAGACTTTATTTCTGACTTTAACACTTTTGTTCAAGCTCCTCACGCATTTTAAACTTGTACCTGAGAAATTTAAGTTGTAGATTCATGCTTCATTATGTACATAGAAAACACAGTCAGTCCGTCTTTGTCAGTCTGGTGTATGAAAAGCGGTTAGTAGTGCTGGCAGGGAGAGAAGAGCAGTTCCAGGAGATGGTTTATTGTGTAGCTCTTCTGCACACACACCTGGACCAAACAGTCCAGGATACTCCTTTTCCTTTTTTTCTGAATTTAATCTGTTCTTATCGATGTGGCTGGACTCACTGCAGACCTGCAAGGTGACAGGCCCTTAGAGTAAAACTCTGTCCAGATGGTCCATCTCACAGTGTGAAAAATGAAAGCAGAGATATGATTGTTAAACTGGAGTGCATGGGGAGGGAAACACTCCGAATCAGACATAATAATACTGATTGCGAGTGAAATGTGGAGTCAATCAGATAGCTGAAAACAAACTCTATGCATCCTGATTTTATCAGCAAAACCTGCATTCAATATTCCTCTATCCCCAAACCAAACATAACATTACCGGCGCTATATCTCATTGTTTATTCGAGTGACAAATCAATTTGTGTATTGTGGATTCACCAGCTTGAAATAAAAAGAGGTTTCCAGACCCCCAAATCAAATTCAGCTTAAGGCCCCCATTCGGCTTTGGGCTGCATTGTTATCCTCCTCATTTATCAATACAGACACACGTGTGGTAAGAGCTCACCAAAGTACATGTCCGCACTGATTTATAAGCATCAACACTGCCACCAACAGGTCTGAAAATAGAAACACTTCTTCTTTTCTGGTTCAAAGTACCTCAGACCTTCAAACCTGCAAAGACTCGCATATCAGGGGCTCTCGGGGGGCTGCATTGTTTTGTGTAATCCAAGCAAATAAAGGGCAAAATGAGGAGAAAATGAATATGTATTATCTTGATATGTTCACTGAGCGCAGCAGCAGGAAACAGCTGAGAGCAAAATAAAAGTTGGATGAGAAAGAAGGAAATTAGAGACAGAGTGAAGGATGGGAATGGCTGCAGAAATTAGATATTATAAACTGCAATGTTATAAACTAAAAGGAAGATTACAGTGGTATATAATCACTCTGAAGCCCGAGGGAGAAAAGACTGCATACAGTAGGAACTATTGCAAACATCTGATCAAACTGCATCATGGATGCTGGTGCATCTCTACTCTCTCTCTCTTTTTCTCTTTCAGCATGAAGAGTTTGGTGGAATGATCTCAAAGATCATCAAAATTTGAAGATGTTGTTGTCTGGACTTTTCTAAAACTTTTCTTCCTGATGAAACCATCTGAAGTGTAATCAAGACATTTTAAAAAGCCAGCACAGGGTGATTTTCTCTGAAGAGAACACCTCTTATTACTCACAAGGTTAAGAATAAATGCCAATCAGATCATAAAACAGCTCTCGACCAAAATAAAAAAAAGAGTCCCAGCCAAATAAAAAGGGCAACAGAGATGAAATTAAAAAAGAGATACTAGGTGCTCTATGGCACTAAAGACAATATAAATTTCAGGCTGTTATAATCACTGAAAATTTCTGCTGCTTTTGAATGGACTATCCAGACTTGTTGCTGGGAGAAGAACAAAATCATCTCCCAGTGATATAATTTCTTCACAAGACCCAAAACTCATAATATTTTGAATTGTTCGCAATTTCCTCTCTAATGAAATTCATCCACATGAGTGCTGATATACAAAGGAGAATCAATTCTTTGTTATGTTGCTCTGGTACAGCGGTCCCTATGGGGTTTCCCTCCTGATGTGCCATTACAGTTTCCATTAGACTTTTCAATGAGGGGATATTAAAGTTACTCAACTCTAAATGTGTTTTAATTTTCAGCTTCCTGCTCAACCCAAATACCTCATACTGCAGCTTGTTACTTTAATCTGAAGGGTCTGCTGGATAATTGTGCGGGTGGTTTGGAGTAGACCGAGGGACTGTTGGATATATTGCATTCAGCGCTGGTTAGAGCCAAAAAAGCATGTGATTACTCTGACAGATTCTCATTTTGTCTGCAGGTTAGAATAAATCACGGGCTGTTCCCCTTTGTACCCGATGTGTTTGTGAACCTCATTGTGTCCTAGGAGAGAATCCCTGAGGGTGGCTCTGCCAAGGCTGGATTACCAATCAGACAATGTGGGCAACTGCTTCAGGGCCTCTGGGTTCGCTGTATCATTTGGTTGGTGGTTATTTGACGAATTTCAATTCTGTTTGGAGACGTGGACTACAAAATAAAACTTATTAAACCCCGACTTAAAGGGTTGCATCACTGTCTTCTTGCAAGTTTTAGCCTTTTTGCAGAAGCTCAGTGGATCCATGTCTACTTTGAAGATCTGTGCTAGTTTTGTTTTTACCTGATAAAACATTTCTGAGAGAAAGGCCTGTATTTCTGCAAGATAAGAGCATTGTTTTGTTTCTGGGGATTGGAAAGAATATAATGAAACTGCCACTTGAAGTCTTCTGTGTGAGCTGGGTTTAATGAAAACAGTGTGTATACACAAAGCACAAGGGGCAGGAAGCATCTGGGTCAATAACAGGCAGAGGAAAGACATACATTGTTTCATGATATACAGCCTTGGTCTCTCGGTTAACGTGTTCTCTATGTAGGCTACGACTACTTAAAGCAGCAGGCAAGTCAAGAATTGATTCATAATCTCTTCAGGTTTGTCATCAAAGTGCAAAGACGATCCTGATGTTGTCCTCAGTCCTCATCTGGATTCTGTTGGCGGTAGACTTGTTCTCTCCGATCAGGCTTAAGCAGGAGCACAATCCTTAGATCCTTCTGGTACCACTAAACAAGTACTACATACGTGTACATTAAACTGTGAAGGAAGATATTTATAGGTGTCTTCCCTCCATTCCCACTGTATTAGATTCCCTAGTTGCTTTTTAATTGAACGTGTACATTGATCACAGACAAAGCAGTCTTGGCTCTGATGTTCTGCATCATTTATCAAGCATATTCTGGCCCACACCACAAGACCAGAAAAATTGGCCATCACCACCATAGAGCAGCTGTAAAAGAGATGTTATTCTGTCTCACAGAAAATGGGAGGCAAAGTGCGGTTAGATCCACTTTTATTATTTTTATTAGTAGTAGTATTATTCTCCCACACTCCAGTGTGTCCCAGCTTCAAGCAGTTTGTTATAGCAAGTCCATATTCTGTATCGCACTGTCTAGACATATAATGTTTCAACCAAAAATACTCTGCCGTTGTCCAGTTTGACTTTAAAGCTTGCTGCCATCTCCTGTAATTGGAGAACAACCGTCCGTCTCTGCATATTTAGTTTGAAAGACTGGGCATGTGCAGAAAGAGCACAGCCTTACGACGATCAGAAACTCTATTTACCCCGAGCGTTTTTTATTTTGATCAGTTTATGAAAAGGTTAAACTACCTTTCATTTAGTTTGGGCCTGTTTATTCCAAATGAGCTGTTTATATTGAGCATTTTTATTCCATTCAGGCTTTAAAGCTGTTCAGAACTGTATTTACTATGGACAACTTGGTTTTGCCTTCCGCCAGTATACAGATTTAAAGCGGATAAACTCTCAGTAATTCCGTGTTGTTTCTCCACTTCCTGAAACCAACATTGTACAGTAGCGTTGTAGGCGTTCGGCAGGAGAGTCGCAGAGACTCGCTGTGATGACGCTCGGTTCAAACAACGTATCCCCCAGGTGAGCTACGCAATCTTTGTACGCCCATAGGCTGTATCAGGTGTCGTAGAAATCATAGAAAACATGAACTCCTAATAACTTTTAAAAACGGAGCTGCACAGAAAATAGAGGACTTGAGCACAAACCAGTCTTACAGTAACTACATGTCAACATCCCAAACCAGGGGGAGAAAAATGTATATTCTGTGTAATTAATTTTCAAAGTTTGTCCACAACTCCATAGGGATTGCTGGAGGAGGTGGGATTAATGGCCTATACTGCAGCCACTAGAGGGTGCTGTTCTCGGGTGGCTTCACCCAGTGAGGAGGCAGATGATGTCCATTCTATATACAGTCGATGTTTCATAATCAGAATATCATACTTCATGTCAGGGAAGCTGTTGTCTTTGCAATGGTCCTCATGTTCAAAGAGACTCCAGTATCACCCATCAGAGTACAGTTGGACCTCAGAAAGGACATCCATAGGACCTGTTTATCACCTGGCTATGTTAGATACTCGATCCAGTCATTGTTCCTTGGCCTCACTATTCAGCTATAGGGATGCAAATGACCTTTTGATCATATATGGAATCAAATTAAGCAAAAATTCTTCTCTGCATGTTGACACTGCCGAAAAACAATAGACGAAATTCAATTATTTCAGTCTTGTCTCCCAACATGTGCAGTACACAGAGGGCGGCTGGTGATAGTATTTCTTTATTTGTTACATGACAACAAAAACTGAGCTTAAAGAACAGCTTAAAGATTGTTTTTACTGTGTCGAGTCAAGTTTTTGTCCTGGACCCTGTTTTTTAATTATTTGTCAAGCTAAATGCTCTTTATCTGATGAGTTCCCAGTGAGGTAATATGCCGGCAGCTCTAAAGGTGAAAATAAAGTTTGTTGAAATTTTGCTTTTGAACATTTCGGGAAGTGAGTTTACTGAAAGACAGACAACCTGATAAAAAAGAGCTTTGAACCTGCAAAATTAAACTTCAAACATTTTCTCCCAGTCTAAGAAAAGCAATAAAGGGATAGGAGAGGACTTTTGATGAGGCATTTCTGAATGGCTTCCTCTTATACGCCGTCTTTAAACTTTGTGATAACCCTTCATTTTAAAACCAGGCATCTATCCGCTTCCCTCAACACACACTGACACACAGTCTTACTGAGCAAAGTTTTATATTCCAGGCAGAGATCTGGAAATCAAATGAGGCTCTGGACAATCAAAACCTGATAAGAATCTGGTTGGAGGTAAACGTGGTTTCAATCAGTGTCACCAAACAACTACAATTACAATGATTGTAACTAAATGAATTTCTGCTCTTCTACAACAAAAGCTGTCTGTGTCAAAGTGCCATCTAGTGTTCAAACAAGAGTCAGAGGACCTTTGCTTATCTCTCTTGTTTCACTGTGAGCTTCAGTGTTTCCTGTAAAGATGTTTATTCTGGACAGAGACAGACATACCTATTTCAGGGTCACTGATTGTATCAGCTCTGACTCGCACCTTTGCATCTCCCCCTCCTGTCTGTGTCTGCTTCCTCCTTCTGTTTTCAGGAGTCGATCAGGTTCACCTGCTCCGTCTTTGCTGTGTTAGAGTCACTTATCTGCGCCTCACTTTTATAACACAAAAAGAGCTTTTAGCTGGAGCGCAAGCCTCAATCATTTACATCCTCAGAAAAGCAGTATCAGCTCGAAAGAGGATGCGGTAAAGCCATCGTGGATACGCAGCGAATGATTAAGCTATTAAAAATGATTCCTTTTGATTGATTGGATTATCCTCAGTTCTTTTTTGGAGGCTATAAGCTGTTCGACAGGAGGTGCATGTTTCATGGTTGACACAAAAGTGCCTTTTTAATGAGATTTTCAGGTCAGAACAGCCTCAGAGGTTTTATTCCTCGCTCTGTTGAAATCATCACCAAGCATGTTCACAGCACAGAGAGAACATGTGAAGGTAAGCATGAAGGCTCACATCCTCCATTCTAGAGCAGGGCGATAAACCGAAAATTTACAGATACCGAAATTTACAACCATAACCGACATCATTTTGCCCATATCGGTATATTCTATTTATGTTGTGTCAAATACATAAATAAATCAAAGTTGGTTTTGGACATGTGTAGGTAGGTTATAGTCTCATGTCCCTATGTAAGACGCTGTCCTACGTAGGAGACGTGACTCCACCCGAGCTGAATTAGATAAAGTTAATGTGGGAGGGGGTGAGCAGCTTGTGGAGTAGTTATCGTCCATTTATCGTTGTCAAGGTGAACTGCTCAATATATCAATATATCGTGATATTGATTTGAGGCCATATCTCCCAGCCGTACATCGTCAAGGAAATGCCAATTAGGCATAAAATTGTGTATCCATTAAACGACCCACAGTTTTTTATTTAGACACGACTCTAATGATTGATTGCAAACACAATTTACCTCTTTGTATATAGAATATAAGCCTCGCCAGTCTTTCCATTGTGCAACAAAATCAGCAACAACAACAACTTCTTCTCTGTGAAGTTTAAAAAATATACTCCTTTTTTTTTTAAATAATAAATTTATTTTGGCTAGTGCCTTCTGAGCAAACAATAGTTTCCACAGCTTTCTCCAGCTTTGGCACACAGCTCAGTCAAGGATAGGTCACATCTCTCTATTTCACTATTTGCAATCCTCCTCTGGGTTGGTTTTGGCAGCTATCTATCAGCAGGGATTTTATTTTTTCAAATTGCTTTGCTGCATTTAGATGAAAATTTCCCCTAAAGTAATATTTTTATTTCCATGAAAAAACTGATGAGATCTGTTCATGGCAAAACCCAGACAGACAAAAGAACTATTCCTGGAGAGTGTCCCTTTCCTGTCCCTTTGAGACAAAGTTGAAACTGCCAGGGAAATAATTTTCTTTTGTCCCGAGTGAATGCGCAACACAACACTGTGAGACGCAATCATAAGCTATTTACAGAGCCGGAGCAGTGTCGGCACATTATTAGGTGACGTAAGACAGTGGTGACTTGGTTTGATGAAAGCCCATTTTCAAAAGAGAGGCTTTCAGTGGGAATGAGTGAGACTTAATAGAGTGTCATTAAAATTAAAGCATTTATAAATCACAGATGGTAACAGGAAATAGCACTCTTTAGTGTTATGGTGCCATTATGAGAGCTGATCCACTCAACAACGACAAATAGATGCATTTATTCAGCTTTTGCATATTTACACATTGGTACGAAAAGCACCAGGAGAAACTTTTGGTTTGTTGCTGTTGGAGTTTGACGGTGTTACCGAAAGGCCAAAGAGAGGGAGGGAGAGAAAAGAAAAGTATCAGAATTCATTTTAATTGCTGTCTCGACAGGCCAGTGTCTGACAGGCAGGTAAACACCCAGACTATTAATTCATCCTCTAGTGCCGCTTTGGAGGTTTAAGACAACATCACATTTTGTTGAAGTGTGTTTGTTTACACAGAAGCACCAGGTATAATCGACCGTAAAGACACTTGATTTGGCACCAAAGATGGGGAATTGAGAGATGAAGCTTTCACACCTTATTTATTTATTTTAACATGGCATTTAGTTAAAGCTGGATCCTTTTTCTTTCTTTCTTTTTTTTTGGCCTTTTCATCTGGCAGCCTCTGATCCAGATCAGTCAACAAAGCTGCCATGGACCAACTCGACTTAATCTACTACTCTTACTTTTATCAATTCAGTCAGACAACCTCACATTTTGCTGTTTATGGCAGCAGCAGAACATCGTCTGTATATTTGTACTCTGCGTCTTGGGTCCAACTTCGCAGCTCCTTACAGTTTTACTTTAACATACAGAAACTGAGGAATGATGAGGCAATATCTCAAATCCCCTGTAGGAGCCTGCAGGTGGATGCTAGGCTGAAAAGAGTAGCATTCAAACATAGCAGCTGTGGCAATAGAAAAGTCAAGGCAGAGACCGGAAATCTTGCACATTAAATAAAGCGCCAAACTGGGAGAGCATGTGATATCATGTGATTGTGAGAACGATGGATGCCAAGTATGAAATGAGCAGCTCAAGTTGCCAGGCCCTAGCAACTCTCTCGCAGGCATGCTGTTGTGGGTGCCTGTTCATTAGCCCGTCTGACTGCCTGTTTGTTTGTTCAGTTGTGTCGCCAATGAAGTTAAACAAAAGAACAACTTCTTTATGACCTCCAATTTCATTGAAGTTGGGACGTTGTGTACAATGTGATTAAAACAGAAAACAATGATTTGCAAATCCTTTTTTCACCTGTATTCAATTGAACACACTGCAAAGACAAGATATTTAACGTTCAAACTGATAAACTGCCCAGACCATTACAGATGCTGGCTTTGAACTTTGACCTGGGGACAGCCTGGATGGTCCTTTTCCTTTTTAGCCTGGAGGACACCACGTCCATGATTTCCAAAAACAATTGAAATGTGGTCTCCTCAGACCACAGCTCACTTTTCCACTTTGCTTCAGTCCATCTGAGCTCTGGTCCCCAGAGGCCGGCAAGAAGATCTAAAGTCCAAATCTCCTCCTGCTCTTCAGTCTCCAGTTAGTTTCTCCTACTTTGGACATGGCTTCAAAGTCATCTTTAGCATTTTAAAAGTGAGGGAAAACATTGTGGTGGCATTTCCAGTGGTAAGAAGACTTGTCAGATGACCTTAAAACTCTAGATTTAGAGTCTCAGTAATGGACATCAACTGGTGTAAAAACCCCCAAAGCCAGGCCTTTGCTGTGTGAGTATAGACATACATAACAAAGTCAGTCTATCAGCAAAAGTCCCTGTTTGTTCAGAGCCAATTCATCAAAAAAAAGACACTTTACAAACACTTGACAGGTCTAGACTGTACTCTGTTATATTACTGTATTACAAATTCTCGATATTAAGATAATCATCTCCTTCAGATGATTTAAGGCACTCTGAGGGTCATTAGAGTCTAAAACACAGTTTCATGTGCTCATTGATGATTAAAGACCTCAATTTCTTAATCAAAGTGGCATGTTTCAGTGACTCTGTAACCCTGAAATGATAAAGGTTTTTAACTGACTGACCTGAGATCTTTTGATACACTGGAGAGTATCAGAGGGATACTCTGTGATGGCCTTTTCCACCTCTGCAGCACTTTAAACTTCCTTCTTCTGTTTGTTTTGCTTGATGATTTAGTTTTATACCAAATCACCATTTTGCGACATTAAGCAAGTTGCGAGGAAAAATGTACTTTGACAGGGAGCAATCTTCATCCAGGCTCATGGTTAACAGCCATCTGCTGTGACGGTGTTGAGTTTACAAAGACAGACAGAGTTGGATAGAGACAAAGAAACAATTACAGATAAAATAAACTTATATTGTAGCTCCAGTGTCAATGAAAATGTTGAACTTAATATCAGTGGAAAGAGCGAAGTATAAGAATTACTGGTCAATTAATATGAAGAGTCAAAAAGAGGATGAAATAGGGAGGACTGAAAATGCTAATAGAAGCAGTTGTTTTTCAGCAGCTCTGAGATACCGTAAATCCTCAATTAATGACTGGTATTTAATCTGCAGCCGGAATTCTAATGATAACAGAAATTACAAGCTTGATGAGTGATGAAACACCAGCATTCAATTATCAACCGGGACAGAATTATACTTCTGCTATAGAATAGGGAAAAATAAGAGACAACTTAACACCTCACATGACATCTCTGTGGAGTTTATTACTTTTTCAGTCTTATCATCGTGACTGAGTTAACCGCTGTCAACATCTTCACATCCACTCAGAGATGCGCCCTGAATGACAGCATTATGATATATTTTTACAGTACATGATAAACTGAATGAATACGAAGAGTCTTTATTATTTTAATATGGAGTTCATTCATGACAGATGTGACTAATTTCACCACATAATAGCACCATAACCAGGCTAACCTGACAGAATCATCTGAAAGAGACAATAAATGAGACACCATTGTGGAATTCCAACCAAGCCTCTTCCGTTTTTTTGGACTGAACACACGTGGACCATCAACCAGATTTAAAGGTCCCATGTTTTACTCCTTTCCACCAGATTTACATAGGTCTCAGAGGTCACAGAAAGGTCATTTGGAAGTTTGTTGTCTAAAAACCCAGTTTTTTCCTAGCCTGAAAACTCTCTCAAGTCAGCTCTACCAAGAACACGCTGTTTCTATGTGCTGCGCTTGTCCACGCCTACTTCAGTGCAAGCCACGCCCCTCCCTGGGCAGAACCAGTGTTTGTCCATTGTGTTTTTTTAAGGTAGTTGTGACAAAGCTCAGGGAAGTTTAGACCCTGGCACACCTTAAACCTCTGCTTTCATCTCCTGGCTGCCTACCAGTGACAGTGCTGTGCTGCTTCGTTCTCCAGCAGCACTGATCTCATACCAGCTTGCCCAGTGATGCCAGCCGATTATAACGGGGCGTGAAACTGCTCATTACATCTCTGTGTGGTTTTTAAAGACTTATATCAAATACTAAATGATTTTTATGCACCAAAATATAACGACAGCTGTTGTCAATGTAGTTAAGTGTGATGATGTGAGCACTTTCCAGTTGGTCATGGCAGATACTTTGCTAATAACTCAGTTCTATGTGAAAATCTTAGCTGTAAAAATGAAGTTTTTAATACCTCTAATGCCAAGTATTTGCTCAGTAATATTACAAAGAGCGTAGGAGGAGGCTCTGTACTCCCAGGTGTTTTGGGGACAGGAGTTGCGTCACAGTTTCATTTCAGTTTTTTTGCTTCTTTTCACAGCCTCTGACTTTTAAAATTGATCCTGGCTGAGTGAGGAGCCGGTCCCAGGTGCTTTATATTCAATAACTTTATCCTCACTTGCTCGGAAAGAACCTAAGGTGAGGAGATGGGGAAGTTGGAGCGTCTCCACACTAGCGTTTGAGAAGTGGAAAGAATGGTTTGGAATTTCTGAAGAGCTGGTAGCAGAGCCATCCATCTTTCATAGAGGTGATGGATTCAGCCAAAGGGAAAGTGTTGAAAGGTCTGGAGAAAGTCTATATAGTGGATGTTTCAGCCCTGTGTGACAGGCTGCATTTTCTGCCATACTGGGCTTCCTGTGCCACAATCTAAGTCACAAAACATGAAGTAAACCGAAGTGACTCAGTTTAACCAACAGCATTAAGTTTGGCTGAGGGACCACAAAGAGTAAAGTTACAGAACATCACTTCAAATGAGACCCTTTGTTTAGATATGTTCAGGTAGAATATGAACTTTTAACTCAACAATGAAACATAATGGGGCAATATGTTCTATGTATTAGACAGAAGTATCTATAATGAACATACACTTAAAGAGCCATGTTTCCAGAGTTTTATTGCACTTTTACAGAAGTGTGGATTTGTGGATGAACAGACAAGTAAATCTAATGATTTTTGTCCTTATGCTGCTGAATTGTCTTGCTCTTTTTCAGCATCACTTGGGCTGATTTTCTTATTACGTAATGCATTTCTTTTTCAAAATCTGATCATCTGTATCATTTGATTACAATTCTGTTGTACTCTCTTCACTTACTGTCATCCACAGTCCCAATACAACCACACAAAATACTGGTACAGCTCATATTAAAGGAGATAAGCGCTTCAAGAGTCCTTGAGTCAGGGAGTCAAACATTACAAGCTTTAGAGCTCTTCTACAACTTTTGTTTCTGGGGTTTTGTGTCAAAAGCAGCTACCCTGCATGGATCAATGAGGGTCATTTGGAGCGGAGTTAGTCCCATTAAAAGTGCAGGTATGAATGGGAGTCTTAGTCTTATCAGCGGAGGCGCTATTAAGATGAGTGCCGCCTCGATCCCTCTTCATGCCTCCGTGCTGCAGGGCTTTAAATATCCGCTGGGTTAATGAGGTGTTCGCTGTGTGTGGGCGCTTACATTTACTCTCCAATAAAGTCCTGCCAGGGACAACATCACTCCCCATTTCTTATAATGGCATTTTAATAGATACTCATTTACAAACATCGCTGCAGCATCAATGCAAGGGATGGTGGCAGGTGCGGGGCAAACACAACTGTTTGAGTGGTGGTGGGAGTACAGATAAAGGTCAGCAACACAAGGGAAATGATGACAGTAGGAGGTCACACGGGGAACCCATTGACATTTTAAAACAGGAGGAAAAAAAAGACTCAGACAGAGTGTTGTCTGATATGATTAAACCAGATTCTGCAGCTTCACACCCTTGCTGCATTCACATTGATCAGGATCAGGAGAAAAGTCACCTTCTATCTCAGACATAGATCTCAAACCTCAGTCTAATTTTGGGCGTTTCGCAGGCCTTAAAGGCATATTCCAGTATAAAATTAAGTAGGGGTCAAACACACCTTAACACAGAATTAGAAACCCCCTAGAGAGATGAATGTTGCCAATTGTGTGCTCAGAACAGCACCTAACTTCATCAACTGTACATATAGGGTCCCGGCCATAGTACTAGCCATCAAACATCTTTTTAGCTTTGCCTGATTTCTTTAGCAAAGAGACCAAACACAACTCACCCACTCTCCTCCAGCAGCCGCTTGTTTGCGTGGGAGCTCTGACGAGTTGATCATCGAGTGCAGCGGAGTTTCGCAGCTCTAGAAAGAACATTTATGGTTATTACTTCATGGAAATGCGATCAGACTGAGAAGCTAAGGCAGAAGAACTACAGCGTATGCAGTACACATACAAGATACACAAGAACTCTGATTGCATTTCCATGAGGAAATAATCTCAAATGTTCTTCCTTTAGCTGCGAAACTCAGAATATACCTTGGAATATGCCTTTAAAAAGACTAAAGATTGGCTTCTGAAAGTGTGAAATCTTGCTACGCATACATTTCTATTTTTCCTGCATGTGTCAGATAAATACATTCAGGGTGGGTGGATGAATACCAATTGTGACATACAGACAGGAAATCATCAGAAATCTGCAGTTGTCTCATTTATGATTAGGCAGAAGCTGTATACAATAATTAAGTTACAACCTAAATGATTTACCTTGGAAAAATAGATGAATTACTTTCTCTCTGATTTGATCTGAGAACAAAGATAATATAAACATCTTTATGCTGCTGCGCTTAATTTCCTCCCCATCAATCAATCCTACTTAGACTTTAGGTACTGTTCTGAATATACAGATTGAAGACACACAAAAAAATGGTTTTGAAAGGAGACTCATAAACCACTACATCCATTATACTCCCAGTGTGTCCCTCAATTTCCACCCACTGATTGACTGTGCAGAGAACCAGGCTGAATACTTGAATTTATTTCAATTTGTATGAAAACGCTCTCAATGACTACTTGAAGGAAATATGAAAATTGAGAATATTTTTCTGTTGAAACTCAATACAGAGAAAGCAACAAATCGAAAATGAAGAACTTGGAAAAGAATGACAAATGCAAGTGTTTAGTATGAGCCAGACACTCTGTTTTGTTGACAGTCCAGTTTGGTCTGCATTGAGCAGTGGTGCAATCCAACAAACTCTTGGAAATGAAAATCCAGTCTCTTTTCCTCTCTTTAAACTCCCCACATGCAGGATTGTTGTTCATTTTTATGTGTTTTTTAATGGCCCTGAGACATCTTAAAAGACTTAAGGCCAGAGCGTCAGTTCCTGCTTCATGTTTACAAAATTTGGATATTGTCAGTTATAACGCGTCCAGGTTAGAGCCAGATGAGTCTGGTTTCCTTCACCAACACTTTGTCACTGTACGTCACTAAAAAATATTAGATGTTTTTTGATTCAAACAACTGTTTTGTTCTAGGTGAGAAAATCAGTTTTGCAGCCTGCAGATAAAAGAAAAAATCAAACACAGTAAACAAAGTAAACAACATCATTCAGACATGTGAGTGTCAACAGTTTTGGTCAGAGAAGTTCAGGGGGTGAAGTATTTTGCAATGTATTCATTTTGATGATATTAAGATCAGGGAATTTGTAAATCAGAAGCATGGCTGACTTGAAAGGCAGGCACACTGTGGTGCTTTGCAAAGCGAGTAAAGGCCCGTCTCTGATAGGATAACAAAAGTTCTGTTGAGTCAGTATTCCCATTATGTCCTCTGCCGACAAAAGGCTTCAGAAATCTACTGAAATGAGTGACGTCTCCGAGAATCAGCCATGTATTACGTAGTCCATGGAACAGGATTGTATGTCAGTTACTGCTATTTACATACAGCAGCCTGATGGCAGAAAGAACAGGAATTATCATTTATCTTTCTTCGGGGGGCAAGATGTAACTGTGGGGATGAATTAAAAGAAAGAAAATGATAATTCCTTAAGCTGTCTGGACCACCTGATTTTTTCAGGTCAAGTATAGCTGAATTATAAATGTTTTGAAGCAGATATGAATGATGTTGAGACCACAGAAAGCACTTCTACAATATATATATGATTAGTTAAGCTGTTTTTATTACATCCCGTCATGTTTCGTATTCGTATCTCGTGATTCCTGTTTTATGTTGATACACACCCCTATCTTTTATGTCTGGTTTATAGACCTTAATGATGAATATGCAATATTCATGCAAGCCAATACACAAAGTCCCCATCGGTTCTATCAAATCCTGTTCAAACAGCTTGGGACTCAGCATTTCAACCAAGACCATTGTGACATGTAAACTGAGGAAGCTCCCATTAGAACTACCAACCATCCAGATGAGAGAGGGCTGACTGTAGGGCTGACTGTACCACTGAGGCACAGCTGCTCTGGAGTTTGTCCAAGCACAACATCAATTAAAGCTGAGTTTTTTGGTTGTTGTTTTTCCAGATAAAACAAAGTAAAAAAATCACAGAGCCCTGCTTTTTATTCTCCATATTAACTTCTCTTAGTTTCGTTCTGATTAGTGGATCTTATCACCCCGTACTCTTGAGATAAGAGTGTCCATTAAGAATTGTAGACAGAATTCCCCAGAGCTGACCAGTGAAAACAATTAATCTCACAGGCATTTTTTTTTTGTCGCAGCTGGTTCTAACTATGGGGGTCATTCACAGGTCAGGATCTGCTCAGCCCCTCCAATACCTCATCTATGGAGCTCAAACTGTCTCTGTTCAGAAGAGTTTTCAGTGGAGTTTTTAGGCCTGTACATGATTTCTTACACACAGTGATAAATGGATGAACTCTTGAGCTTGGGTTGTCAAATCTAACAAGTTTATACACGCAACTCTTCTCCAGACTTTGACGTTTGAGTTTTAAACATAAATGGGTTATGTGACTCACTTCCTTTATTTGCAAAGCTGCAGCCGATAAACCAGTGCAACCAATACACAGGTAGAAAATATCCCTGAGGTGGGGATCAGCTCCTGGTGCTCGTTCACTGAGAGAAAATACACTGTTGACTAAAATTTCTAACATGGCAGAAATTCATCAAACTGGTTGAGAGGAGCCGATCAGGTTGTTACTCAACTCAAAAATTTGCTTGACCATACACTGTTCAATATTTACTGCTTTTTACTATATGACTATACACTGAAGATGGCCCATCTTTATAGAAAACAAGCTGCATCTCTGCCAAGAAGTCAGGAAAGTTTGGTGGAGTTTGCAGTTATTTGTGTTTCCATTGTCAAAAGTTGGGAAAAGTAAGTTAGTATTTGATCTGTACTGCCTTTCTTTGTAGCACCCATCTGTTGGAGTCCCAGGCCTTCAAATCTGACCCTAAACTGCAGCGATTGTGCTTCTGTCAAACTCTCCAATCCCGATTTCATTTGGTGAGTAAACTTCTGAGCCGCATTGGATTAAAACTCTTCAGTCTTTTGTACATTTTTATTCATCAGAAAATGCCTTTGTGTGTTATACAGCAGTTTGGATTTCAAACAGGTTCTTAATTCAGTCAGAGACACCAGCTGGAGAGAGGCACAGTGATGGATACAAAGGGAAAGATAAAAAAGAGAAATATTTCCCATATTCTGAAGCAATTTAATAATTAATATAATTTACCTGCAGCCAATTTGACAAATGACAACTTTTTTTTAACCACATGCTTAAGAACTTTGCAAGATACTTCTTTCACCAACTTCAGAATAAAATCACAACAGTCGTACGACGCCACAGTAAAAATTGTTGAGGACCAATATAGGTCAGGGATTTCGTTTTTTTTTTTTTTTTTTTACATAGAATCTTTGTATCTAATCTGTAACATATGACCTTAATGCAGGTGCCTCTCTAAAAGTTTCAACAATATGTCATAATCAGTCTCTCGTGCCTCTAAGGATCTGAAGGTAATAGATCCTCAACGGGAAGTCTTTTCAGTTTCAAAAAACCCTTGGGTAAACTTAAAGGGGTAAAGCCGACGGCATGAGCTCCACTGAGTTATATCTATTATGTTGAAAGCATGTGTGACCTTTCTCCCATCAGAGTTTGACTTTTCCCGTCATGGGCATGAATGTTCGAAATAAAATAAATCATGGCTGCGCTCTGCTCTGTGCTCCAGTTCCAGGTCTCTTGTGTATGAACACATGCAAAGAGCTGTCATCGCAAAACTGATGAATACATATCCTTAAATTCTTAATCTAGTTTCATTATTGAATTATTAGTGTGGATAAAATCTTTAACATGGCAGCTTCTCCAGTTTCAGGCAGAGTTTTCGGTTTTGGAAAAGAGAAAACCATCAGTAGCCGCTTTTAAATCCTCAAATAAATAATGTAGAAAAATTCAGCACAGTGTTGGACCATACACCACCATGAATAATATATAACATGTATAATGTATTCTATGTTAAATATCTTTCTATGTAGGGGTTGTTTTTCTGTGTCATATAAAGATGTGGGGCACAAACATGCAGTGTGAAGCGAGAAACTAGGTATTCATAAATATGTATAAGTGAGCATGGTTTATTTGTTGCAGTATCCTGCAGAGTTTTGACATGAGCACAAAAGGGGTCAGAGCTGCTTCTGCAGTATCAAAACAACATGTAAATTTTACACTGACAGGTGACTCTGAAGTTTTTATAAGAAGTAGTACAGCTGGTGTTTTCAGCTCCAAAAATACTGAAATGTTACTGGAGATCAGCTGTGCAGTCTGCTTTCTGTAATAGCAGTCATAAGCCAGCCTTTGTAATGGTTTTTCTCTGAACACTATTTCTCAGATTTTCCCCTCTGGTTGTTTGTCAAAGCCTTGAAAAATAACAATCTCTGGAGTTTTGAACTCAAAGTTTTTACTTTTTCTCTACAACTGAGTGAATTTTTAAAAATATCTTTATCATTCAATTTTAATTTTGCCATAACTGCTTCAGCTAGATTGTTTCTGGTATTTCACTCAGTGTTAGTTTTGCAGGATTTCCAGTTATCAGTCATCAATTAATGTTACTGAGACATGCTTGATCCTGAAGGGACCTGGCTTAAGCACTTTTGCACCGTCTTGTGTACAACCAGAGTGGATTGCAATTAAAATAGTTTATTCTGCTAATTTCCAAATTGCCACAAATAAAATAATGTCAATAAAATGAAAGCAAACAAACAAACATAAAACTCTTTTAGCTCTTGTCCAGCAGTCAAAACCTTTGTCTCCTCTGGGATCACACACCTTAAACTTCACACAATGTATGTTTGAGCTGTAGATGTACAGCGACACCCAGAGTCGACACAGAAACACTGCAGTGAAATGAATCAAATACAAACCCTTGTTTTACATAGTAAAAATGTTATAATGCTAAATACCTCTAAATATTCATTTGCTGTCTGTCAGAAGAAAAACATGGCTTACATCTCGGCCTGCCAAATGATTGACTGTATAAAGTGTGATTAATTGCAGAAATGTGATTGATTGCATCTGTAATTTTACATGTCAAAGCAGTAGTTGAGTCCACACTTACACCATGTAATTCTATACCAATGTCTTTGTTTGGAGTTAAATAAATGCACTTTTTAGTAGTTGCTTCCTTTGTCCTTTTCTGTATTCCTTAAAACACTCTTCCTCATAACATTAAGGCATGACTACAGTCTTGATTACTGTCAGTTACCACCAAGTAAATGCTGTAGCTAGCTTCCTACATGTGGTTTTTCGTCCACAGGTCTGTGGTGATTTGGACACCTTTAAAAAGTGCTCTGCTGGTAGGTCTCATCCATCAGACTGAGTAGCTGCACCTGTGTGCTTAGTTGAAGCTCAAGCTAGAGGTGCTTTGGATATTTCTTTGCTCTGTTTGGCACTCATGTCATCACTATTATTATTAGTAGATGTAGAAATAATAAATGCATTTTACTTTTATGATGTTTTACTTTCCCCAGCGCTAAATGCCATAATGAGGACTATGAAGATAAGATGTATTACAGCAAAAAATGAGCCTAATGTGCAAAACTGAAAGATAACTCTGTAAATAGCTGTATTTAAACTGGGACTTGGGACAGCTTACAGGCAGCCGAATTCACTGACCCATTTAACTCAGTTATTCTGTTAAGGCTGTATAATTTGCTTACTTTTCATGTTTGTTTTACACAGACTGAAAAATATCACATAGTCTCTCTTTCTCCACGTTTGCTCTTGTCATGATGTAATCTTTGCATGAACTTTGACTGTAGTCCAAAAACATTATAAAATCTATAACACAGAGCCAAACAGCAACCCTGCAGTTGTAAAAATGTGGATCTCATACCATATCACAAGCTGACATAGGAGACCTGCAGGATGGGCTGAGTCATATTTAGTCCATTTGGTGCAGGATGAAGACCAAGCAAGAGTTTCATTTGAATGGTGTCCTTCAACTGCAGCACCTTAGCTTACAGGCAGAGAGCAGTATTGGACACATGTACGTGTGGATTGATTCACTTAAAAGGCACAATACTCCACAAAGACATTCCCTGTAACAGTAAGAGAAGTTTACCATTGGCTTTTACACCGTGACATAGAATAGACACCACCAACCGAAAAATATGACACAGAGGTTTTAACTATCATTGTCTGTGCATTTTATTCATACTCATTGTTCATACACAGAATCAAACGTAGATGCACCATAGAAAAAAAATGCTGTAATGAAGAAACAACAAATTGCTAACATACGGGGTGCCCCTGGGTTTAATTTTAAGCCCTGTGCTTTTTAATCTGTACATGCTCCCTCTTGGCGGTGTCATCAGGAGACATGAAATCAACTTCCTTAGCTATGCTGATGATACGCAGCTCTACATCTTTGTGTCTCCTGATAACACCAGGCCAATGGATGCTCTTTTTCACTGCATCGTAGATATCAAATCCTGGATGGCAGAGAACTTTCTCCAGCTGAACCAGGACAACTGAGTTTTTAGTCATCGGTCCTGAGGCCCAGAGAGAAACCTTTACCCAAACTACAAGCACTGTCTTTTAATCCATCACCACAGGTGAGAAACCTGGGCATCATTTTTGACTCTGAGCTGACTTTTAGTCCACACATCAAGAACATAATGAAAATAGGTTTTTATCACCTAAAGAATATCGCCAGAGTCCGCCCCATGTTCTCAGGAAAGACTGTGGTCTGTGACTTTAATGGAACAAAGTTAAGGACACACAGACAGTTGAATAATAGAGAGGGAGAGAAAGGTGCTCAATGTGCTAGCTCCCCCAGTAAGCTTTATTGATCATCATACTGGACTGCCATATTATAAATTATCAAGGACTGTCTGACTCTTCCAGACATGTATTTGTTTAGTCAAACCTGACCTTTCAGCTGTCTCCCTCCAAGCATCAGTGTTGATATGAAGCACACATTCCTGAGTGTGAATCTGAGAACCTCTGAGTGGGGGACTTTTAGTCGAAGGATGAAAACAGATATCAAACAAACCCACTCAGAGCCCCTACATGTCCAGTCAAAGTGCATTAGGTAGTGTGTTTTTTGAGTGTATGTTACCTCAATACATGTGTTCACTGGTGGTATGACGTGTGATCATGTGTGCGTATGTCTTGTGAATTTAAGAGGAGTGTGTGTGTGTGTGTGTGTGTGTGTGCGTGTGTGTATGTTCATGTTATGACTCCAAGTCTGAGCTCCCACTGTGGCTTTCCTTCGATCAATAGCACACCCCCTAAAAGAATCTGTCCCATGAATGGGATCTATTGAAGCAGGCAGTAACTGAGTGACACCTTGTGGTGTAGTGCCAGCACTCAAATGGTTCATTTGTTTATAAGCTGACAATCACCAGCGGACCAACCGTGAGAGGCGCTGAGGGACAAGAACAGTGTTTGGCTCCTCAAATTTTACTGAGCTGAAAATTTGAAGTGTATGAGGATTACACATGTTCATGGTTATTTCCTTGAACAGGGAGAGTAGACCTGATACTGTTGGACTTCGCTCAGGGATCAAATTTACTCTCAATTTAATTTAATATTCGTCATAAAAAATTTTTTCAAAGGTGCATGAAAGTTTAAAAGTTCAGTTATCTCTTTCATACCAGCATCAAATAAGCTACTAAACACTAAAATATTGATGCCTAACTGTCCTCTTTGCACCTCATTTCTCTAACTCTTCCTAAGATTGAAGGATGTTTTTTTATTTTATCATCCTATACTCTGGGCCTTTTTCTGGGGAGTATGGCAATTTTGGTGCAACCCTGCTGCTTCACTGGCTGTCAGATCAGCCTTACCAACTCTGGCCAAAGTTGAATTTCTGATAGACGGTGTACAAATTCTGATATTTGGGGGTATAACACCACCTGTTATCTGTCTGGATCCACCCCTGTTGGGAGAATGAAGACTATTAAATTTGGTTTGGGCTGAAATGAGCCTTTTTCAATTCAGTTTTGACAGCATCTAGATCCAACCTAACACCCTCTGAGATACAGAACATGTTGGTCAATATTATTATCAAATACCCTAAATTTGAAATACTATTAGATAAAGAATTATGAAAGCTACTTTTGGATCAAATAAGCTCAGCCTCTCCTGGTAACTGCTCTTCCTTTGTTGTGTCTGAGTTTCATGTGTTTCTCGTTTATTGGGAGTAGACTTTTTGGATGGTTGGATGAAGGTAAATTGAAGGATGTTTTGAGGAGTTAATATGGCATCAATTCATAGTAGTTGGTCATCTGGACTCTTACAGCTATAGATCTGAGTTGACACACTGCTCTGAGTCTTCGACTAATGCAGTAATAACAGTCCCAGTGGATCCTGCTCCTCATACATGGGCTTATTTGTTCAGGACCATTGAAGGATTGGTCAGCTTCACATAATAGAAACAATAACATGTTGGGTTTGTTTTAACAATTTGAAAGTGATTTGACCTTGGATCTAAAAGTCTACTGAGAAACTGGTTGCAAACATATACAAACAACTAGAGAGATGAAAGTTTCCAAGGGTTATTTAAAATGGGTGAAATAAGTCTGAAATGAGAAAAGTGGGAGTCGTGGACAAATTAACAGAAAATATTACCATAGAAATGCTTTGAAGTCAAAACTGTGGATTTACTGTTTTTGCCCCAAGTATGCTGACGATCAGGCTTTTCCAGCAGACATAATTCAAGGTTTTCCAGAATTATATATGGCTTAACTTGTTAGGATTCTCAATGTTGTGTCTTTATTTTGGATTTTTTTGGTGCTCCACAGGAAACAGACATCTGCATGGACATCTGCTTTCAATTCCTACAGGTTTACTTTGTCCAACCTGGCAACCCAGCCTCCAGTCCAGTGTGGTGTGTTTTCACAAGACCCATTTTCATGTTGGACTGTGTTTTAAATGGAGATTTAAAAAAATAATAATGTCCTTGTTATGGTGAAACAGGTTCAAATGTTGGTTCTTGATGGAAAAAAAATAGTATCCTGTTACAAATAAGAAAAATCTGAGGCAGTTTGTTTTTGACGCTTCCCAAAAGTAAAGATTCATGCAACAAAGTGAGGAGTGGTAAAAGTACTCCCAAACCATTATCTCTTTACTTAGGGTAAATATCTTTCTTTAATGTCTCTGATAGTAAATGGGCTGTATCATCTGTCAGTAAAAGCTCCAAACAGGAGGCAGTTAGAGGGGTGAACTGCTCTCTAGTTTGTTTATCCTGTAATGGAATGACTGACTGACTTACATGCACTGCTGATTTAAAGGTTCTCGTTACACAGCGCAGCAGAGCTCTTGTTTAGCGTCATGTTCTGTTTTCAAAATGATGTCAGGTAGGGGGTGTGCAGTTTTGATTGTCTGCAGACTTGACTTTGGTTGTGGAGTCTGCATGTTTAAACTTGAGGCAATGATGCTCATCTCTCACAACACAGTGCGAGACTCCCGACAGACACAGCTGGTTGCACAAAAAAAAAAAAGGAAAGGTCACTACTGTTGGATATAAAGCGTATTATTATTATTTCTTATCCACTCGAGTTAGTTGAAAGTAAAAACGTTTAATGTCAGACGAACTTGAATGCATTACTTTCCCTAACACAACTATGTTATATAAAACTAATAATGTAGCTTGTCTCTTGGATAACTTACATCCTCTCATTTCATCATACAAGATTCCGCCACACTCTTTATTGTGATTGATGAAAGTGCTACCATCATATGAAATCTGCAGCCATCTTGATAGCTTGATACACACCGGTTTTCAGTGAAAATCCAAGTACTGAAAAACAAACTGATGGGCTAAATGCTGGATTGTTGTTACTCTCTATTCTTACCCTGGAGGCTGTTTGATGTGCCTGAACATTTGTTCTCCTGTTTGTTTATGTTTGTTCTGTGCAGTTGAACTGGTACCTGTTAACAATTAACTCATTTTTTGCTGTTTTGCCCAGCAGTCAACACTAAATAAAAAATATTGTGTTTTCCCTCCTCCCCTTCAACAGCTCATTCTATACATCATTAGGCATTCATTGGAGAAACGAAACTCAATTAAGCCTAACTTAACTAAATTGAGTCACACTACGTAGGTCAAACATAACAATATGTTTAATAGCCAACAGTAGTGATATTTCCTTTTTTTTTGAGTGTATTGTTGGTGGCTGTTGAAGTGGTTTTACCTCGTTTACTCGTTTTGATGATATTTTAGTCATGAACTTGCTAATGCTAATGTAACAGACTGTCTGGTGTTTGGTACATGTTTTCACTCACTCGGACCATGTGTCATTGTGGGTATATTACTGTAAGGATTGGGACAGAGACCACATCCTGGAACTGCTTTAACAGTGTGGTTCAGCAGGGTTTAATTTACAGGAAATCTAAAAAATCAGACAGAAAACACTTAGACTCTTCTCTTCTCATTCCTCACACTTTATTTAAAAAGGTAAGTATTTTTTTTCCCTGTCTAAGCATCAGTTACATGCAAAGCTCTTTGACCTCCTCTCTCACACAGTCACTAAATCAAAGCCAAACTAACAGGTCAATTAGCTTTCTATTTCTGCTGAGAAAACATATCAATTAGCTCTTGTTTCCTGTACATCTAAAGAGTCTGTTAGCACAGGTTTCCTGTCTGTTTCCTGCTGCGTCACCATTCGCTGAGGCAGAGCAGCTGCCTCGTTTACGGACCACATGCACACATCAAACAGCTAACTAATAGCGGCCTTATCGCAGCACATTAACCCCGCATAAACAGGCCACGAACTCGGGTCAGGGCAGGAGGGCAGCATGTGTGAGAGTGTGTGTGTACATCCACTTCTGCATTTGTTCAATACAAACCAAACACACGACCAATGACAAATGTCTGGCACCAGATTACTGACGTGTATTTACAAATAGTTATCTGCCTTGAGGTGCTTGAGAATGTATCTCACCTTTATGTGGTAGCCTACATTTAACCTTCTTTGTAGAGAAACAAAAAAGTTCATTTTATCTAACAATGCTAAACTCATTTTGACATATAGTTTGTATTTAGTTATATTTCATCTAATTTTTAATGTAATCATGTGTCTTTATCACAGAATAGTTGTTTGATTATGCTGGACAAACCAGGGGAAGCTACAGGTCAAACCTGTTGTTTGCTAACAATAAAGTAATTTCAGCATGCAGCAGTTCATTTATCATTTTCTACCTGATTTTATAAAAAAGTACCACATATTTAACAATGTACTGTCCACAATGCATCACACTATGACAGGTGTTTTATGTGTTTCTGCTTCCCATGATGTGTTAATATGAATTATGCTTCACGAAAGTAGTAAAAATAAGACCATTTTATCCAGGAGGGATTTATTAGCAAGTACTTAAATATCATGGAATTTTTTGAGAGAACCTCCAAATGATAAATATCAAACAGTTTTATTATTAACTTCGCTTTTTCTCGGGAGTAATTCCAGCTCAGCACGTGATGCTCTACTTGGTAAATCACAGCACTGCTACCCCACATTTACAGCCAAATAATAGATTTTTGTTTCTGAGTGTTCTCTTGAGTTTGTTGATCTCTGTAGTCATCATCATACATAAATGGTGTTAATTCAAAAGTGACTGTTTTTGCCTGCTTCTGCCCCCAGAGTACGCACAAGAGCGTTCCCAACCACCTCACACACAGCTTGTCTCTTGTGCACAACATAAGAACATGTAGGCAGAAGATAAAAATGTCACCTTTGTAGGACTCCATATCTTCTAAAACTGTTCAAAACAAAAACTGAGTCCTAAGAACAGATCTTAATGATTTACTTTGCAGCCAAATAAGCAAATTGTAATTAGATCACAGTCTAGATGAATATTTCATTGTTGTCATGGTAGTATTTTTACAGTCATTTCATGTCATAAGTGAAATATGAAAGTAGTGATTCAATATTTTTATTATTGTTATAATGGTATGCATTGGCAATCATACTCAAACACATTTAAAAATAACACATCTGGTTTAAACAGAACAAACAAGGGGAATGTATCATATGGCCTAAAGCGAAACTATAGAAGTTAAATAAATTAAACAGCAAAACAACATTTCTATGTGAAAAAAAAACAACACATACCATGAGAACTCACAGTCGACACATACAGCAAAGCAAAGTGATAACACTGTCATATAAAGTACAATACAATCACATGTCCCTTTCATTTCAGTGAGACACACGACACACGGGCTATGGTGGTTAGTTCCTGATTTTCATTTCAAAAAATATACTGCATATCTATTTATATATTTATATGAACAACAACAACAACAACAACACTTTTGATAACTTTGATAGTTCTAAAATACATCTCTAATATTTAGATACACTATGTACAATTTCCCCCAAAGTACGCCTTAGAAGAGTTTTCTTCAATGGAAGAATACATTTAAGTCTTCTGTTTGAAAGGCCTGAGGGTTTAAGAGCTGATAGACTTTGTTTCCGTCTCTGACACACACAAACACACACACACACACACACACACACACACACACACACACACACACACACACACACACACACAACAACACCAACTTCCTTTCTCTCTCTCACACACATACTTATACAAAGAACAAATAGTTCCAGCTGTGCTAACTGGAGGTATCTGATATTCAGAAATATTTTTTTTATATATAGCAAAGTTCTCCTGTTCTCTTACTGACAAAATCCCTTCAGGGAGCTCCTTTAATCTCAGAGGTACTGACTGTATATGATGCGTGTACTGTAACACTCAAGTCCATTAGAGGGCTGATATGTCTGTGAGATGTTTGATAATACGTCCTGTTTTTGAGCTGTCACTTGTCTTGTCTGTCACACTCCTGCCACTGCATTTGAACAAAAACTAAAACCTTATGATGCCTGAACATGCTCATCGAGGACTCCATTTGTAAAAGATGTGCTCCACTGAAATAATTCCCCGTTCAGTCCCAGCAGTACAAACTTATGTTACCTAACATCCATGGAGTGTGCTGTTACCCAACAGCTCTGGCTGATTTCACATCCTTTCTCCACGCTTCATTTCTGCACAGAGTCAGTGTGCTCTTGTGCAGCCTCACTGAGCTGATAGACTGAACCATATGTGAGAGTTCATACTCTATTGAATGTTAATAGAGGTTCAACTAATGATCTACCAGAGGAGTGAAGTCCATGTCTGCATCATCAGCACCGCACAGAGAGTAATGACTGAAGACAGCGAGGAAGTGAAGGCGGTCGATGTTGACGATGATGATGATGTGTGATGGTAGTTGTGGTAGCTGTGGACTCTGTCAGGTGGCTGCACTGTAATGTAACCATTTATGATGCGGACCATTGGTGGAGGAGGAGACTGGACCATAGAGCTGTGGATAAAAGAGAAGAAAATGGAAAAGACAAATTAGACTTAGAAAATTTCATCTGAAGCTCCTGTAAGGAACTTTTGGACATTTACGTGAAAGAGTGAAATCCATACCCATGCCTGTTTATGATATAAAAGCAAACAAGACCATCTGCAACAAGATTGTTGATTTTTATATTGTAAATTTTCACACCTAAAACTGGCACAAGGGCTTAGGTGTCTGGAACTTTCACTTTCATGTAAATTTAACAGAATATTAGGTTATTATGAGAACTTCCCTCTGAGTGGCATGGCCAGTGTATTTATGTTTGTCCTTAAGGATTTAGCCATAGGTGCCATAGCACCAAAGGTGAAGTTGTTTTCCCATGTTCCCAGTAGGGCTGGGCAATACACCGAAAATTTCCTGATAGCAAAATTTACGACGATGACCAACGTCATTTTGCCCATGTCAATATATTCAGTGTCAAAAAAATAAATCCTGCTTTAAACAGTCGCATTTTGAACAATTAAAGCTTCTGTGCCAGGTTTTCTTTGAAGGGACTGAGTTTAGCTGCATCTTCTGTGGGTAAGACATTTACTATTGACAGGTACCTTAAAGAACCCCTTACCCGTTATTTTAAATTTGAGTGAAGACGCTCCAAAACATCCTGTATTTAATAAAATGTCCATGAATGTTTTTAACATTAGCTTCCTTTCAGAAGAGCCACTAAACTGCTTTTTTCTTCATCTAATCAGCAGACAAACATGACTTTTTCCGCAACACCGGATCATAAATACTTTTGGACAAAACAGCAAAATGCCAGGATGGAAATAATAATGTTGTGACCAATCAGCAGAGTTTTAAAGCAATTAAAAACTCCTGGGCGTGCAACTTATTGATCTGCTCATGGTTAAGATTTAATGACTGCTTCATTTTTTTCTCTCTTCCTCATATAAAATTATTGATTCCGTAAGGTTTGTCTGGCTCTTTGTACATTTCTCCTTATCCGTTCAATTTCTAACACATTTAGCAATCAAACCTTTCTGCTGTTTGATGATCCGTCTGGAGCATTTGCATGAAACAGACAAAACAAACACGCACATGGTCCTGAAATCAGAACCTGCTGGTAATTTAACACAGCATTGTTGGAAAAAATATCTCATTTAACTATCCATTAGTGAGTTGTCCAAGAAAACACAGATAAACAAGAATGAAGGGATTTCTAAATGAACCTAAACTGATAGTCCAATCTTTCTAAGGGTACTTTAAGACATTTTTTTTCACTTGACACTGCTTTATTTTGACTTATCCAGCAAGGATTTTCATGTCAAAGGACAGTTTTGAGTTCAAGCAGCAGGTTTATTTAGACTTCAGACTAAGTGGAGGTGTGAGAAAACCAGCTGACCCACTGCTCTGGAGCCACACATCCAACACAAAAGAGGACCTCGGTGCTGCTCCTGCTACCTTTCCCCGTTCCTTCACCTTTACAGAAGTTAAAATATACAAAGACATGCAGGGTGTACACTTCGAAACGTGCACACAAACTGTCTGCTTCCTCTCACTTCAAAATACCGAGTCTCTCAGAAAGAAAGAAAACATTTCTGTAGACATAATGTAAACAAGCGTTCACAAACGACCTCTGTTCCCGGGAAGAACAGACGCTACATAGTTCGATTTTTTTCCCCCTTCAGTAATTTGGAACAGTGTATACTAGGCATGGAAATTACATGTTCATGTTCATGTTCATGTGAGTCCTGCAGTTTTCAAACCCTTGTCCATCATTTATTTGTAGTTCTTTTAGAGCATATCTTGCAAATGTACCATGGCATGCATGTGGTTATCTCAAATCTAAAATCTTTGGGATAATTGTTCACTAAAACAATAAAGAGAGTATTACAACAAGTCTAGATGTATTACTTGTGATAACTGTACGTAGGGTTTGATCACCCACAGTGCAGGAGTTCACTCGTTTGACAGCATAAGGGAAAAGCAACTATTTTATTATCTTATATGATTTGTCAGTAGCCTTTAGATGCTGCACTAGATAGAACTCAAAGATGTTTCTTCTGCCTCTTTGGATGCAGCAGTCTTCTTTCTAAACCGTCATCAGGGTTTAAGGCTAACTTTTTGTCTGGTGTGGCCAAAACTGGGCACTGACTTTTAAAGTGGTGGCATGTGGTGAGCATCCATACATTTACATTAAGGTGCTAGTATGTGTGCTTGGGCAAGAATTCACACAAACATGAATATATTTTTTATTCTCTTTATCTAGACTGCTTTTAAACGTGCCCGGCTACTTTCATAAACTGACATTTCACCCTCTCCATTCACAAAAAAAAAACAAAAAAAACTGCATGCACACCACTACGTTTTCAGAAAAGTTTGTGTTTACACTAACCAGTGTATATATGCCATAAAGAGCATGCCAAACCTGTAGGTGGCAGTGTAGCGAGAAGCTCAAGCACACGTTAGCCAATCAGAATTCCACATAGCAGCAATAACAACAAAGTAACTTCCTTCTTTCCACTACCTTTCGGCTACCCAAATGTCAGTTTTTCTCCATTTTGACTGGAGTATTTAAAAAGCATTGTTTTAAGGGGCGAATTCTCTGTTTGCGTCTAAACGAAGGGTGCAAACGATGGTTAATGTCTTGGTTTTTAAAAATAACCGGGTACGTATAAACAAGGCCTTAGACTAGGGGACCTGGCCTTTCCCTGAACTGACCCCTCCCCAAAATCCAAGCCAACAAAAATTTCTGCTGCTTGTAGCGCATGTCCCACACCTAGCTAGGTAAGTTATCTGCTCTTCACCCAGATCTTTTTCAGGTTATTTACCAAAAGGCAGACAGGAAAATGTCTGCTTCAAGTCCAGTCTAATGCCCAGACTGAATGTTTCCATTCCCACATGCATCCCTTTTTGACGGTGTCTAGAAATTTTCAAAAATATAGTGCATGTGTGAAAGGGGCTGATTAAGGGGGAGGGTATAGTGAGGTTGTGGTTATGCAGAGTAGATGCTCTTATTTCCCCTCACTGCTCAAAGACACACAAAGTCAGGTGAAATCTGGATTATCTCGACTGTCTATCTAACATCTCTCCTCTGTGTACGCTGGGATACTCTTAGAAGGAGAGATTGAGGCATGGAGAGTCAGATAAATGTTCCTGCGTTCTTCACAGTTACACAATCATATCCATTAAGACATTTTCCCTCTACGAGAGACAAGTTTCACCTCAGACCACACCTTGTGCTGAGGTCTCGTTTTTGTCTGAAAGGTGAGCTTGTTTTGTTGTCCGGTTAGTCCCTGCCTGGAGCTACTGTGAGCCCAAAACCGGATACTTAGTAGGAATTCCCAGGCTGTTATTTTCACATCCAAGACACTTATACCATCTAGAAACTAGTCAGGACTCATACCACACTGCAGGGCGTGTGGATGTGTGTTAAAGTGTGTGCAGACTGCATGAAAAGTAAGGCGATTTGATATGTTGGTTGTTTGAGCCTGCGGCATCACAGCAGGAAGTGTCAGTTTTATCCTATAGACAAGCGGATAGACTGCGTTACACATTTACAATTTCCCCTCTCACATCCTCTCTGTCTGTCTTCTCACAGTTCAAACTTTCATGGATCTGTTCTTTTCTTTTGTCCTCACCTTTGACCTCGTGTTTCTGCTCTGCTAAATTTCTCCTCATCCTGTTTCACAGCAGCTAAGACTGACAACCCGTTACAGATTAGACAAAACTCTCATACGTTGTCCTTACCTCTCCTCGATGCGGACCCACAGGTCGTTGAAATGCCGGTGCCGCTGTTTTTTCTGCTTGTTCCTCCTCTTCTTCTTCAGCATCCTCCTCTCTGCTTTCTCCAGCAGCTCTAGGCTGTCTGCTGGCAAGAGCATGTGGGGTAAGAGACCGTCCTCCAGGGGACGCCCCTGATCTTCCTCTTTGTGGGGGAGCTCATGGAGGAAAGGCTCCAAGAGGGGGGGTTCAGCATGGTGGTCCTCTGAGTCTGATGAGGAAGATCTGGAAGACGATCTCCTGAAATAAAATTAGATAGTATTTAGATAAAGCAAGTGTCTTATACACCTGACTTGACCCAGATCACATCATAATGCATCATCATTTGTTATACACTTGATAAGTTTAGTCTAACTAGCTTCTGTCCTGCTGATATCAACAAGAATCTCAACACAGTCGGAGCAACTTCATTCTGTTTTAGCTTCTTTTAATGTGCAGCCACCCTCACCATCAGCTGACCACCAGAATCATTCATGCTGTAGTTTAATACCTATTGACTGGCAATTAAATTTTGTTTAAATTCATGTATGTTTGTGCACCTCTGATTTTATTTAAATGGGATGACTCAGCTCGAGATATTAAGTTTTATCTCAGGATCCACAGGCCTGAAGAGATGAAATTGATGAGTTTACTGCTCCTTCGAGAAGCCCGGTTTCTGTCCTGATCCCTATACATGATCATGAAATTAAAATCTGGAAAGATCCCAAGTATACGATGTTTTCAGAGGAAGCAAGCTCAGCTCCCTTTGGGGACAGATTTCTTTAGTTATGACTCAATTATTCTGTTCTTAATAAGTGAATTAGTTCCTGACATAAAGTGAAGATGGCCAAGAATTTCATTGTGTTCTTCGTTTTTGTGATTTTATGACCACCTTATTTTTCTGGCTGTGATTATCTTTATTAAACCATATTTGGATTGGAGGGACAGTTTCTTTACCTGCAGTTATCCAAATTTTCTGTTCGACTCAATTTTTTTTAAGTGTGTTTAAAATAGGGTCAAATCATGCCCGAAAAAGACAGGTACAGTATTGGCTGATGAAAGAAATGGAAAATACAAGCGAATACTCGTGATTATAACGCTCTTGCTGGCTAGCAGCTACATCATTTTGTCGGGGATTGATTGATTGAGAGTAAACTCCTGTGAAAGCAGTCCCATGTGAGTAGATCAAAATCAGGTCCATCACAGGGTGGTAATCCTTCATCACACTCAGAGTTGGTGAATGAAAGTAGATTCACACACACACACATACACACACACACACACACACACACACACAAAACAGAGATCTACTGTAAGATATCGCCCGCACACTGTGCCATGGTACACTGCACTACATGCTTCACAGCAGGAGGTTTAGGCTCTGCTTGGTTTGGCCTTTTCAACAACTATTCATAGGTGGCCGATGGGAATTCAGTCAGTTTAATCTACTCTACAATCTTCCAGGGTGGAAAAAGCACCAAAAAACCTAAAGGGTTTGAGACATGAGGATACCTGAGCTTCTTGCTCTAAGTATACTAGAGACAGTCAGCACTCTCGTGGTAATTGTGACATTGTTTTTTCTGTGATTTTTTTTTTCATCATTACGGTTCAGGCTGTGTTTTACTTGTACATTGTCTGCCATTTGATACAAGAGCAGTACTGAAAGTCAATTTTACATAGAAATTAACTTGATATAGCGCTTCCACTGTGGCGGCTGACAACTGATCCAAAATGGCTCACAATGGCTGCAAATTCAGAAACAGCAAAACAAAAACACACAGCTGATGAAAAGGGTCCAAAAGCATCAAACAACGTCATTGACAACACGCCGCATATTCATAAACAATAAGATATTCAAAACACCCAAAAATACACAAAAAAATGTTGCAAATCAAAACCTGACAACGAAAATACTACAGGCCTGTAGGAGATCCAAACAGCTGATTATTGTTAAGAAAGAGTTAGGTAACAATGAGTTGAACTTATTAACAGACCACATAATACTGAATTAGACACGCAGCTCACAATGCAACTGGTCCTGAATACAGAGTGTAGATTAGTCCTGCATATACTGTAACTGGAACTGTACTTTCCACAAACGATAAGAGTTTATTTTCCCATGTCATTTTTATAAAGTTGTAGTAAAAGTCATTTTATTCTGAGAATAAAGTGCTTTTGTTAAGTTGTGAGATTACAGTCAGGTTACTTAAAGCTCCTGTAAGGAACTTTTGGTCTGTGTCACTTTTGGTGCCCCCACAGTGGCTAAAGCAGTCTTTCAAAGCTGACTTTTGACATTCAGATGCATTCTTAATTGAATATTAAGGGCGGCAGTTTAGGGGTAGAGCAGTTGTCCAACATCCTTAGCAAGAGCTTAAACATCACTCACACTCATGTGTGAGTGATGTTTTGTGGCTGTAGGCGTAAACTGGCAGCTACGTTTGAGGGTCGCTGATAAAGCGCTATATAAAATCTGATTCATTATCATTATTATTATAAATGTTATTTGGGAAATCATCAAACAAGGCTCCTTAGTTGACCCCTACCCCTTCACACCAGTTTCAAGAATCCAAAATAAGGATATTTATTCTTATAATTCTGCTGGTGAACACATTTCATATGTGGAGATTTGTGCACAGTCAAATGTCTTAAATAAATGTTAACCAAAAAATGTAGTTTGTTCACATAGGTACCGTGACACTTTCTTTACAAATATTAGAGAAATATTGCTCGAGTATAACCATTCTGTTTAATAGTCATGTGCTCAAAGTTTAAAGCCACTGAAACAACACCAGACCTCTGACTCGAGCTGTTTCTTTTCTCCTCTTTGATAAGATCTATGTTCACCTCTTCTGGGATTAAGAGGTCACTAGTTCATGTCTGTTCACAACAGAGAAGCTCACACTTCAGTGTAAATCCTGCTGGTTCATAAATAAACACATGACTGACCTCAAGAAAGGCCAATAAAACCATTATTTGTGTTCATAGACATATAGAGAAACGAAGCGAGGAGAAGAGTCTCGACGGACAGCTTCTGTGTTTAGTTTTTGGTAATGTGCAGACAACACATAAATGCTGAAAGAGAACTTGAACATCTGTTTTGGGTTTAGAAAATGAACACGGATCAACTATGGAGTTGTGCTTACTCGGAAAATGATTTCCTTTTTCAAATCCAGCCGATGAAAAGGTTGAGGGAAATCTATCCTCCTGTCAGAACCATGAGGCAGCGGTTGCCCAGTATAATGTGGCCAGGAAGGAAACCTTACACCAGTTTAAGTGATAAAATATGGACCGGAGTTTCATGGAGTCATGTTTTCAGAGGAATTCATAACGTCTAAAACTACAAGAGAACAAAGCCTTTTCTGCTTGGTTCTTCATCCAGCATCTCTCAATGTCCTCATTATACTTGAATTTGTTTGTAAAATCATCCTTCAAATATGAGAAAGTCCAAAAGCAGCCTCCCCAGAAACTTGAAAAATAATTAAGTGTTATAAAACCAACCCTTTGGTATTTCTGGTATTCATTCACATATTTTTTGTGTGTTATTGAAAAAACAAACTTGAGTGTTTCTGGGTAAAAACTCAAAGTTAGGCTCAACTGTCTCCTGCAGTGCCGCTTTCTATTTCACTTTTTAGTGGCAGGTGATTGAAACATAGACAAGCAATCCAGGCAAATTCAAGAATAAAGGATTTTTGGCAGGATCAGAGTTTGATGAAATATTGAAAAAATATATCTTGACTTTGACAAATTGCTGGACTGTAGCAAAGTCAGTAATAGGAGAGGACCATTTTCATTTGCGAGGGCGTTTTGTGATCGACACAAATTATGCTAGGAGGTGTGTATTTGTGTTTATGTTGGGGGTGTTAAAGAGCACTTCAGCAGTAAATGTACCTGTTTATGGGCTGCCCAGCAGGGGTGTGCTCCACCTCGTATCCCTGGCGACGAAGCACATCAATCACTGTATTGTTGCCAAGAAAATGACCTGAAAAAAAAGAGAGAATAGCACTGACCACCAAGTTTTTATGCTGCATATCAGCTACTTAGCCGGAAGAATTCACTTCTAGAGACTGCAATGTTTCAGAGTATACTAAGCATATATATATATACACACTAAACTCAGCAGGGAAAAGAGTTTCTCCTTTGTTCACATTGTTTCTCTTATGCTGAAAGCAAACACATACACTTTATGGCATTGCGTAACCTGGTGTAACATGTTTACAAGTTTAATTTTACTGCTTTAAGGGGGAAACTTGACCAGAGAGAGTGCACCAGAAGCCACAGCAGTCAAATAAGTAGCAGATGGAAGATACAGAGCGACATGGCAGGAAAAAAGGGGAAAACAAATGAAATATTTAAATTCATTTTGCCAAGATGAGTAGATCGAGATATCGCTCTCAAGACAGTAGTTTTACTCTGGAGGTGAAGTTAGGAGGTTGTGCTGCTCTGTTAGAAGCTACAAGGTGATGTTTGGGAGTTGTGGAGTTTTACATCTCATGTACAAGCGGCTGAAATGAGTTTCCACTGCAGGTTGGCTGGGGAGATGAGTAAGATGAGGTGGCTTGAGCGTCTAACTAGGAAGCCTCGCTGGGGAAGCGACCTTCCACCACAGGGAAGACCCAGGACACACTGGAGAAACTACTTCTCTCAGCTGGCCTGGGAAAAAAAACTCTGGATAAGCGGTAGAAGATGGATGGATGGAGTTTTACGTAAATAACTCTTTGAACCTTAGACAAAGCTATAGGCTAGCTGCTTGCTTTCCCCCATATCTTTATGCTGAATTGAATGATAAAGCTAACAATCTTATTTTGGTGAAAATCAAGTCATGTAACTTCCTAAAACGATAAACATGAAGCTGAAAGTACAGTCCAGAAGCAGCACAGGTTCAGCTGAAAAATATCCGAGTGTCCCAAAAAAGTTCAATTTCAAAGAGTTTGAGGAATCAAATGAAGTTCTGAAGTTTTTTTTTTTTTTTCTCATCCAGATCTCTTCCAAATAAAGCTCATTTTCCTCAAAAATATCTAAATGTTCAACTTTCCTCTTCATTGTATCCTTCTTATTCACTTGTTCTTCTTCTTCCTCATTCTTCCATGAACATTTTTTCATACCAGCCTCTTTTTTATCCCCCTCCAGTCTTATTTCTTCATTCTCCTTCTTCCTTATCTCTAACCTGCCCTCCCATCCCCTTTCTTCTTCTTTTCTCTAATGCTGACCCTCTTCACTACATAAAGTGGGGGCATTGAGGCTTCAGGTTGCCATGTCAAGAGGTCTCCATTCTTCCCCTCACTCTGACAAGGGGGAGCAGGGGCTCATTGTTTAGGCCTGCTCAGCCGTGGCACCACAGAGCTGTGTAAACAATGAGCCCCGGCACTTTAATCTGGCCCAGAGCCATCGATAGAGAGGGGTCGGCCTAGACGCACTATGGGTGCCATGATGCTGCTCCATCTCTGGGACGAAAACTCTGCTCCAGCGTGTCGTGGAAAAAGACTGAGGGGATTCAAGCGAGAAGTGCAAAGTCAACAATTGACTCGGTCTCACTCTTTAGGAGCTTGTCCTCTTGGTGAAAGCAAGAGTAGGGAGGATGATGCACCACAAGATTCTGGATTGATTGAGCTTTCAAGAAACTGACAAGCTGTGGATGCATGTTTACCTTCTACTTGAGCTGTTTCTGAAGCAGTTGGCTTGATTTACTCAATTCATGCACCTCATTTATTCATCTTTGAGCTCCAAACAAAAAAGCCGCATTCATTTTCACTTTTAGTTGAGATCATTATCAATACAGGTAGTCGGTTAAATGAACACCGAGCAGCTCTTTAAATTCTCTATGGTAGCTGGAAATCAAGTGTGTGACAGAGAGACAGAGGCCGAGTTTTCCAGCCTGCCCACATTTAGAAACAACTCGGTGTGATTTATGTGAGTTTATGTCAAAGGGATTAAGGTGGGACAAATGGAGCTGTTGGGCACAATGCAGGGCTGCAGAAGGGTGGGCGGACTTCAAAACTTCAAAGGGTCACACACACACACATATATATGCATGCACACACACACACACACATGCTCACATAAACACAAGTACTTAAACACACATAAACCATCAATTTTGACATGTCCCCAAAGGCTTTAGTGTGTTTTAAGGAGGAAAAAAGTCTCTGCTCTTAGATACTTTGAGTTTTAAAGAAAGAAGTAAAAAAAGAAAAGAAAGAAAAACTTGGGGAAAAAAACCCAGAAGGAGGGATTCTTTGCATTTTCTTTGCATGTTTTCTGATCAGTCCAAACAATATCGTCTTAAAATAATAAGCAAGACTTTTCTAATAGCTGTACAGTTTCCCACACTTCTCCTCAAAAAGGGATGACGGAAGTATTAAGACCAAATTTGTAGCTTCAAGAATTTCACACGAAGACCATCAGCACCTTTTTCTTGGAGGGGAGTGACCAACCTTCCGCTTGTCATGGAGTTAAAAACAAAAATGAAAATCAGACATCCTTGATTGAAAATGATTGATTGCTGGGAAGGAGGAAGGGGGTAGGAGACGAAAATTATGTTTTTAAAAAAGCTGTATTTTCCTAAAATTAGGTCTCATGTATGATGTAGCCTTTGGCAAGCCCAGTAAACTTTGAGGCCAAAATGTGCCAGGTGATTTGTGACAATTGCCCCTTTGTTTGCCCCTCATACTGCTTATAGCTGGTATCAAGCAATAAATCATTCTTTGGTTTCAGTCAGGATGGAAGAAAGAGAGTGAAAAGTCAAATTGTGTATATAAAGCAGCAGAGGGAAAATGTTAAGAAACTGAATACCTGACAATGATTAAGTGTCCCGTAAGTGCCCTTATATTTCTCAAGTAGTTTTATATTTAAATGTCCTTTTCTATAAATGTGAAAGGTGGAACAGGGAATTGCTGCTTGTAACCAGTTTATTTACTAATACATATATATATATATATATATATATATATATATATATATATATTTTTTTTTATATATATATATATATATATATATATATATTTTTTTTTTTTTTTTTTTTTTTTTTTCAGTTTGAGGAGTATCAAAAGCAAATAGTTAAGTATGCAATCAAAAGATACCATGAGGCATGTTACGCAAAAATGTATAAAAAGTGAAACAATTCAAATGAAAATCACTTTCATTTAAATTTAAACCTACAATAGATTTTCTTTTTTATTTCCCTAAAAGGAACCTTAGGGACATCTCCCACAGACTTCTTATAATTGGACCAATTTTCTCTGCTTTGGTCCAGGAAGTTGTAAAGTATAAATATGTTGCTGCGTAAACAAGAGGAAACTTTTGTACTGCAACGACAAAAGTTTAAGAGCTGTAAAAGTGAGGGTTTTATTTTTCGATGCATATTCTGTTTGCCACTTGCTGACGTCTTTTGTAGATTGTTTTGGTTTGTATAAATTCAATCCAGAAGTTATGACCTGAAAGGGGACATGTTGCACCTACCGTAGCAGAGGTCCAGCCAAATTGTCAACATAATCGTCGACTTAAATGTGCATGTGAACATACTGACTGTTATGTTTGAATGGGTCAGGGTTTGCTGGTTGCTGTTTTTATTTACAACATATTTTTCCCCATGCAAATTCATTCATTTGATACAGTGTTTGTTCGACTCCAGAAGATTTTTGAGTTGAGTAACTGATTTTGGAATGGACCACTTGGGTTGAATATGACCTGATAAGCCCCTCCAAACTGATTTGATGAATTTCTGCCATGTTAGAAATTTCAGTCAACAGTGTACTCTCTCTCAGAAGCTGATACCCACTTGGGGGATTTTAGTCCTGATTTGCACTTTGCATGTTGGTCTACAGTAACTGCAAGCATAGTAGAGATATGCTGAAGGATTTAGACAACTAAAATACACACAGAGATTCACCATTATGTTCACCATTAGTGCCACCTAAAGCAATTTAATTCTACTTTGATGTATCTTCTCCTTTCACTTTTTATTGGTGGGTCAGAAGGGTGATATTTACACCAGGCAAGTAAGATGTATGCAGACCAGACGACATACGAACAGCTCTAACACTGAGGTTCAAAATATGAATTTAAATGGGTTAATCAGGAAAAGACAGACAGTATGCAATGCCTTTCATGATGCATTTGAACCTTATCAATCTCATCAAACATGCCTCAAACACTAACAGGAAATTAATGAGCAGTTCTTGAGTTGTTTTATGAGCGCTTTCAAATTCTTTCAAGAGAAAAAATTGTGCAACCTTAACAAAAATCCTGCTACACACAGATTGTATCAACATCCCAGTCAGAGAGGACATTTTTGTACCTTTGAGTTGCACACAGTGACTCACCGCACACAGCAAAACTACATCCATATTTACTTTGCTTCAGTGTTTCCATGTTAGCCTCAAAACAAAACACACATGATAATTGTAAGAATGCTGATGTTGTGGGGCTTCTATTGCATTCCTCTGCACTGTATTAACTTTGGTTCAGCCGCACTGGTTCCCCAGATGTTTCCATCACATGGCTTTGTTAAACATGTTGACTCACATAATCAGGATCAGTTTTTCTGCTTGTTGCTTGTCTCACGGCAAATCGAAATGAAAACATTTCTTTTTGCTCCAGCTCTAAACAGAGTTTTTTTGTCCTCTCCTCTGCTCTTCTTTGAATTGATCCACCTGAACCAGCTCTCTGATTGTCCAGATCTGGAAATTTTCACGGTGTTCAAACTCAAGGCTCAGTATGTGTCACTCCATTTGTTTTCTATTTATCCTATGTAGTGATCACGTTCATTTAGACTCTCATTAGAAACAGGCCTGCAGCCCATGTGAGGGTCCACCCCACAGTTCAAGAAACACACTTCTGGAGGGAAATCTGACATATACTTCCACAGATTATTTATGTAGGCCAATTTCATACATTTTAAATCCATAAAATGGGCCAAAACATGAATATCAATGCACAATATGTGGACTGTAAGTCTTTCCTGCAGCTCTCAGAGAGGGGAGATGGTAGAGATAAAAAGCAAGGACAGAACTGAAAGCTCTCATTCAGAGTTAACACACTACATGCTATGACGTTTATACATGGAAGCACAGAGTTAAGATGGTTGTAGAAAAGCACAGGTTTTTTATTTCAAAGCCCTCTTCAGGGAACAACTTTGTGTTGAACTATATTTAAACTTTATATCTTGTAATCAAACTCAAAAATTGTTTGATATGTTTCCTATTGCTTGTGTGTCTAGCTGCCCAGGGACTGCAGATGAAATCTAGCAGATCAGCTAAAACTGGAACAACAAATCTTTATATACTGTAGACCAGTGGCTCTCAGCTGGTTTGGCCTCGCGACCCACTATCACCCCTGAATGACAAGCTGCAACCCAAATTGAGGAAATTTCCGACTTCTCAAATTTATCTGTATAAAAAAAAATATGCTGAATATCATAATGTACTAACAAGCAAAAAAAAAACAAGTTTAATCATTAACCAAAAAGACCAACAGGTGGCGATAATAAAGAGGGAAATATTTCCTTTTACACTCAATTAGCTGCATTTGAAACGAAATCAAAAAGTGCATCTTAAAGACACTATATTTCAAGAATGTAGAGATACTGAAAAGTCATTTCTTACTAATAATAAGTTGGTTTTCGTGCTCCTTTGTAAACCCGTATCTCATGTAGTCAGTGCCCTTCAAAGTAAAAGCACAGGATTTAATTTATTTACTTTTTTTGCCCAGGCAGATGCCGAGTCTATGACCCACTTTTTGGTCACAACCCATCAGTTGAGAATCGCTGTCTGTCTGTCTTGTACTTGGTTCCAGACAAACTAAATAATAAACTTCATAAAACTAGACTAAACACTCAAAGTTTTTCCAAACTGTTGACTGCATATCAAAAGAGTTGACATGTCCACATAAAAGTAAGGCCAAAACACCCCCCAGTACAACTCTGACACCAGGCATATTTGGAGTCAGAGTCTGCATAGAAGGGATTTGCTCTTGAATCATCTGCATCATTTCAGTGTTGCCTCTTCTGCTTGCTTGCCAATTTAACTGTAACACCTCGATGTAAGAACTGATGACAGCTTTATACTGACAGTGTCAATATTTGGTATTTATGAACCTTTTTGCAAAAACCTGTACCTGCTCTTAGGTGAAATGATAAGCTTGTTTAAGTATTTGGCACTGCATAAACTAATATTCATCAATTATTTTATGTCTTTTCAGCCAATAAAGGTGGATGCACCTAATTCCTGTCATTTTATAGTCTCACCTTGAACCCTCCCGAAGAACTCTGTTTGAAATATGATGATTTTCTATGTTTTGAACAGGTACCTAATGTACAGACCAATCAAAACAATTATACTGTATGTCAAAAAACAGTTTAATCTTTCCTAAAACACATTTGTATTTAACTACAGTGAAACCTTTCAGCACACCTGGAGGCAGTCAGATCAACATCAAATGACAAGCAGGGCGGTATCCACCCTTCAAAAGACGACCAGTCTCCACAATCAGAGGCTCAAATTATTACAACATATGGTAAGCCTTAAATAGCCTTCCTTTTCCATACACATTAATATTTACATTACAGCTTGTAACCACGGCCTGAGCATCAGTTCTCATAACATTACAGCATGTTGGATAAACAAGCGCTGCAGGCAGCACTGAAGCCATTCTACCCCACATTGCCTTTTAGCTAGCTGTTTGTCTGCATGAGTCAGCTGAACCCTGCAGCCCATAATCACTGCTGCTGGAGCCTGAATGAAGTCTTGTGTTTGGGAGGATGACAATGAGGTGTCTGCTGCAGACTCTTACCTTGCAATACCATTTACTGCCCATGACATAAAGCTGCAAACTTTCGGCATAAAAAAGAAACTCCAAATCAGCTCGTTTTTTTAAGCTCTCTTGACTTCTTTGGCAATTTGATGCCATGAGGGTTTATACAGACATCAGTCCTTATAAATTTAAGGCATAGGGAGGTATTAAAAAGAGAAAGTTAAGCTACTGAAATTGATGTCAGAACTAAATAATAGACTGAATTCTAGGATTTGACATTTCTGGGACAGTGGAAGCACAAACCATCCAACGATTTCACTGGAAAATCACAGAGCTGCTAACAGACAAGAAAACCTCAAGTTAAGAAGAAGCAGCCATCAATAAAAGTGACAGTCACGTCAAAGGCAAATAACAGGAAAATTATTAGTTATCCCCTGGCAGAGACATCACAGTCAGCCTGGTGTTTTCCAACAATGCCAGCTCCACATTACAGCATGTATCAAGTGTCTGGAAACACAGACTCTGCTAGCAAAGCAGTTCTTCTTCTTCCTGATTAAATGATCCTGTTTTTGATGAACAGTGAGTTCTCTCCTGTATTGAATTAAAATCCCATCTGTAGCTGTTCATGTCCAATTTATTTGACAATGTTGGCATATTCTTTTGAGAGGGAAATTTGATTGATAATGTCAAGCTAGCTGTGAGTGATTCAATGTGGTAGCTCTGTAATAAAGTCTTTGAGCCTCTGCTTCATCCTCCTTCTACTATCAATTTTGGTCAGATAAAAAGTATACATCATTCTTAAGAGCACCATGCTGTATTTTTAGACTTTTATGGATGATATTTTGCTCATTTTACAAAAATAAGGGATGGCTTTTCAGTTTTCAGCCACAATGTTGCTTTTTATGTGCACAGCAAAAGCTGGCTCTGAAAGCTCCTGTGTGGAGTTTTTGATAGGTTATCAATCAGACTGTAATGAGCAATAATAAATCTGTATAATGTACAGATCAGGAATGTGGGCACTTACAAAAAGACTGACGATAATGATATTGTATTTTTTTAATGCCTGTAAACGCTGTGAGGGGGTAGGTATGCTTTTATATATATATATATATATATATATGTGTGTATATATATATGTATATATATATATGTATATATCAAGGCTGCCAAGTTTCAGAAAATGACAATAGTCAGACTTAAGCAGTATGTGTTCAGCAAAAATTTTTTTTGCCTTTTTTATGTCAATTTATACCTTAAGACTGATGTCTTCACCTCCATGACAGCTGCCAGCTGCTCTCCCTAATGCCTTTCTTAATTTACCAGAAATTAGAAATGAAAATTGTAACAAGAATTTTGACAAAATACATTTATTTGTCAATACTGCATTGAGTTGGTTTGAAATGTTGGCGCTGTTGTGTGTGAAAGATAGTTTGAGATGCCAAGACCCGCCTAACGTTGCTCCTGATTGGTTTATATTGCGCGGTGCCTTTTGGGGTTGGTTAGATTTAGGCACAAAGGACTGATGGATTGGTCTGGGATAGGTTACCTTGGTCAGCCAATCAGAGTTACTCGAACTAGGGCAAGTCAGGTTTATTATCATTAAAAAAATAAATATTGAATGGGGAAAAATAAGCATGAGAAATGTCAAGTGTGGCGTGTGGTGTGAGAATGGGTCAAATCGCTTGACTGTACACCACAACCGTTGCTGGAGACCTTTCATTTGAAAAAAAACAAAAACAGTCAACCTCGTGGTGACTCTTCAGGAACAGAGGGGGTTTCTACAATGTCCTTGCAAAGACTCTTCCTCTCAGGGGTATAAACCTTTGGCAGTGGGTCGCTAAAACCTTATCAAAAAGCCCACACAGTCATCCAGAAACCACATGGCCAGTACTGTACGTTAAGAAATCTTTGCCACAATTCAATTACTAGAAAGCAGTTGATGTGTTTGTTTAAGTGAAACTTGCATCATATATCTACCATAGCCAACTTGTGGTGTTGTGGAGTCTCCCAATGTTGATATAATACTCATCCAAGCAGGCACCAGGGTTCTTCGCCACTAGATAGGCCATGGAAAGAAAGCTATAAGTATGAGCCATATAGCCTGGATTCAATTAACTACGATGTAGCTTTACATATATTGTCATTTTGATCCTAACTCTCTGCAGGATATGACCCCGCTTTATAAAATGGTGCAGAAGAGAAAGCTAGGAGCCAAGGCGAAGATATATTTATATAAGTATTTTTGCCTACAAACCCACCAATAAAAAACTTGAAAAGTCATCCATGCAAACGATAGCATATTAAATCTGCGCTCCAACCATTTGCATTTCTCAGCTGTGCTCTTGTGCACATTAACTCATTAAAATTAACTTTATAAAAACAAAACTACATGTGATTCAGTTCATTCATGTTTGAAAGAGTACTAGACAGAAAAAAAACCCCTTTTGATTTAGACCCAGAGAAATCCATTAGAGGAGTGAAACCGCAGACTGAGCCAAACTAAACCTCCACATGTTGTTCTAGTACTTCTGCTGCTCACTCATTAATGACCTACTGTATGGACCTTGTTTCTGAAAATGAAGACATCATTTCCCCAGAAACTGTCACAGTCAAATGATTTTTCATTTTTACAGCACCCACACTTTTGAACAGTAAAACTACAGTAAGTCTTGATTTTTTTTCAGAAGAGCATTTACAACTTCTGAATGAGGAACATGTGCTTTGCAGCCTGGAGTCAACCCCTGGGAACCATGAATACTGACATTGATTTTCAGGGCAATCTGATTTTAGGATGTTTACAGTACAGACCAAAGTGGTGAACTTAGCAGAGGATGTATAATTCAACATTAGGCTTGACAGGCACATTGTTGGCTTTGGTTCATTTTACAAAGTCTCAATATTTCTTTTTGCTTTTGTCTCAGGCCTCCTCACCTCATGTGGGTGGTGTTTTCTGAGCAAATACGCATCTATAAATTGACCTGTTCTCTGGAAAATGGAAATGGGAAAAACCAAAGTTGTGGAAATGTAAGTTATAGATACAGCAGAAGAGGTTGAAAATCCTTCGAATACATTTTTTCCTACCCTTTCAGGACTTCCAGAGGGTGCATGGGAGTTGGCATGTGTTTTGTTGACTCGGAGAATAAGGATTATGACCTACTTCCTCAGGGAACTTGCCAGACGGTCCCTTTATAACCAAAGTGAGGGCTGTGTTTACATACTCACCACCAAGTCAGGCAGGTACCAGACCTCCGGCAAGCACTGGAGGCTGGGATAAGAGAGAGTACCCTCAAGCCAAAGCCATGGATCTTAATCCAGTACCATGAAAAGGCACAAAGATGAACTTCAGTGAATTTCATGACCCTCCTCACAGGAGCTTTAAAATCAGGAGATTTTAAAGTTGATAAAAATGGAACTGCTTAAGGAATAAAAGAGCTTTGCTATTCAGTTCTTCCATGGACTCTTTTGTTATTGTGGGATACCGGTGATGTGAGAAAACAGTGATAAAAGACAGCTGTGATATGGCTGCATTAATCTGAAAGACACAAAACAGCACCCGAAGGCACAAACACACCTCCGCTCTGTGAAACAAACCTTTCTCAAGTCAGGCCAAAGAATGCTAACATCTCAAGCAGCCAAATATCTCTCTTTCTGCTTCCTTCAGCCATGGCGAGACACACCGTTCAGAGGGACAATGAATCCAGCAGGTCACATCTTGATGGCAAAACTGATACCAATCACCGTTTGGGACACTGAAGTAGAGGTGAAGGATGAAGAGGATGAAAGCAACAGAAGACTTACAAAAAATACGACAAGGCCAGGCGGAAAAAGCTAATGTTAACACAGACATGAAAACAAGAACAGAGGGGAAAGAGAAAAGCATGCACAACAACACAGGAATGTTAAGTTGTCAGATGCCAGACAATGATAGCTGAGGATAAGAGCATCCTGTAAGGTCTTTAGTTTTACCACTGAAACACGTCTCCATTGAGGCTGCGTAGACGAGATTTTGACTCTGTGCCCGTGTAAAGTCTGCTGCAGACAAGAGACAAGAGCAGAGCCAGGGCTGCTCGAAGCAATATCTGGGTTTGGTTTGTAGGTTTTCCAACTTTATTGTTAAATCTGACTCTCTTCAGGTAAAGAAGGAAAGTGATTCTGGAAATATTTTCTTCTTTTCTTTTCATGATGTTTGCAGAAAAGATCCTTATTGGTCAGCATAAAACTTAAGCCATACAGTTAAACTTTCTGTTTACGTTCCTTGTCTGTTACTCTCCATATAACTAACAGTGTCTGTGAGCAAATTTATTTTCTCTTAGACGACGCATTTGGAGATTTACAGGACTCATGTGCAGTAAGTGCCTCAGAAAAAAACATTCATGATTTATATTCTGTTAAAGAACAGCCTATGATATCTCTGAGAAACATTATTGTGGGAATCTGACAGAAATGATGGACAGGGTGGTTTGTTTGGTTCACAGATGAAGTGCTTCAAGTGAAAAACGGCCTCACTTGTGGTAATTAAGAAGATTCATTACAAAACATTCACCAATTTCAACAACTTTCTCTCGGCTCTGGGCCTCGTCTTTTATATAAATTTGGCTCTGTCATGTTTATCGTCGGAGTTAAAACGGCTAAACTGTGAGCATGAGTTTTCTTGAGAGCGCTCTGAGCGTGTTCAAAATGATGCTGAGAATAAATGAGAAACAGAGCGCATAAGAGGCCTGTGGTGTGAAGTTGTTTTTTAAATAAACCCTCACTCAAACTTTGTGGTGGCACGCGGCGCTTTGGAGACGTAGTTTGGGATTACATCTGTCAGGCTGCAACAGTCTCTACACTCCCTCTCAGAGCACTGCTCAGTTTTCTACTTTCTGCCAAGAAATGATGGCACTCCAACACATACTTAGACACACACACACACACCGGCTCATTCACTGTGGTCGAATTAAAAAGTGATCAAAGCAAGAATATTGGGTAAAAGTAAGTCGTTCTGACTAACTGGCAAGCTCTGAGCGTTCCAGTCGAGTATTTTCACAATAAAAGCATAAGAGGAAAGTCATACAGCCGATAAAGGAGTCACCTGAGTTAAGGTTGGCTGAAAAAGTTTGCTCTGTTAAACATAAAAGTTGCATATAAAAGTATGAGAAGTTAATTTAAAAAGCTGTAAATATATAATAAGTATATAGAGTACAAACATTGAATTTGAAGTTAATGCAATCCCCAAATAGGCAAATAAGAATATTGTTACCATGGAAAAGCCACCAATCATCAAATCTGAGGAACTATCATTTTTTTGTTCTCTATATATCATTTATAACTTAATAAATATCATCTTTAAAGCTACAACAAGGAGTTATAAGCTAGTAATAAAATGGACTGAAATTCTTAATGTTGCCTCTGTATGAGCTACAAAAGCAAACAAGACCACCAGCATTGTTTTCTGGTCCTTTTGAATGTCTGAAACTCCTGCTGGAGAGGGTTGGAGTCAAATACAGGTAGATCTTCAAAGCTACATTTTCTACAGCAAAAGTTTACAGCGAAGTTTACTGCATGTCCACTAGGGCTAGTTGACGTTGATGACAAAAATCGATAATGGAAAAAGTCGACAATGAATTCCATGGTCGACTATTGTCGCCAGACGTATTTTTTTCCAGTGGAGTGAGATATCTTACTTCATTATGATCTCTGCCTAGAGTCACACATGTTTAATAGTGTCTCAGCCGAGCAGTAGGGTATTCAAACATGCTGGCGCCGGCGTCCCACACAGCAGCTACGAGTACTTGTTTAAAAACCTCCTAAGTTTGGGAGCACTCTAGTCTAGATAAGGTGAAAATGTTAAATATTTAGAAAAATATAATTATCCAATTAGTTAATGAATCGTTTCCAGGTCCGTGACTATTTGACAATTAACATAGTCGTTAGCTGCAGCCCTAATGTCCACAGGGGGTGCCAAAATCAACACATAACAAAAAACAAATTTTGAATGTCAGCCATGTAACCTTATCAACAATAAAAACACCAGAAACAGCAACCAACAAAACTGTTCACAGAGAAATGCATCCTAAGTTAACCAATGCAAGCAGGTAAGATTGATTTCTTCAAATATACATGACCAGCAATGTTGTATGATAGAGACAAAGTCCTGAGTCTTGCACTCTGGTGGTTTGTTCGCAATCATTTGACCTGTTCAACCAGCATGAGTTCTGGAGTTGTACTAGCTCCTCTTTTCAGTTTGATTCTTTTCAAATGTGCTTATGCCAATCCAGACCCACCTAATATATTCCTGCAGTTTGCATACTACGCCTCGAGACTGCTTCCTCTAAAAACACACCCCTCCTGATGTCCTGCTGTGACTCTCTATTCAGCTTTCCTCCATCCAGAAAAGGGAACCAAGGGGAGTCAGATGCCTGCTCACATTTTTTAATTTCTACTTTGTAGTTTTTTTTCTCAGATGTTTCTCTCACTAAGCTTTGATTTGAAACATGTGGCTTAAAGAGCAATTTTGTGCCTATTTAGCCGGAGTAATCTGCGGAGGATTTTGTAGTTGTCAAGTGAGGCCTGTGCATCATCTGTGATTTAGGACTGAGTTATAACTACAAGCAGATCCACAGGAGAGGTCTGTTCATTCACAAACCTGCTGTGTTTGGCTGTTTAAGGTCACTTTGGCTCTCCCTTCATCCCTGTCTTTTCTTGTCAGATCTCTTTTACCCAGATTCAGTTACACCATTTGTCTCTTTTTGTCAATTACCAACATCTGTTTCTCTCAAATCATGCCTGATCTTGTTTTCCTCTAACCCTTACTAACTTGTTAACCTAGATAGAACTGTGGGCTTGTTTTTTTTTTCTTTCTTTCTTTCCAGGTGTTTAAGGGTAACATCCAAACCCAAAATAGCCAAGTTTTACATCTGTGCCTCTTTACAGCCTCTGAAACAACCCCAACAAATAAAAAAATTTGCTTTCATGATAAGAATTTTTCATTTGGCCCCTTAAAAGACCAAATACAACAACCAGAAAATCCAATGTAGGATTGTTAACATGGGTTCATAAAATGGTTTGTTAATTTTTAATCTCTGATGTTATTTCATTTTCACATTATATTATGGGAACAGCATCATAGAAGTCCACAAAACTATCTCATTAATGAATAAACCTGTTGTGTTCAGCTTAATTTAAATAATATCTATAACTAGCTTTATTAGGTGTATGAGACCAAGATATCCCAATAAAGCCTGAATTAAATATCTAGTTTCAAAGTAGTTCTAGAGATACAAAAACACAGACAGTGATACTGTAAAACGTGCTTTCCTTTATATTCAAGGTCTGTTTCTGCATAAAATGACACATCTAAGGAAGTAAGAAAATCTGTTCACATTGCATTTAGTTCAATGCAAATCTCAATCAGGAGCTCTGAGGAGTGATGGGCTCATCACTTACAATTACTGAAGGGACTTTTTGCCTTCATGGTCAGACTGTCTCCACACACCAAGCGTGAGTAAAATCATTTGCGCAAATGAATTACATGTTAAGTCAATTTAGATACTCCTACTACTCTGGTGGCGTGAATGACCCGAAATGGGCGTGAGCTGAAAATGTCACAACTTCAGCAGATATTCGCATCGCACTAACTAATCAGCATGAAGGTTTCCGGGTGATGAATGAAAACAGACGGTTGTTCACTGGTATCTAAACTTGAGGACAAACTGATGGTGTCAGCGTGTGTGTGGGTGCCCCAAATTATATGATACAATTTCTTTTAATTATCAAAACCGCCTGGAGGCAAGTGAGTGAGGAGGTCGGATTACCTGGTACATTGTAAAACCCTTCGTCTGTCACTTGATCCCACCAGTTAAATTGGCAGGGATTACCGTTAAAATTATCGTTGACGCGCAGATGTAGTGAGTAAATACTATTCATCCATGCGTCCAGATTCACGTGATTTTACTCGTGCTTGGTGTGAGGGCCCCATTAGGCAGCCAAAGTGCCTGAATACATGCTGTCTTCTTTTTCCTACTATGGCATTTGGTTGAAACTGCTTTTTTTAAGATGTCACTGAACCTTCTTGTTAATATTACACAGCCCATAATGTATCCAAGTATCCAAGAATTTTGTGTGCAAATTAGAATGTATTGAAATTACAGCTTTGTATAGGATGCATGTCGGCTACTGCAGGAAAAACACAATCAGATTAACCACGTCTGTTCATCTGTTAGTGCTGAAAATTATAAATATTTACAATTTTAAAAAAAGTGGCGTTATGAAGCACTTTAATAATGTAGACATTTTTTTGCTGGGTAAAAAATGATTAAAATAAAGTTGGTTTTTTTAAACTAAATTTTAATGTTGAAATCCCAGTAAGTGCTCACTGGCTCCATTCAAACATAAGAAAGAAACAGAGGAAGACGGGTGGGGAAAGAGAGAGTGGAAGCCATAAATCAAACAAGAATTGTGATCCCTCTGTCTCTTCATATCTTCATCCCCTCTAGGCGGTGTGTTCCTCTTCTTTATGTTTTTTTCCCCCAAAATGAAAAGGGACGGCTCCTTCATAACAATCCGTCTCCCAATCATCAATAGCTGCACTGCTGTTCCCCACCTACATCTATAATTTTCTTTTCCCTTTCCCTTTCATACAACAGTGAGGTATTTCTGCTCCAAATTAAAGTTTAGCCTTTAGGCAGGCATGTTAAGAGCTCATTCCAGGTGCAGAAGGAAATACTGCTGGGTTTGAATGGGGTCAGGGGTGAAGAGTTCAACTCTTTCAATAAATCACGACAAGCTGTTGTGACAAGCGTGCACCGCCACGGCCGGGAGAGAAGTGTGGGCTGTATGAAATATGTCCTTCAAGTACAGAGACCGAGGCCTTTGACCCGATGAGCGCAACAAAATCTATACATTTAGGTGCTTTTCACTCAGCAGCACAGCAAACGGTTAGTCATTCAGAGGGGCTGACAGCTTTATCCTCCTATTTAAGAAGAGAGAGAGAGATGTAGCAGATGATGTATCACAGACGGCCCTGACATCCCTCTGCTGAAAAGTTTCTCAGGCTTATCTGGTTGTATTCAGGGTCGTAAACATGTTAGCTTGTAGTAGAACAGAAAAAGATGGAATAGGGTAGGACGGACAAACATGATACCTCTGAGGATCAGGTAGAAAAGAAGAATCATGAAGGCTTTACTAAGTATTTATGAAATATTTACATGAAGGGTATTTAATAGGGTATTTAATGGTGAGATAAAAGTTAAACAGCCTAAATGATGTTTTACAAACCAAGAGTGTGAGAACAGTATGGGGTCTTTTTATTTACATTGTTTGGATATGACATTAAACATTAACAAATACTGTTGAAGGGTTTGACATGTGCCTAAATAAACTCTTGATAGTTTCCTAACCTTATGACTAGATGATCATGATTGTCTATTATCAGTTATGATCCCCAATATGTGTCCTGATACAATATTGATATCGGTCCAATATCAGCAAAAAAAAATAAAAAAATCGGATTATATCGGACTGCATCTGAAATCTCTGATATCAGCACTCCAATGCAAGCCGTCCACTGCAGACTCCACTCCCGCACCTTTATCTAACAGTGCCCTGATCCAGCATGCAGAGGGTAAAGACAAAGTAGCAAAGAGTTGGAATGATGTCGGCTGTGTGGCAGTATTTTTTGTTGAAGTCCTAAAAAGACATTGCAGCTGAGTGCAAAACTAGTCATACACAATTTTGAGCCAATATCGGATCAATAATCGGTATCAGTTAACATTGAAGGCTACGACATCTGTATCGTATAGGAAGTAAAAAAGTTGCATCGAGACACCCCTAGTTATGATACAATAAACTATATATAAACTAATGATTTTACATGAATTTATTAATGTATGTACTCTAATAGCTGTAAATTAGACACTTTTGAATGAAAGTGATCATAAAATCTTACCAAAAGCTTCTATAAAACTGCCTAAAACTGTCTGTGATTTTAAACACAGGCTCCTGAAAGCAAGAGTCACAACATGAAGACACATTACAGCCAAATGAACTCTGTTTTTCTGTATTATATGACACTGTAATACTGAAGATGTAATTTGATCTGAAAGTTGTGGTGGGGGCCTGGCGGTGGCAAAGAGAAAAATTTTATATAGATCCTTCATTCTGGTAGGAGTTCACTCTACAGGAAATTTCTTACAAACTCAAAACATTTCTAAAAATGTTGTATAAAGGTGTCATTCAAACCCAAATCTGGGACTTAGTCCAGGTCTGGCAGATGTTTCACCCCAGCCTGCATGCTACCAAGTGTGTGGTAGGTCTGGTCTGGATTTTTAATGGTGCTGTATGACATGCGCATACTCATGTCAGCGACTGCCCCAAACAGTTGTAAACTGGCTGTTTATGAGCGAGAGGTGCTGTGAAAAAGCACCGCGTTTTTGACTTTCACACCATCTGGGGAAGAAAACTCAACAGAGAAAAAACCTCTGGCTGCAGTGATGTAGTACTCAGGGTGAAAGTAACACAGACAGGATCCGGGCCAGGTATGTGTAGGGTTTGGTCTGGGGATTTAGAGCAGAATTTAAAGTCTGAGAATGGACAATTGCAAAGTCTGGCAGGTTCAAGCAGTTAACATAAAAAAGGGATTAAAATGATGTCTTTAAATTTTACTATCCAACCCCCTGGATTCTCTTGAAGAAAGAGGTTGTTAAAAAAGATGAAATATCTTACAGCACCTTGTCTCATGATTCCAGCTTCATCTTATTCTACATCAGTTTGCTTTTATAGCCGAATCATACAAGTCTATTGAGATATTCCTTTAATCAGGCTTGGTTTATTTACATCTCCTTCGCACATGCACTGAACCTCTGTGCGTGAACACAGCAGGTAGTCATCTCTAAGGTTCAGTGGGAGGTTTTTCACTTTAAGCTTATTTTGCTGAGCAAGACTCTGGACTGCCTGCAGAGATTTCTTGATACACATAGGGGCAAAAATATCTCAGAAACAGTCATTAGAACTGTAAAGGGGCTGTGGTATTCAAGAAGTATTTAAGACCCTGACTGGGTCTCATTATGCATAACTTCTAGTCAAAATATGTCCAGAACTAACTTGTTATTAAAACACTGATCATGGTTCAGTCTGTAAAAATAAAGAAGTGATGAAGAGACCAAGCCTGTTTTAGTACCAGGCTTTAAACGTACTTCATTCTGCCCTAAAATTAGGCATTTTAATGTGGTCTCCATCTAAGTGGCAACCTCAAGAGCTGAAATATGAAGGTAATAAGCTTAAAAACTGTGCTCACCATAAGTAATAAGTGGGTGCCGAATTCTTAGGAAAATGATATCAAATAAAATAGTCAGGACAGCACTCCAGTATCATATAAATTCTTCTTTACTGCTGTGCAGACTTTTTAGACATCAGCCTTTCTTCGATGGTTTCTGGCAAACTGAGTTTTTCTTTTTTCTTTTGTTTCTCAGAAGAATGGATGTTCCCTGAAACGTCTGTGTGCAGCAGTAGAGTGCTACCATTACTGATTTTAAAGCTGAAATTTGAAGCAAGTGTGGGGGTGCAAAAAAATCAAAACAAAACTGCAGTACCTTGACTGTCCACTTGGGGATGGCTCCAAAAGCCCAGTGAGTCCCATTAACACCCATTTTAGAGCGCCAATCTTCAGAGCAGAAATCAATATGTGTCCAGCCAGGTACAGAAACAGTTTTGGACTTCCATATTTTTTTCATTTGCACACACAGTCCAGGGTTACATTTATTATAACTCATGCCTATTTTTCTGGGGTATTACATAATGAATCGTTTTAGTTATGGCTCAGACTTGTTATAGCTGCAGCTCCTGGCACCAGTCATGAGCCGTACAGTAAATCAATAAATGAAGAGCTACTGGTGCGGTGCCTATGTCTGAGCTTTTTCCTCCTGTATGTTTATATTCGTTATATTCATGGTGAAATATAACATCGTATTAGGTCATGTTTTGTCTTTGCTATTAAAATTTTTCCTCTGTCAGCACACTGACTTTCAGACTCTGCATTGGTCTCACTAAGTACAGTGTATTAAGTGACTATTTCCCTGCTCCGGTGCCGAGAGCTACCCACATACTGACATGTCAAGGTGCTCTGTGTGAGTTATGAGTTCATGTCAACCTCTGTCATGAGCCACAGCACACGGGCCAAACCGTCCATTTATTACAGCCTCGCTTACCCAGGGGTATTCACTTTAGCGTGGCCCTACCAACCTAAATAGCATAAGAGCAAACCTTAATTGTCTGTGAAAAGAGTCAAACATTTCAAAGTACAGTAACCGTTAGAGCCTGTCACCCACACTGGCAATTACACCACCGCAAATATTTAAATTTGTGGTTTTGGAGTGCAGTAAAGAGAGGAACCATGGTGTGCAGAGCAGCTTGGAGTTTGAGACTGAAACATGGATGCATTGAAGTTCAGTTGGGGAAAAAAGAAAAATAGACTAGAATTAGTAAGAGCCTGCAGAAGCAGAGCCCTCAGCCTCCAGCGATATGTAAACACATCATTTTATTAACGTCAGGAGTGCCAGGGTATGGCAGAGATTATAAAGGGAACACGGGCTCAGAATGTATACACGGATTAAGTTACTGTACCTATGGAGCGCAGCAATAACTGCTTCCATATGCTTGTCTGAACATATGGGGCTTTTTCTACATCATCATTTACGCTGAGTGATGGCCGTGGTATTTCAGACAAACAGATGGAGGGAAAAGACAAATTTCTAGGAGGTATTTACTTACAGCACAGTTAAGTATAGTGAGGCATGACAATGCTCCAGACTCAAAGTGGGGTTACAGAGGGCAGCAGTTTAGTTATGCATCTAAAAAAACCTGGAAAACAAAGCTTCATATTTCTACACTTATGCATACGACTTCAGCATTTTTATGTTCAGTTCTGTCAGAGTTGCTCTTCCAAAAACACTGCAGGCCTGCTAAGATCCAAGCACTGAGTAACGCAGGAAAAGTTGAGCTGTCAGAAATAATCCTAACGATGAAGCGAGTTGTGGAGAAATGTTTACAAAAGAAATGGGAAATCACTGAAGCCACGCCAAATCCCCAAATTCTGCACAAAGCACAAAAGAAAATTCAGACATAAATCATTTCACAAGGAACGCCATGCTAAGTGTTTTTCCGTATTCAATTGTTGTGGTCAAATCACCAAATATCATGTCTGAGAATCTGGTTCAAGTCTTGAATACCTGAGGATGTTACAGGAGGACTGCTGTTTCATTTTCACTTTTCACTGTATGAACCTCAACAGACTATGTGGAACTATTTGGTGTGCCTAAAACACATTTCATACATTAACATTACTTCCGATTTATTTGAAGTTTATTAAACTTAGTTAATTAACAGACTAAATATCCTGAACCAAGTGGTGAAGTTGAGAGGTTAATGTTAGCCAGCAGCAAATCCATCAACAGTCCACAAAACTTCAGCATCTCACTTTTCTGGCTGCACCCTAAAAAGTTGAACTAAAGAATGAACTAAAAAGTTTTTTTCTTGATGATTCCTTAACATTTTTAACACATTGCACTACTCTCGCATTTTTAGTCAAATCTTTGAGAGGAAAACACAAGATCTGTAACACTTAAAGGACAGCGAGGCAGAAGCTGTTGCCTAACAAGACAGCACAAATGTGCATCCACGCATGTGCAGGCCTTTTACCAAAAAAAGAAAAAAGGAAAAACTATTGAACCGTCCCCACCCTCGATTTATCTTCTGGGAGAAAAATACATCCAATCCTACAGTCCAAGTCAAAGTTCTATTCATCAGTGCTCAAATTTGAGTCCAGAGTCCTAAAAATCAAGATTTGAGTTGAACTTACAACTCCAAACTAAATGGTGTTCATCAGACTGGGCAGTACGTAACAGCAACAACCATCCCCCAGTCTTCAGCTCATCCCTGGTTCATTTCTGACTCCTTTATGCTCCATGAAACTAGAGAGCACTCTTAACTGATAATGAAGCTGAGGTTCTGGTGTGTGATCAAGGTCAAGAAAAAGAGCAAGTGTAAAAAGAGAGAGAGGAGAAGTGTCAATTTGTCAGGGCTGACCAGTGACCACTCGTGTTTGCATGAGGGTTGCCTTTTTGACCGCCACTCTGACCCAAGTGTTGGTGTAACACCTTTTTTTGCAGTAAGTTTGGGATACAAAAAAAAAATGTTATTAAATTCTTTTTGGTGAGTCTGAACTCAGCTTGTGCAAATCCACTGAAAAACCTCTCAAAAAGTGCCAAAAACAGCACCTCCTGGCATGTTTAGAGTGGTTTAAGACAAATAACACCTGGCCATCACAGAAGTGCCTCTGTGTAAGCAGAGGGCAAACTATCTGAAAACTCTTGGTAGTAAATGACCAGAAAACCCAGTTAGATACCCTCAGAGACTCTCAAATACGCTGGTATTACCCACTGATCCAAAGGAAGGATTTGTTGTTTTTTAATCTCTTCAACTTCTGAGATAAATAAATACCAAAAAAAGAATTAAAATATAACCTTCAACCAAATCCCTGCCCCTAAGTGCAGACACTTACTAAAAGCAAAGACAAAATGAATGCTTGGTCGTGTTGGTTTATGTGTGAGCGTGCCGTATAATCACATGAGAAATCATTTATGGTTAGAAAACCTTAGCTCTGGTTTGGCAGGATGTGACAGTCAACCAGTAATGCTTTCTCCATAAACAGTTTCCAAAACCACACAAAAAAATCACCAAATATTTCCTCCCCATGGACACAGATAACAATCAACAGCAGGCAGTTATCCGATTTTCTTCAACTACTGTTGCACTTTTTCATCATTACACGCTCTAAATGGCGCAGCCAAAGTGTTGGGTTCAGCTAGGATTTCATAACAGCTCCGCATTAGCGACATTAGGAGAGTCATTTAACCACTTATGAAGACGGATAATCTTCAAGGAGCCTTTTCTTTTGCATAAGCAGCAAAACAGAACAAAATAATGTTTTAAATTCTGCCAGCATGTCGTCAAAGAGTCAAAGCTGTCGTTAAATAACTTTCTCGACTATAAAACAGAAGCGCCCTTTCACATTAAACCTCAAAGATCTCTACTGTCTGTTTTGCTAAACTTTGTGATATAAGTTTCCTCTTACCGAGCACAATCTGTGTCAAAACACAGGCTAAAAGGAAACTTATCATCATGCATTCACTTTTTTGCTTACTTGTTGTGGCAATAAGGCTTATTACAGGGAAAAATGAGAACCCTCAACGACTTTCCACATAGGTCAGTCAGGAATCTGCGGGCCAACCCCTGCAGGGTAATAGGATCATTACTTGGGAAGGAAGCATGCTAGATATGTGATTACTCTATCGAGAAGCACAAAGCCAATTCCTCTGGATCTTTTGAATCAATTTATCAGTCATTTTAACCCAAAAAGCACAAAGATTTACTGCTGATACTTAAATTTACTGCTGTTTAATATTTAGTCATACCATTTACTGCGTATCAACATTGAGTAATCTTAAACTGGCGCTCTGTGAAAGCGGGAGGAAAAAAGTTATTTTCTAATTTCATTTTTTTGGTCTTATGAAACCCTGACCACTGTACACGGGGTGCACAATTCAGCTGCAGGGCCAAACCAGTTCTTCCTTTTCTTTCAGCAGGTAGAAACCTTGAGCAAAACCAGACTCATTGGTGACCTGCCATCTGCTACAGCTATATGGACCAAGAAAACAGGAGAGACGGGTTGCTGTAATGATTAATCTTAACATATGCAGAGCATTAAAAATTGAAAGCTAAGTTGTTTCCCAGAAAACCGTACTGTTGCACTAAAAGTTCAAGAAGTTTTAAGTTAAAACACAGAAATCAGAGAGGACAATTTCACCACATCCTTAATTTGTCAAAAACGAAAACAAGAGCCATAAGGTGCTGCAGGATATGAACATTCAAACACCTGATTTTTACATAGAAGTCAAGTACGCTGATATAATGGTCTCCATTGTAATGCGTGTGAGTGTGTGTGTGTGTGAGAGAGAGAGAGAGAGAAAGAGAGAGAGAGAGAGTGTATGTCCTAACCCCTCCAGGGATAATTAAGGACACATTTTACCCAGGTCTGTCTTGGGTATAGCTTGGGGGCTAGAGAGAGTGTGTTTCAATGCTGAATGTGCTTGCATGTGTGTGTGTGTGTGCGTGCTTGCGTTTGTGCGTGCGTGTGTGTGTGTGTCTGTTCTTGCCTAAGCACATGTGCAGGCACCCTAATGTGCCCCATCCCGTTCCTTGTACACGACGACCCAACCTGCCCTCCGTATGTCTACAACTAGTGCTTCTGGGCTGATTGCCCATATCACTTTCACTCAGCAGCTCTCTCTCTCACACACAGACAAGTAAATACACACTTAGTCACACACATACACACAGACATGCACATGCACACGGAGGCACACACCTTTTAAGACCAAGCCCTTGTAAAGGCACCTCCTTTGGGACACACCGTGAAATATACTCCTTGTTAGGGCTCCAGTGTGTGTGTGTGTGTGTGTGTGTGTGTGCGTGTGTGTGTCTGCTTTTCCTCAGCTGTTTCCTGCCAGCTCAGAGACCAACAGACTGTGAAGGCCTCTCTTTCTGCTCTGATTTTTGCTGCTTTTCTACATCTGAATGACCCGAAAATCTCTGGATGAGGATGTCTCTGACGATGTCATCAAAAGGAAAGTCTGAATTGATGGCAGGAGGATTTGAATCTTTCTTCTTCAAACCTATCGCATAGTAAACTAAATAAAGTTTGGGCAAACAGACTCTTTCCAAAGTGTATGAACCCCTTACTATGAAAATATCATAAACTTTAAGAGGGCTTTTATGGTTTCTGTGGTCATAAATTGACTTCACTTAAAAGTCCATAGTGTGCAATTCATGAGTTTGACAACCGGCTACAAAATCATTACATGTATGTGTAAAATTTAAACAGATTCAGTACATTTTAATTAAAATAGGACCTTTTAAAATGTACTGAAATGATTACTTTTGACATCTGCACTGGGTCTGTTTTATTTTTGGTTTCTTTGCTACTTAAGCGCCCTATTTTCTTGAACTCATCCATGAAGGTTAAAGGAGAGCTAGTCTGCTGGGTTGTAATTTAATTCATACACATAGTTTTACAATATTGAATGTCTATTCTAAACCTTGGCAAAGTTTCATAACATGAGATTGCCTACATGGTTGGGGGCGTGATCCCTGTTTGTGTTTTCAAGCGTCTGGACGGCTTGTGTCGAGACATGACTACAACCTGAGGTCAAGTCGTGATGTACTATTCAGACAATGGTAAAGGACAAGGCTACCTGGCTGCTCTGTTTAAATATGTCCGCTCTGGGAAGTTTGAGTTACAGCTTGTCTTTTTCTTCCTTTCTGCAATTTGTTTAAGTTTTCCTGTTTCTCAGCTGATTATGAAACCTGGACAGTTTCATTGACGATGACCTTCTATAAAAGCTTAGAATCCTCAACTGTTAGTAAAATCATGATAGTAGCCAATGTAATGATAGCTGTCGTATGCTAATGTGGCTAACTGCTGTGTAAAAAGTAACACCCACAAGCTATTGCCAAAAGGAGAGTTTTCATGGGTATTTCATTCAACCTGTTAAATCAATAAAAAATGGTAAGTTGTGTATAAGTGGGGTGATGAGCTACCTTGCACATGAGTAAACAAACAGATTATTAGCAATTCGCCTTTGAGTTGTGGACGGAGACAACGCTGTTCTGCACCCTCCTCTTCATGCTAGCTTGTAGCCTAACATTGCCAGTGAAGAAGAAGTGGCAGGTAACTTATGAGCTATTCAGCTCTTGGACACTAATGTCTTTGGGGACATGATGAAAGCTAATATCGTAATTAGCTTTCTTATGAGCATTGCAATCCGCTAACGCTTGTTCCGCGATTGTCCTCTCTACTTTTCCCAGTGTGATCTGCATAGCAGGGCTTCGGGGGCGGAGCTTGGATTTGCTATATAGGAAATCTCACTGTATCTGAACCTGCTGTTGGGGTCTGTCACATCGATTTCCTACTTATTTTTCTCATGACATGTCCTGTAGCATCAGCTGAATGCCATATCAACATGTAGACAACAAGAAAAACATGATTTTCATTGGAGTTCGTCTTTAAGGAAAATTACTTGGCTGAATTCTTTGGGTAACACTTGGATTAATGTGTAGTGAGCAGGCTGTCGTGTGAATTTTAAGGCCTCTCTACTTCGTGAAGAAATGGGTTAGGAGCTCAACAACCTTATCTTTATGAAAGCCATAATGAGTGACAGAGAAATATCGTCTCCTTCTTCGTCAGGTAAGAGCGATGCTTTGATTAAACAACCTGAGGTCAAACAAACTCAAAGGCCACCCACAGAACAAAGAGTGTCTGCCTGTCCTGATACGAGTGTGGACACACCTACACATGCACACACAGGCATCCACGTCGAAGAAGACAACTTGGTGGAATCTTCTCTGCTGTTATCTTGTGTCTTTGTTTTAAGTCAGCTCTCTTATCAGGCCGTGCTGCTTGTGAGGCTGCAACTCAGTTATTGAGGAATTTAAAGTATTGAACCGACATGTTTAAAACTATGTGAAAGGATCAGGCAGGCCAAATGTCTGTTTCTGGTTAAGCCTGAGCTGATAAACTAAGGATTTATTGAGCTTCAGCTTTGGAGAGAGACCAACCACAGTGCTGTTTTATTTGGACCCTTAGCTGATAAAGCTGTAGATCAATGGCTCAGTCTAGTCTGGTCTTGTAAAGTCAGCTAAGCCATTAGATTGTACGGCTGCTTATCAACACCAGCTCTCTTAATAGAACCAACACATTTTTAGAGGGAAAATGGAAAACTTTGAATCAATTGGAAAAATCTATATTTGGAGTGAGCTTACTACAAAGTTCTTTCTTCCATTTGATCAGACAGGATTTCTTGTCTCTACAGAAGTTTGTCAAGCTGCTCAGAATTAGAAACTGTCTACCTACTTAGCAGAACAGATCGCCAAACAGAAAGAGGAATTCAAGTTGGGAATAAGCTTATTGAGTCAACACAAGGGTAGAGACAAAAGCCGAAAACATACAAGATCTGTATTGAGTGCATTCTGCCAGCGTATCTGCTCAGTCAAGCACGGGTGTCTATCGCATACAGGATGTGTATTCGGAGCGTAGCAGCAGTGGTGTGTAGCCCCGGTCAGCTGGGCTCAGTATAGAGGAAACAATGTGCGATGTGTCCTGTATGCAATGCTGTATTGGTTAGATCAGCAACCTATTTGCTGCGTGATAGGCGATGCTGACGGAATGCATTCAACATGGATCCTGTAAGTTTTAGGGTTAAAGGTGTGTACTTTGTGCCACATAATCGATACTCTGACTCTAGTATCCATACAGAGCATTTTTAGATATTTCCAACCGACTGCACTTTGTTTTACTGAGTCCTTTTTAAACACTAACCTGCTCCAAAGGCGAAAAAGAAGCTCTTGTCCGGGTGTTCCTCCAGCAGCGCCTTCACCCTCTTCCCCATCCTCTCGTTCCTCTTGTAGATGAGCTCCTGTCGAAAGTAGCTGTCTATTTCCTGGGCCGTCACCTGCTCGCTGGGTGGCAGTGTCACGTTATTGAAGTTAGGGACCTGTAGAGTTGAGTGTGACAAAACAGAAGTTTATTTTAACTTCATCAAAGACAAAGACAGTAATATGAAACGAATTTCTCTGAAAAAGAAGATTCGTGTAGAAGAATAATGATGTGCCGAAGTGCAGAGGGGATAGAGAGGTGAAGATCAGCAGAGCAAAGAAACTTAATTGGCAATAGCAAAAGGAGGCCTCTAAATAAGATGGTATAGGAGTATGCGTGGGGGGTGAAAGGTCACTCAGAGGGTTAAGGGTGAAGGCAATAGTTCAAGGGTCATGCTACTGGGACACTCCCAAAGGTCAAAAGGTCAACATGTTTCTTAGCTTATTAACTGCAGTTAAAGTCGTTTAAAACCACAGCTACATAAGTCGAGGTTACAGCAGACAGACTGACCTGTGAGGTGTCATGATTAAAGATGATGGAGTTGAGGTCTCCACAGTTGTAGTGGCTGATGAGATCCTCAGTGGTGTACGGGACCTGTAGGCTGCCGGCCCTCAAAGACTCCTGCTGCAGTAACGTCTGGTTCAGGGCAAAGATCACCTAGAGTGAGACAATGAGACTGGGTTACTGATCGATTCATTTTCACCAATGATAGGAGACCCAAGAGGAAATTCAGAAAAGTAAACTTCGATGTGCAGGAGTTCACTGAGAGATTTAGTATTGTTGCTCATCTTTGCACTAAAGAGGATAATAGTTGGGAGGACGACCAACCAGCAGAAAAGTTCAAACAGGTTTCACACGAGAAGATTCGTTCTTGACCTAAACGGGACTAAAGGGTTCACCAAACCAGTCTACAACATTATTTAGACTCCACAAAGCACTACCAGGTTTTACTTCAACCATCCTTGGATATGGTTTAATAGTTTACTGAGATCAAGAGTGCATGGATTGTTCTGGTTACAATGAGAGCGCCTTCTTCTGTTTTATACATCAAAGTACTTCCGAACTTTTACCAAGGGTGACCATACGTCCTCTTTTACCCGGACATGTCCTCTTTTTGGGGGCTGTCCAGCCAGTTAATAAAATCCTTAGAGTGTCCGGGGTTTTGTGTGGAAGTTTTGAGTATGTGTTGTGTGGACTTACTGAGTTAGAGGTGCGTAAAAAACACTCGATCCAACCCGAAAAACTCTCAATATTAACTACACATGACTCTGTGACTCCGTCCCCGCGTAGTCCTGTCCTCTTTTTGGGGATTCAGAATATGGTCACCCTATTTTACCCCAAAGTTCAAGTAAAGGTTTGAATTTTGTCACACAGCCAGTGTGGCCTAAAAACACTCCAGCACAAATAGGTATATCAGTTTGGAGATTCTAAATAAAAGTTCATCTTTGCTTGATCTGACCTTTTTTCTTATTGTTACTATTATCATAAAACCTTCTCAAGTGACAGAATCACAGATGTGATAATGAGCCTGTTGACTAGATACAATATTAGATTTACTGAACGATCGGGGCGATGGAGACAGTTTGAGTTTTTTTTTTTTTCTGGCAGAGTATTCACTGTTCTGCTGCAGGGATTCAGCTATTGTGTGACCATGAAATCAGCCTGTGTTTGGTGACAGGGCCCTGGTGAGCCTGCCGCCTGTGATCAGTGCCGCCAAGACAGACATATGCATACATGCACACAAATACAAATAAACACTCTGGAGGTCCTATGGTCTTCTCACAGCAGGACACACACAGAAACCGCCACTCACCTCAGTGCGTGGACTCTCTCTGATCTTTCCACGATTTTCACACAAACAGAGAAAACCGCACCTTTCACCCTGACGGCCATTGATGTTGTTTCCATAGAGGAGAGAGGGTTTGTACAGTTTGTGTTTTGTTGGCTTTGAAACTGTCACTATGTGTCTACAGTGTGTGTGTGTGTGAGTGTGTGCTTGTTTTTACAATTCAAGCCCATCTATGTACTCATTTACGTGTGCATTGTCAGGTCTTCAAAGATGGATCTTGTATTGATATGCATGCCCGTACGCAAACCAGGCCAACCCAAGTGGCTGTTTTTCTTTTTTTTCATGTGCTGTTTTCCAAGGTGCTCCGATGACACTTTCCCTCTCGGCTGGCTCATTGTGGGAGCCTCAGTATAGCAGAAGAGAGGAGAGGAGGAGAGGAGGGCAGCGTGGAGCAGATGCCTTCTTGTCAGGGGACAAAGAACCCCTCCGTCACCCTCTCTCTTCTCCTCTCCTTCGCGCTCCCTCCAGCTTTCATCGGCCGCGCATCAAAGTGGCGCTCTGCATATGAAAAGAGGCCCGTCTTTATGCCACGCAAATTAGCCTATCGCCGCCCCTCCCCGGCTCATTTCACAAAAAACACCCTCACATCTGTGCTACGTCCGTGAAGGAAGGCCCTCATCTGCAGGGTCTCCCCTTTTCTTCAGCCCTCTCTTCTCCTCTTTCTCTGCTCGCCGTGCCTTTCAGCCCCTTAAATTATGGCTGCGAGGGGACAGGGGAGGAGAGAGGAGGAGAGAGGGGGAGGATCGGTCGTAGCCAGAGGAAAAGAAAGTGAGCAAAAGAAGGGGTGAGATTTAGGAAAGGAGAGGAATAGACAGGAGGAAAAGTGAGGAAGGATACAGATAACAGGAGCAGACAGGAGAAGTGAAAGAAAGAAAAACCTTAATGAATGATTTCTTTCTTTCCACTCTGATCCTCCTCTTCTGTTAGTGCACCGTGGGTCAGTGGGTGCATTTTCCCACTCAGATCCTTTCATCACGTCCCCCCTGTTTCTTCTTTTCCTCCGCTGCTGCCCTCCATCCCGCCCCCTCCAGCACACACACACACACACAGACACACTGACACACCCCTTGCTGATATCAAAGCAAGCGGAGCCAATGAAAGTCAATAATTGTCCTTTGTCATGGAAATGTCCCTCTTGTTGGGATGGAGTGGGGTGGGTGTGTGCATCCAGAGCAAACATCATCACAGGCAGATTCCCACATGTGGAGATGTGGAGTGTTCAGCGGCTCAGATGAAAAAAACATGCCGGTCTGGCTCTGAAGTGTGTTAGCTTAGATTAGGATTTGCAAGACAAGTAGCTGAAATGCTTAGTAGAGTGGCTTCAAAGAGAGGTTACAATAATTACAATTATTTAATGCTGGATCACTTTCCAACTGGAGAGAGAAAATCACGCGTCTGTTCAGAATAATAATAACGACAAAGATATTCAAGAAATCCATTTGTCTTAAACTTCAAAGCAACTTTTCTACTTATTTAAACACCAACACAGCAAAACAAATTTAAAATCACTGTAAGAGCCGTCAGTGGGAAAATACGTTGTGGTCTTTTACACAGTTTTCAGTCGCATGAATAACACCAGGGCTTGATGTTTACTTTTTTGCACACCAGCCACTTTAGCAAGTGATCTTCAAGAGTTACAAGCTGCTCAGCATTTCTATGAGCAACAATTTTGAAGTTGAGGAATTATATTTAATTTAATAAAAGTTCCTTGCAACCTGCTAAAATTGACTTAAGATAACATTTTTTGAATGAAATCACCCAAATGAAGACGACATTTAATGTATGACCCTCGACGTCATTTAAAATGTCTTTTCTCTCTTTCACACTCATATGTCTACAATGGGGTATTTGGGCCACATCAAGAAAAAATAAATAAAATAAGACTTTGAGAATAAAGTCGTAATAAAATCATTATAATATTTATGTTAATGTGGTACTGATTTGCCAAAAGATTAAGTATCTCCTTGTTTGAGAAACCTATATTTAAGTACATTTTCACAAAAATGATCTATGACTCTCATTTCAACAACAGTCACCTTAAACAACAGATTATAATATAAAAACTTTATTCTGACTTTATTCTCGTAAGTAATGATTTGATTACGACTTTACTCTCTGAAGTAATTACTTGATTAAAACTTAATTATCATAAGTAATTACTTTATTACAACTTTACTCTTGCAAGTAATTACTTTATCTTGACTTTATTCTCGTAGTTAATGACTTTATTGTGACTTTATTCACATAAGTAATGACTTTATTACGACTTTATTCTTATTACCAATGACTTTATTCTCATAAATTAACGACTTGAATCTCTAAGTCTTCTTATAATGGATTTATAGGAGTGCTGAGACCCCCAATCCCCCCATCGCATACAACTTGTATTGTCATATAAATGTGTTGTGTGGTTCTATCAAAGCATGGATATATGCAGCTTGGAGACACCAACTTAACCGTCTTGTGTAACAAAGCCTGTGGCTCACTGATACTATCCTAATGATGAGTGTATGAAAGAGCTGGAGAGTATCAGTAACTTCATTTCCAAATCAGTTTTAATCACGAGTGTGCCTGCATACTGTCTCTGTTGTGTTCAGTTTCTCTGCCTTATTGAGAGTGTGCACACTGCAAATCATGCACACTCTCCAGCAAATTATGTTCAAACAAGCTTTACAAAATTACACTGTTACACAAACTTAGCACTAAAGATGACACAGAAAGCACTCGCAGCCAATTTACTTAGCTTGGCCAACATCCAAGTACAATTGCAGACTTCCAACTGCTCTTCGGTTTCCTTCTGACTCCCTGATGTTATCACAGTTACACAACTCTTCTCTTTCTACTTCTCTTTTACACACAAACACACACACACAGACCATGATCTCTACCAAAAATAAAACAAGAGTAGCTGTACTTACGCATGAACAATACTTCTAAAAACTTCTTAAAATTGTATAGACGGGCTGTAAGTGAACATAGAGGGCTGAAGTTTAGATTTCTGCCAGCCACGAGTGAAATTCAACTGTAAAGTCAGGGTGAACTGATGTCAGCTGGAGATACAGTAGGGCTGAACGGTTTTGGCCAAAAATAAAATCCCATTTTTTTTCTCTTTTTGTTTTTAAATAAAAAGTTTTTTATCATCTCTCAAAACGAAATCACTGAAAACAATGCAGTGCATATGCCAAGCCAGTTAGTGGCACTGTAAGGTTGCCTCGGACATACACAAAAGACAGAAGAAGAGAACACAGCATGTGTATTAAGGTTGTTTTAAAGGTTGGCAGCCGCCATAAAAGAGTTATGCTGTGTGTCACATAATCGTTTCGAGAGAGATGCAGGTGGGCATCTACACGAAGAAGAAATGGTAGTCGTTTATCCACTTGGAAAACTTTTGCATTACACTTAAATTCGTTTCCATGTGGACGGGTTGATACCGCCTTCAGACAGACTTTGCAGCGGGGAGTGGTTTGCACTTCGTCAAAAACTGTGAAGGCAAACCAATTCCACATAACTGATTTGCTCTTGCCCTATTTAGCCAGAAAATTATCGCCTTCTTTTGCAAACAGCATGTTTGTTTACACTGGTGTGTGTAGGAGCTGGGGAGCAATCTCGCAGGAAGGGTGGCATGATAGACATGATAGAAATGAAAATCAATTGGACAATTTTAATTTTTTTTAACATTGTCATAATCAAATAATTCGATTACGATTAAATTCGAATAATCGTGCAGCCCTAAAATACAGTTAAAAGTTATATACAGTTATAAAAAAAAAAATTAAAGTGACATTCAACAGGATGAATTAAATACAAGAGTAAAAGCATTTTGAGGGAAAAGCCAGAGCATATGTTCAGATGTAAAGAACGAAAGGAAGCTCGCGCTCCATTCATCATAAAAGGACAAAACATGAACAACACAGCAGGCGCACAGTCACTGTTCAGTCTCTCCTTCGTAGGTCTATGATCATGAGAAGCCGTATTCATATTCGGAATTGAAATCTAAGTAGTTGTCCAGCTCTGATTAAAAATAAAAATTAAGATAAAGATCCCAGCTTTACTTAGCAAATATTCACTGATGGTTCTTTTTTCCACACACATGCCCACACACATCCACGTGCACACACACGCGCACACATACACTTATATGTGCACATCTTTAAGTGCATAAATCTTTCACCACCACTAGTTAGCTTTTACTTTCTCTGTACAACCCAACCGTTTGGTCTCCCCCTCTCTCTCTCTCTCACACACACACCTGTCACTTTGAGTTATCTATATTGTTTTCACACTGTCTCACTTTCCTACCCTTTCCTCCTCTGTTTTCTGCCTTTTTTCCTCTCTTTCAACCCACTCTCTTGCACCTTTCCTCCCCACGCACCTCCTTCACTCCTTTTTTTCTCCTTCCATCTCTTCAGCCCTCCCTTCCTCTCCCTTTTGATCCTGTACATAACCTTCCCTCCCTCTGCTCCTTCCATCCATCTCTCCCTCCCTTTCTCCCTTTTTCTCCTTTGATCCTATACATCCCCTCTATCAGCCAGGTCTTTAAAGATTTGACCCCTGCATTCCTCGGGTCACTTGTGACCTCCTCCCAGCGTGCATGTGTGTATGTGGTTGTGTTTGTGTGCATGAAAACGTGCATACACCTGTACAAGATTAGGTCTTGTTTCTCTGTGTGTTTGTATGTACATGTATGGATCAGTGTGTGTGTGTGAGTGTGTGTGTGTTTGAATGCTTCATCACGGTGGATTACTGCAGCCTCTGCAGAGCTCAAAGAAGACCTTTGAAGCTTTATTAATTTTCCAATATGAGACAAATGAAAGGAAATATGAGGACTGGATTTCCGCAGCATGCAGAGGGAAAACATAAAACGGAGTGCGGATGATGAAGGTACGAAGTCTGACTATTCCTAAAGTCAGTATGTATGGCTAACCTTCAGCAGAAGGGTAGGACACAGTTTTCTTAGTCTTTCTCATTAAAGATAATCAAGAACAATACATTAGACAATTGAAATAAACCAGGATTTATTTATCTTTTATTTGTTAAACTAATACATCTTACACATATACTAAATAAAATAAGCGAGGTGTAAAGGAAACTGCTTTGTCTACAGGAGTTTCAGAGAAACATTTCCTACAGTGGCTCAGTGGTTTTAAATTTCTCTTCTGGTAGGTTACTCAATAAGTAAGAACCTACTCAACCCCTTTTCATTGTAGGAAGACAGTTATCTGCAAAGGGAGCCTTTAAGTCATTGTGTAATGGACAGTATTAGTGAAAAAGGGTTTTTTATGGCTACAACTTGATTGATTGTTTGCATTGTCTTTCTTTCTCAAAATCTGTCTAGATTTAATAAAGGTACAATATCACATAGACATCAATTTGAATATGTTTCCTATCTATCTATCTATCTATCTATCTATCTATCTATCTATCTATCTATCTATCTATCTTCCTCTCTCTCTCTCTCTCTCTCTCTCTCTCTCCCTCTCACCCTGTGAAAACATTCTTGCAGGCTGCATTTACCTTGGTGGCTGGACGCGGCCAAATATTTTGGCTGTCACAAGGAATCAGCCTCAAACCAAATGGCTGGAGGTCTGTACTCTCGTTCATGACTGTGTGTGTAAGCGTATGTGTGTATGTGTATGTGTGTGTGTGTACTGGAGATTGTGGTGATTGAAACAATCTTTCAAAAATGCATGAATGAGCTGTAAATGAACTAATAATTATCTGAGCATTAAAAAAGGCATGTAGAGTAAATAGTATTGTAAAGTTTTACCATAATGATTTGACGTCTATTGGCTGATATGAAACATATCATGATAACACTTTTTCTTTTCATATTGTCCAGCCCTATGTCCAAGTTATCACATATTCACAAATAATTTTTACCTCAAAGCTGTTGCGAGAAACTTTGAGAATTTGTGATCCTTTTGGCGCCCCCTGTGGTTAAACACTAACACTTCATCTCTTTGCTGATCTTGTCAATGTTTTATTTCCTGTCAAAGTATTTCATCCTCCTTCTTAAACTGTTCATTGTAAATTTTTGGTGTTGAAATGTAAAGAATCAACAGGTTTTCCATAAACTTGAAATTTGCAATTTTTTAATAATTGATTACTAGATATCTTTTAGTTTAGGAAGACGAATTTATAGGGTAAAAAGACTTGGAGACACTTTTATTTGAAACTAAATATTCCAGTAGCCAGGATATAGGACTGTCGTCAAACTGATCAGAGTGGAGAAATCAAATCATAGATTTTTGGATACCAGTATAACATGATCATTTGCGTGTGTCATGTAAGTCAAAATTAACTATACTTTTGAAAGCTGAATAGTTAATTCCTTTAAAACTAATAGTCTCCATTTCATTGCTTGAGTCTTTCCATACAAGAATCTTGAACTAGTTCTAGAAATCTGTCAAGCAAATTTTAAACATTTTTCATCATTTTAAAAACAATTTCTCTCAGGTGAGAGATGTGATGAAATGCACCAATACGACTGAGAAAAACTGAAACATGATAAAGGAGCGCTGACACAAAGATTTAACTCTTCTACGCCTGACACCATTCGCCACTGGTGGTACGGATTATTGCCTGTCTGCAACCTCAAACATAAACTGTTTGAAAAACTTCTTAATCTTTCTCTCATGTCTTTCTGTCTGTCAAGACATTTTATCTCTTTCTCTTCTCAAACCCACACACTCAGGAAACCCTACAGAGCGCTCAGTCCATCGGTCCTCTCAGAAACATCAGCGAGGCCTTAAAAACACAGCAAGCCACAAAGAAAACAGCCATCAATCTTACCGGCATGTCTGTTGAGTGAAGGAACAATGTTAATCTTCAGGACAGCGTGAGTCAGGACCAACACTGAGCTGATTCATGCAGAGGTTCAAACCAATGCAGCTGAATACTCCCACACTGGAGTCACACTGGAGCTTTTACTTTGTGTGTGCATGTGTGTGCGTTTACGTGCAAAAATGTAAGGAAGACTAAGTAAAGTGTGAATAGTTATCACTTGCAGAGTGCTCTTGCACATGTCCTGCTGTTTGCAGGTGACATAAAAATGTCCAGTAACAGATTCTGTTTCATTTGCATCTCATTTTTAACCAGACAGAGAAAAAATACACTAAAATCTAGACAAACAGCCTCTGGGGTTTAAGAGCTGAACCATCATCTTTTCCACAGGTCAACACTAACTGATGTCCTAACTTGACTATTAACTCTAAAAACACATGGGCTATTTCTTCAACCCAATTCATGGGTTTTCCGTGTTGAGTTAAATTTCTGGATTATTTTTCAGATCCATCCCCATTTCTTGGGTCATACGGATTCTATCGTAACCCAATTTAAGGGTTACTTGAATGGGTTAATAATTATGGGTTTTTGGGTTATTTTTCTGAGAGTAATACAATAATTGGGTCAGAACGTTGGGTTCGATTGACTGTACGTGGTTTCTAGGCCTAATAGCTATTAAAGTGACCTGGTGACTTTGTGAACTCTGACCTTTTTTTAAATCCAATATGATATATATACGTATATAGCCTTCAGTATCGGTCGATACTGATCTTGATCCAATATTGGCACAAACTTGTGTACGACAAGTTTTGCACTCAGCTGCAATGTCTTTTTCAGACTTTAACGGAAGTTTCTTGCTACTTTGTTAGTACCCTAGTCTAAACTGTTGCTGAGATCACGTGGGCTCTGCATGCTGGTGCTGCTAGCTAGAGGTGCTGGAGTGGAGTCAGGAATAGACTGCTTGTATCAGAATTCTGATATTGGTGATTTTAGATGCAGGCCAATATAATCCTATATCAACAGTGTATCGGGACATTGACAGTGTATGGACATAAGACATTGATAAAAGCTACTCATCAATAAACAGACACTTGAAAATTGTTAAGTGAGGTCAAAAGGGATTGTCCTCTGGAGACCATGAATAATGTCACACATGTTGTGGTTATCTGTTACTTAAAAATCTGGATATTCCTCAGAATAAACTAAAACCTAAAGACAGAGCACCGGAAGAAAGGTTTGCTCCATCATTTGGTTTCCGGTGTTGAATTGTGTAATTTTCAACCTCTAATTAATGCACTTTTACTTCATCACTTATGACTCAAAAACTTAATGTGAACAGTTGCAGCTCTTTTACAGAACTCTGCCTTTCCATTTAGAGACACTGATTCCCCAGCTGCAGAGGATGATGAGTATACTTTGGTCAAAACAACATGCACGCCACACTGGACAACAGAAACAGCAGACAGCAGTGCCAGAAATAAATCTCTAAACCTTGACCATGCAGAAGTCAGATGGAGAGAGACAGTAGGAATCAGAAAACCCACATGGTGCTATTTCAGAGCGTATCTGCATTTCCCTTAAACCACTGGCACAAAATCAGAGCTGTACACTGAAGACACTGTGCAAACACCAACACTCAGCCAAGCTTGTTCATATTAATATGCATGTAAATAGTTTTGGGCACTTTGCATTAATTTCCTGGTCCAAAACAAAGACCCTTACCTTTAAACACCATCAACCTCAAACCTCAGATGCACATACAGAGTGAGTCTGCCATGGAAAATTTTACCTAAAATCCAAACCACGTGAGAAATGTGTTTGTTTCTTTTGATGAAAGGCTGATCAGTAAAGGAGGAAAAGGATTGGATGAAATAAACACCCAAGGAAGAGAAAACCACCTCTAAAGGGGAGGAAACATTAAAAGGGTTTAAGGAAATAGGTAAAAGATGAGAGGGTGGAGAAAAGTAAGACCCAGGGAGGAAAGATTGTTTTGTTGTTTTGCAGACATCCGCCAAGACCCACAGCCTTCCAACCACAGACTTTTAAACACCAACAAAATATGAAAAACATCCGAGCATCCCCAAAGTGTTGGAAGTTTAGTATCCAGAAAAGTGTCCCTTTTCATTCACTGAGATTGTTCGCGTTTACTTTTGTCAGGACAGCTTCAGACCAAAATAACAACTGTCAAAGCAGCACAAACAATCCAAGATATACTATAAAAAGGTTTCCACTAATTTTAGATTCGGAAAGAAGTGCTGTGGGAGGAAGAAAAGAGACACTCAAAAACAGACAGTGGTTCAGAGAGTGGTCAAGAAGTGTTTCAAAGATCAGACCAAGCCAAGTCTAACTTCTCTAAATTTACAAATTACCCATCTTTTGGCCAAACAACAACTTCACAGAGTGCAAAGAAAGGATTTCTCTTCAATGGTGGAGAGTTTGGAAAGTTCTTCTTTGAAAACTCAGCTGAGGGAATATTTTAATCCAGCTTCACTTTGGAGGATGAAATTAGTGGGTAAAGCAACTAAAGTTATCCCCCTCCTCAGATACATGTACATGGGCAGATGGCAATGTTGAGTTTTATGTTTCATGTAATTCATATAAAAATGAAGTAAAATAAGATAAACCTTCATTCGGTACAACATGAGCTTGAGAACTTTAAAAAACCCACCCCAGTTTTGCAAAAATCTATTAAATGAAAAAAGTATGATCCAACCCACTGACGGACCAGCTCTGCCATATAAACACCAAGGCTGCTGTAATAGTAAGTGAATGAATAAATGAAGCATATCCAGGATGGTATCCAAAGCTACTGAAATAACACTGAGGTTGTAAAAAAACCTTGTAAAGGGTCCAAACATGAAGAGGAAAGACACAAAAAGAGAGTAAAACCGAGCACTGAAACAAGCTGGGAGAACAGACAATGGTGTTGCTGTTAAAGCTCTTACTGGTTTATGATCTCAAATACCACAGTCAGACAACCCCCAAAACAAACAGTCTATAGGAAAGATAGGACACCAAAACCAGCCTGAAAACCATCATACAGAGCATGGAACTGAGCCTGGGTGTATACAGGTATCTGATACACGTGTTTGTGTATGTGTAGGTTAATTGTGTGTGTGGACACTTACACAAATACTCAGCATGAGGGCATGTTTTAGCTTACATGCACACCTCTGTGAGCTCTTGCAACAGTAACATTGAGTCTGCAGGTCTGTGTATCTTAGCTTCTTTATGAGAGACAGATATAAACAAACTGTGCAACACAGATGTACAGTTTTCATCTTTGCAAATGCTGATTCAAGCACCTCCAGTTTAATGCTACACATGACCCATCACAACATCAGGTGCCAACACTTCATTTGGATTTTGTTTAGTCAAGAACCAAACATTATTTGCTTTGCACATTGCCAAATACGTCACACATAGATCTGTACAGCACCGTGTAAATTGTGCCAGAAAGATGGACGGACATGAAGTCAGAAATGCACCACACAGACACACAACCGCACACCACAGGTTTATACAACATCCCTCCATTTATTTAACAGATGCAAAACAAGTCAGAGCAGCAGACCATCACATTTCCATTTGTGTTCATACCAATATCTGTCGCTCATCCAAGAAGCAACAACTATTAATCAGAATATGTTCCATTGAAAAGATGTTATCTAAAAACTACAACTACGGGCTATTGGAGCTGGCAAAACTCGCTGTTTTCACTTGTGTTCAACATGCTGGAAAGAAACAGTAAGCAGACCCTGAAGTACCCTCAAAATACCCTCTCAATCAGCTGTTTTCCAGCACCATCAAAACTGGTATCTCCCTCATAAGGAATCATTTTGATTCTTGGTCACAAAGATAACAAAATTCTGAAGCAGCCGTAATTTCATCAACCTTGATAAAACAGTGGATGTAACATTAATAAAGCAGTCCACAGTCAAGAAAAAAAATGAACGCTGGTGCTCATTTTAGCCGAAGAATTTACCCAGCTGAAAGAACTTCTAGTCTACTCTTTATTTTGCTGCCAGAATGCATAAAAAATATCAAGCGGCGCCAACATGTTGCTTGTCTGAGTCCATGTCTGATGAAACATCTGTGGACCGAAGTTTCGCACAACCTTCAAGTGTCGTACTCACCTGTGAGATTCCACAAACGCCACTAAATATGTGAAGAAGGGCCAGAAAGACACGTGGGGAATGAAGACCAAAAACTGTGGCTGAACATGTTTTTGAGTATTTCAACAGAAACTTTGTCATTTTCTGTGGTGTCTAATTTTTTGTTTGTCGTCTACTTTTCCTTTACTTATTGAATGGGTGATGGTGGCACTCTTTGATCAGTTTCTATTGGTCAGAGTGAAAAAAAATATTGACAACAACTCAAGGGGTTACCTCTGAGCAAACAGAACAAATAGCAATCCTATAAAGAAAGGGAGCAATGAAATCAAAATGTATTTAATCCCTATTTTAAAGTGACTGCTGTACAAAGTCTTTCCATTTGTTCCAGGTGACGCTCTTTGAGAAAGCAGGAGCTACCTATTAATCCTCTGTCGGGGCATGTGGACAGATTTGGCCTCATACAGCTTGGCTGAAATCCAGCCAAGAATTGGCTCGTTTCTACCAATAGTGGAGAGGTTTGATTTTTTTCAGAGCAGCTTCAGACCTGACTAGACCAGAGAACGCATACACCAACAGTATTCAAAATTTAGTTGAAAACTGCAACCTGTCTCAACAGCAACCTTGTGTTAAACACTAAAACAGCGTTAATCTTCAATTCAATTAAGCTGTCTGAAAACTAATTTTTCAAACTTGTTTTTAAAAGCAGTCCACATTTGTATGCAATGGGCATTTTTAGCTTAGCTAATACGTGAAGAATATGAAGTATCAAGCACATTTAGTGCTAAACTCCTTCCCCCTAAATACAACACAGAGCATCACAGTAAGTCATTCTTACCTGTGGTCATCAAACTTTATAACTCCTCCCTCTGAATGTCAAAAACTCTGAATGTCTCAACTGTGCAATCTGTTTGTTAACCTGTCAAAACTTCAATAATCTAACAGTGCAATACTCATAATGCATTTTTTATTAAGCTACACTGTGCGATATTCTATTTAACTGTGCAATATGCTATTTAAATGTGCAATGCTTTGGTAAACTGTATAATACTTTGTGCAATTTCCTGCGCTACAAACTGGTTTTGTATACACTTCCTACTCTTAATGCTTGTAAATGCTAGTAAATAAGAAGTAAATAGTTCTATTTCTAATTTTACTTTTCACTAACCGTTGTAATTTCTTATTCATTAATATTATTCTGTTAATTCTATTTTATTCTCTTATGAAAGCAAGTGTAATGCTGTAATGACAAAATCCCCGCCCCCAAAGTAATATGATTCTGATTCCAGTCATCATTAGATCTACAGGTGATGTATTATTCACAGGTAAAGAATTTTATCACAGTGGCACGTCAAACCAGTCTTGTAAACTGTGCCGCCTTTGTACTTTCATACTGTCGCCCAACGGTCTAATATTGATGTTCCAGGTCAGGTCACCTTAATGTGTCATAGCAGCACCAGAGGTAAACACTCAGCAGGGGCTCCACATGCACACACAGGGCTGATGCAGCCCCCTGCATCTTCTCTCTGTGACTCCTCTTTCACTATTTTGCTAGTGGGTCCCACCAACCACCACTAAGGTAATACATAAATACATAAATACCCCATGTACATATCATTACTCTTACCGGGATACAGTGTGGATAGCAGTATAATATAAGGTGTTTTCTATGCAGGTTGTTTAACATTGCAGTGTTTCGATTTGACATGACTCCACTGCAAATCCTCAAACAACCAAAATGATGAGCTACTGTTGTTTACTCTTGTTAAAGTAAAGATAATGTAACGTATTTTTACCGCAGCCCCTGTTTTTGATCACTCACATGCAGTTGGGTGAGTCATATCTTTTAATAACAATGACCCCGGAGTCTTCACTTACACGACAATGGAGGAAATGATGGGCTCCAAGCAAATCCACATTAGCATTTTAATGAGTGTAATAGCTGTTACGTCAAACTTACATTAGCTTTATACATGGGAAAGTCGCTGTTAGTGAGTGTTAAGTACATTTGTAGATGCTGAGCTTTTCTTACTCAAATGAGGGTGGAGGCACACTGCGGGGCGGCACAATCACACATGTTTTTAGGTTGGCTGTTTGCCCCCTGCAGGCTTTCACAATCATGTTGGAACAGTGAATGGAAAAGTGCCTGCTAAAACAAAACAGTGGTAGAGTTCAGTACTATCATAACTATAATTACATCAAGAATTATTTTTCCTTGTGTCATTTCACCCATTTTACATTAATCTTTGGTGTGGATCAAGTTATTGACTAATTTATTGTAAGGTTCAACTTGAGTGTTATCTCAGAGCTGTTTTGCCAATAAAAGCATTAATGCAAGATGTATTTAGTCTAATCAGACCTATTTTTGTAGTAATACAGATCAAAATTAAACATAAGCTCTGGATCCAAAGTTTTTGTGTGTGTGTCTATTTAAGGCCATTAAATATTTTCAAAGTACAGGTTTAAAAATACAGCAGTGTGCATTTTCCAACAGGCTACACATGTTATTTAGCAGCATTAAAGGGTATGGAGCAATAATCGTGCCACCATTCTCCACGGTCTGCAAAAGATTTCATGACCCAGTGTTAAGTCACAGAGACAAGCTATTAAATCCGCAGTTTGAGCTGCAGAAGCCAGAGTTACACATCCAGGAAAAGCCCGCGGCACCCACCAGAAGCCAGTCTCCTTCATCCAAGTGTATTACTATATGCTTTCAAGGATCTAAGCCGGCTCTTTTTTTGGCACATTCTTGACAGCATCGAGCTGAATCAGATCAGCTTTCAATCAAAAGCACAAGGAAAAACAACAGGCTGCAAATGGACGGAGTTTAACAAGAATGGAAAATCTTTCTTGTGAGTCCGATCTATATAAGTATTATGCATCATGCAAATAGCATCAAGATGATTTTAATAAAAACCTTTTATGATTTTACATAGGGCTGGGCAATATGTCCTCAAATCAATATCACAATATATTGGACAGTTCACCTTGATAACGATAAATGGACGATAACTACTCCACCAGCTGCTCACCCCCTCCCTTATTAACTTTGTCTACTTCAGCCGCCACAACTTTTGAACCATCCTCCATCTCCTCACCTGTCTTTCCCTCTTTGTTATTGCCGGAATGGGATAGAGTCACATCTCTGACGTTGGACAGCGTCTTACAGAGAAATGAGACCTTAGCCTACCTACACACATCCAAAACCAACTTTTATTTATTTATTTGACACAAAATATACTGACATGGGCAAAATGATGTTGGTTATTGTTGTAAATTTCTGTATCGGAAATTTTTCGGTTAATTGCCCAGCCCTAATTTTACACTAAAATTCCCCCATTTTTTGTGATTTTTTAAGCCAAGATTTTAAAGAAAGAAGAAGAAAAAAAAGTTTTGAAAAAAAGAGACAATCTCAGCATCTTCATCTCTACAGTATCACGTATCCAGACACATGGACAGATAACATCTAAGGGAATGTCAGACATCTAATATGGAACTGTTTGGTCAACAGCAGGGAGGAAATCAAGCACCGCAGCGCCACATGAAACCAAAGACTCAAAGGGATATGTGAGGACAAGCTGGAAATTCAAGCATAAAACTGTATACACCCATATAGTACATAGTTCTAGATATATACACATGTACACAAATGCTCCTTTATACACAAACACAAACAGGAATGCCTGTGTGCATAAAAACGTATAAACACGCACAGACACCAACAATAATAAACAGATACAGGCATTTATGGTAAGAGATTCACACTGGATAAATACACACAGCAGGACAACTAAACATGGAAAGTTTGTATTGTTTACCAAGGTATACTGCTAGTTATGAGGTTAAAAACAAATATGTTTGCAGCTGAACTACTAAAAGAGAGCAGGGATTTATGCTTTAGATGCATGTAATCATGTTTCACTTTGATCTGCCTCGGTGCACACAGACTTTTTCAGGTTTGAGGAGGTTTGAGGTTTCTTGTTTCCTGTTAATATTTCATATGATGACATTTTTCATTGGCTGTTTATACAGTCCACATGTTTCATCATCTCTCGAAAGAAGGATGACGACTCTTTGAGCCAAGACATCATCTGGCAGAGTTTTAAAGTCTAATTAAGATTACTTTAATGAGCTTAATACATTTGAGACGCATTGCTGTTTTCATGATTTCACGATTTTGGCTGCGTCCATCCATCTGTACATCGCACACACACAACACACTTACTGGACACAAGTGGTGATTGTAACTACAGCAAACTCTCCTTCAGATGGTTATTTTCTTAAGGAAAATGGATGTTTAATGATAAGTAAGTTAAAATTTAATTCTTTGCACAATCCCTGTAGCCTAGCAACAAGCAACAAGCTGGCTAACTAGCCAACATAGCACTGGCATCACGTAACCTCACCGTCTTTTTACCCATAATTTTAACTCACAAGGCTTCTATCTTTTTCAACATTTCTGTCACTTTCCATTCAAGTGAGTTGAAACCGAATACAAATATCTCAAAGTGAATGACTCAGCTCCTAAGAGTCGACCATCTTGTTTGAATTGGTCCACAAAGAATCACGAAATATGTTGGGCCATTAAGGACAAACCTAATGCCCCCTTATTGGGCCCAGGAAAAGTAGAGAGCATTTTTTCAGCTGTGTTTGAAGAAGCCTAAAAACCAAAATACAAGCCTTGATAAACTTAGATATGTAGCTTACGCTTGCATAGACATTAGTGTTTGGCAGTAGGAAAACTAAAAGCGGTAGCCAGCAGTGACCAATATTGGGATTTGATCCAACAAGTTGCTCGTTGCGTCTCTGCATTTCAGTGTGAAACATTTTACCTTGTTGGTTGGACAAAAATCTTTCTTATGAGTCCTCAAAACTAAGTCCAGCAGATTTAGATGCTAGGATTCCTTCATGCCACCTTTTAAGCCTCTAACAGTCACCACACCTGGTATCAAGGCTGGGCAATAAACCAAAAATATACAGAAACCAAAATTTACGACAATAACCAACATCATTATGCCCATATCAGTATGTTCAGTGTCAAAAACATAAATAAATGAAAGTTGGTTTTGGATGTGTGTAGGCAGGCTTAGTCTCATGTCCCTTTAAGACACTGTCCTACCTCAGAGACATGACTCCACCCCATCCAGTTCACAAAAAGAGGGAAAGACAGGTGAGGAGATGGAGGACAGTTCAAAAGTTGAAGCGGCTGGAGAGATGGCTGAAGTCGACGAAGTTAATGTGGGAGGGGGTGAGCAGCTTGTGGAGTAGTTCCTGTCCATTCATCATTATTGAGGTGAACTGCTCATATCGTGACATTGATTTGAGGCAATATCGCCCAGCCCTGCCTGGTAACCCTACAAAAGTCAAAGCCCCACGATGGCAACCCTGTCAAAGAAGTCTGGCTCCACCTCTGATGTTTGGGTCAGACTTCAAAATTACTTTAACTATGTGGTGAAGTTGTCGAAGCCTATAGCAGTTAATACCCTGGCCCAGAAACCGAGTCCAATCCTGGTCTATCAGCAAAGAGGCCAAGCCAACCCTATGTGGGTACTACACTGATGATTGACAAGTACCTCATACAAACCAAATCCTAACACCAAGAATCAAATCCACAGTGAATTATGGGTTCCCAAAAAAACTTCCACTTCCATGTATCATTATTATCTTCATCTTTCTTATTTTGCCATTTATTCACACTTACTGAGGAGACTTCAACAGATTTTCCTCTATGGGCAGCTTTCCAAAAGTGCTGCCAGTGCCAGGCTGGAAAATACAGACAGTCATTGTACTGTCCAGGATGTCAAGCTTCACTTTTAATAATATACACAAAACCAACACACTTAGCGGCTATTACCGTCAGGACAAAACAGAGTGAAGGAGCCCTGAGATGCTCACACTTTGTGACAGCGTCTATCCTGTCCAATGAAGTCTGGTACAGAGTGAGCTGTCTGCTCACATATAACTTCTCAGATCTGATTTATGATCTCAGACATTTTCCCACAATTTTGCTGTTTCCAGAAAAAAATGTATTTCATGTTAAAGTCAGAATCCACTAATGAGAATTTTGCCCTTTTGCTGTAATTAATGTAGGACAACTTATCCTCTGTGCAGGGAATATTCAACAATTGTTAAAGGGCAGCAGTGGCCAAAAAGTGTGCTCCATGTGCAGAGGCTTCAGCTCTCAATGCAGCAGAGGCTGGTTCAACTCCCAGCTATGATCCTTCGCTGCATGTGCACCACCCCACTCACTATGCTCCCTTATATTTTGTCTCTCTTCAGTTGTCCTACCAATAAAGGCAAAGGTTTGTTCAAACTATGTTCCAGCCACTTAAACAAAATACTGTCAGGAAATGAAAAGTAATCGAGTCAATACCAGGTGTAAACATTTTGATCCTCCATTGAAAACATAAAAAAAAAAAAGATTTTTTTTGTCTCAAATTGGGTATGAAAATGTCTTTACAACAGGCCGTCAGACGGATGTGGTGATTGTTAACATACAAACAGAGCCATCATGCCTGAATCATGCACAGTTTCACACTGGGAGGGAGTTGTGTGCGGTTTTAGATGGAGAAATACATTTTCCACACCTTGTGTTTCTCTTAAGGGGAAGATCGATATAAAGAGCTGAGAGAGTCTCATGAAAATGTAACAAGAACTGAATTGCTCTCCTTGCTGTTCTGCTATGTTATAAAAGTGGCTTTTGTTTGGATTTCTTCTGACCTTGCCTTGCAAAAACCCAGCAGATCCAGAACCCCCAAGCCCTGTCAGTTCAAGTGAAACCTAAACACCACATCTGAAGGTCCTGGGTTGTCAAACAGAGGTAACGTCATGATACCTTTAATGGAGTCGGAGTCACGCCTCCCTTCCTTAATGGCTCCTCTACTGATCTCAGTCTGCATCTCAACTCTCCTTGTCTGAGTCCTTCCTAGTCATGAATGGACCAGAAATGGGCTTCAAACATTCTGTCCCTGCTCTCATAGGCGTTCACTGAGACCTGCATTCATCACCTCTCCATGCACCATTACTCCCAGTGATGGCAGGAAAGAAACAACACTTTCATTAGCAGGACTGCTCCACTGAGGTGTGGAATGTCCCGCGGGTTTCCAACAACAGTGACAAAGAAAGCTGGCCTTCATTCGTCCATTGTTGTCCTCAACAAGCTCACTTAGTGTAATGGGCAAGGCCGGGCTCGCTCTTCAAAAGACGAGGGGCACCGCGCAAGAATAAGAGCAGTCATGCTTGGACAGATTAGAGATCTGAGTAAAGAAAGTATTATTCATTGTGCTTAGAAAATAATGAGTTCAATAGGCTTCATTTATTGAGGCAGGCAGACTCAAAGATAGAAACATTATTTGTAAGATGAGATGTAGAAAAGACAGCTTATTCTGTTGAGTAAATGAAGCTGTTTAAAGGACCGAATTTATCTGTTCTGTGAGATCTCGCTTGTTTTATTTTATCAAAGTAAGGCTGCCTAATGATGACAAAAATATCATCACAATTATTATTCGTTATTTAGATTTAAAAAGTTACTCTCTTTTTTAACATCAACCAATATCGCCCCCTCACTCCATCCTCTTTATACCTCTGCTCACTCGGCCCCTCTGCTCTACTAACACACACCTGCTCCTTGCACAACCCCTAAAATGAAGTTTTTGTTTGTTGTTTTAGATCAGTCTCTGAGCATTTGGACTTAACTGATAGGAGACAGACAGGAAATGTGGGGATTAGAAAGCGGGGGATGCGTGTCTGAGGGATCGCAGGGAGCACAACCTACGTCAATACAACACAAACTGTGCTGACTTAGACGCATCTTAAATTTTTGAGTTTTTCAGGTTGGGTCGGAGTCACGCATCTTAAATTTTTGAGTTTTTCAGGTTGGGTCGAGTGTTTTTTACGTGCTTCTAACTCAGTAAGTCCACATGACACAAAGTCAAAACTTCTGTACAAAACCCTGAACATTGAAGGATTTTATAAACTCCCTCGTACAAGACCGGACAGGTCAGACAGCCCCTCCAAAAGGGGACATATCCGGGTAAAAGAGGACGTATAGTCACCCTAATTAAAGCCAAACTCAAGGTTTTTAATGCCCAGCAGAAGTTAGCTTGGGTGCCACAAGTTGAGTCCAATCCTTTTCCAAGTTTATATATTAGGTACATTTGAAAACAACAAACGACCAAATGGTTTTGACAACGCAGGAAAATGAAAAAGACCAAGAAACCAGGAGAAAAGGCAAAGATCAAGAAGTCTTCAACTTTTTTAGAATTTGTCACCATTTGTGGTAAATGTCACATTTATCAGCATCTGAGCAATCCATAACAAGCACACAGGTATAAAGGTCTCTTCTTTATTAAAAGCAATAAGAGGTTTTCATTACGTCCACAAATGAAATACTGTGATTTCCACTTTCCTTTCGCCTAACGTTTAGCGTCATGCCAGAAGTAAATAGTCTGTGAAAACATCAGAGACTGTTGTGGACTATAAATACACATGGCTGTCTAGTTGTAGCCTGATTAAACAGAACTTTCAGTCATCAATGGCGGCTGAGGTGGGAGTACAGTTTCACAAAGAGTATATCTCACTCATCGCGCTCTATCTGGACATCTTACAGCTGAGTTGAGCAATAAGGCTTTAAATGGAATTGCCCTTTTCAACTACATCGCCAAACTGTGAAGGAAATGTTTATAGAGATATTAAGCGGGCCGCCACAAGCCAGCGGGGTGAAAGCGTCCATCAAGCTGCTGCTGATTAGAATGAAACTGAGTGTGGAAATTACAGAGTGCCAAGCCGTGTGCCGTGTTGGTGTGATGTCAGGACAGGGGTGGTTTCTGGGACACTAGTAGTCATTGTTGAATTTTATGGAGGTTTTGTGGACTTAATTCAATGAAAGCTGTGATGATGGGAGGTTTTCTTTTTTTATAACCCTGTTGACAAATCCAACGGCAGCCACCCACTGTCTCTCTCCAATATCCAAAATATGAAGGCCCCATGTGTAAACAGCAAAGTAATCCAAGACGTCAGTGTCCTCCAAGAACAACAGTATGGTCTGTCAAAATATGATGATTATGGTTAGGCTTTATTTAAGCTTCAAAATTAAGTGGTCACGCCGTGCCCATAGAGGCCAAGTGAATAAATTATGAGGTTAGTCCTAGCTGATGAACAATTCTTTGCATTTGTAGCTCGATGTCAGTGCTGTAAGGGGAAACCAGGGTGTTTTACGCAGGGACCACACAGAGTCCAGGTTGGTTGGTTCCCCCAACAATTTTTTATGCTGGATTATAGGTAAGGAGGACAAGGTCAAACATATTCTTTACAAACCTCCTACTGTGGCTGACAAGGTAGTGCAACCAACACAGTTGTCCATTTCCATAGCAACTGTCGCTACAATTTGAACCCACCTGAATGCACAAAAGTGTTGTGTCTATAAATGAGATGTGGTTAGACATTCAGTACGTTTACATGCACAGTTAAGTCAGGCTCAGTTAGGTGATTTAACTGGGCTACTGTCCTCGTCCCAGTCTACAAGCACTGGGCAAGAATCAAACAATTATGTCTGCCTCCACTATGATAGGTGGCAACACGCTTTCAACTTGTTACTACTGGGTTAACAATGCAACTGTCAGAGGCTAACAGAATGTGTGCTTTTTTAAAAAAAAACAAGCACTAACTGAAATCTGCCCAAGACTGGCACATGCGACACATTTCACTCACCAAGCTTTAACCCATAACTGGAACAGAACAAATGGGGAGAAACAAACCACAAAGTAAACTAACTGCCATATAAGAAGAAGAAGGAAAGTAAAAAGACACAGAACTGGAAAGATGTCCATGTTTTCACCGCTAAACATACAACCAGTAAGTCTCTTGCTAACATGTTGGTTGGTGTGGTCTGTAAGGAAACAGGTCAGCTGGGAAATGTCTAAATCTGAAGTAGTTAAAAGGAAGATATCATCTGTCTAATGAATCGCCTGATCAAGCTTTAATCACAACTTGACTTGACTCTGCATGCACACACAATACTCACATATGGTATAGTGTTTTGCTGCTATTAAAGTCCTGCAATATCCTGCACCTATACTCTCAATAGCCATGCAGAGGATGAGGGGTGCCTTGCTTTTAGACTAAGTGAAAGGAAATCCTGACTGGTTTGATTTATGTAAAGCACAAGTACACCTAAGAAAATAAGGGACCAAATACAGCCCCTTAGGCACCCTGCACCTTGCTTTGTACCCAGTTTATGTGTTTTTTATTAGCAAAAGTGCAGTAGGACACACCTGGATGTAATCTACTCCAGTGCCACCAACCAGGAAGGAAAAATGACAATGAAGTATTTCTGCAACATTAACTGACACCTGTACCGGAGAAGTTTGACTTGCGATACATGTCAAAGTAAAGGGAAATAGTAACTGTGGGGTAAAACCTTTGCCATCTATAACCATCAAGCTTACTATTAATATCGTTTCCGTGGTAATCGTAATTTCAGAGGCACACCCTTGTCTCAGTTGTCAGTCAGACGCTCAGTGCCTCCAAAAACTTGTCTGAAAAAGAACAACCAACTTTTATGCAACCACATGCAAGTGTTTTAAAACAAGCTTGACCACCGACTGGTGTTTTAATATATCTGGTGACAACAGCCTCGTCAAACACACTGATACTTATTGGAAATAACATATCAAATTGTTAGGTTGGTCTGCCAAAAGAAAAACTTGAACAAGGACATGAGGCACATAAAAAAATAAAAATTTATATCTTACTTCAGTCATCTCATATATTTTTACTCTAGTTCATACCATGTGCTGATCAATAGGCCAATACTGCAACAGTTAAACAATTCTAACCCCACCACCCACCTTTTTCTTCCATCACTGGAGAGATGGCTAATAAAAGGGCTGCCGGCTGGTTTCTGAGACTCCTAGTCTGAGGGCAGAGTGGGCCTGCTTTAAAATAACAACACTTAAAGCTTCTGGGTGTTAGGCTAAATGGTAATGTGTAATCCCTTTAGCTCCTGACCAGCTTTAGCAGAAATTCCTCAATAATACGCAACATGATTTCATAGTGACTGCTGCCTTTGAAAGATGTTTGTAATACTGAAAAGGTCACAGAGGGAACAGGCATACAGACAGTCAGGCAGACAAGGGGACCTCAGAGTTCTGGCTGAAGAACAAGGTCCCTTTTTTTCTGGTAATTTCAGACTTGAGTCATTAGGATCCATTTTTCTTTAATAACAAAGAGCGTGGCGGAGCACGGCTGGATGTTTGTACAGCTGATTATTAACAGCACACCTTCCTTCACTCCTTCACCGGGAAAAAGCAATGAAGCAGAGGGAAAAGATAAAACTACAGACCTTCATTGTAACAGACTGAATCCATACATCTGGCCTTGTTTATTTATATGTTGCATCCTTAGATGAAACAATAGGATACCATGTTAATTAAAACCAACTTTAAGGATCAGACACCAGCTGCCTTATACGTACTTTTTATCATCTCAAACCACCAAAAACATGAGTAACAGAAGAAGTTGAGAGAGCACAAAGTTTAAAATAGACAAAGTAGGTTCAAACTGTAGACTTTCTGCCTTTAAGTAACTTTTGTGTCACCATAAACAAACTATTTTTGTCACTAACAGAGCTCTGGTAAAATGTCATTAACATCCAAAGTGTTTAGGGACCAAATAAAACTTTAAAATGTTTCATAGAAATTCATGAGTTTAAATTTAGTCAAAGCAGCTTAAACGTCTGGACATGTCAAGGCCTGTGATTTTACAGTGAGAGCTATAACCGTGTTACAGTCTGTGAACTAAGAAGGGCATACAGGATGTGACAAAGTCAAAGTAGCAACAACCCTGTGACTGATCCCACACTCCATCTAAAAGCCTGAGCGCAGCTTAATAACCATCAGCAGTGTGTTAGGGGTGGGAATCACCAATGGCCCCACGATACGACATTATCACAATACTTGGGCCATGATACGATATTAATGCGATTTTTTACAATACAGTGAGTATTGCGATACAACATATTAAGATTCAATTGTTCGGCTAATTTAGCATTTGTCTTTCCTTTCTGTTTGTCTTATTTACGCTGTATTTTATTTTCATGTAGCACACCTTGCAAACCTTGTATATATTTGTTGTACTAACTTTCTCCTGCTCTATGATGTCACCTCTGCCAACCTCACTTGACAAACAGTTGATTTAATTTTTCCATTATCATAGATTTGACTTCATATAAGCAATTAATTCAGTGTGTACAGTTTCTAACTTACCTGTGAGAAGTTGAGCCCATTGAGTGGATGGCACTGTTCCTCCACCTTCTCGACAGCCCCCGTCCTCTTCCTCATCCTCTCCGCCTCCTGGGCCAAGTATAAGTCCAGGACTGGCACCCCTCGTGTCTTTATATCAGCCTCAGTTAATGAGTTCACCATCAGCATCACCCAAACAGGCCGCTTCCTCTCCCAGTTCCCCGCGATGGCGTTGAAGAGATAATCCGCATAGAGTCCTTTCCCTCTCTGATCGGGGGTCATCCAGGAAGGCATCATGAGCTTGACATACTCCAGATGTCTTTTGAGTCTGCGATAAATGTCTCTGGGCAGGACGTCCTGCAGGTTCTCGCCCTGAGGAAGCAGCTGGCAGCTAGTCAGGGCTGAAATGGTGTAAGGGTCTGTCAGGTCAAGCTCGAAGTAGACGATATTGCTCTCCTGGAAGGCCTGCTTTGAGTTTTCAGGGATGAAGTCCCACACACGGGTGTAGGGGACATGGATTGTACCGTAGAAATATGAGGGAGGGTCCCGTTTGATGGTCCACAAGAAGGAGTTGAGGTCTGTTTGCTGGAGGAGAAATAAAAAGGTCCTCATGAGTGTCGCATGGATTTGTCATGTATTCAATAGTTTGTAATTATTTGATATTTTTTGGCACCTTGAATGTCTGAAGATAGTTTTAAGAATAGATTTTAAAGCTTCAAGACACAGGGCCAAGACTTTAAACTGATCAAGTGTTGAATGAAGATTTTCAGGGTAAAATTTTGTGACCCAACATTTCTTTTATAAATATGGAAAAAAGTGTTTTTAAGTGCAGAAAACAAAGATGTCACAATTCTCACTTTGAAGTTGCTTCATGCCACCATGAGCCAACACTGAGTCTGTCTGACACCAAACAGCAAAACCACAGCCTCGTCTACAAAAGGCTGTTTATTAGACCGACTCCTAACAGACTGATAATGACTTATTAACAGGCCACTTAGGGCCCAGGTGCCAAACCAACAATACACATGTCAGTGATTGTGAGAATCAGAGCTGGGTTGTTCTTGTCTGTTTCCGCTAAATGAGACCAGAAAATTGTCTAATAGTAAATTAAACAGTTAATCTAACACACTGACAGGAAAGGTTTTAACAACAGAGGTGTAGAATAGATAGATAGATAGATAGATAGATAGATAGATAGATAGATAGATAGATATAGATAGATAGACATACTTTATTGATCCCAAACTGGGAAATTCTCAAAGCTCATTAGGTTGAAATACTCAATACAAGGAAACTGATTAAGTCCGCAAGTGATGGCATTTTTGCTAAGTCATACCTGTGTGGATAATTTAAGACAAGGGTCTTCCTCAAACACAACGCCCAAAACTAGATTTTTAGCTAACTGATATAACAGGTTTGAATGCCCATTAAGTTTTAAACATTTACCCAGTCCAAAAAAAACCTACAAGTGCCAGCATTATATATCAATAATCTTTCTTTTCAAACCATTTCTTTGAGTTACAACTAAAAGAGAATATCTGAAGCTGGTGTGCTTGAAATGAAACTTCAAGAAGATAAATTCTCTATTTTATCAACTTGTAAATGAGCAGGTTGCAAAACATTACTAAAACAATAATTAAAAACTATTTAAATTCCACATGGCTATTTTTAAAGTAAAGAAAAATTACAGGGAACATAACACCCAGTTGTTGATATTTGATATTGTCTACAAGAACAGACAATGTGGTAGATTTAGGAAAACCAGTCAACAGCAGAAAATACCCAACAAGCAAATGTAACATCTGACTTGGCTGTTATTTCTAATGACTTACTTTCTTGTTAAGCTCGCAGTTGGTGGAGTCCTTTAACCTCCACTGGTCTGCTCGGACCAGGAGGATCACACAGGACTGAATGAAAGCGCCCAAAGTCCCCCGCATCGTAACTCTTCTCACTCTTTCTCCAACAAGTGTGCACGGTGGTTAGTGTTTGCTCCCCAACGTGTTGCGGCGATTATACCCGAGAAAGCATGAGTGAAGTCCAGTTATTTCCACAACTCCGGCTCCATGTGGTCGCGTAAAACGAGCTGACAAGTATCCGACAAACCGCCGGACAGAGTCATGCTGGCTCGAGCCTGGACATGGACGCGCTGCGGCTGTTTCACGTGTGTTTGGAGAGAGAGGGAGAAGTTGGTCATTAGAGTTTACACAGGGTCATATCACCCTGTTTTCCCCACACTCTCGTCTCTGCATCGTCTTCCTGAGAAAGTTTGCACAAGTTTTTCCAAAAGTTTGAGGGGCTGTAGCCAAAAAGAGCCAACAGGTCCGCGCGCATCGGCGCACCTGGAGCCGAAAACACAATAAAGAAAAGAGAGATTCCACTTCTTGCTGGTTGGTTGTTTCCTTAAAATGAGTGTGTGTGTATGGGTGAATAATAAACTAAACAAGTTACAGACTTCCCGACACACACATACACACTCACACTGCTCTGTCTGCAACTCTCTCTTTCCCCACAACGTGTGTGTGTGCGTGTGTGTAAGCATCTCCGTCCGGCAACTCTACTTACCCCCTGGGTCGCCTGCATACCCCTCCCTCCCTCACTGCCGAGCCAACCCCACCTCCCCCTCTTTCTCTCTCTCTGACACACACGCACGCACACACACATACACACACACACACACACACACACACACACACACACACACACACACACACACGCACGCACACACACATACACACACACACGCGGTAATCTGATTAAACATCACCCCGCCCGCTACATGTAAAGTCTCCATTCACATCAGCAGTGTCAATAAACAAGGTGTCTGCAGACCTCTAAGACCTTTGAGATCTACAACAAGTGGGGAAAACACGCAGACTCCAAAGTTGTTTCATAAAAAAAAGCTGAGACTCGCTGAGATGTCTTGTTGTCAGTCTGTGAGAAGCCCACAGGCAGCCAGAGGTGCCAGAGGAGATCCCGTGGATAGATTATGACCTGGTTAGTTAATAGCTCACAAACTAGCTGCATTAACATGAGAAAACCCGCAATAACAGCAATTTGCTCAGCGTTAACATCCCAGCATAGAGATGGAAAACATAGAACTGCAACCTCTCAGTCACCCACTAAATGTTTGTGTGTCATTTCAGTAACTCCCACTCAGAGAAACATCTCAATAGTTTGATCTCTTTATATGTGTAGTTTTGTCTCTTGTGTTTTGTGTAGACGTTCACAAATCACAAATTAAAGCTGCCGTGAGAAGGTTTTTTTTACTGGTTATGAGACAAACTCAAATTAATTATAATGTCTCTTTATGACTAAACAAAGCAAACAAAACTTACAACAAGCAAACACAAATATCCATGAAGTTTTATTACCCCTCAAAAACCACTGGTGGGGGTAGGTGGCAGGTCAAGCGACCGCCAAAAAAGCTGTTGCTACATGTTTGACTGCAAATATTCCTGGTGTTGGAGACAATTCGATGTTGAAAAAATCTGGATGATTTTTTTAAAGTTATGTCACTTTATAATGAGCACAATAATTCATGTGATTAGAGGTTCTGCTTTGTCCACAGACTCCACACGTACTTAAAGGTCCAGTAGGGATCTTTCAGTTTGTGTCAATTTTGACGCCCCCTTGTGGACAAAGCAGTCTGCGAATCTTGTCATCAAAATGCCTGAGTACAGACTTGACGAAAAAAACTCCTCATGATGACTTTTGACGGTCAAATGTATCGTATCGTAAATATTTGATATGGAAACTGTAAAAAGAAGGGAGGGGGGGCTATTTCATCTGCTACTTGGCTGACACTTATCCCCTTCACACCAGTTTTAGGCATACAAAGTAGGATATGAACATCGTCAGTATTGTCAATTCAGTGTCCAGACTGTCCAGAAACTTCTCACAGGAGCTTTAAAATTTACCACAGGAGCTTTAAACAGATCATTAAGTCAAAAGTATTGTATTTACAAATGTAATTGATCCCTAATATCATGTTTTCCTATAACTATATCAACATTGCTTGATGACAACTAAATAAGTAAATATAACTGTACCAAAGTAGAACTGGAGAGCCTGCAAAAATTCAAAAATACTCATGCGATCAAAAATTATCTCCATAAGAACTTTGCTGCGTGTGTGTGTGTTGGGGGGGGGTCTTGACGCCGGGGTCCGATCTATTTGCTTTGACTCTATGCGCAGTGTCCTACCGTCAAGCTGCTGGTTCACACGGGGGCAGGGGAAACATGTTAGTGTTGTCAGACGTCTGAGTAAATACAAAACGGGCTATTATCGCGAGGAATGACCTGGGGGCTTCTTCTTCTTCTACTACTGCAATTGTTGAGGATTTCAGTCAAATAAAAGTCTGGAGAAAAACAGGGACGAGGCCAGGCTTCGATACAAAAAGATTCCATTTCTGTGGAAACACAAAATAATTTATGAATGAATAAAAGTAGGATTAAAAAAAGTTATTTACTTTTGCTGTGCATAACTGTAAATATGGGTCTTAAATGCATTTTAATCAACTGTTTATTCAGAGAACAATCCAACAGAGTGAGTGTTATCTCTGTGTTATTGGGATCCTTGTTTGTTAAGTGACCCCTCTAAAGCTCCCCCTAGTGGACACATTTATTACATTCAGCTGTGCTCCGTTTTCTCTGTTTCATCCAACTCTGTTAAGCCCACATTACAACAGGCCTATGGTCCTGCAATTCAGAGAATCCTTTTTCCAGTTTCTAACACCGGATGGAGGAAAAGATTGGAGCCAAAACACAGACAAGCAAGGAAAAACAGACAAGAGGTATCTGAGAGAGACAGACAGTTACAGATAGAGGCTCTGTGGAGACTGATTCATGTCCATCCAAGTGGTGCTGATCTGAAGACTTCAGGATTTGGCTGTTCTGGATCACTGTTTTTTCAGGGGTGTGGTGAACATCTCTCCAAAAATATAAGCCTCATTCATTTTCAGCTACTTTGACTCTTTTCTTTTCACACAGCGTATATGAAAAGGGTTAACCTTATCGTTTGATTTTCTCAGTATTTAGATGATTAAAATATGTATAATCAGAGTAAAAGACGACATTTTTGCGATGTTGTTTAAGTAACAAAAGAATATGTCAATCATCCATATCCAGCCTGCATAAAATTACATCCATCACAGGCTAAATGATCCAAGCTGTTGCCGGTCCCTCATGAAAGAAGTGAAAACAGCCTGATGGGATGAAGGGAGACTTAGTTGTGTGGGCATGTGTTTGCTGATCTTTGTTTATGTTGTACATCTGTAGAAATGTAAAAAGCACACCTGCAGCAGCTTCCTCTTTAATGTCTGAAAAGCTCGAGGGGAGCGAACACACATTCGCACACGTACACACTCACACCTGTTTTTTATTTCCATTATCTCCCCACTTAGCCCACAGAGGATCTTTTACATAAATACTCATCTGACATACGTCATCCTTTTCAGCTCTGTGCAGCATCACATATGTCAGAGGTAAGACCTGGAAATTGCAGCTCTTTTATCATCATTCACTGGGGTAGAAACAACAGATGTAAGCTCTTACTAATACTAATTGAGGGATTAAGAAAGAGTTGTGCATTTTCTGGTGTTTAGAAATGTACTACCCAGACTACAACAGCATATTTTCATGACTTAAATCTATATGACACACAACAGTTCGTCCTGTCTATTCACTATAGACTGTTAGTCATTATTTTGAACCTCGCTTCCTTTCATGTTAACAGGGTGGTCACTGACTGACAGCTGATAGATGATTGACTGACAGATGCAGTTCTCTGTATCACATTAGTCGAACAGAGAAGGAAGGGTGGGAGAAACCATGACAAAATAAGAGTAGTCTATGGTCATATGTATCCGTCTCTAACCATACCAAGTACCTATTGGGGATGTGTCAGTCGTGAACGAACCGGTTCAAAGAGCTGGCTCTTTAACGAGAACAATGGGAGCCGGCTCCTGTCTGTGAGACTTTTTTTTCTTTTTTCTCTCTTTTTTCCCCCACAGACTATAGAAAAAATCTACAAGGCAGAATGAAGGGATTTCTATCTACTTTGTGTCGCAGAGTGGTTTTACCATAGACTGTATGTTCTATGGACAACTTGGTTCCACCTTCCGCCACTATACGAATTTGAAGCCAAAAAGCTCTCGGTAATTCTGTGTTTTTTTCTCCACTTCCTGCAACCAACTTTGCGCAGTAGCATTGTGCGCATTCGGCGGGAGAGTCGCCGAGAGTCTCTGTGATGATGCTCGGCTCAAACAGCATATCCCTCAGGTTAGCTATGCAATCTTCTTACGCCCATAGGCTGTATCGAGTGTCAATCATAGAAAACATGAACCTCCTAATAACTTTTAAAAATTGAGCTGTAAAGAAAAAAAGAGGACTTGAGTACAAATCAGTCTTACAATAACTACATGTCAACATTGCAACCAGGGGGGAGAAAAATTTATACTCTGTGTAATAAATTTCTTAAGTTTGCCCACAGCTCCATAGGGATTGCTGGAGGAGGCAAGATTTATGACCTTTACTGCAGCCCGTCACCAGACGGTGCTTTTCTCTGAGCGGCTTCACCCAGCGAGGAGGCAGACGCTGTCCATTCTATATACAGTTTATGGGTTTTACAGGCAAGTCAGTGGATTCATTGGGTGGTTTCAGAGAGTTACAAGGGTCTGTAAATACAATGTAAACAACGGCTACAGCAATTTACTGATATTCGAAAATGTGATTTTGTGGATACTTCAGTACAAAGGATGTATTGAATTATTTAAGAAGTATATGTACACATACGTACATATCATAAGCCAAACAACGCTAAATTTGGCTGAGTTAGAAAATCTTTAAGCGGTAAAATGAAGAGTCGTTTGGAAGCCGAAAGAGCTGGCTCTCTAAAAAGAGCCATAATTCCCATCACTAATACCCATTTTATTTTGATCAATAAGCCCTTAAACTGTTGTGTATAAAACTAGGTCAGCGGCGGTCATGCCCTGAATATCAGCAACATTTAACCACAATGATACTTGATTCTCGAACAGTACCCCCTCTCAAAAAATATTGATGAAATACCCATAAATTTTCAGATGAAGTCATGTGACCACAAACATTTCTGATACTCGTTTAATTTCCGTGCAGCTTTTGTGAACATTATTTTGATTGATAGCTGTTTAGTTTAAGAGAAAGGTCCAGTATTTTTCCAAAATACATGATGTCATTCTTCCACAGATGGATTAAACAGATTCAAATACAATAATCCACCGCATGCTTTTAATTTTTCATCACTTATTTGTTTTCCCTTTTTTTTCTGCCTTTGAATGGCTCTATGCAGTTATGTAAATCATATCTTAAAACCAAACAGATCCTGCGACATTTTTATGCAGCTCTTTTATTTTATGAAAGGGAATCTGTTTGAAGCCGGTCCTGGACCTCAGTGACCTCCTGTTAATACTGATACTATGGCACATCTGTACATTTCCACTTTAAAGTGGCTCTGTTTGCGGACATCAAAGAGCGCCGG